CTCAGCATCCCTTTTCGACTGACTTGTTTCTGCTGCAAGCACACACACACATCCATTTCCCAGTATCATTCCGGGAGAAATGGAGGGGTAGGAAATCCTCTTGTCTAGATCTGTTCCTCAAACGTTTGGGATTCTGAGGAGCTTGCTTTAAAAGAACCCCCCTTTTATGCTGTTTCAGATTGAAGAGGAGCTGGCGGCCCTGCAGAAGGAACGCAGCGAGAGGATAAAGTTTCTGTTGGAAAGGCAAGAGCGAGAGATTGAAACTTTTGACATGGAGAGCCTACGGATGGGCTTTGGAAATTTGGTCACGTTAGAATTTCCTAAGGAGGACTACAGATGAGATTAAATTTCTTTTGCCATTAAAAAAACAAAAATGCAAACAAAAAATATCTCAAATCCCAACATTCCCCCCCCATGTTAACGGGTGTGCTCTCTCTCTTTCTGTCTCTCTTACTGACATCATGTCGGACTTAGTGCCTGTATATTCTTACTCCATCAGGGGCCCCCCCTTCCCGCCAAGTGTCACGTTCCAGAGCAGGACCATTGCTCCGCAGTCTCTCTTGAATCTCATAGTGTCTCACAGTATTGATGTCTCTGTGCAATGATTTTTTTTATTATTATTAAAAAAAAACGTTTCAATGAAAACTTTGGAGACAATTCTAACGAATCAAAACAAAAAAGTGGATGTATGTTTGCTTTTCAGCAATCACTCATATTTTTTTGCCACCTTACTAATGAAAATTCAAGCAAAAAAAACAAAAAAACCAAGGAAGGAAAATTAAAAGGAGTCAAATTCCCAGGGGGAGAGAGATGGGTATCGCAGCCTTACCTTAATCAGCTGCTGCATAACGTTTTGAGTTTTTAATTTTATTATTAATTATTATTATTTCTTTTTTTGGTATTTATTCATCAGGAATAACTAAATGAAAAAAAAATAATAATAAAAAAATTTTATTAAGAGATTGAGAAATTTGATACATTTTACAGAAAATATGAATTCTGAAATTGTGCTGTACATATCAGTGGTGGACATATTATTACTTTGGGGGCGGGGGGGAAAGGGGAGGGGGGTTGGGGAAAGAGGGAGAGCGTGATTTTTTTGAAAAAGGGTCAGGCCAGGCCAGGTGGGTTTTTTTGGCCGTTGGTCTTTGGCACATTCTTGATTGTATCATAATCATTTTCTGCTGTAGCAGAGGATGTGAATACACTTAAAAAAAAAAAAACTTAAGGAGCCCAGAGAATCCCAGGAGCACAAATTGGGCCTTGTCAAATTGTGTATTTTGTGTATAGAAGGAAATTTAAGGAGAAATTTACTTATTTTCATATTGTATTTTAACTGTTTCTCTGATCAGAAGTTTTTTTACTACCTGATGACTTGTTCCCCCCCTCCGACCCCCCCACCAACCCACCCACACTCCAGGCCACGCCGACACCCCCCCACCCCTCCAAAAACCCTCCACCCTTCCTCTTTTCCAAGTCAATCTTTGGAGTTTAACACTGTCTCTCATTCTCACATCACCTTAAATCTTTCCTCCTCCTCCACACCCCTCCCTGCGACCCACCCACAACTCCCACCTTTGGTTCCCCCCCTCCCTCCCCTCTCCCTGTCCCCCGATAATCTTGGTCATAAATATTGCATTATTCACACTTTCAAACTGTGTATTTTCTTACAATAAAAAAGGTTAAAAAAAAGGCTTTACTTCTTTTGCATGCACTTTAAAAAAAAATACTAAACGGAAAAAAGCAAAAAAAAAAAGAGAAAACCTTTTTCAGGTTCTCAAAGGGAAGAGCATGATATAACTGTCAGAGCTTTTAATTATATTTGTAAATAAAAGTGTTGCTCACGAAGCTTTGCTGTCTCATTGTAGCAGGGGAAGCAGCTCTTTGCCCTGCGCTACCCCCTACCCACCCCATCTCTGGTCAGCCATGGAAGAGACTCGAGTGTGGCTTTCCAGCTCTTGTTTTGCATCCAGCAACAGGAGAGCCTTTTAGCAGCAAACGCCGGCCAATCAGATCCTCTGCTTTTGGGCTGGATGCCTCCCGACAACTCAAAGACAACTCAGATGTTGTGGGAGGAGGCAAGAGCAGGAGAGGAGCAGAGGAAATATTGTGTAAAGGGGCTTCTATCGTGTATTGCACAGATGCTTTTACTGGTGCTCAGAAACACACTTGAAACTTTTAAGGCGAAGAGGAATGTAGCACACATTGTTCCAATACGGCCTTTCCCAGGCTTGAGGGCAGGGAGCCATCCTTCCAGTCCGCAGCCAAAACCGGTTGTGGACAGTGCTCATTGGATGGTTCCTGTTATGTCACCAGGAGAACACCTATCCCAAGCCCCACATGGATTTGATTTCAGAAAGTATTTCTGTTGTGGATTACTTGGCAAAGGGTGATTTGATAGATGAGTGAACATGTATGCGATGAAAGAAAATGAAAAAACAAACTCCTCGCCTGAAGAATGGGAGGATGGCCCAGGCTGATAGCTGAATTAAGAATCAGTTCCTTGCTATGTACAGCAATCATTGCAAAAAGGATCATGGGGTTTGGTGGACCACGAGCTTAACATGAGTCAACAGTGCGATGCAACAGAAATAAAGAAAAAAGCTAATGCAATTCTAGGCTGCTTTAACAGACATCCAGCATCCAGAATAGTACCACTCTATTCTGTCTTGGTCAGACCCCACTTGGAGTCCTATGTCAAATTCTGGGCACCACAGTTTAAGAAGGATATTCACAAGCTGGAACCTGTGCAGAGGAGGGCGACCAAGATGATCAAGGGTCTGGAAACCAAGCCTAATGACAAACGGTTGAAGGAGCTGGGGTATGTTTAGCTTGGAAAAGAGAAGAATTGAGAGGTGATATGAGAGGCATCTTCAAATACCTGGAAGACGGAGCAAGCTTGTTTTCTGCTGCTCCGGAACAGATGACCCAAACCAATGGATTCAAAGGACAAGAAGGAAGATTCTGACTAAACGTTAGGAACAACACTCTGATGGTGAGAGCTGTTTGACAGTGGAGCACACCACCTGGGTCACAGAAGGCTTTTAAACAGAGGTTGGATGGCCACCTGTCATGGATGCTTAAACTGTGATTCCTTCATTGCAGGGGACTGGACTAGATGACTCTTGGGGTCCCTTCTAACTCAAGATTTTATGAAATTCCTAAGCTGGCCTGGAGCTGGACTCACACCACAGTCAAGGAACCAGCTGGGACGTCTTACTACACCTGCCTGTACTCTTAAGGGCTCCAAAGGGAATTTGCTGAGGAGGGGGGCGGGTCTGTCTTGGACCCATCAACATTCTTAGGATATTTTTAACCCTTTTTTTATGCTTTTGCTTTTGTTGACTGCCTTATCTCTTTGCTCGTTCATTTCTGTTTCTACCCATCCACCCAAAGGGATCTCGGGAGCAACTTTGAAGGTTTCAGTTCTGCCACGATTCTCCTTTTCTCTGCATCTTGGCCTTCTTCTTGGCCTCTGAGCAATATTTGGGGAACTTCTTAGCAGAGAAACCCTCCTTCGGGGGGGGGGGGAGCCACCCCATCGCCACCAGGAGCCGCTAGTCCTGCCAAGAACCAGGTACAGTCCAGAGATCAGTGGAGGCTGGTGCATGGGACTGCTCATATTGCCCCTTCCTGCCCAGTCCCAGAGGTAGATAATCTTTTCGCAGCATGAGGTCCACATTCCTTTTCCAGCAACTTCCCAGGGGCCGCATGCCTAGGGCAGGCAGGTCCGAAGGCAAAATGGGTGGAGCAAGTAAAGTAAATCTTACTTTTATACAGTAGGCTAGCACCCAAACACCCTTCTCTATTCCCCATCTAGGCAAGCAAGACACATGCCAGCTAGGCAGAAACAATGAGGGTAAGAGCAAGACCAATGATGTGTGTGGCTTGGGGGGTGTTCTGGGGGTCAGGTGTAACCTCCAGGTCTGAGGTTCTACAACCCTCTTCTGACCAAAGTTGCCCATACTGTGTGCTCTGAGCTACCCCATGCTCCTGCAACATAATAATAATAATAATAATAATAATAATAATAATAATGTATTAGTTTTACCCCGCCCTGTCTGGCCAGATCTCCCCAGCCACTCTGGGCAGCTCCTAACAGAATATTAAAAGCATGCTAAAACATCAAATATTAAAAACTTCCCTAATCAGGGTTGCATTCAGGTGTCTTCTAAACGTCAGATAGTTGTTTATTTCCTTGACATCTGATGGGAGGGCGTTTCACAGGGCGGGCGCCACTACAAATAAGGCCCTCTGCCTGGTTCCCTGTAACCTCACTTCTCGCAGGGAGGGAACCGCCAGAAGGCCCTCGGAGCTGGACCTCAGTGTCCAGGCTGACGATGGAGGTGGAGACACTCCTTCAGGTATACTGAGCCACGGTTGTTTAGCACCAAAACTTTGAATTGTGCTCAGAAACATCCTGGGAGCCAATGTAGGTCTTTCAGGACCGGTGTTATTTGGTCTCGGCAGCCACTCCCAGTCACCAGTCTAGCTGCCGCATCCTGGATTAGTTGCAGTTTCCGGGTCACCTTCAAAGGTAGCCCCACGGAGAGCACATTGCAGTAGTCCAAGTGGGAGATAACCAGAGCATGCACCACTCTGGTGAGACAGTCCACGGGCAGGTAGGGTCTCAGTCTGTGTACCAGATGGAGCTGGTAGATAGCTGCCCTGGACACAGAATTGACCTGCACCTCCATGGATAGCTGTGAGTCCAAAATTACTCCCAGGCTGCACACCTGGTCCTTCAGGGGCACAGTTGCCCCATTCAGGACCAGGGAGTCCTCCACACCAGCCAACCCCCTGTCCCCCAAAGACAGTGATTCTGTCTTGTCAGGATTCAACCTCAATCTGTTCTGTGTTCTTTCAATGCATGGGGAAGTCAGGAGCAACTTTCACCCCTCCAGCCAGTCCCCTCCACGCCTTCCAGCCATGCAGGACACAGTGAGCAGCTCTGCAGCTTGTGGGCAGATTCCTGTTTGAGAAAGGAATCCACGTACAAGGGTATTTTGATTGCTTTTATTATAGAGCACCTGAAAAGGCTTGCCAAGTTAAGGGGAAACTGCCACAAATCTCCCTGTGCTCAGTGGGTTGCATTCTACTCAAGAGTAGGCCCACTGAAGTCAATAGACTAGAGTCACACCCACTGTTTTCAGCAAGAGTGTTCCAAGTAAGGCTTAACGTTGGATACCACCCTCTCTCTTTTTTTATTCAGTTGCAATGGGATTCACATGGCAGGCTATTTGACGCCAAGCCGCTCGTAGATCTTTGGCACATGGCTGTCCCACTCGGCCTGGTAGCACATGCCTGCCACAGGCGCACCCAATCCGTACTTCTTGCGGAAGGACGAGGCTCGGAACTTCTCGCGCTTGGCAGCGGTAAGTTTGTTCAGGATGGGCTCGTCGCAGGTCAGTCGCTGTGGCTGCTCGTAGACCAGCCACACATAGCGGTGAAGTCCTACAATGGGCAAGGATATAATGCAAAGATTTTGGTACGACTGTCAAAACTGTGTTGTTTTTTCTCAATACAGAAAAGCAACCCTTTCTGACTTCTTTTTTTTAAAGAAATGAGTATGAAAATGTTCAGCTTATTTACATTAACCTCCTTCTCAACTGGCTTTATGAACATTGCCCTCATTCTTAAATGGCTTCATGCACATTGCCCTCATTCTCAACTGGCTTCTTGCCCACTGCCCTCATTCTTAACTGCCTCCATTTGCTCCTAGGTAGCAACATTGGTTAGCCAAATACTATTGACTACACACAGTACAGAGATCTGGGTCTGCTCACTTCTGGAATGGCTGGGATTGCCCATTTTAGTACTTCCAAGGGTGTGTGTGTGTGGAAATGACAGCCAAGAGAGGAGAGGAAGAGAATAGAATAGAATGGAAGCAGCAGGAGATGGGGAAGAGATCTATTCTTTTTCCTGCCTTTTTTCCTGTCAAAAAAGGCAGGGAAAAGAATAGCTTGGGATGGGATGGAGCAGAAAAGCATCCAGAGAGGAACAAGGTAAGTAGTTACTTCCTTTTAGGTTCCTCCACTTCATATTGCAGACTCCCATAGTTCCTTTTTGTTTTAACAATTCTAACACAGTAATAATCAAGAGATTGTTGAAATGCCATCTCCTGTACAGTATAAGAAGGTGTTGTAGAACTAGAAAACGGCAACTAGAAAGAGGCAAGAGTGTCCCAAAAGAAGTCCACCTTCCCTTAGGGAAGCCACTTACGCATTGGCCAAAGTGGACACAGATCTACAGCTGTGATACCTGCATTGCAGGGAGTTGGACTAGATGACCCTTTGGGTACCATCCAACTGCACAATTTTATGATTCTATGAAATTTCACATATGTAATTTGTATGTAAGCAAATAATTACTATAAATGCATTTTCATCATGCAGTGGTGTGCAAGACTCCGACCAGGTAACCTACTGTGCTGTCCAGGAACTAACTTTTGACTGGGTAGTGCTGCTTAGTGGTTAGAGCTCTAGAGTGCTAGACCTGGGAGAGACCAGGGTTCAAATCCCCACTCAGCCATGAAGCCCACTGGGTGACTTGGGGTCAACCACTGCCTCTCTCAGGCTAACCCACCTCACAGGGTCCTTGTGGGGGCTGGGATGGGGAGTTGTAATCTGAAAAAGATCTGTAGGGCACCAGGTTGGCAGGAGCTGGTTAATGGATCAGCCCAGCCCAGCAAGTCAGTTCTGCTGGTGCAGCAGCCAGAAATAAATCCAGAAGGGTGTGTCACAAGAAGGCAAGACCTTGCCTCTCCCACACTGACTTAAGCCCTCTCAATGTACCTTTAAAGCCTGCTATGGGTGTGGATTTTTTGTTACCTGGCTCCCCTAGGCTGTGTGTTGACGCACAAGTTAATCCTTTGCACAAAAGGGGCATTCAATCTGCAAGGAAAGTCAAGTCAAGGCACTTTCCATCTCAGGGCCTGGCAGCCTTATCCGCAGGCATTTGCAGAGTTCACGGTCCTTTACTCACAGGGTGTGACAGAAAAGTATGTTTTGCTGGGCAGGTTGGGTACCCAAGTATTTTCTTTTTCTTTTTCCCTGCCAGCAAACGGTTAATGAATGGCAGCTTCTGACTGGCCAGGGTTCCAGAAGAGGGAATTGAAAAGGGGTAGGGGGGGGCTGTGGTCTAACAGGTGGCGCTGTGGTCTAAACTACAGAGCCTAGGGCTTGCCGATCAGAAGGTCAGAGGTTCGAATCCCCACGACGGGGTGAGCTCCCGTTGCTTGGTACCTGCTCCTGCCATCCTAGCAGTCTGAAAGCACGTCAAAGTGCAAGTAGATAAATAGGTACCACTCCGGCGGGAAAGTAAACGGCGTTTCCATGTGCTGCTCTGGTTCGCCAGAAGCAGCTTAGTCATGCTGGCCACATGACCCGGAAGCTGTACACCAGCTCTGTCAGACAGTAAAGCGAGATGAGCGCCGCAACCCCAGAGTCATCCACCACTGGACCCTTTACCTTTACCTTTAGGCTAGGATTGAGGTTGGGAGAATAGGTTGGGAGATAGGGAGTGAGAGGAGAGAGAGTTGGTTCTGGCTAGAAACATCCACTCTGCGGAATATATCAAAAGCTACAGAAAGGAGTCTCTGAGCTTAGTGTGAAGGACACTGTGTGGTGTCCTGAGAGAGTAATAGGCCAGGAATTAACTGGGAGGCTGAGTCAGGAGAAGTAGAAACTGGAAAGATAGAGTCTACTTGGGTCTCATTCCAGTCAGGAGGGGAGTGATTCTGCTACAAAGAGAAGACTCCCAAACCAGTTAAGATGGGTGTGGTGATCCCTTGAGTCTGTTACTTAAGAGTACCTCAGGAGTAGGGTTGTCAAAGGGGTGTGTAACTGACAGGAAGTACCACCTTGTTTAAGAACCAAAGTATTAAGCAGCAACAGCTGTGCAACACTGAAGTGAAATAACATAATCTGAAGTATCCTATGTTGTACCCACTTGTGTCACAAACTTCCTTTGCTAAATAAAATCTTTATTCTTTATTTGATCAAATCCTGCCTCCAAATTATTAAGTTTTCCCTCACACAAATCCCCCACAAGATAATCTGGGGTGGTTTGTGGGAATTTGTGGAACTGGTGTCCTGTGAGGTGGGTGCACTATATTTAAGTGAGGGCGGGCCCAACAGCGCCAGGGGGAAAAGTGTCGTTGTGCCGTACCATACAGGCAGCTCAGAATCCAAATGAGTCCTGTACCGAAAATTTATCCAGTTTTTTTTTAATAAAAAAAACCCCAATTCTTCCACTCTTGTGGACATCTAATGGTGATGGATGCTGGAAGAATTGGGATAGATAAAAGGAAGGACTTCTTCATGCATTGCATAGTTAAACTGTGGAACTCACTGCCACAAGAGGCAACAATGGGCACCAACCAAGAAGTTTTTAAAAGAGGATTGGACAAATTCATGGAGGAGAGGGCTTTTGAAGGCTACCAGCCACGATGGAGCTGCTGTGCCAACACCATTGGAGGCGGCAGTGCTTCTCAATACCAATTGCTGGAAACCACAAGAGGCGAGAGGACTCTTTTTCTTGCACCATGCTTGAAGGTTTCCCATTACGGCACCTGGTTGGCCACTGTGAGAACAGGATGCTGGACTAGATGGGCCATTGGCCTGATCCAGCAGCCTCTTCTCACATTCTTAGGTTCTTAAGGGCTGTGTTGCAGATTAAACTGATAGGAATGTATGGGAGCTGCCTGATCCCAACTCAGATTACCGGTCCAACGAGCTGAAGTACTATTTCATGCAGGGCACAGGTAAACTGTGGAACTCATTGCCACAAGAGGCAGTGATGGTCCCCAACTTGAGCTGCCCTGAAAGTGCCTTCCCAGGGAGAGGCAGAGATGTGCCTTCTAAAAAATACCCAAGGCTTTAAGTTTGTTTCTTAAGAAGAAACACTCCCAGCCATTTACTCCAGTTAAAAAGCCAAGAATCTGTCAAGGAGGAAAGAAATGTCTCACCTCTCCATGCACATCAAATCATGTTTGAACGGCACTTGGCATCTAGTCCAATCAAACATCACACTGCTAATCTCTCAAAAGGTAAAGCAATCAACCCATCTAAAAGCAAATAATGTGCTCTGTATTTGATTTCTGGGTTCCTGGCGCAGGGCGAAGTCCCTACTTGTCTTGGAACAAACCAGCCAGCCCTTTGCTCAGTCTCTTAGGCAAGGCAATCACCACCTTCCAAACTCTCAAAGCTTAAGGTAGAGAATCCACAAAGTTTCCAAGCTGGTGCCCTCCCACCCAAGATGATTTTGGAAGTCACTTCCCCTCAGTCTCAGCAGGAGGAAGCCTTTCTGTATGGTAGGTGTGTATGCATCAGATCAGGGCAAACACTGGATCAAAACTCCGCTGAATGGCTACCCTGCTGCCTTTGTCAGCAAAATGGTAAAGTTTCTCCCCAGATTTGTCATATAGGGAAAATGCCAAAGATACGACTTTTTAAACTTTCAGTCAGTAGGAACAATTTTACCACAGTGCCTTGAAGGGCTGTTGAAGCAACCTTGTTCTTGTCTGTTCTGTGCTGCTTGTGCTGTAACAGGTGCTTGCTTTGAAAATGCAAGACTTTCAAGTTCTTCTGCCTCAGGCCTGCACACTCACTCCTGTCAAATCAGCCTAAAGAAGTCCAGAAGGCCACATCTGGCCCCAAGGCTGAGGTTCTCACCCTAGTGCCAAGGTTAGAGGTGGGGAACCTTTGGCCCGCAGGCCAAATTTGGCCCACCAGGGGTTCAAATTTGGCCCATGGGGCTGCTTCCCCTAATCTACAGCCACCTGCCTTGGACTTGGGGTTTGAGATGTGCTAGGGGTAGAGATACACAATCAGAGAGCCTTAAAGCAGCCTCTGGCTCTACTGTCAATCAGATGGTGAGTGGTAATGCCACAACCATGAGTACTTTAAAGCACTATGTGGGGTTCTTTGCAAGTCCAGCAACTCCCAACTCTGGGACTTCAAAGCACCCAACTGTCTGTGACATCAGGTGTGTGACACCCTTGCCCACCTGTCAAATTTGGCCCACAAAGCTAGACTCATAAAGGTCTGGCCTGCAGAGAAAGTTTGCCCACCCCTCTACAATGGTTTGCCTACCTGTTCCCTTGGCAGGCGCAGATCCAATATAATCCGACAAAATGCACCCACTGCCGATGTTGTTGCCTTGCATGTTGGTCACCAGGAAATGATGCCACTCTCTACAGGAGGAAAAAGAGCAGGGAAGGTGCATTCAGAATTCAACATCCAAACCAAGTGTTCCACATTAATCCTCCATGGTTTCCCTATTTGGTAAAATCTACCACCTAACTCAGCAATGCAGCATGTGCTTTTCAGCTGAAAAGCAGTGTACAAGTGCTCTAAATAACTCAAAGATGCTAAGAACAGAGGAAGCTGCCAAACACCAAAGTCAGACCAATTGATCCATCAAGCACCAATTGATCCATCAAGTATTGCCCCACCACTGAGCTATGGTCCTTCCCTGTGTGGCTGCAGTGGCGTAGCGTGGGGGGTGCAGGGGGGGCCGGCCGCACCGGGCGCAACATCTGGGGGTTAGGGTTAGGGGGCGCAAATCCACGGGTTAGGGGGTGCAAATTACTTGCCTTGCCCCGGGTCCTGACAACCCACGCTACGCCCCTGTGTGGCTGCACAGTTATTCCACCCTCCCTGGATGATCATTAAAGGTAAAGGGACCCCTGACCATTAGGTCCAGTCGTGACCGACTCTGGGGTTGCAGCACTCACCTTGCTTTACTGGCCGAGGGAGCCGGCGTACAGCTTCTGGGTCATGTGGCCAGCATGACTAAGCCGCTTCTGGCGAACCAGAGCAGCGCACAGAAACGCCATTTACCTTCCCGACAGAGTGGTACCTATTTATCTACTTGCACTTTGACATGCTTTCGAACTGCTAGGTTGGCAGGAGCTGGGACCGAGCAATGGGAGCTCCCCCCGTCGCGGGTATTCAAACCGCCGACCTTCTGATCGGCAAGTCCTAGGCTTTGGGGTTTAACCCACAGCGCCACCCGCGTCACTTAGGATGATAATTGAAAACATGCATATTTCTATAAAGACAGGAGTATGCCAAAAGGAGAGAAGGTCCCTTTTGTGGTCTCTCTCACCTGAGTTTCGGATCCGTCCTGCTGGGAACATCCAGGTCTGTGAGAATCAAGGTGTAGAGTTTTTGTGGGTCACAGCCCTCCCAGTCAATGGATGTGGGACAGTTCTGGACCTGTTCAGTTTTAAGGGAAATTGCAAATTGTAAACCAGTGCACATCTCTGGGAATAGGTGTTGCACGATGACAAGGCCTCACTCCTGTTAGCAATCGCGCTGCAGCATTCTGCACTAACTGCAGCTTCCAGGTCAGCTGATTGGCACTGGAAGCCCGTCTCCAAAGAGATTGCTGCAACCTCTGATCAGCTGATTGGCACTGACAAAAGTAGGACCAGGTTACGGATCTGACCCACCGGCAGCATCCAGTCCCCCAACCCTGTGCTTAAAGGGAGACCCCCCAAGTCACAAAGAAGCAGAAAGACGAAATGTGGAAGAAACTGATATAAATCAAAAAGGTTCTCCTTTGCTCTGCTGGCAAGAAGGACCTGCAAGCAAGGACTCAATTTGGTAACGCAATCCAGATGGCTGCGTCAAGTGGTCCAAGCCACAGGGAGCAGGGAAGGGGGAAGAAAATGTCCAGAGTCAATGCCGGAGGGATGTTCTTCCCATACTCAAAACAAAGCAGTAATTGAAAGCAGTCACGCAAGTGAGGCTTGCTTACAACTCTGTTCAGTAGGAGTTTCATTTCATTCGCCTTTCCCTCCACCTGGTTTATGAGTCTTACTGGATCAAATCCACCCAGCGTCCTGTTTTCCACAGCAAGAAGCCAACTGCTTCTAGGAAACTTGCAAGGACAATTAGAAAAAGGACTATGGAAGAAGAGGAGGAGGAGGAGGAGGAGGAGGAAGAAGAAGAAGAAGAGGAGGAGTTTGGATTTGATATCCCGCCTTTCACTCCTCTTAAGGAGTCTCAAAGCGGCTAACATTCTCCTTTCCCTTCCTTCCCCACAACAAACACTCTGTGAGGTGAGTGGGGCTGAGAGACTTCAGAGAAGTGTGACTAGCCCAAGGTCCCCCAGCAGCTGCATGTGGAGGAGCGGGGAAGCGAACCCGGTTCACCAGATTACAAGTCTACCGCTCTTAACCACTACACCACACTGGCTCTATGAAAGACCACTCCAATATATGACTGCAGCAGCGAAGCTGCTATATGCACAAAGATGGAAAGATACAGCCCTACCCATTTCAACTCCCATCAGCTCCACCAAGCACAGTCTCTTTGGACTACAACTCCCATCATAGCTGGCTTTTCATTAGGGCTGCCATGCGTCTGGATTTCCCTGGACATTACCAGGATTTAAAGGTGGAATTGGGACACCTTGTTGGCCACTGTAAGAACAGGATGCTGGATTAGATGTGCCACTGTCCTGATCCAGAAGGGCCCTTCTTATATTCCAATGTTTTTTGGAGTGTTGATTATCACCCCAAGGAAGGAATTTCTTGTTTCCAAACTGCATCAGGTAACAACAAAATATTTTGAACGCGTTCAGAACTTTTTATCCCCACTTTATTTCAGCTGAATAAAGGACCATTGGTGGGGTTGTTGTTTTTAAAAAAGAACATTTTAAATAAAAATGTTTTGTTTACCAAAAAGGAAAAGAGATTTACAAATGAGCCAGCGTGTAGAAATGAAGCATAGCGGAAAGTTAATTCAGAACATCTGATGTATTTTTGTGTTTCAGAAGAATAAAAGATTTTAATAAAACACAACAGCTCCAAATGGCACAAAATAAAGAAAATATTTTACCCTGCAGCTAGGAAAGGGGGGGTAGAGAAGAATGTTGACGCTGATTTTTATATATATATATATATATATATATATATACACACTCAGATACAAAAAAAGAGAGAAAGAAAAGGAACAGCCAAAGTTAAGCACACTCAAACTTGTTTACGGTGTAAAATAGTGCTGGGTTGATGCAGAATTTTCCATGGATGCTTGTGCTATATTGGCTTGTGCCCTGAATGTTTTACTCCACCCCCATAATTCCACACAGAGGCAAATGCCTCACAGTCCCTCATTATTGGATAGCCCCCTGAGCGATTGTTCATCCCCAGCCAATCACAGGACTCAGAAGTAGCCCCTCATTTGAATGCCTGCCGGTATATAAGAGGAGTGCTGGCCGGAGGTCACCAGTATTTGCAGGTGGGGCAGTTGAGCTGGAGAGGACGAACCAGCAAGAGGCCATGGCTACCATCAAAAGGGGTAGAAAGAGCCAGCAAAGCAGAGCCCAGAGGATCTTGAACAGACGAGGGAAGCTACCTCAGAAACCCAGGAGGAACGTTTGCATTATCAGGTTCCCGAGAAGCAGCTACTTAACATCATGCCCTCTCCTGTCCTGGTATTTCAACCGGAAGATGCGGGACGACATCCTTTCCTTACAGAAGGCCAAAGCCGCCTTGATCCCCTGCATAGCGGATGTCCACCACAAGATGTCCCTGCGGCTGGGCAGGCAGCGGAATCAGCAGCACCCTTGTTCCTGCCCCAACTTCCTCCACACCACCCTCAGGCAAGTGGCGAGCAAGAAGCGAGCCAAGTGGGTGGCGCCAGCTTCCCCCAGGAAGCGCCAGCGTTACTCCGATGAGGAGATTTTCTACAAGTTGGCAAAGCCCTACAGATCAAAAGACCAGGGCTCACCCACCAACCCAGGGGCAGAAAACATGGCTCCAGGAGTACCTCAGCCAACGGCGAATGAGCTCCAGGAGGTATCAGGCTAGGCGAACATCTCCCTCGCTCTTCTCAGGACAGCAAGCAGGCCTGACAGAAAACCGAAGGGAGAAGAGGGAGGCAAAATGTATATTACATAAGCCACCGGCCTGCTCAAAAGATCCAAGGGAACTGAAGGGGCGTGTCACCACCCACATTCTGATCCTGTCCTGGAGCCATTTTTGCAGAACTAATAGATTTATCAATGCCTGCAGGAGGAGAAAAGAAGAAATTTGAGCCATTGGATAAATATCCAAGAGACACCCGTCACCTCAAAAAAGGCCCGCATCTCTGAACCTACCCCTTGAACAAATAATTATTCCTTTCCTCGCTAACAAGAAACAGACAGAAATTGGCTACCACTTGAAGGAAAATGAAAAGGGATTTGTCATTGTATCCAAAGACTGTTTCCCAGTCCCCCTCAGGAACTTCATCTTGGAGTAATAATAAAACTGGATCTTTTGAAATGTATACATTGTGTCCTGAACTTGTTAAAAAGGTAAAGGTAAAGGGACCCCTGACCATTAGGTCCAGTCGTGGCCGACTCTGGGGTTGCGGCGCTCATCTCGCTTTACTGGCCGAGGAAGCCGGCGTACAGCTTCCGGGTCATGTGGCCAGCATGACTAAGCCGCTTCTGGCGAACCAGAGCAGCGCACGGAAACGCCGTTTACCTTCCCGCCGGAGCGGTACCTATTTATCTACTTGCACTTTGATGTGCTTTAGAAAGACACATATATGCAGTCATTACTTATGATGATTCAATTAGCCTTCATTCAATTATCATGGGTGGTATATGATATAAAGCAGCACCAATGAAAATACATTGTTGTTTTTTTAAAAGATAAATCCTAAGCAGAGAAGAACAATCTCAAGAACTCAAAAAGTGGTACACCCTGAGCATTTTTTGTTTGTTTCCATCTTCATTTATGGCTTCAGGCCAGTGGGATAAACTCTAGGCAAGACTTCTTAACCCAGAAATGTTCAGGTAATTTTTTTTTTGGGGGGGGGGGGAGATCCTTATAAGGAAAGGTTAAAACATTTGTGTCTTTTGAAATTGAGGGGGAAATGCCAGGAAAGACTGATTGGGTGACATGATGGAGGCATAAAATATTATGCTTGGGAGAGGTATTATGACTCCCAATTGTTCAACCATAGCAACAGCAAAACAACCCCCCCCCCCCAGTGGAGACTTATTTGGTGAATGGGGCACTGGCCCACCAACCTCAGACAGCCCCACCTGCCTGCCTTCCATCCTAGGGAGCAACCCTTGCTTTCAGCTTCCTCCTTTGTTTACATGTGAATCACCATGAGTCCACTTTAAACAAACATGGCTTCCCTCAAAGAATTCTGGGAGTTGCAGTTTGTTAAGGGTGCTGAGAGATGTTAGGAGACCCCTTGTATCCCCTCTGAGAACTACAATTCCCAGAGTTCCCTGTGAGGAACGACTGATTGTTAAACACTCTGCGAGTTGTGTGGTTTGATTGTGGCCTTGGGTCTCAGCGCCGCCCTGCAAGAACGTTAGAAGAGGCTGCCGGATCAAGCCAATGGCCTATCAAGTCCAGCAACCTGTTCTCATCGATAGCCTTCTCCTTACTGTGGAACTCAGCAGGGAAGAGGATGGGGACAAAGCGAGAATTAATTGGGACTGCCTGTGATTCGTTCTGGCTCCCCCTACTGTTTGGCTCCCAGACATCTGCCCTACCAGTCCCCAATGGGCACCAGTCAGGACTGCTGGAGATTCCTTCTTGCCCCGCCTTGTCTTCTCCTTTCCCACAATGGCCAGTAAGCAAATAGGGGTTGGGGGGGAACTCTGCCAAAGACTCCCTCAAAACCAGGCCCAGCCCTAAACGGTAGCTGCTGGGTCTTAGTGAGCAGAAGTGATCTTGGACTCTTACACCCACCTAAGGGGAGTCCTTCTGAATCAGGATGATGGCCTATTTTAGCCCAGCCCAGCAGCAGCAGCAGCTCCCTCCCACCTTGCGGTTCCCAGCAATTGGTATTCGCAGGCGTACTGTCTCTGACAGTGGAGGGAGAACGTAGCCATCATGTCTAGTGGTCACTCATAGCCTTTTCTTCCATATTCCCCACCCAACCCAATTGCTCCTCAGCATTCCACAAGGCAACCCATGTGTTCCAAAAGATCCAGATTTATTAGTATTTCAAGAAGAATTCCTGGGGTGAGGAGGGAGCACCCTGGACAACAACAATCCTTTTGTTCTCGTAGCAGTGGGAGCCGATTTCTGTTTGCCTCTTGCTAGCAAGGGAGAGAGGCGGATATCCTTTCCATGTTCTTCGCTGACTATGCCATGGCTCAAAAAAACTTTCCCGATGCCCCCCACTGAGGCAGAGATAAACAGCCTAAAAAATAAACAAATTAAAAATCAGGATTGGAATATGGGTGCAGGTGGTCTCCTTTAAGTTCTTGGATCTTTCAACACAGGGTTCTTATTTTTTAAAATTATGATTATTATTCCCTTCTTCCTCTCTTCTCCTCTGGATCATTGCCCAAGCCTGTTTGCTGTTCTGAGAAGGAGGAGAGGGGTGTCTGTCTCTAGCTTATGGTCTCTTGAAGTCCGCTCTCCGCGGACTGGGCTATCCCAGCAGCTGAGCTCTCCACGTCCTTGTCACCGCTCTCCTCCTCTCCCGATTCTTCCGCTTTGGAGGGTTTCGCCAAGCGGTAGAAAATCTCCTCGTCTGAGTAACGCCGCCGCTTCTTGGGGAGGGAAGAGGCCACCCACTTGGCGCGCTTCTTGCTCGCTATCTCCCTCAGGGCAGCCTGAAGGAAGTCAGGGCAGCGGCGAGGGCCTGGCGGGCACTTCTTGGGTGCGCGACTCCGAAGGACCATCGGCCGGCTGGAGCGCAGGGAATATCTGGCCCCATGCGAAGGGTTGCTGCTGCCCCGCATCCACCTATTGAAACACCAGGACATCAAGGGGCACTTCATCCGGTAGCCTCGCCTCGGGAACCGGACAATGCAGATGTTCCTCCTAGGCTTGGGCAGAACTCTCCTTCTCCTGGCAGGTGTCTTCTGTGGCCTGCTAGGCCGGCGGCTCAACCCCCGCCTCCGCTCTCGGCTCCGCCTCCATTCGTAGCTCCTCCTCCTCTTTTCCAGGCCACGCCTCCTCAGCCAGCTCCTCCTCCTGTTCCTCAGGGAGTAGGACATCCTGTACGTTTTAAGAGCCGCCATGTCTTCCTTCCCCGCTCTTGCTTGGCTTTCTGCACATTGCAAATGCTGGTGACCTCATGCAAGCAGTGCTCTTATATACCAGCAAGCATTCAAATGAGGGACTGGCTTTGAGCCCTGTGATTGGCCAGGGGGGGACAATAGCCCGGGGGGCTACCCAATAATGGCAGACTGTGAAACGTTTGCTATTGTATGCAATGGTAGGGATCGGTGGTGCAGTGGGAATTTCTTTTGAAGTGCAGGAGGTTCAGTAGGAAAGGCCCCCATTGGCTACCGTATATTTCGCTTTATAAGATGCACTTTTCCCCTCCTATAAAGTAAGGGGAAATGTGTGTACGTTTTATGGAGTGAATGCAGGCTCCATGGCTTCAGCGAAAGCAACATGAAGCCTCCGGAGCGCACCAGGAGCTCCCGCTGTGCTCCGGAGGCTTCACGTTGCTTTCGCTGAAGCCAGGAGAGCAAGAGGGATCGGTGCGCACCGATCCCTCTTGCTCTCCTGGCTTCGCTTTGCTGGAGAGGCACTGCGCAGCTTTCCCTCTCTGCGCAGCGCCCCTTCAGTGAAGCGGGAGGAGAAACAGAAAGGGCTCAATTTTTCCTGCCGCTTCACTGAAGCGCTACGCAGAGAGGGAGAGAATTTTTTTTTTCTTGTTCTCCTCCCCTAAAACTAGGTGTGGCTTATGGTCTGTTGCGTCTTATAGAGCAAAAAATACGGTGCTGCTTCTTCACACAGCACATCATTAAACTATGAAACTGTCCCACAGGAGGTGCTGGTGGTGGCCACCAGCTTGGGTGGTTTTGAAAAAGAATTGGACAAGATCGCGGAGGAAAAGGCTGTTCTTGATGGACAACCACTATGCTTAGTGTTAGAAACTGAGATAGATAAGCTAGGCGCCAGATGGCTCCTTAGGCCAAGGTTGCAGTTGCCAAAAAAGGAATTCCTAGTTGCCATTTTGGGCAAGAGAGCTCTGTAGTCTTATTTTTCCAAGGATGGACTGACTGAGATTGATTATCAGTTAAACATCCGACTAGTTCAGATGACAGCCTTGAGCTTGGTTAAGAATTTTTAGAACTTAGAAAAGTCACTTGTTCCAGGGACGGTCCACGTATACATTGACCTATCCCATGGGTAGGCAAACTAAGGCCCGGGGGCCGGATCTGGCCCAATCACCTTCTAAATCCAGCCCGCGGACAGTCCGGGAATCCACGTGTTTTTACATGAGTAGAATGTGTCCTTTTATTTCAAATGCATCTCTGGGTTATTTGTGGGGCCTGCCTGGTGTTTTTACATGAGTAGAACATGTGCTTTTATTTAAGATGCATCTCTGGGTTATTTGTGGGGCATAGGAATTGGTTAATTCCCCCCCAAAAAAAAAATATAGTCCGGCCCCCCACAAGGTCTGAGGGACAGTGGACTGGTCCCCTGCTGGAAAAGTTTGCTGACCCCTGGCCTATCCCATCCTCTTTATCTTAATGGTGACCTGGACCATTCATAATGTAAGAATATTCTTCACAACTGCAAGCAGGGCAATGGGGTGGAGACAAGCTACAACATGTACCGTATTTTTTGCTCTATAAGACTCACTTTTCCCTCCTAAAAAGTAAGGGGAAATGTGTGTGCGTCTTATGGAGCGAATGCAGGCTGCACAGCTATCCCAGAAGCCAGAACAGCAAGAGGGATTGCTGCTTTCACTGCTTAGCGATCCCTCTTGCTGTTCTGGCTTCTGGGATTCAGAATACTTTTTTCCTTGTTTTCCTTCTCCAAAAACTAAGTGCGTCTTATGGTCTGGTGCGTCTTATAGAGCGAAAAATACGGTAACTATAATGTTGTTGTTCACCGCTCCTGCTCAGGCTGCACAGAAAAAGCGTTTCAGTTCCTGAAATTCATTCTGATTGTGCAGATAAAATATCACAGATTTGCGAGTTTCTCAAATGCATCTGGTTGGCTACTCATGAGAACTAGTTGCTGGACTAGATGGGCCACAGGTCTGATCCAGCAGGATTTTCTTATATTCTGATGTTCACTGGGCCCCACGAGGAGAGTCTTAAAATGCAGACAACTGTGTGTGTATGTGAGAGAGAGAGTGCAAGTTGGATATATAGATTATATTCCATTAATTTCAGTTTCTCTCCATTTCCAATCTTCCAGTTCTCCACACATCCAATTCAGTTTGCAATTTTTTTCTTTAGAAAAAAAACAGTCCTCATGAAAATTTATCAGCATTTTTTTCCGTAATGCACTCATTTTTCTGTGCAGTTTTGACTAAGATATACATTTTTACAAAGTAATCTGTATGCTGTTTTCACAAACACATTCGTTTTAAGACACACTTTCCCTCTTTGCATAAGCATGTTTGGGTCACATTTCTTGGCTGGAGAACAGCACTGGAAAGTTTGGAGAGGTATGAATGTCGAAAGATGGCTGTGTTGAAGTTTGTGAATGGTCTCAGAAAGTGCAAATTATGTAGGTACGTTGACCTTTAAATGTAAATGGAATCCTATTTCTCCCAGATATTTATACACACAGAGAGAAGAGACTCTGAATACTTTTAAATACTTATTTTTAGGGTTGCCAATCTGGACACAAAAATTGTTGAACTTTTTTTGGGGGGATGCAAATTTGTTCAGCTTCTTTTAAGTTTTGCCCAAAGTTGTTCAGCTTTTTTGCCAGCTATGTCCAAGAAATTCCAGATGTATGGCAACCCTACTTGTTTTTAAAGAGATCGTTTTAATGTTTTACTTTAGATTTTGTAAACTGCTTTGAGGTTTTCTTTAACAAGAAGTAGCACATACATTTTGTTAGAGAAAGCAAGCTGGGAGTGGGGCAGTGGGTTTTTGACCGGAAGGACAATGAGCTCAAACCTCGTGTTAAGAACTTAATTCGTTCAGGAGGTCCGTTCTTAACCTGAAACTGTTCTTAACCTGAAGCACCACTTTAGCTGGTGGGGCCTCCTGCTGCCGCCGCTCTGCTACTGCGCGATTTCTGTTCTCATCCTGAAGGAAAGTTCTTAACCTGAAGCACTATTTCTGGGTTAGCGGAGTCTGTAACCTGAAGCGTCTCTAACCTGAAGCGTCTCTAACCCAAAGTACCACTGTACTTATTTCACTCATTACAATGCACATCAGTCTCTGACTTTTGTCTTGTGGGTTTCTGGGGTTTTTCCTGTCGTTATCCTGCCTCTCACAGCTACAATAAACCTACCATTAAAATTAAGGACTGGTCATTTCTTCGTCAGAGGGCAAATGGGCAAATTTAGCAGGGGCTCAAATACTTTCCCCCCTCACTGTAGATGGGTACGTGGGACAATAAACGAAAAGGAAAAGGAGGGAGGGCATATGAGAGAGAGAGAGAGAGAGAGAGAGAGAGAGAGAGAGAGAGAGAGAGAGGGAGGGAGGGAGGAAGGAAGGAAGGAAGGAAGGAAGGAAGGAAGGAAGGAAGGAAGGAATAGTTTAGAACATGGTGGATTTGATTTAAATCAAATCAATTTAAATCACTAGTCAGTAGGACTCATTCTTGCTGGTATAATCTTAATATTTACAACCAGATGAAGGTTTCATTTTTGGAATAATAAATTTTCAGAGTAGTTTTTACAGTTATATCAAAAAATTACTGATTTGGTTATACTATTAGAAATGCATTGACAGATAATTATGAAATTATTGTGAGGTTTAATAAGTTAACCGTTTATATTTGGACAACTTTTCTGCTGTATTTACTGGAAGGAGAAAAATAATCATTTCCTTAATAACAATTTATTTAACTAAAACAATAACATTGTAGCATATGTATCCATGTTTGTTAACTGATGTGGTTAAACAATTAAAAAAACACACCCTTAGACTGAGTTTTTAGCATACATGAAAAACTTAAAACAAATCCTTATTTCCTGATGGACTATAATGTAACTTAAATAGAAAACTATAGTGGTACCTCGGGTTAAGTACTTAATTCGTTCCAGAGGTCTGTTCTTAACCTGAAACTGTTCTTAACCTGAAGCACCACTTTAACTAATGGGGCCTCCTGCTACTGCCGCACCGCCGGAGCCCGATTTCTGTTCTCATCCTGAAGCAAAGTTCTTACCTGAGGTACTATTTCTGGGTTAGCGGAGTCTGTAACCTGAAGCGTATGTAACCCGAGGTACCACTGTATCTTAAGAAAGATTTTTCCTCCAAAAGCATTTTATTTTAAAAATCCAATTTAAATTTAAAAAATCCAATTTACTTTTTTTAAAAAATCTGATTTTTTTTTTAATCATTGATTTTTATCTACCCTGGTTTAGAAGAGAGATAGAAAAGGAAGATGAGGGAAGGAAGGTAGTGCGGTGGAGTGGTTAGAGCGTCAGACCCAGGAGTCCCCCGTTCAAATCTCCACTCCGCCCTGGATTCTTTGGCTGAGAGTCCTGCATTGAAGGAAGATGATGACCCCCGGTTCCTTTCTATGAGAAGCTCACTGGTTGGCCTTCTGGCAGGAACAGTCTCTTCACCTCACCTACCTCGCAGGGTTGCTGTGTAGGGAAAACCACGTACCCCACCCTGAGCTCCTTTGGACGTGGACGCCGCAAAGAAAGGAAACCAACCCGGGATTTGGTCTTGCTCCCCGGGGAGCGAAATCCCGAACGCCGCCTCGGGGGAGCCCTTTTACCTGGGTTGGAGTGAGCGTCTGGCCCAGATCCCGGAGCTCCACAGCCCCATAGCAGACCCGCAGCGGGCGCGCCGGCTTCTCGTCCACCTCGGCGAGGCACAGGGGCCGGTCCCACGCGCTCAGCGACTGCGGCATCCTCGGGGCAGAGACCAGAACGAAGACTGGAAAGCTGTGCGCGCGGCCACCGGGAGTCTCCGACGGTTCTGGTGCGGCTCTGGGGCCCGGAGGCTCCAGCTGGAGAGGCGGAGCGAGGGGCAAGGCGGCGCCCAGCCCCACCGATCTCAGTCTCCGCCTTGGTCCGCCTGCACGACTGGGACCACGCCCCCATGGCTGCAGCCGCCAGTCTCCCTCCGCAGCCCTCGGTTATATATCCAGCTCAGTTCTGCAGCAGACCCGTTGAAGTTTTTAAGGGAACTCAGTTAATCCAGCTGGAGCCTTCCAATGGGTCTACTCCGAGGAGTAGAGACAGCCCTCTGCAGAGTGCAACTGCGTCCCATAGGCGTAGCCAGGATTTATGTTAGATGCCGTCTTGTTCTGTCTAGCAAATTCGGAGTGAAATGTCTCAACAACAGTTGCTTTATGGCCAGGGCACACCGTCGAGATGACCGCATGGGAGACACTTTGGAAAGTAGATTTGTAATTTACTGGCTTCATGTTATATGTTGTTGTTGTTTAGTCGTTAAGTCGTGTCCGACTCTTCGTGACTCCATGGACCAGAGCACGCCAGGCACTCCTGTCTTCCCCTGCCTCCTGCAGTTTGGTCAAACTCATGCTGGTAGCTTCCAGAACACTGTCCAACCATCTCGTCCTCTGTCATCCCCTTCTCCTTGTGCCCTCCATCTTTCCCAACATCAGGATCTTTTCCAGGGAGTCTTCGCTTCTCATGAGGTGGCCAAAGTATTGGAGCCTCAGCTTCAGGATCTGTCCTTCCAGTGAGCACTCAGGGCTGATTTCCTGAAGAATGGAGAGGTTTGATCTTCTTGCAGTCCATGGGACTCTCAAGAGTCTCCTCCAGCACCATAATTCAAAAGCATCAATTCTTCGGCGATCAGCCTTCTTTATGGTCCAGCTCTCACTTCCATACATCACTACTGGGAAAACCATGGCTTTGACTATACGAACCTTTGTTGGCAAGGTGATGCGTAGCCAGGATTTATGTTAGATGGGGCAGGATACCCCCCTGTCTAGCAAATTCGGAGTGAAATATCTCAACAACAGTTGCTTTATGGCCAGGGCGCACCGTCGACATGAGCGCATGGGAGAGACTTTGGAAAGTAGATTTGTAATTTACTGACTTAATGTTATAGACCTTGCGAGAAAGCTTTATGAAAATGATGTATAGGTAGTACTTAACCCCGTATAAACTAGCGTTCGTTGGTTAAAAGGCTGCTGATGAATCACCTCTAAATTCTTTAATGGGCTGCCTGCCTCAAACGTGTCCCCAAGTTTGGAGCAGGATCACACCTTGCATTGATCCCATGTGACCACCAGAGGGAGCTCTGAAGCCACGATTGTCTCCTTGGCATTCCTAGAAATGGTTAGCTGGAGGCAGAAGCTCTGTATCACTTGCGTAATATTATTATTAATCTGTTACAGGAAAAACATCATTCTGCTTATTGCATTCTGAGAATCCAAAAGAAGTCTCTAGGCACCTCCAGCCTCCTTTTCTGGGTGGATTTCCCTTCTTCCGCTCTGCATCAAATGTTCACTTACTCATCTCTGTTATGTTATACTTTGATAAAGCCAGTTTGCAAATTGACTTCCCTTATGATTTGATTTACTTTTCTAGAAGAGAAAGGAGAAGAGAGCCCTACGTCTGCCTGACCTTGATGTACATCAAGGAAGCTTTAAAGCCAGGTTGGGGAATCTGTAACTGCCCGACCACATTGTTGGTCTACAACTCCCATCATCCCTGACTGTTGGTTGTGGATGATGGGTGTTGTAGTCCAACAACATATGGAGGGCCACATAGTAGCCATTCCTTGTTATTGATTGATGGATGGATTGTATTTCTAGTCAATTGTTTCCCAAGGAGCTGAAGATGGTATACGTGGTTCTTTTCCCATGGGGGTAGCCAGGATTTTGGGGGGGGGACAGGACTTGCCCCCCTTGATTATGCCCATGTCCCCACCTGTTTTATCCTCACAATGTCTCTGTGTCGTAGGTTAGGCTGAGAAGCAGTGACTGGCCTGAGGTCACCCACAGACCTTCCTGGATGAGTGAGGATTTGAACTCTGGTCTCCTAGGTTCCAGTCCAACACTTTAACCACTAAGCCACTATTGCCTCTTTGGAACAAAAGAAACAGTTTGCGCATCCTGCTTTTAAAATGAAATGTGCGGAGTGTTTGCAGTTCAGCGTTTTTAATTTAATTAAATCACAATACCATCGTGACCACAGAAACAGTGTTTGCTTCTGATATCCTGATGCTTAAACACATTTATCTGGGAATCAGCAAATTAGGGAAGTTTTTAATGTCTAGTGTTTTATTGTTTTTTTAATATTTTGTTGGAAGCCGCCCAGAGTGGCTGGGGAAACCCAGCCAGATGGGCGGGGAATGAATGAATGAATGAATGAATGAATGAATAAATAAATAAATAATAGCACTGTTTTGTTGCAGGGGCTTTTCACTCGTGGCTCCCCCTCTGTGGAATGCTTTCTGCAGTGACGCCTACCTGGCACCTTCATGTACATCTATTTGGCGATGGGTAAAGTGGGTGGCACTGTGGGACGCGGGTGGCGCTGTGGGTTAAGCCACAGAGCCTAGGGCTTGCCAATCAGAAGGTCAGCGGTTTGAATCCCTGCGATGGGCTGAGCTCCCTTTACTCGGTCCCTGCTCCTGCCAGCCTAGCAGTTCGAAAGCACGTCAAAGTGCAAGTAGATAAATAGGTACCGCTCCGGCGGGAAGGTAAACGGCGTTTCCGTGCGCTGCTCTGGTTTGCCAGAAGTGGCTTAGTCCTGCTGGCCACATGACCCAGAAGCTGTATGCCGGCTCCCTTGGCCAGTAAAGCGAGATGAGCGCCGCAACCCCAGAGTCGTTCACAACTGGACCTAATGGTCAGGGGTCCCTTTACCTTTACCTTTACCTAAAGAGTTACCTCTCTCCACCCACCACCCAGGCTCTGGATGCCCTTGAGATCATGTCTGCAGTTAATGTGCTGCCCAAACTTCCTGTGACCAGGTGGCGGCAGCTTGATTTTCTTTTGTTGTTTTGCGTGCATGGCACAAATTATTCCCGAACACATATGATTACATTGCAGATGTTTTATACAAATTCTTTAAGTGGTATCATATATTTTTGCTGATGCCTTTAAATGGGTTGGTTTTGGGTAACAAGTGTCTAAGAAGTCTATTATTATTATTATTATTATGGCTTTTCTTTAGCCAGAACTCACTGGAACTCAGTTCCAGCCCCTCTCAGGTAGGCAGCATTGCCATTATAAGAGAACAAGGGAGGCCTTCGTGGTGAGTTCCTGCCCCTCTTTCTTCTAGAAAAGTACTACTGATGATGATGATGATATTTTTATCCTAAGTAAACAAGTGCAACTCAGGCCACTTATCTCTGTCTATAAGATATGTATTTTTAAATCAGAAAGGGTGAACATAGCCAGCTACCTTTGTGGACACACCAGGCCAACTGCTGCCGGTGGGCCTGTTTGAACATAGGAACAACAGAGCATCAAAAGCTGCCTTGGACCAAATCAGTTGACCACTGGTTCAGCTCAGAGGGCAGAGCATGAGACTCTTATCTCAGGGTCCTGGGTAAGGGCAGAAGATTCCTGCATTGCAGGGGGTTGGACTAGATGATCCTCAGGGTCCCTTCCAACCCTACAATTCCATGATCTCAGAGCCTTGTCTACTCTGACTGGCAGCAGCTCTCCAGGGGTCTCTCTCAGCCCTACCTGGACATGCTGGGGATCAAGCCTGGGAACCTGCTGCATGATGAGCTACTGCCCTGCGCTGTGTACTGAATCAGCCCCTTGGTCCATCTAGCTCAGTATTTCCTACACCGACTGGCAGCAGCTCTCCAGGATCCAGACAAGGGCAACATTCCTAGCCCTGGCAAGGAATGAACCTGGGACCTTCTGCATGCAAAACAGATGCTCTACCTACTCAGCTAAGGCCCTTCCCCCAACCATCATTGGATGCTGGGGTCCCAGAACTCTGTGACCCTCCAGTTGCTATTGGACTCCAACTCCCATCAGCAGCAGCCAACAGGGCCGTGAGGCACGGGTGATGGGAGTTGGAGTCCAGCAGGAGGAAGAGGGCCACGGGTACCCCATTCCGGGGGTAGGAGCCTTTAGAAGAAAACCCATTCGACCCCGGAAGCCTCCGGCTCGCTCCCGGGGCTGTTCGTTTGGCGGAGGGCGAGAACGGCAGCGCGAGCGCTCTGTGCATGTCCAGAGGCGCTCTTGACGCTTTTCTTTCACAGGTCCCGGCGCTTGTTTGAAACCTGGCCTGGATCCAGATAAGGTGGGAGGAGGGGAGAGCGGGAGGGAGAGGAAAAAAAAGAGAGAGAGAGAGAGAGAGAAAGGACCGGCTGGCTGCGGTTTCTGGCCGCCTCCGTGGGAGGGGCGAGGGATTCCCCCCCTCCCCTCCCCTCCGCTCGTTCCCACGGCTGCATCCAGCCTGCGCCATCCGGAGCTGGTCGCGGTACTAGGTAGGTAGGGTGGCGGGGTGAGGGACGCGCGCCCACCTGGAGGACAGGTGGCGGGGTGGGGTCTCTGCGGCAGGACGAGGCAGACCCCCCCTCTTCAGCTGCTGGGAGAAAAGCGATCTGCCCACCCCCTTTCTCTCCCTCCCCCCCGCCTCTAAAAAAATCTCCTCTTGACACTCTCTCTCCAACAAACGAGGCGTTTTTACGCTGGGAACCGGGAGGGCTGAATGGAGCTGTGGGGAGAGGGAGAGGGGAGGAGGCGATTTCGCGGCGGTGTGTACAGAAGCTGATTGGGCCCCTCTTGGTCCCCCCCCCATCGTTCTCTCACCAGCACCCCCTCCAGCAGCGAACGGCTGCCCCCCCTCCCCCAAATTCTCCTTTGTGTCTGGCTCTTAGAATTTCACCAGCCAGGTAAGAAACAGCTGGGAGTCCTTTCTTCTCTTTGTCGCCCCCTCCCCGCCCGCATCTTGATGCATTTTGGGGTATCTTGCCCCCACCGCCGCCTGTGTGATGTGGACAGATTAGCAAGGGAGGGGGAGAGAACAGGAGATAGCATCCAGGAACCCTCCCCCAACCACCCAAGATATTTCATTCTACCAGGCAAGACAATGGGCAGGTTTGGTTTATGGAGGGGGGGTGGGGGGAGGGGAGAGGGTGCCAGACTGGCAGATAGACTGGCAGATCCAGCCACCTACTAGACAGATCATAGCGGCAGGAGAGGAGGTGCCACCACTGTTACCCGCTTGCCATAGGAAGGGGGGGGGCGTCGCTGGAGAGAGGAGAGTTTCCTCCTGACGTGAATTCATCATCCTTATTGTGGTTCCTTTTTCCCATTCCAGGCTGGCTCCCTCCAGTCCTTGCATCAGGCAGAGTCGAAGGACCAGACCGAGCTGCGGAAAACAAGGATGACACAGCCTAGGCTGGTGGCGGGGGCGACCCCCGAAAGCCGGTGGGCTCTCCCCTGCCTTCTGCTCCGCTGCAGCCCTCTGGTCTAAAGCCAGCAGCCTCTTGACCTGGGTCAGCAGCTCTCGCCTGTCACCACCGCAGGCCTCTGCCCTCCAAACCCTGTCCTACTAGCCTGTTGTTGTGGCTGAGACGGTGAGGACTCTGCCACAGCCTGGCCAGAGGTTGGATCTGGCCCCATTCCCTGCAGAAAGCTTTGCCCTCCGAGGCCACAGGATCCTACGCAAAGGGTCAGTCTTCTGTCTCCATTTCTGCAGTGGGGGTCCCTAGAGCTGAACCTTGGAAGACCAGGTCAGACTGTGGGAAGCGTTGAGGAAATATCAGGGGATGGAAGCAAGCTGGGCCGCCTGAAAACAAGACCAGGAAGGGAAAACAGGAGGAGAGTCTGCTGAGAAGTCTTGGAGGCCTTGAAGGAAAAGATTGGAGCTCTTCATTCCAAGAGAAGGAGGTCTTCAGTCACCAGACTGAAGGCACACAAGGTGAATATTAAGATCTTCAGTGCCCCTGACTGTAGGCGAAGCTCAGAGGCCTTTGCTCCGCCGGACCGAAAGCACACAGAAAATTCACAGGCTTCCCCAATAATTTGGGAGACGTGTATTCATTGATAGCAGCCTCTATCGCCATCCTCAATGGTGGCCTGAACATCTCAGCTGGTCTGCTGTTGTTGCCATTTGGGGCGATTGAGACATTGCTCCTCATCGACACGTAGTCAGACGTGCCGCAAAAAACAATAGTTTTCCAACAAGACTGGCTCGCCCTGAAGAAAAGGTCACAAGCTCTCATCCTGCAAGTCTCTTGCTCTGCGTTCCTCAAGTCCCAGGTGACCTGGCTGTGGTAGGAGATGCAGTCTTCAGAACTGGGGGTCACACTTTGAGCCCTGCAGGTGCTCCCAAACCAATGAGGGGGAGGGCGCCCGGCTGGTGACCCCTGCCTGCCTCCCATGCCAGGCCAGCAGGGTTGGGCACCATGGCGCAACCTGGCACAGGGACCCTGGTCTTGGCGAACGGTTGGGGCTTCCCTCCCAATAATGTGGCCCGTGTTGTGGTTTGGGAGTGGCTGAACGAGCATGGGCGCTGGCGGCCCTACACAGCGGCCGTGTGCCACCACATCGAGAACGTCCTGAAGGAAGATGCCCGGGGGAGCGTCGTCTTGGGGCAGGTGGATGCCCAGCTGTCTCCGTACATTATCGACCTGCAGTCGATGCACCAGTTCCGTCAGGACACAGGTAAGGCGTAAAGTCACGCTGCTTTGTCCCCTTTGAGAAGGAGGGAACGTCATGATGACTTGGGGGGGGGGGCCTGATGCTGTCCTGGGTCTGCACTGGGTAGAAACAAGTGGCAACACTTTTAATCATAGAATTGTTGAGTCGGAAGGGGACCCTCAAGGATCATCCAGTCCAACCCCCTTGGATGGCCAGCCAAGCTGTGTTTGAAAACCTCCAACAGAGGACAGTCCGCAACCTTCTGAGGCAGTCAGTTTCACCGCTGAGCAGCTCCTCCTTTCAGAAAGTTCCCTCTAATGTTTAGTCGGAATCTCCTTTCTTATCATTTGAAACTGGTGGTTCGGGTCTGGAGCAGCAGAAAGCAAGCTTGCACCATCCTCCATGTGACAAGCCCTTGAGATATTTGAAGATAGCTATCATATCTCCTCTCAGTCTCCTCTTCTCCAGCCTGAACATACCTAAGTCCCTCAAACTATTCCTTGCAAGGCTTGGTTTCCAGACCCTTGAATATCTTGGCTGCCCCCCACCTGCACGTTCCAGCTTGCCAATATCCTCCTTAAATTGTGGTACCCAGAAATGGACGCAGGATTCCAGGTAGGATATGAGCAAGACAGAATAGAATGTACTCTGACTTCCCTTGACCTGAACACTATACTGCTGTTGATGCCGCCTAGAGATGAAAAAGCTTTTTTTTTTTGCTGCTGCATCACACTGTTGACTCTTGGTTGAGCACTTTCTATCGCAAGTGGAATCTATAAATATCTGCCAATTGCATAGAAAAGCATCACATATGCTGGACCCCTATTCCCTGACATGCTAGATTTCTACATGCATGGAGGTGTATCCCCCCCCCACACACACACTCCAGTTTGGAAACATTCAATCATTTGGGCTTCCCTCTGCAATCTGGAAGTGATACAGTCTGACTCAAGCTTCTGTTTCTTGATTTTACTGATTTTATAAGTTGGCCCAGAGGTTCAAAGGTGGAAGCTGCTCTGGAAACAACTTGGGCTGCTAATATCACCAAGAATGATGTGTATGTGTGTAGGATTTCAGGCTTCTTGAATTTGCTTTGGGTTGTTTTGTTTTTTACTAGAACACCCCCCAAATCTATCTATCTATCTATCTATCTATCTATCTATCTATCTATCTATTATCTATCTATCTATCTATCTATCTATCTATCTATCTATTATCTATCTATCATCTATCTATCTATCTATCTATCTATCTATCTATCTATCTATCATTCAGAGTGAAGTGCAAAAGGCAGACACATGCCCTCCAACATTTCTCCAATGAAAATAGGGATGTCTTATTTAATAATAATAATAATAATAATAATAATAATATCCCAACTGTCTGACTGGGTTGCCCCAGCCACTCTGGGCAGCTTCCAACATATATAAAAACACAGCACATTAAAAAAAAACCTTCCCTATACAGGATTGCCTTCAGAGGTCTTCTAAAAGACTTCTAGTCACTTATCTCCTTGGCTTGGGGATTGCCTAACTCTGTACCTTCCAATATTTCTCCAGTGAAAATAGGGATGTGCTTAGGAAAAGCAGGACATTCCAGGATCAAATCAGAAACCGGGACGGCCTCTGTCCCTGAAAAATAGGGACACTTGGAGGGTCTGCCTGAGATGGTTAGGATGAAAATGCAGAGGGAGGTGCCTCTGGTCACATTCTTGGCCTGAGGGGTTTGTTTTCGGGACTAGCGATGAGCTGAGCCCGGAGTCCTTTCTTCATTTCAGCCGCCTCCTTTAGGCAGGGGAAAGTTGTTGTCGTATTGCTGCCGTTGAACCGTGGGGAGTCAGAAACCCGCTCTCTCAAAGGGCTGCGTTGGCTACCAGCTTGGATGGCTTTAAAAAAGGACTGGGCAAACTCTAGAAGGGGGCTCTCCACAGCCGCTAGCCACAATGACTCTGCTGCCACTGTCAGATGCGGTGAATGCTGGACAAGTGGGGGAGCGTTGTTCTTATGCTCAAATCCTGCTTGCATCTGGTTGGCCACTGTGAGAACAGGGTGCTGGACAAGATGGGGCCATGCTCAGATCCAGAGGGCCTCTTCTGATGTCCGTTATGATCTGCAAATATATCCTGATTTACTTTCTCTTCACCCCTCTTTGCCACACAGGAGTTGATTTGAAGTGGGCTTCATGTTTTCAAAACACAGCTCTCTAATCTTTTTCTAAGCACCTCAGACGTTTCTGGGTGGGCAATGAACTCAGGGGAAATTGAACTGGAGTGAGGGGCAGTGATCTGGCTACTGGATAGGATATTAATTTGGGGGAATAAATTATTTTGAGATTACTAGGAGGGTCATGGCTGAGGAAAGCTGAAGAGCAGCGGGATTTATTTGGAGCAGGTTCCGTCAGGAAATTCACTGGGGGTAAATAAATTGCAAAGGAGCTGATCTAAGATGGCTGGCAAACTAATTGAAGATTTTATCTGGGGCAGTTTGGACGGCTTGCCTTTGGTGACATTTAACATTCTACATTTGCATAGATATGCATTAGCATATGCAAACTTTGTGGCTTGCCCTGTTGGTGTGTAGCTCCAGAGTCTTCTTTTCAGTGCCAGGGCCAGAGAGGGCATGTTATTGGGCAGAGTATTAAAATGCAAGTAAATGAAATAAATAAAAGGCAGGAGTGCCTCTGGGGAAATGCAGAGTGCTTTTTGGCTTACTGCTGAAGATGTGCCCTGAGTCTCCATGTGTCTGATATGAGCTCTAAGGGTGAAGAGCAAGGGTGGGAAATATTTTCCAGCCCGAGGGCCGCATTCCTTGCTGGGCAACCTTCTGGGGGCCACCTGGTGGGTGGAGCCAGAGGCAAAAGTGGGTGGGGCAATGGATCTAAATGCTACTTTTGTACAGTAGGCTAATTTCTGCACACATCCCTGCCCACCCTTTATCTAGCCGACCAAGAGGCCTGGTCAGAGTTCAAGGACACATTCCAGCCAGGCAGAAACACTTGAGGAGGATGTGAAGCAGGGCTGGTGAGGGGCGTGGCCTGGGAGAAGGGGCGTGGCCTGGGGAGAGTGCGAAGGGCCTGATAGAGAGAGCCACCTTTGGTCCCTGGACGTGAGGATACTCATTCATGGTGCAGAGGCAAAAACAAAGAAACCAATTTCATCCAGAGTCAAGCTCCAGCATATGCATATTCAGTAATGCTTCTGAATACGAGTTGCTGGAAATCTCAGAGGAGGGGAGAGGGCTCTTGTGCTTGGATCCTGCTTGCAGGTTTCCCACAGGATTCTGGTTGGCCACTGTGAGAAAAGGAAGCTGGACTAGATGGGCCACTGGCCGCACCCAACAGGGCGCTTTGTATGTTCTTCTGCACCACTGAGCCAGCGTTCGAAATTCACCAGGCGCATTTTGCACCTCGCTATTGGCCACTTGCGACCAGGTGAAGATGACTGGGTGCCAGGAAGGCTCCTGACCTCTCCACTCTTTCGAGGTGCATGCCTGGGGGTCCTTGAATCTTGACTCTTTCCACACGCTAGCAACACATCCTGTAGCGAATTCTATCATTATAGTCTATCTGCACAGTCAGAATGAATTTCAGGAACCAGAAGGTTGTGTTGAAAGAAATAGGTTTTTCGAGCCATCCGGGCCCAAAATGGCAACTAAGCATTCCGTTTTGGCGACTGCAACCCCAGTTTAAGGAGCCATTTGGCACCCAGCTTATATATCTGAGTTTCTAACACTGTGCTGAGCCTGTGCTTCTGTTTTTAGAGTGTAGTACTAGGAGGAGAAGGGACGCGGGTGGCGCTGTGGGTTAAACCACAGAGCTTAGGACTTGCCGATCAGAAGGTCGGCGGTTCAAATCCCCGTGACGGGGTGATCTCCCGTTGCTCGGTCCCTGCTCCTGCCAACCTAGCAGTTTGAAAGCACCTCAAAGTGCAAGTAGATAAATAGGTACCGCTGCGGCGGGAAGGTAAACGGCGTTTCTGGGCGCTGCTCTGGTTCGCTATAAGCGGCTTAGTCATGCTGGCCACATGACCCAGAAGCTGTACGCCGGCTCCCTCTGCCAATAAAGCGAGATGAGTGCCGCAACCCCAGAGTCGGTCACGACTGGACCTAATGGTCAGGGGTCCCTTTACCCTTTACCTTTACCTTTACTAGGAGGAGAGCAACCCAAATCTTTCATTCTCCCTCTCTCTGCCTGACCTACCTCTCAGGCTTGTTGTGAGAATAATTGTTGGTGGGAGAAAACCGTAGCTCTTGCCTTTTGCTCCCTGGAGGAAGAGTTGGGCAAAAATGATACAAATAAAAGGCCTCGTGATCTGGCGTTTGTTCACCACTCCCTTCCCCCTCCTCCCCACACAGAGTTGAGCCAAATCAACAGAGGCGTTTGTTTTCCTTTTGCAACCCAGGTGCTGTAGAGATCCAGAGGGACCTGGGTGTGTCATCTCCTGAGCCTCCAGTGAAGGCCTTTTGATACCTTAGCCTAGAGACAGCCGGCTTGTTTTTTTGTTTAAAGAGAATGGGAGGCAGTGCAATAAGGAAATCCGCTTGTTGATAAGGACCTGCCAAGCCAGTCGCCCCCATTCCTGTGCTTAGGCCACGAGGGATTATATTCTGAAGCCACACAAGACAGTTGCCTTGCTGCCGCTCAGCAGGGTTAGGCTGGATGGGAGTCCAACTGGGACCCCCTTATACGAGTTCAGCTTTGAGGCTGTTGGTGGTTGGACATGGGAGTCATGGGTTTGTTATGAGAGAAAAAAACTGCTCCCTTTCCCTTATGGGGTATTCCAGAACCTGCATAGAGTCCTTGAGGGTTCCCTATCGCTAGGAGGAAACAACAGAGGCCAACCAGAGTACAGTGAAGGGGGAGAAGTATTTGATCCCCTGCTAAATTTGCCTGGTGGCCACCTACAAGAAACGTCTGACCTCTGTAACTGCCAACAAGGGTTTTGCCACCAAGTACTAAGTCACCTTTTGCAAAGGGATCAAATACTTATTTCATGCATTATAACGCACATCAGTCTCCGACTTTTGTCTTCTGGGTTTCTGGAGGTTTTCCTGTTGTTATTCTGTCTCTCACAGCTACAATAAGCCTACCATTAAAATTATGGGCTGGTCATTTCTTCGTCAGAGGGCAAACGGGCAAATTTAGCAGGGGATCAAATACTCCCCTCCCCAGTGAATATTGAGAAGCAAAGCGGCTAGTAAGCCTGATCTTTATGGAACTGTTGCAGCTGGGTCCCCACTCCCCACATGCAGGAGGGAGGAGAACCCTGAGCAATGGCACACAAGCCCTTATATAGACTTTTGAAATTGCCCGCCCTGTAGCCCAAGACTACCACTCCCAAAACATCATGCCTACATCACAGCAGGAGGCGGTCTACAGCAGAAACCCTGTCTGCCAGGATACCTGATGATGGTCACTGATTGCATTACCTGAGCAGCCTGGCCATTCTGTTGTGATGGTTAATATTTTAGTTCCTGAGCCCAGGTCACAGGCTCACCCTATTCCTATGCAAATATGCTCTTAAGACAGGCAAAAAGACAATGGGAAGGTGTCAGGGAACTGACATCGGAGCTAGAAGCGGAGGGAAGGCTCTCAAATGATGCTGGAGAAGGGCCCAGCAGGGAGAGAGGCAGCTCCGCAGATGGGGAAGCAAATCAGCGCAACACCAGGGATAAAGAGGGGCTGATGGGGGAATCGGCGAGAGGGCTCCAGGACTCTTCACCAGACACCAGCGGGGAGAGCACTGGTCCCCCGCTACCCACGCCCACCCTGCGCAGAAGACTTCCGCGCAGAGAGAGTAGGAGGAGACTGGGTGTCAAACAACTTTTATGTTGGAAAAGATTTAAGAAACGCCCACTGACGGATTTTGCTAGCGACTGAGGCAGCCACGAAGTGAAGGGCTGCTCAGACTGAAAGGTTTAGCGAGGCAACAAAGCCTGGAGAGGCGGCAACTTACGCACGAGCAACCCATACACATTACAGAAGGCTTTCCCCATTTGCCTCCCTTACTGCAGAGGAACATTTGACGTCATTGGGAGAGTCAAAATGGCTTCAGGATTGCTCTCCTGTGCTATTTCAGACACATGGTTTATACAGTTAGATATGTGTGCATTTATGAATATTCTATATTTGAGACTTTAAAAGTCTTATAACAGGTTCAAATCCACTCTCAGCCAGGAAACTCACTGCGGGACTTTGGGCCAGTCATTTCATAGAATCATAGAACTGTAGAGTGGGAAATAGGGCTGCCATACACCCAAATTTCCCTGGACATTACCGGGATTTCAAAGGCGGAATTGACGCTTTGTCCTGGATCTTGGGCAAGTCAATGAAAAAGTGTGGGGTTTTTTTGGCGTTTCTGTAACAGCTTTTGGGGTCTTCCTAAAAAAAAGTTCAACAACTTTCGGGGCGTCCTGGTTTTTCACTTATTGAAATATGGCAACCCTGGTGGTTAGGGCCCTCCAAGGGTCATCCAGTCCAACCCCCTGCAATGCAGGAATCACAGCTAAAGGAGCCCTGATGGATGGCCATCTAACCTCTGTTTAAAAGCCTCCAACGAAGGAGAGGCCACCACTTTCCAAGGAAGTCCATTCAAACCGCTCTCAATGTTACTTAATGTTTAGTCGGAATTGCCTTCCTTGTAATCTGAATCCATAGGTTCAAAGTCCTGCGCTCTGGAGGAGCAGAAAACAAGTTTGCTGCATCCTCCGTGGGACAGCCCTTCTTATCAGCCTAAGCTACCTCTCAGGGTTCTTGTTAGGGGCAATTGAACCTGTCTCATCTGTCCCATGTTAAGTTCAGTTGTCCACATTTTCACATCCATTTGCGGTTGTTGTGGTTGTTTCAAAAGCCCCCATGAAAATTCACCAGCATTTTAGCATTGTCCCGTGCCCCCCCCCCTTTATTACTCCTGAATCTTCCACGTTCAGCTTCCTTTTACCTCCACAAGTTCTAGGGCTATTACAGAGGGAGAAAAACAGACCCTCCACGTGTCCCTATTTTCCAAAGACACCCCAAATCTACAGAAGCTGTCTCAGTTTTTGACTTGATCCCAGTAGGTCCTGCTTTTCCTTAGGATGTTCCTATTTTCATTGGATAAATGTTGGAGGGTATGGAGTTATGCAACCCCCAAGCCAGGGAGATAAGTAACCATACAACCTTTAGAAGACATCTGAAGGCAGCCCTAGATAGTTTTGTGATGTTTTTATATGTGTTGGAAGCCGCCCAGAGTGTAAATATTATCATTATTATGCAATAGGACGTCCCCACTTTCATCGGAGAAACGTTGGAGGGTATGCAAATTCTGCACCAGTCGAAGTTTCCAAACTGTCCTGGGAGGCAGCCCTGCATATAACGCGTTGCAGTAATCTATCCTCAAGGTTACCAGAACATAGAGGGCAGAAGTTAGGCTATCCCTGTCCAAATAGGGGCGCAGCTGGGCCACCAGCTGAAGATGGTGGAAGGCTCTCTTGTGCCACCAAGGCCACCTGAGCCTCGAGGGACTGCAATGGACCCAGGAGTTTTCCCCAGGCTACATACCCACTCCTTCAAAAGGAGTGTAACCACATCAGAAGCAGGCAACCTCCCATCCATAAGGCAGCTTCCCTATGCTCTTATCAGGTTACTCCACACCCAGAACATAAGATGAGCCTGCTTGTTCAGGCCAATGGCCTGTCTAGTCCAGTATTCCATTCTTACAGCAACTACTGAGAAGCCTGTAGGAAACCTGCCAGCAGGACCTGGGTGCAAGAGCCCTCTCCTGTCCTGTGGCTTCCAGCAACTGGAATTCCTTTTTTAAAAAAGTTTTTTATTGATACAACAAGAAAAAAGAAAAAAAACACAAATACCAAATTACACACAAGAACACATAGACACATAATTTTCTTAGCAAACATTAAAACATCTATTGGTCTTAACACTAAAGACCCAACTTCCCGTCTATTCCATATTTCAAATTCATATTACTTATTGCCAGAACACACTTTTATCATGATTAAACTTATTCTTAATAAATCTAATTTCTTATATCTACCTTGCAACCATTACTGAAGTTCCTCGAATGCTGCAACAGAATTTAAACTACTGTATTTATTTTTCAGATATTCTTTAAAAACCTCCCATTTTGAAACAAATTCCTGTTTTGATTTATTCTTTATTTTTTCTGATAAACCGTCTTAATTCTGCATATTCTGTCAGCTTTTGGATCCAATCTTGTATAGAGGGGATTTCATTACTCTTCCATTTTGCGGCGATCAAAACTCTAACCAGCAACTGGAATTCCAAAGCATTTTGGACTCCAACTGTAGAGGCAGAGAATAGCCATTGTGGCTAGTAGCCAAAAACAGCCCTCTCCTCCATTATTTTCCCCAGTCTCTTTTAAAGCCCTCTATCTAGGCAGCTGCCTCCTGCAGCAGGGAGTTCCGCAGTTTAACGATGCATTGCATGAAGAGCTCCTTTCTTTTCTCTGTCCTGAATCTTCTCACATTCCACTTCGCTGGATGGGTTCTGAGAGAGGGAGGAAAACTTTTCTCTGTCTACTTTCTTCATGCTACGCATCATTTTAAACATGAACGGAGGGCAAGCTTCCTTGGCAGACCACTCGCCCGTTATCACTAATCGATAAGTTGGGTGCGCTCCAGGGCGAAGTGTCAGTTCAGGTGGCAGAATGGAGAGGCCTAGCAGGTTTGGCCAGGAAGCCCCTGAAAGGCAGCATCTGCGTCAGCCTTATTCAGGAGTTTGTCGTCGTCCCCCTGCATGTATTTCCTCACATGGGTGGAGGGAAGATTAAGGATGAGGTTGTCAGCAATGCCCCTTTGTCATATACTTAACAGCCTGGCCCTGCTGCCCTCCATGCCTTGGGGCTTCATGTCTGCAGGCGGGGAGCTGTCTTAGTTTGTGGGCATAATTTAGTACCCTGGTACTCCTCTAGACTAGACTAGAGGGACGCTGGTGGCGCTGTGGGTTAAACCACAGAGCCTAGGACTTGCCAATCATAAGGTCGGCGGTTCGAATCCCCGCAACAGGGTGAGCTCCCGTTGCTCGGTCCCTGCTCCTGCCAACCTAGCAGTTCGAAAGCACGCGAAAGTGCAAGTAGATAAATAGGTACCGCTCCGGCGGGAAGGTAAACAGTGTTTCTGTGCACTGCTCTGGTTCACCAGAAGCGGCTTAGTCATGCTGGCCACATGACCCGGAAGCTGTACGCCAGCTCCCTCGGCCAATAAAGCAAGATGAGCGCCGCAACCCCAGAGTCGGTCACGACTGGACCTAATGGTCAGGGGTCCCTTTACCTTTACTCCTCTAGACTATGGTTTGGGGGAGAGCCTACCTCACAGGGTTGTTGTGAGGACTGGTGGAGGAGGAGGGAAACCAAGCACACCACTTTGAGCTCCTTGGAGAAAAAGTGTGATGCAAGCACAACAAAGATCCGAAATTCAAATTTCTTTGTGTCTAAGTGAGCAGCTATCTATCAGATGTCAAGGAGATAAAGAACTACACAACTTTTAGAAGACATCTGAAGGCAGCCCTGTATCAGGAATTTTTTTAATATTTGATGTTTTTTATATGTTCAAAGGCCTCCAAAGAGGCTGGGGCAAGCCAGCCAGATGTGCAGGGTATAAATATGGTGGTTGTTGTTGTTGCTGCTGCTGCTGTTATCCACACTCACCTAAACACAGTTATCCTTCAAAATTTGCCCTTCTCTGAATTTTGTGGTGAAGTTCTCCAGCCGGACGGTGTTTACCCAAAATGCTATACTGGGGGTGGTAGAAGAATGCATAAAAACAAATACATTAGTGAAAATAACATATCACATTAGGGGAAAGTGGCTTGCAAATTTGGAAAACATCTTGGAAATGAAGAGAGTTCAAACATGCTCTGATGTTGCTGCCTTTGATTCTGACCTGTTCATCTCCCCGGGGTATCTCAATTACATGGTCTCATTAACATCCTTCCTCCTGAGGCTGCAGGGAGATTCTCCTGGATCTCTGTGTGTTTCCAGCTCTGTCCCTTTCTCTCTGCGGAAGGCTCCATGCTCCTCCATCCAAGCTTTGAATGGAGGTGCTACGTGAAAATAACAAATAGTAATCCATCAGTCAGGGTGGGCCAGTCTGCTGGGTTAATATGAAGGAGCCAGGAGGGAAGAATTGATGGTGAACGACCCCATCATGAAACAGATGGAGGATCATGAAGATGGGAGACGGCTCTTGCAGGCTTCCCTTTGAGGAATCTATGTGGGTATTCCTCCTGACACATCAAGGCTAAAACATGGTGTAGTGGTTAAGAGTGGTAAACTCATAATCTGGTGAACTGGGTTCGATTCCCCGCTCCTCCACATGCAGCTGCTGGGTGACCTTGGGCTAGTCACACTTCTCTGAAGTCTCTCAGCCCCACTCACCTCACAGAGTGTTTGTTGTGGGGGAGGAAGGGAAAGGAGAATGTTAGCCGCTTTGAGACTCCTTCAGGTAGTGATAAAGCGGGATATCAAATCCAAACTCCTCCTCCTCCTCCTCCTCCTCCTCCTCCTCTTCTTCTTCTTCTTCTTCTTCAGAATTGAGAAAGTTACTAGTGGTAAGAACTCCCAACTACCATAGTTGGAAGCACTGTGTCTCTGAATAGCAGTAATCTCAAGTTGGGAAAGTTGGGTGCTGGACCAGGTGAGCCTTAGGCCATCCGGGAGAGCTGCCCTTATGTTCTCATTCATCATTCTCTCCTCAAGGAGCTTTAAAATGGGATTAGACAAATTCGCGGAGGATAAGGTGATCAATAGGAGAAAAGTACTCATGGTAAGAGCGTTTCCACCCCCATCGCTCAGCCCAGACCCTGGGGTCCAGCTCTGAGGGCCTTCTGGCTCACTGTGAGAAGTGAAGTTACAGGGAACCAGGCAGAGGGCCTTCTCGGGGGTGGCACCCGCCCTCTGGAATGCCTTCTCATCCGAAGTCTTCTAAAAGTTGCCTCATTATTTATCTCCTTGACATCTGAAGACAGCCCTGTATAGGGAAGCCTTTAATGTACGATGTTTTGTTACGTTTTTATATCTGTTGGAAGCCGCCCAGAGTGGCTGGGGCAAACCCAGGCAGTTGGGCGGGGTGCAAATAATAAAATGATGATGGTGGTGATGATGACCAGCTACCATGACTATGTTCTTTTTTCTTCTTCAAATAATCTTTATTAGTTTTTGAATTAGATACGCCACACACACATATTGTATTACATTTATACTTACTCTTCAGAGCTGACTTCCCTCATTCCTTCTTCTGGTTTTTTATATCACATATAATTTTATCGCATTATTTTCTTCCATTTTGTATATTGTTATTCATTTTCCTTATTTGTCCATAGTATATCCATAAACAAATAAGTCCTCATGTTTATACAATTCTTGTTGTCTGTCTGTATTCATTTACAACTACTGTTAGTTATATTAGTTTCCTGATACATTTTGCTTCTTATTATTTTCATTATCCATCACTTTTCTTAATCTTTCCTGTTATGAGGTTTATTTCCAATTCTACTGGTTTCACTATTTCATCTTATCTTTCCTATATACAACATAAATTTTTCCCATTCTTTTTGAAATGTTTCCTTGCCCTGTTGTCGAATTTTCCCTGTTAATTTGGCTATTTCTACATATTCCATTAGGGATGCGGGTGGTGCTGTGGGTTAAACCACAGAGCCTAGGACTTGCCAATCAGAAGGTCGGCGGTTCGAATCCCCGCGACGGGGTGAGCTCCCGTTGCTCGGTCCCTGCTCCTGCCCACCTAGCAGTTCAAAAGCACGTCAAAGTGCAAGTAGATAAATAGGTACTGCTCTGGCGGGAAGGTAAACGGTGTTTCCATGCGCTGCTCTGGTTCGCCAGAAGCGGCTTAGTCATGCTGGCCACATGACCCGGAAGCTGTACACTGGCTCCCTCAGCCAATAAAGCGAGATGAGCGCCGCAACCCCAGAGTCGGTCACGACTGGACCTAATGGTCAGGGGTCCCTTTACCTTTACATATTCCATTATCTTCTGTCGCCATTCTTCTACTGTTGGTAATTGCTCCCATGGCTATGTTCTACCTCCCTCGTTGGAGGCATTATGCTTCTGAATACCAGTTGCTGGAGACCACAGGAAGGGGAGAATGGGGCTGTTGTGCACCATGGGCCATGTTTTCAGGCTTTGCAGAAGTATCTGGTTGGCCACTAAGAGAACAGGATCCTAGACTAGATGGACCACTAGCCTGATTCCAGCCAGACTCTTATCTTCTTAAGAACCTGATTTTTCTTCTACCCACCCCTAGCTAATGTCTGGAGTTTGCCAGACAGGAGTTTGCCATTGGCCTGATCCAGCAGGGCTCTTCTTATATTCTTCGGTGGGGAAATGGCCAAATTTGTCTAAAGCAACCTCAAAGAATGGTTGAGTTGGAAGGAACCCTGAGGCTCATCATTCCTGCAATGCAGGAATTTGCAGGTGTCCCTACCGGGGATCAAACCTGCAACCTTGGCATTATCAGTGCCCCACTCTAATAAACTGAGCTATACTGTCAGTAGCTGAGGCTCTCCAGATCTTTTGGACTTCAGCTGATGGGAGTTGGATTCCAAAACATTTGGAGGACCCAGCACGGGAAAGGCTGGTCTAAGACAAGCGTGGGGGACTTGGGGAGCTGCAGATCCAGCTCCAAGTTGGAGTCCATTGGACTCCAACTCCCATCAGCACCAGCCAGTATGGCCCAACAGCCAGGGGATGCTGGGAGTTGAAGTCTGGCAACATTAGGAGGGCCACAGGTTCCCCAGTGCTGGTCCAGAAGGAAGGAAATTCTGCTTGAACGGAGCTCCCACCCTTGGGCAGTTGGAACTTTTTATTTTTCCATTTTGCTGCAATTTGGAACTTGGCCACTTGTGAAGGAAAAGCAGCCAGCTTTCTTTTCTGATCTGCAGTATTCCTTCCTGGCTCATAACATCTTGGACTGGTTTTAAAATTTGGACAAATGAGTTCACTCTGCTGTTTGGGATGAGGGTAATGCATTTTACGCATCATTTTCAGACGACTGCTGTAATTGTGTTTTTTGTGCGGCTTCTCTTAAAGCATGCAGAGCTGTTGCAAAAGCTTTTGGGCTAGGTGGCCAGGTATGGAAAAAAAGGAGAAATGGTTAAGATGTGAGCAGTAAAATGTAATAAATACATAAATAATCTTTAAAAAGCTGTTAGGTTCCTGTAAACTGCAAACCCTAAGCACTATTTAGGATTTAGCATGCAGGGAGTTGGACTAGAACAGGGTTTCCAAAACTTGGGCCTCCAGCTGTTTTTAGACTACAACTCCCATCATCCCAAGATAGCAGGACCAGTAGTCAGGGATGATGGGAATCGTAGTCCCAAAAACAGCTGGAGACCCAAGTTTGGGAAACCCTGGACTAGACAAGATGCTTCCTATCCAGTGCAGCCAGAGTTGCTTCTGAGGACCCATGTGGAGATGTGGCTTGGGTGAGTGGGTGTGGCCTTGGGTGGGTGTGGCCTGTGGAGAGGGCGTGGCCTGGGAAGAGTCTCCAGGGCTGACTATCGAAGCATTCTCTTCCTGAGGGGCTGAAGCTTTAGCTCAGGGGTCAGCAAACTTTTTCAGCAGGGGGTTGGTCCACTGTCTCTAAGACCTTGTGGGGGGCCGGACTATATTTTTTGGGGGGAAATGAACGAATTCCTATGCCCTACAAATAACCCAGAGATGCATTTTAAATAAAAGCACACATTCTACTCCTGTAAAAACACCAGGCAGGCCCCACAAATAACCCAGAGATGCACTTTAAATAAAAGGACACATTCTACTCATGTAAAAACACGCTGATTCCCGGACTGTCCGCTGGTCGGATTTAGAAGGCGATTGGGCTGGATTCAGCCCCCGGGCCTTAGTTTGCTTATCCATGCTTTAGATCCCTGATCTTGAAGATCCCAGACTGCACAATCCCATCAATAGAAGCCTCCCAGCTGCCCTTGCAAAACTATGGTTATGTCCACACCAAACCTTTAAAGTTCATAGCTTCCCCTAAAGAATCCTGGGAACTGTAGTTTGTTATGGGTGCTGGGGACGATAACTCCGGGGGGACTACAGTTCCCAGAATTATTTGGGGAAAACAGTGTGCACTAGATGTGCATTAAGTGCTTGGTGCAGATGTGAAGTTGATGCGGCAGTTGCCCTCATTTGCCCTCTTTTTCTCTGCCTTACTAGAGTTTAGCGAAAAATCAATGGGGTTTAAAGTTGGAGAAATGCCCTGGCAGTTTGATGGGGCGTTGTTCAGTGTGCTGAGTTAATATTTTGCCTCCGGGAGGACCCAAGCACAAAAGCACTCTCACCTCCTGTGGCTTCCAGCAACTGGTATTACTGCCTCCGACGGGGACAGTGGGTTCATTGTGGGACTTACTCCCAGGTAAATGTGCCTCTAATTAGAGCCTTAGCTAAAATCAGCCTCACAAAGGACTGAATGGCAACATCACCGGTAGCATTCTTATCAGCCAGCGTTGTGGTAGTGTTGTGCAGTGGTCAATGCATCAGACTACAACTGCAGAGACCCGGGTTCAGATCCCACCCACCCCCCGCCAGCCACTGGAGAACCTTAGACCAGTTGGTACCTCACAGGGTGGTTGTGGTGATGAAATAAAGGAGCATGCCTTGAACTCCTTGGAGGGGAAAAGGAGAGCGAAAATGTCCAAAGCAAAAACAGCATTGATCAGGATTTCATAGAATCATAGAATTGGAAGGGACCTTGAGGGTCATCTAGCCCAACCCCCTGAAATGCAGGAATCTCAGCTGTGATGAAAGAAAGAAATTCAGAAGTTTGGGGGCTCCCTTCAAAAAAAGAAACCCGAAACTTATTTGGAGCCGTGGGAAGGGGATACGGTGCCCTCCCTCTCCACCAACTTTTAGGACAGGATATTTGAGCTGAGGGAGAGGCTGAGGAGCAGAGAGGCTCTCTGCATGCGGCTGCCGGCACGGCAGGGAACGCATCTGGTGCGAGGAGAGTTGCAAGCGGGCACCTGAGTGCTGCATCGCTTCCGCTGCCAATATTGCAGGGGCTGCTGGCACGCTCCCTCTGAGCTTGGCTGGGAGGCCTGGGTCACCGGAGGAAGCTGCCAAGGGCTTGTTTTCAACCTGATGTTCTTTGGATTCCATCCTGAGCTCAAGTTCCAAAGGGAGATCACAGGATTTTAGAGCCCGAAGGGGGCTAACAGAAGTCACCTAGTCCACCCCTACCCCCCCACACCTTGCTCTACGCAGGAACTGCAATGCAGGATGCAGAATTACAGGGTCCCGAAAGGAGGTCATCCAGCCTTTGCTCAAAAGGCGTGCAGGGAAGGAGAGCCCCAACACATCCTGAGGCAGGCAGTTCCGCAGTCCAAACGCCCTTTGTCATTCGGAGGTTTTGTCTAATGTTCAGCCAAAATCTCCTTCCCCACAATTTCCATCCCCTTTTGGAGTCCTGCCCTCGAAAGCAACTGGACAAACATGGGAAGAGGCTGACCATCTGTCTCGATAGCGTCTGCAAAAAAGAGGACAACTAAAGGTGGGGGCGAGGGGGGTGAGAGAGCAAATTGGCAAAATCATATCTCTCTCCCTGAAATAAGGGTTCTGCACTTGGTTCATACTTTCTTTCTTTTAGAGCACAAATTTAGAGTCATTCTCCCATTCCCCCATCCCAGAACACCAACAAAGGACTTAAAACAGCTGATTTTGTTTTTTTAAAAAAACCAACAACAAATAAATTTATAAAATAGTTTAAAACGTTGCAGCGAACAAGCGAAGCAGGCCATAACATTAATCTTTTGGGAAAGCTCCTGCAAACGTGCTGAAGAGATTTTGCTAATCCACTGCAGTCTGCGACCTATGCAAATGAATTGTTTGACATAATTTTCTTCTGCTTTGCTGAGTAGGACAAAACACAGAGAGCTATGGAGGACACCAAAGCCCAACCCTCTAGAAATGTGTTAACTTCTATTCATTACATTTATATCCCTTTAAGGAGTTGAAGGTGACATAACATGGTTATTTGCTGGCCACTGCCATATTCATCTTCACAACAACCTTATAGGGTAGGCTAGATGAGTTGTCTTTGGCCTTCAGATGTGGAGCCCACTTTTAACTGAGGGATGTAAGAAGGCAGCGATTTCCCCGAAGACCTGTGCTTGTCAAAATCAGCACTGTTTCCCTTTTGCTGCAGTTCACTTTCTGCCAATGACTATACAGTGGTACCTCTGGTTGCGAGCGGGATCCATTCCGGAGCCCCGTTCGCAACATGAGCAGAATGCAACCCGCATCTGTTCGTGCGCGGGTCGCGATTCGCCACTTCTGCGCATGTGCGTGACGTCATTTTGAGCGTCTGCGCATGCGCGAGCGGCGAAACCCGGAAGTAACCCGTTCCGTTACTTCCAGGTCACCGCGGGACATATCCTGAAAGAATGTAACCTGAACTGAACGTAACAAGAGGTATGACTGTATTGGCTGCTATTTAACATGACCTAAGTAATTCCTTACATATCTATCGCCACCTGAGCTCATTTCAGTGTAAAGTAACTGCCCAAACAATGTAAAAAGAATGGCATTAATTGTGCATTGTCTGTGGACTGAAAAACAACAAGAGCCAGCGTTTGTGTAGTGGTTTAGAGTGCTGGATCTGGGAGACCAGGGTTCAATTTATTATTATTATTATTAGTAGTAGTAGTAGTAGTGCCCCACCTATCTGACTGGGTTGCCCCAGGCACACAACCATGAAATGCTCACTGGGTGTCCTTGGGCCAGTCACGGTCTCTTTCAGGCATACTTTTGCAATCCATAAGGACTAGAAACTTGCTTTTTAAAAAAAAAATGAAAGAGAGTGGAGATATCTGAATTCCATAACTGTTTCTGGCACACTTTCACCCACCGTAACCTTGACTGTAAGCACCTACCGTATTTTTTGCACCATAACACTCACTTTTTTCCTCCTAAAAAGTAAGGGGAAATGTCTGTGCGTGTTATGGAGGGAATGCCTACAGGTGGCATGCCTACGGATTTTCCTCCTCTAAAAACTACGTGCGTGTTATGGTCGGGTGCGTGTTATAGAGCGAAAAATACAGTACTTGCTCCAGAATGTGGCCTGAAAGAATCGTCCATGAAAAACCTTGTGATGATGAATAATCTGGTTACAAGGGTCACCTCCAGGCCGAAGCATCCCTCCCGGTGGCCTCGATGCAGCAGCGTTTGCCTCGTAGGCCATCTGGCTTCCCTGGTCTTCCTCCTCCTCCTCCTCTTCCTCCTGAGGAGCGCTGTCTCAGCAAAATGCGCTGCTGCCTGATTCAATTCCTCCCCTTGTGCTAGGCAGGCTCAGAAGGCAGCTGATTAATTGCCGTAATTATGGTAATTAATCGGGCTGGACAAACGGGCAGGGAGAGCTTTTTTGCGGGGATGTGGACGCCGAGTTGTGCGGAGGTGGACCAGAGCAATGTTCAGGCCAGGAGGAGGTTGTTTATGTGAGCTGAGCTTGTGATACCCCCCCCCCCCGCCCCAAGCAATAAGACTGGCGCTTTTTCGGTTGCCAACAGTGTGGGGAAAAGCACCTTTTCCAAATGCCAGCTCGCTGCTTCCATTGTTTAGGGCAAAACAGAGAAGTGGAAGGAGACATTGAGCAAACAAAACTACCAGCAGGCTCCCAGACTTTTACTCTCCACCCCCCCCCCCATTTCTCTTTTAATTTGTATGCCCCCTTTCTATATTACTGTACGCAAGGCGGTTTGCGGCAGCAAAATATACGTCAAAGCTCACGCAGCTCAGAATAATCCAACCCAGTACAAAATGAATAATAATCATAATGAACCGTAGCTTTAAAACAAACAACTTATATCAAATAAAGTAATGAAGATAATGGGACACAATGGAATTAACTCTCGAAATATCAGCAAATAAAAATTAATCAGGAATTCACTCTTAACAAGTACAATAAATAGCTACTAAACTGTAATCAGTAAAAATAACAGCAAGTCACAATGCATAAGATGCCACGATACATGCAAAACCGTGTTAAAGGGTCAGATTGAGAAACAAAGACACAGTTTATGAAATTATTTATAATTTGCAAATAATTCTGCATGCAAAGTAGGCGCTCTGCCACTGAGGTACAGTGGTACCTCGGGTTACATACACTTCAGGTTACATACGCTTCAGGTTACAGACTCTGCTAATCCAAAAATAGTGCTTCAGGTTAAGAACTTTGCTTCAGGATAGGAACAGAAATCGTGCTCTGGTGGCACAGCGGCAACAGCAGGAGGCCCCATTAGCTAAAGTGGTGCTTCAGGTTAAGAACAGTTTCAGGTTAAGAACAGACCTCCGGAATGAATTAAGTACTTAACCTGAGGTACCACTGTACAGCACATCCGTTAGGAACAGAGAAAACTGGCTTAGTGGTCCTTCCAGCCCAGTATTTCCTGCACTGACTGGCAGCAGCTCTCCAGGGTTTCAGTTAGGGGACATTCACAGCTCTACCTGCATATGGGATTGAACCCATGACCTTCTGCATGCAAGGCAGATGCTCTATCTCTGAGCAATGGCCTTCCCTTAAGACCTAGGGACATAAGAAGCCACCTTCTAGGCAGTCAAACCCTGGCCCATCTAGCTCAGTATTGTCTACACTGACTGGCAGTGTCTCTCCAGGGTTTCAGACAGAGGGTGTTTTCCAGTGACCCTGGTCTCAGTTATAAATTTAAAAATGTGTTATAAAAATGTGGCACCAGAGGGCGCTGTAGAGCAGCGATACATTACCAATGGTAAATTGCATTGAGAGCTATGTTTTTATAGCGTTTCTCATCAGTGTAGATCCAGCCTCTATCTGGAAAAGCCAGGGACTTCTTGGATTCAAGCTGATGCTCTGCCCACTGAGCTATGGTGAGAGCAAGATTCTAGTCCTCAGTGTTCTGAATAAAGGGTGAATTAAATAGGAGCATAGGTAAAGGTAAAGGGACCCCTGACCTTTAGGTCCAGTCGTGACCGACTCTGGGGTTGCGGCGCTCATCTCACTTTATTGGCCGAGGGAGCCGGTGTACAGCTTCCGGGTCATGTGGCCAGCATGACTAAGCCGCTTCTGGCGAACCAGAGCAGCGCACGGAAACGCCGTTTACCTTCCCGCCGGAGCAGTACCTATTTATCTACTTGCACTTTGACGTGCTTTCGAACTGCTAGGTTGGCAGGAGCTGGAACCAAGCAACGGGAGCTCACCCCGTTGCGGGGATTCGAACTGCCAACCTTCTGATCGGCAAGTCCTAGGCTCTAGGAAGCTGCATTATTCTGAGTCAGACCTTTGGTCCATCTAGTTCGCTAATCTCTATATTGACTAGCAGCAGCTCTCCAGGGCTTCAGACAATAGTCTTTTCCTAGTCCTACCTGACCTGGAGATACTGGGGGTTGAACCTGCAACTGTCTGCATGCATACAGCTCCATATCTGAGCTGTAGCTAACAATGGGTAGATCTGCCCATTTTAGTTTCTCTACTTTTTCTATTCTTCCAATCTTAAATTCCGTTCTCCCCATCAGTTTGTGACTCCCAATTCCCAGAGTGATTTAACAATGAACCCCTCTTCCCAGAGAACTTTCTAGGTCTGTGAGAGGAATAAGGGATCCCCTAATAAATCTCAGCACCTTTACCAAATTACAGCTCCCAGAATTCTAATGGGGAAGCCATGGCTGGTTAAAGTGGTATCACAGCGCTTCAAATGTGTGGTGTGAACATGGTCTAGGTGGGCCCCGAATCAAACTGCTTCTTCTCAGCCTAGCCCCCCATCTTTTATCTGCAAATAGGGATAATAAGTCTGTCTTTAAGTCTGAACAAAATGCTTGTTTAACCTGGAGGTAGGCTGTCTGAATTGTGCATTGCTTTGTAACGATTGATTGGGTCTCTGGACCGTAATAAAGATTGATTGATTGATTGATTGATTGATTAATAATCACACTGGTCTACCTTGCAGGGTTGTTGAAAATGTTTTTAAGATGCAACACATGCCAATGTGCATCTCAAAGCGCTATATCAATGCTATTAGCGTTCATAGTGATTTATTACACTTGACCGCAGAACAGTGGCATTTGCACAAAGCATTACGCTCCTCGCCAAAGATTTACTGGTTTTTAAGCAAACTTATTCTCACGGAACGATAGGCTTGGCAGTCGTGAACAGGAAGGGCTCACGGCAGACTTTCTGTTAGCAAGGCCAGTGATGACTCAGACCCAGGTTATGTCAACAACAAAATGAGGCCAGCTAGCAAAAACGAGGCAAACTCAGTTCCATGTGTCAGCAACACCAGTGATTTTGTTTCCCTCACAAGGACCCTGTGGAGGAGGATTGCTTGAGAGCATGTGAGAAAACCGTCCTAGACCCTCCAGATGTCCCGATTTTCCAGGGACAGCCCCCGCATTTACAAAAGCCACCGCAGTCAAATCAATCTACCATGCCCTCCAACATTTCTCCAATGAAAATAGGATGTTATAAGAAAAACTGCTCCCTTTTCCTTATGGGGTATTCCGGAGCCCGTATACGAGGCCTTAAGTGGGTTCCCTGTCAGTAGGAGAAAATAACAGAGGCCAACCAGAGTATATTGAGAAGCAAAGCGGCTAGTAAGCCTGATCTTTATTCAAGGAACTGTTGCAACAGGGTCCCCACTCCCCACACACAGTAGGGAGGAGAACCCTGAACAATGGTGTGCAAGCCCTTATATAGACTTTTGAAATTGTTCACCCTGTAGCCCAAAACCATCATCTCCAAAACATCATACATACATCACAGAAGGAGGCGGTCTACAGCAGAAATCCTGTCTGCCAGGATACCTGATAACGGTCACTGATTGCATTACCTAGGCATTCTTTTGTGATGGTTAATATTTTAGTTCCTGGGTCCCAGGTCATAGGCTCACCCTATTCATACACAAATACACCCTTAAGACAGGATTTGCAAGCAAAAAGACAATGGGAAGGCTTTCCCCATTTGCCTCCCTTACTGTAGAGGAATATTTGGGGTCATTGGGAGAGTCAAAATGGCTTCAGGATTGTTCTCCCATGCTATTTCAGTCACATGGTTCATATATTTAGATATGTGTGCATTTATGAGTATTTATCTACATTTGACACCTTAACATTCTTATAGAGGGATATTCCCATTCCATAATGATATTTTTTACTATTTATACCCCACACATCTTATTGGGTTGGCCCAGCCACTCTGGGCAGCTTCCAACACATATAAAAACATAATAAAACATTAAACATTTTAAAAAACTTCCCTATACAGGATTGCCTTCAGATGGCTCAGGGATTGGATAACTCCATACCCTCCAACATTTCTCCAATGAAAATTGTTGTTGTTTAGTCGTGTCCGACTCTTCGTGACCCCATGGACCAGAGCACGCCAGGCACTCCTGTCTTCCACTGCCTCCCGCAGTTTGGTCAAACTCATGCTGGTAGCTTAGAGAACACTGTCCAGCCATCTTGTCCTCTGTCGTCCCCTTCTCCTTGTGCCCTCCATCTTTCCCAACATCAGGGTCGTTTCCAGGGAGTCTTCTCCTCTCATGAGGTGGCCAAAGTATTGGAGTCTCAGCTTCAGGATCTGTCCTTCCAGTGAGCACTCAGGGCTGACTTCCTTCAGAATGGAGAGGTTTGATTTTCTTGCAGTCCATGGGACTCTCAAGAGTCTCCTCCAGCACCAGAATTCAAAAGCATCAGTTCTTCGGCAATCAGCCTTCTTTATGTTCCAGCTCTCACTTCCATACATCACTACTGGGAAAACCATAGATTTAACTATAGGGACATCCTAAGGAAAAGCGGGACATTCCGGGATCAAATCAGAAACCGGGACGGCTTCTCTAAATCAGGGACATCCCTGGAAAATAGGGACACTTGGAGGGTCTGTTTTTCTCCTTCTCTCATAGCCCTAGAACTTCTGGATGTCCAAGGAAGCTGAATGTTGGAAGATTCAGGACTGATAAAACAAAGCCCTTCTTCATGCAATATGTAGTTAAACTATGGAACTCACTTCCACAGGAGGAAGTGATGTCCCCCAACGTGGATGGCTTTAAAAGAAGATTAGACAAATTCAAGGAGGAGATAGGGCTATTCCAGGACCATCCCTGGAAAATAAGGATACTTGGAGGGTATGTAGAAGGCACCTTCCTGCACTCACAAGCCAGGCCAAAAGGGGAGGCAGTGAGGAGGACTTGCTGGTGCCCCTTGCGGCCTGTTCCAGGAAGAGACTCGGTGCACCTCTTTTTGCTGGCGGGCGGCTTCCTCTTCAGCAGTGCTGCAAGGCAAGAGTGCCAGGAGCCTTGCCAAGCCGGCCCTCGCTGAAAGCAAACACCACGGAAACCGCTGGCGTACGGCCGTTTAGCTTTATGAGTCTCCGGGGAAGGATGCACAGTTAACGTAACACTTCAAACATAATTATTGATTGCGCACACAGCCTGCTGTTCTGGCTGCAACATCAGCATGCAGAAGGGAGAGACGAGATAAGCTGGGCAAGGAGGGCTGGCTCTGTATGTGTGTGTGTGTGTTGGTGTGTGTTGGTGCCCTATTACATGGTGCCCTGATGGGTTTCAGGCATGCAGGAGTCTCTTCCATGCCTATCTGGCCCATCTAGCTCAGTACTGGCTACACTGACTGGCAGCAGCATTCTGTGGCTTCAGGCAGGGCTCTCTCCCTAAGTGTTCCCACTAGCGCCTTGGGCCTTGTACCCTTTGCTATGAGGACAGCACTGCTGCACTCAGGTCCTAATTGTCGCTGGGCTAGGTGAGCCTTTGGCCTGGTCCAGAATGGCTCATCTTACATTCCTATTTAGGGATGCAGATCTTGGCTAAGCAGTAAGAGATGCTTCCTAATGATCAGAGCGACTAACCATCTACGTTCTCTGTAGGGGTGCGGGTTGTGCTGTGGTCTAAACCACTGAGCCTCTTGGGCTTGCCGATCAGAAGGTCGGTGGTTCGAATCCCCATGACGGGGTGAGCTCTGTCCCAGCTTCTGCCAACCTTGCAGTTTGAAAGCACGCCAGTGCAAGTAGATAAATAGGTACCACTGTGGCAGGAAGGTAAACGGCGTTTCCATGTGCTCTGGTTTCCGTTACAGTGTTCCATTGTGCCAGAAGCGGTTTAGTCATGCTGGCCACGTGACCCAGAAAGCTGTCTGTGGACAAACTCCGGCTCCCTTGGCCTGAAGCGAGATGAGCGCCACAACCTTTGTCTGGACTTAACCATCCAGGAGTCCTTGACCTTTTTATGTTCTCTGTCCACTGTCAGAGGCAGCATGCATCTGCATACTAGTTGCTAGCATTCACAAGTGGGGAGAGTTGCTTTTGCACTCAGCTCCTGCTTGCAGGTTCCCACAGGCATCTGGGAGGCCACAGAGAGATGTGCTTGTGCTATGTTCTGCTTCCACTGTACTTGGCAGTATGTCTCTGAATACCAGTTGCTGACATTTATTTTTACTACTACTACTACTACTACTACTACTACATACTACAGTGGTATGCTTCAGGTTACAGACGCTTCAGGTTACAGACTCCGCTAACCCAGAAATAGTACCTCGGGTTAAGAACTTTACTTCAGGATGAGAACAGAAATTGTGCTCCGGTGGCGCGGCAGCAGCAGGAGGCCCCATTAGCTAAAGTGGTGCTTCAGGTTAAGAACGGACCTCTGGAACGAATTAAGTACTTAACCCGAGGTACCACTGTACTATTACGTTTCTAACCCATCTTTTCTCTGAGGAGCTCAAGCTGGCGTACCTGGTTCTTGCCACTCAACCATTTTGCCCTCACAACAACCCTGTGAGGTTGGTTAGGCTGATAGATGGTGTCTGACCCAAGTCTCCCAGTGGGCTGAGTGAAGATTTGAACTTGGGTCCTCAACACTCTAACCACTAGGCCACATAGGCTCTCAGTCACAAGTGGAGAGAGCTGCTGTCGCATTCAGGTCCAAGTGCCTGGAAGAAAATGGTCCAGCTATTGCCTCCCGTCAATTCCTGAAAGAATCCACCTCCCCCCTCCCAGTTGCCCATCACTGTCTCCAGATAGGCTTGTGTCCAGTATATGTGTGCAGGTATAGACTTGCCGATCAGAGGTCGGCGGTTCGAATCCCTGTGACGGTGTGAGCTCCCGTTGCTCGGTCCCTGCTCCTGCCAACCCAGCAGTTCGAAAGCACCTCAAAGTGCAAGTAGATAAATAGGTACCGCTCCGGTGGGAAGGTAAACGGCGTTTCTGTGTGCTGCTCTGGTTCGCCAGAAGCAGCTTAGTCATACTGGCCACATGACCCGGAAGCTGTACGCCGGCTCCCTCTGCCAATAAAGCCAGATGAGCGCCGCAACCCCAGAGTCGGCTACTACTGGACCTAACAGTCAGGGGTCCCTTTACCTTTACCTTTATATGGCTCATGAAGTGGGGCTGCCCAGCACCTTTTCTGAAATCAATTAATCCTGCCATATCTGACCTTTATCTGAACTGGAACTTCCCTTTTCCCAAGAGTGTTAGCTCTGTTCACAGGGTGACAAGGGGAGAAGGAAAAATTCTTTCCCTAACAGAAAAAGAAAAAACTCCAGCTGTGGTGGTGTCGGATATAAAACGGAAAAGGGATCAAACAGGGATGTGTGTGTGTGTGTGTGTGTGTGTGTGTGTGACATCGGGTGGGAACATCCAGAGAGAAAGCAGAGACTACTCCCGAGTCTGTTGGGTCCATGGAATAGGTGAACAGGAAGGCTCAGGCTTGCCCCGGGCTGTCAGGAGGGCTTCCTGATCATCGAGGGGGAAACTGAGCAAGGACAATGGCTGGGCTGGAGCGCAGGCTGGGCTGCGGAGCATAATCGTGTGACTAAACGCGGCCCGGTCCAAATTGGCTGAGCAGCTTGTGTTGAGAGGGAGGACATTTGGGATGGGTGGAACCTGACGCAGCACAATTAGTGCTTGCCTTAGCACCACAGTGCCAGCAACTCTGGGAGTGATGCAGGTAGCAAAGATATGCCCAGAATGCATTGCCAGAAAACGGGAAGGTGTTAAAAGCAGCCCTAGTAAGACCTCCCTTGCTAGCAAGAAGGGGGGGAAAAAGGGCTGTGGATCTACAATCGATGCAAGGAAATAAGATGAAACTACAGTTGCATACCCTCCAACATTTCTCCCAGGTCAATAGTTTTCAAGCCCCATCATCATGGCCTGGGAAGAGCCATAGGCTGGTGGAGGAGCATTTGATTTTCATGCAGAATGTAGATCTCAGGTTCAACAGGAATCTTAAATCCCCATAGTAATATGGTTCAGCTTGCACCTTTACCAGCTGCTCTGATAAGACAATGCTGTTTCCAAGATGGCTTAAAAAACAAAACAAAACTAGAACCCAAAAAAATCTACCAATCAGAGTGAAGTGTAAAAGGCAGGTGCACACTCTCCAACATTTCTCTGATGAAAATAGGGATGTCAATAATAATAATAATAATAATAATAATAATAATAATAATACTTCACTCATCAGATTGGGTTGCCCCAGCCACTCTGGGCAACTTCCAACATATATAAAAACATAATTAAACATTAAACATTGAAAAAACTTTCCTATACAGTACAGGGCTGCCTTCAAATGTCTTCTAAAGGTTGTATAGTTATTTATCTCCTTGGCTCGGGGGCTGCATAACTCCATACCCTCCAAAATTTCTCAGGTGAAAATAGGGGCATCCTAAGGAAAAGCAGGACATTCCAGGTTCAAATCAGAAACCACGACGGCTTCTGTAAATCCGAGACTCCCCCCGGAAAAATAGAGTAATATTCTTCTTAGTTATATGTTTATGAAAATAAAGTTCCTTGGAATATGAAGAATCTGGACACTGTAGTCTTTCCAAAGAAGCTATCAGTCACCTAGGGGTTATTTAGGTTCCTAGCTGTAAGCTACTCTGCTACTTTGCATATCATCAAGATTTATTTTACGTACTGTCAAACCTCGGCTCCCAAACGCCTCCATTTTGGAATGTTTCAGCTCCCAAATGCTGAAAACCTGGAAGTAAATGCTCCAGTTTTCGAACGTTTTTCGGAAGTCAAATGTCCAACACGGCTTCCGCTTGAGTGCAGGAATCTCCTGCAAGCAATCGGAAGCTGTGCCTCGGTTGTCGAACATTTTGGAAGCCGAATGGGCTTCCAGAACGGATTATGTTCGACAACTGAGGTTTGACTGTACAGTGGTTACAGACGCTTCAGGTTACAGACTCCGCTAACCCAGAAATAGTACCTCAGGTTAAGAACTTTGCTTCAGGTTGAGAACAGAAATCGCGCGGTGGGGGCATGGAGGCAGTGGGAGGCCCCATTAGCTAAAGTGGTACCTCAGGATAAGAACAGTTTCAGGTTAAGAACGGACCTCCAGAACGAATTAAGTTCTTAACCCGAGGTACCACTGTATACGTAACACATGAAACTGCGATTCCCCACCTCTGATCCATCGCTTCTTTCTCCTTTGTTCTCTCCCAGGGACAATGCGCCCGGTGCGAAGGAACTTTTACGACCCCTCTTCTGCCCCCGGCAAGGGGGTTGTGTGGGAATGGGAAAACGACAACAACTCCTGGACTCCGTATGACATGGACATCTGCATCACCATCCAGAACGCGTACGAGAAGCAGCACCCGTGGCTGGACCTGTCCTCGCTGGGGTTTTGCTACCTGATCTACTTCAACAGCATGTCTCAGGTGAACCGCCAGACGCAGAGGAAACGCCGTCTAAGGAGGCGCATGGACTTGGCTTATCCTCTCACCATCGGCTCCATCCCCAAGTCCCAATCATGGCCCGTGGGGACCAATTCTGGGCACCCTTGTTCGTGCCAGCAGTGCCTGTTGGTCAACAGCACCCGGGCAGCCTCCAACGCCATCCTGGCCTCCCAGCGCAGGAAGGTGTATTCCGGGAACGGGAACGGATCGCTGGCCGTCCGGCAGAGCAATACGTTCAACGGAACGGCGATGTGGTCGCTGGGCACCATGCAAGCCAGCGGGACGGGCAAGATCGAGCAGGTCCGTTCCAGCAATGGGATGCAAGTGGCCACTTTTTCGCGGAGCCAGAGCGCGCCCAGCCACACCCAGCTCCCCGGCCAAAACAACCTGAACCGGCCCGGTACGCAGCGAGTGGCCATCTTGAGTACTCGGGCTTCCATCCCACCAGGGTAAGTAGCTGAAAAGTATTTGTCACTTTTATTTTACCTATAATGAATATTTAGGACTAGGTTCATCGACCTAATGCAGTAACAATGAGTAAATATGGAGAAGGGCGGATTGGTCAACGACGGTGTCCTCCACCTCATACAAATGAAATGTAAAAGGGCCATGAACAATTGCTGCAACAGAATAACAGACGAGTAGTGACTTTTCAAACGAGTAGTTCAGTACTCCAGTTGATATGCAGCAACTGGGGGGGGGTACCTAATGGTTAGAGCATCTGCTTTGCATGCAGAAGATGGCAGATTCAATCCCTGGCATCTCCGGGTAGGACTGGGAGAGAGAGCCTTGCCTGAAATTGTGGAAAGTTTCTGCTAGTCCATGTTAACAATACTGAGCTAGATAGACTAGGCAGTCTAAGACAGCTCTCCAGACTCCTGCATACAAACAGAAATCTTGCAGCAAGCCAGCTAATACAGATTACGGGTGATTTAAACCCTGCCTCCGTCTCACCATTCCTCCCAATTTTAGCCATACAGCTTCCTATGTTCCTACTAATCGCTGTTATGTTAACCAGTGCATACCCCTGAATCTAAGTTTGGCCTCATTGAGGTGCAGTATTTCAATATGAGTAAGAAACTGAGGGTACCCATAAATGTTTTTAAAGAAAAAAAGCACTGTTAACAACAGTAACATTTGGGACTAAGGCTAGTAACTAACCTGACTGTCTTGCACTGTCACCAAAAATCATCACCATCCAGTCATCATCGTTGTTGTTGTTGATGCTGATATTGGCATTATTATTATTATTATTATTATTATTATTATTATTATCTTGTTACCCAAAGCTCTCATAGTGACTTGCAACCCATTTATAAACATCTAGCTCACTGGGTGACCTTTGGGCCAGTTGCTGTATTTATTTCCCCTGATTTGAACTATAAAATGGTGATTTTCTTGAGTCAAAATGAGAGTATCCCTAAACATTTTTAAAGAAAAAAAGCACTGACTCTGTGTGTGTGTGTGTGTGTGTGTGTGTGTGTGTGTGTGAACACACAAACACAGAGAGGGCATTTTGGATTGCCATTTTATCTAATGCTATCCCTACTCAGAACCCACTGGAATTAGCAGGCATGTCTAACTTTGGTCCATTCATTTCGGTGGGTTTACTCTGAGTAGGACTAGCACTGGGGTTTTCAGGTAAAAGAGTCAGCCTGTCTGTCTGTCTGTCAGAGCCCCACACAATCACCCTCTGCTCTCCTCTCCATCTTTGTCCAGCCGGCCAGTGTTGACATAAACAACAAAACAGGGAAGAAGAGGCCTCTGAATAGCAGCCCACCCAAGTCGCGAAGGAGACCACTGCACATGATTCCTGCGCGTTGGAGTTGGGTGCTCTCCGCCTCCCCGGCTCTGGTGCTCAGGGTGGCGGAAGCTGACGTCACCCGTGGTTGCCCAGGCACCTCGCCTGAGCGGCAGGCGCACCCAGGAGCAATGTGTCAGCTTTGGCCAGAGGAGAGCGGCCTTGTGTTGCCACGGCAACCAGGTGGCAGCGCTGCAGATTCTCTGAGAATAATTGGAGCCTCTGGGGCAGCGCTGGGAAAGGGGCAGGGGGGGCAGGCTCTTTCCTCTCTGCTGCTCCCTCCTGTCATTCCCTTCCTCGCATTTGGTGTCTCTGGCCTTTATTCTCCGCTTCTCTTTCTGCCTAGGAAGACTCAGAGAGGCCATATTCGCACCCTGCACTGGAAGCATCACTTTAAACAGTCACGGCTTCTGCCAAAGGAGTCTGGGAGTCATGGTTTGCTAATCCAGCCAGATGGGCGGGGTATAAATATATTATTATTATTATTATTATTATTATTATTATTATTATTAGTGCGGAGAGTTGTGGGGAGACCTCCCCCTATTTCCCTCATGGAGCTACAATTCCCAGAATGGTTTAAGAATCAGTCCCTCTTTCCAAGGAACTCTGGGAATCGTAGCTCTGGGAGGGGAATGGAGGTGTCTCCTAAAAACTCTCAGCAACCTTAGCAAACTACAGCTCCCAGAATTCTGCGAGGGAAACCGTGACTGTTTAAAGTGGTGCTTTATGGCAGCATCCTAGTGTTTAAAAGGTATGGTGTGAATGTGGCATCTGTCTGAACCCTGAATTCTCATGTAACACTTGGTATTTGGGTACAGATATCTTGGGGACAAAATATACCTGAGCTCATTGACCCTTCATGGAGGTTACCTGTGTCTTAAGAATGGCTGTTTTCCCGCCATTTTTTTTTTTAAAAAACTTGAAAATATTTTTTAAAAAATTGATGTCAACGCTGCACTCTACGGCTGGTTAATCTCACCATTTGAAGTCTCCAGGGAAATGAGTCCATTTCTTTCACCTCAAAATGCTCTAAAATAGGGTACCCTATCACGGTTGATACTGATTTGATGTGATTCTGCCAGGGGTTAATAAAAACCTCAGGGTCGATAGGGGTCTGGGCTTGAAGAGGCATAGTGTGAAAAAAAATAATTAGGAACAATGAACTTATGAAATCAAAGCCATGGGCATGTACAGAGCGTACTTCCTTTGCCAATGACTTTTTTGACATTTTATGATTCTTAGTCATGTTGATCAATGACAAATAAACCTGATTATACATTTATATTTCTTATTCCATTTACATTCCTAAGAATCTGGGCTGGTGACAGCTTGGCAAGCTCATTGAAAGATCAATGGACACAGAAATTTGGGGGAAACCTGCTTTGAAAGACTTATTTAGTCCTTGGGTAGAGAACATCAGACATTTTTAGCTGGTCCTCTGGACACTCCCCACATGGCTGTGCCACCTCCCTGGCCACACACTGCCTTCCCAGGCCACATTTCTTACCCGCCCTCGCAGCTTAAGCTTTTCAGGGAGGGGGCATCAAAGGGCTGCATATCGCGGCCCCCTGCTGGCCCACGAGTCAGTAGCAGAATTAAAATGGGCACGTGGGCTACAAACACCTTTGCAGCGGATCTCAATCACACCACGAACAGCCAACAAAACCATCTGTGTGCTGAGCTGCGGCTGCAGTTTGCATGAGCTTCCTTCCTCCTCGTGAGTTTGCATTTTATTTTGTTATTATTTTTTTGCTTTTACTGCTGGGGTACAGTAGTTTCTCGCACATCAGGGAAGAGAGCCTCCTCACCTGCGGAGTTTGAGATGCCCACGGACAGGTAGGGTGATCCTGTAAATGGCTATTCTAGTGAGGGGCCAGGCAGGTTAAACTTTATATGGGCTAACCCCCAGGCTGTCAGACGTTAGGGCCAGGGACCTCTGGTTCCTTTTGGCGAAAAGAGAATGTTTGGGTTGGGGAATATAAGGAGGCTGCCTTAAACTGAGTCAGACCATTGGTCCATCTTGTCTTAACTGACTAGAGCGGGTTTCCTGCAGGGGACATTCCCAACCTGCAGATGGCCAGGGGTTGAACCCGGGACCTTCTGCTTAATGCCTTCTGCTTAATGCTGAGCTTAATGCTGGATTAATCTGAAGAGAGTTGTCAAAAATCAGAAAACATATGGAGAATGGAAAATATTTAAGGAATATATAAGACTATATTGTAAAAATGACACCATCTTAGCAGAACTTGAATGATACTTGTAAACAAAAATAAATGAAACAAATACTCTAGTGGAATGTATGAAAAAGGGTATAAAGTAAAGCTGTGCGATAAAACCATGGCAACAGAAACAGTATAAGAGAACGATTGGAAGTTTTATGCAGAAACTTTTATTTGATAGACAGGATTTTGTATAAATTTTTGGTTCTTTTTCTTTTCTTTTCTTCTTTGTCTTTTTAATTTTTTTCTTACTTTTATGTCTTGATGTTGTTGTTTTTTCGTATTTAACTTTTCTATACTTACCTTCGTTGTACGTTTGTATTTTAAACCAATAAAGATTTACTTTTTTAAAAAAAGAAAAAGAAGAAGAGATATGTCAAGGGTTCAAGCTTGCCCCTTCACCCACTGACTGCACCCTCATCACAGATGTGTGGCTGAGCTTTCTCAGGAGCAGCTGCAAAATGCACCTGCTCTTAAAACATTCTTTTCTTTAGCAGGGTGCTTCATAGGCAAATCAGTGCCAGTAAACGGCTGCCAAATCTGCAAGAGGTGTGGTTTGAATTTCCGCTGCTTGTCCATCTTAGTGACAGCAGAATCAAGTTCGGTTGCTGGTGTCAGATTCAGTGGTGCCACTAAGGGATTTGAGAACTCCCACCATTCATTTAAATCACTACAATGCCACTTTAAATAGTTTGTGGCTCCCCCCCAAAGAATTCTGGGAGCTGTAGTTTGCTACAGGTGCTGTTAGGAGATCACTACAGTGGTACCTGAGGTTAAGTACTTAATTCGTTCTGGGGGTCCGTTCTTAATCTGAAACTGTTCTTAACCTGAAGCACCACTTTGGCTAATGGGGCCTCCTGCTGCTGCTGTGCCGTCGGAGCACGATTTCTGTTCTCATCCTGAAGCAAAGTTCTTAACCTGAAGCACTATTTTTGGGTTAGTGGAGTCTGTAACCTGAAGCGTATGTAACCTGAAGCGTATGTAACCCGAGGTACCACTGTATTTCTCTCCCAGAGAAGCTACTATTTTCAGAGTGGTTTAACAGCCAGTCCCTCTTCCCAGAGAACTCTGGGAATTGTAATTCTGTGAGGTGACCACACAACCTCATGGGGGAGGGGAGGCTCCCACTGTGATTGCAAAGATCAGGGCTGCCCTTCAGATGCTGTGGGACTCCAGCCAGTTCCCAGCATCCTTGACCATTGAGCATGATGGCTGCCAGGGTCACTGAATTTCCCCACCTAGAGAGAGAGAGAGGAGTACACATCATTTCCGCTTTTTCTGCTATGCCCTGACTTTGTTTACTCTGCATGAGCTTCTATCCTGCTGATTTGGGAGCAGAAGAGTGGAGTGTTTAACTCCAACACAGAAATGCTATACTAGATATACAGCAGGGAGTGGGGAAAGAGAAACAGCCCATAATTGTCCTGTTATTATAAACATGTCAACGCATTTGTCAACAACGCTTCAAAATGGAACGTCGGCTCCAGGGCATTGCAAGTGCAGCATGTGCACGACTTTGGTTTCGGAGCGCTTTCGCTTGTGAGTTCAGGGAGGGGCCGTAGCTAAGCAGCTGTGCGCATGTTCTGCATGCAGAATATCTCAGATTCTGAGCGAAGGGAAGGGCCACCCTTCCTAAATGGTACCCTGGAGCACAGGACAAGTTGCTAAGTACCCACGTGGCTTCAAACCAGAAGGTCTGGCCCTCCAGGCCTCTCTGTTTGGCCCTTGTAATTCTCCCTGGCCACGCCTCCTCTTCCCTGGCCACACCTCTCACTGTCCCTGCTTTGCACTCTGAGTGTTTTTGCCTAGAGCTGCAGAAGGAGTCCACAAACTCTAACAATACCTCCTGCATCTCTGGATGGAGGCTGCAGAGCTGGGGGTGTGAACATGTGTAGAAACTAGCCTATTGCACAAAGGCAAACATTGCACCTCTTTTAGCCCTGGCCCTGCCCACCATTGGCATGTGGGCCTCAGAAGGCACCCCACCCCTGCCTTAGTGGGAGGGGCTGTTGGCTGGGCGGCTGCTTTGCATGCAGAAGGCCTCAGGTTCAATCCCTGACAGCTAAAGTATTAGAGACCAAGTCTTAAGAGTAGCTGGAGAGTAGCTGGCAGTCAGAGAAGGCTGTCCTGTTGCATGCTGATAACCCCTGCCTGAGGCAAAATGGAACTAGTGATTTATTAGAGACATGCCCCAGAAAACCAAGTGCATCCATAGGTGTCGAAGGAGCCTGTGCTCCAGTAGAGCACTCTGCTGGTGGTATATTCCGATGTGAGCCTTGAAGACTACAGGCAGGTGACATAAATAGCTCTCCTTATAGGATTACCCCAGACAAGGCAACATTCTGGGACTGGGCTATAAGCTGGCACACATCACGGTACTACGTTTCACCTAAGACTGTGCAGCTGACACAAGTGAGATATGTAGCAAGAAGTGGAAAGTCACGTAGGACTCGTGGCTGCAAATTTCTTCTGAGAAGTTGGAATGTTCATGAACGTTCCTTGACCCCCTCAGACACTGAGCCAGTAGTCTGGTTTCTAAATACTAATAGTCATTAGCAATGCGGATCTATCTGTCTATCTATCATCATCATCTATCTCTATCATCTATTCTATCTATCATCTATATCTATCTATCTATCATCTATCATCTATCTATCTATCTATCTATCTATCTAATCTATCAATCAGCCTGTATTTATCTCAGATTTGTATATATGTGGTAAAGCAGACTGCAACTTTTAAAGCAGATATGTAGGGCACGATCCTTTCCCAGTTAAGCACTTCCAAGGCCAATTTATTTTGGAGCAGGTGAGACTTATGCAAGTGTCTAAACCACTGCCATCCCATTCAGATCAACGGGACTAGCTCCACCTTTTTTGCCGTCTGCTCTCCTAGCTCCACCCACCTGTGAAAAACCACCCCATCCTCATAATCTCCATCCATTATCAGCGGTTGGCCTCCCCGCCCCACATCCACCCACTGATGCATTGCAAAGCCTTGAAGCCACTGACAGAGGAGCTGCGCTGTTCTGTCACTTTCAAAAGGAGATTATGCTCCTTTCTTAAACCGACTGACCTGCTGGTCTCCTAATCCCAACCTGGAGGGGCTGCCCAGCCTGTTTTCTTTCTCAAAGGGGTGGGGAGACAGCCGTAGGAAGGAGCCATGAAGACCAAGCTAGTAATCAGGTGAGTTTGGATGCATCGTGTAGATGTGGGTTTAAATCCCGCCATGGCCAATTGCTGTTTTTGTGAGGAGTGGCAGAACATTTTCTTTGCATGCAGGAAGTCCCAGGTTCAATCTCTGGATAACTTTCCCCCACACATCCCTCCTCGGTAATGACTCTCCTTACCTGGGCACTGCTGAGAGTCCAGCATGTCCCAGACATGCACATAGTCTATACTAAAAACCAGGCTTTTGGGGTTTCAGCTCCAGCCCTCTAGAATCAGTTACTGGGTAAAATTAGACAGAAATCCAGTATAATGATATTTAGGTGCCAACAGAAGATGCTTTTTCTTTAAGAAGGCTTTCCCTGAAGTGAAACAACCCCTAGGAATGGTTCTATTTGTGTTTGTAGGAATGGTTTTAGTTGTTTTTATAATTCGTTTCCTTTCTCTTTGTGTGTTTTATTTTTGTGCATCACTTCAATGGCCACCGTGAAGCGGTTTACAAATTTGTGAGATAAAGAAAATCCTCAGATAGGGCTGGGGAAAGGTAAAAAAAGGGTAAAGGACCCCTGGATGGTTAAGTCCAGTCAAAGGTGACTATGGGGTTGGGGCACTCATCTTGCTTTCAGGCCGAGGGAGCTGGCGTTTGACCACAGACAGCTTTCCGGGTTATGAGGCCAGCATGACTAAACTGCTTCTGGCGCAACGGAACACTGTGACGGAAACCAGAGCGCACAGAAACACTGTTTACCTTCCCACCGCATTGGTACCTATTTATCTACTTGCACTGGCGTGCTTTTGAACTGCTAGGTTGGCAGAAGCTGGGACAGAGCAACGGGAGCTCAACCCGTCGTGGGGATTAGAACCGCCGACCTTCTGATCAGCAAGCCCAAGAGGCTCAGTGGTTTAGACCACAGCGCCACCCTACTGCTGGGAAAACACCCCTGTCTGAATCCTTGGGAGCCTCTGGAAGTCAGTGTTGAGCAATACTGAGCCAGATCGAAATCAGGATTGAAATCTTGTTGGCCAGCCAAATGATGGTTATAGCCAAGACAACAAGCAAGCAAATAGATTTAAGCAAGCAAGCAAAGAAAGTCAGAACAGCATGGACCAATGGTCTGACTCTGTGCAATAGACTCCTCCTGTGATAGGGGAAGGGTCCCAGAACAGTGGTAGAGCATCTGCTTTGCACAGGTTCTGGGTTCAGTCTCCAATGGCATCTCCGGGTATGGGAATGGCTCCTTGCTTGAAATCCTAATGAGGCGCTGCCATTCATTCCGTGTGCTAGATGGGTCAATGGCATGACTCAATAGAAGGCAGCTTCAGAAGACAGGTGAAAGCCAGGTAGAAGCTGGCAGAGGCACCTGTCTGAAACTGCAGTCCGTGTGAACAGGACTGGGCCAGTTGAGCCAATGGTCTCCTCCTATGTCCCTCTTTAATTAAGTCTTTTTTCAAAGAAGAAGAAGCATAAGGACTAGAATCCTAATGTTTGTTTAGGGGAAGTGTTGTAGCTCAGTAGCAAAGCCTCTGATTTGCAGGTAGGAGATGCCAAATTCAGTCCCTGGCATCTCTGGGTAGGACTGGGAGGAATTCCTGCCTGAAATGCTGGAGGGATGCTATCAGTCATTGTAGACCATAGGTAGGCAAATTGAGGCCCGGGGTCCGGGACCAGGTCCGGCCCAATCGCCTTCTAAATCCGGCCCGCAGATGGTTTGGGAATCAGCGTGTTTTTGCATAATGTGCCCTTTTATTGAAAATGCATCTCTGGGTTATTTGTGGGGCATAGGAATTCATTCATTCCCCCCCAATATAGTCTGGGCCCCCACAAGGTCTGAGGGACAGTGGACCGGCCCCCTACTGAAAAAGTTTGCTGACCCCTGGCACTGTAGACAATGCTGAGCTAGAGAAACCTCTAATTAAGGCAGCCTTCTGCGTTCCTGTCATGTTGACAAGGTCTGTCACTGAACAGTCTTCATCCAAATGTTTATTTGCCTCCTCCCACTTCCCTCGCAAGTTTATCACAGCAGGGACATCCCTCTGGATTAACCTTCATGCGGTAATTCTAGAGCACTAAAATTGGTCCCCTGAGGAGTTAGCAGTTATCCCCCCCTCCCCCCGAATTATTGAAATATCAGCTGAGCCATGCGCTCACCAAGCGACCATAGGTAACCCTACGCCCCCTCTGACTCATCTGCCACCCACCTTTAATAATACACTCCTCTGATAAGATCGGTCTCTATGTGTTACTGATGATCTGTTATATGGAGCGCTTTGATTTCTTCAATCCTTGGACTGCACAATGTAGTTGTCTGTGCAGGAAATACTGTCGGCGATCAGAAATGAGTCCTGTAATGAAATGTCACCAGGAAGGGTTGTAGCTCACAGGGGGAGAGCATGTGCTTTTGTGTGCAGAAGGTTCCGGGTTCAATCCCCAATGTCTTCTCTAGGTAGGGCTGGGAGAGTTTTCTGCCTGAAATCCTGGGAGGCTTCTGCCTGTCAGTGTGGAAACAAATGGTTCCCAAACTTCTTCTTTTTTACCTCATGCGGGGCTCAAGACAGTATCATCTATACTTCAAGTTCAAACCATCAGTTGATTGAGATCTCTTGTTAAAAAAAGAAAGAAAGACATATTTCCCCCCTTGGCCCATAAGATTGGACCCTATTATTGTTTATTTTCCATTCTTTTGCACTAGTGTTTTACTGTCTTATGTTAGTTTTTATTAATCAGTTTGTTTGAATGATATTATTTATTACTTTTATGTTGCTATTTTATCTTGATATTTTGAACATTTCAAGTGGATGTTTTTGAAAATTTCAAGTGGATATTTGTGCAATTTTCAAGCAGATATTTGTGAAAATTTCAAGTGGTTTAAATAAATGAAAGCAAGAAAAGTATGCCTCCCCCTTCAGAATTTTTGTTTTATTCATTTGCAAATATATGTATTTTTAATTGATTGCTTAATCGGCTAAAACCCATGCTGCCAATCAGCTTTCTTTCGTTTTAGAATGTTTTTAATTGTTTTTTAAATATTATGAATTGTTTTTAGAATGATTTTTATTTTATTGCTGATCTGTTTGCAAACCTAGACTCCTTTGGGGAGGGAGGGCATGATAACAATAGTGTCAGATGGCAGGGGTGGTTGCTGACGAGTAACCAGGCAGGACTCTGACCTGTCTTTTACAGGTTTTATTTGGTGCAAAAACTATTTACAGTGCAGAACCCCAAAGTTCATGTCTGCCTCAATCGCTAACAGAATCCGGGAGTGGCTTTTCCTGGTTGTGTCCCCAACATAAGAACTTCGTCACCCCCAGCCTTTTTCTTCCTTCTTTGCACTTTACCCCTCTGCGCAAGGTGGGCAACGGAAGAGACGTGTTCCCCTCCTGGCCGGCTTGACCAGGAGTGGTGCTGGGACTCACAGCAGCATCCGCTGATCCCTTTCCCTCTTCCCCACTGGAGGCGTGGCTTTCTCCACCGCAGGAAGAGAAACTGCTTTGCAAGACTTTCGTAGGATCCCTGTATCCCAACGGCCCCTCTACCTCTCTTCCCTGTTCCGATGGCAGTTCCCTGACAAATAGCAATAGCAATAACAACACTAATACAGTGGTACCTCGGGTTAAGTACTTAATTCGTTCCGGAGGTCCGTTCTTAACCTGAAACTGTTCGTCACCTGAAGCACCACTTTAGCTAATGAGGCCTCCTGCTGCCGCCGTGCCGCCAGAGCATGATTTCTGTTCTCATCCTGAAGCAAAGTTCTTAACCCGAGTGTCAGGGCTGCCTCAAGTCTCAGCTCACAAAAGACCAACGCCTATCTCTTCTTATATACAAAAGTGTTTATTGCAGTTCATTGTTTGCTTCACATCCGAGGCGCGCAGCCCTACGTCTGCTACGCTTAGACCGCTGAAGTCCCCTCTGAATCCGTCCCTCCCCTGCACCAGTTTAAGAGGCTTGCGCTGCTCCACCTTTTTCTCTCTTTCCTTTTCCGCAGGGTCTTTCTGCCCGCTGGGGTTTCGCCCCTCCTGGATTCCTCTGACGCGGAATACCCAGACTGCTCTTGCCCCCTCCTGCGGGCTTTGGGACCTGGCCCCTCCTCCGGGCTCCCTGTACTTCCGCGCGCCTCTACATTTGAACTTGGCGCGCGCGCCCAACCTCTAACCTTCCTTTTAACAGCTACACTACTCCCTTCACTACTTCCGGGAGGGTGGCTTGCTCCGACCTCCCTCCCTTCTCTGCTGCCGGAGCCGCTTCCCCTGATACACTGAAACCTCCACCCCCTTCGCTGCACTCTGGCGGGGAGGCTGGTCCTGACGCCCAGCTGCCACTTTGGGATCCCCCGCTGGCCCCCTGCTCCTGACACTTCCCTCCTGGGGCTCCCCTGGCCTTGACCACCGGCGCCCCCTTCTGGGAATCCTCTGATTCGCTGGAAAGACTCATGGAATCTCTTGAGTCATTGTCATCCTCTTCCTCGCTGTCCTGGGATTCATCCCCATCGCTCTCCATCTCCTGCCTACCCTGTGCCTCTATCCCTGAACCCCTGACACCGAGGTACTATTTCTGGGTTAGCGGAGTCTGTAACCTGAAGTGAATGTAACCTGAAGCGTATGTAACCCGAGGTACCACTGTAATAGAGTTCAGTGTGGCACACTGCAACATAAAGCTATCAAGCTATCTGAAAGACTGTATTCCTTCATACAAACCTTAGATCTTCAGAACAAGTGGAGACCTTCTTATTCCTACATGCTTTTGTGAATGAGCTGCTTTTAATGAAAGGGCTGGTGCTGTGCTGTTTTTATTGTAATGATTTGTATATTTTAATAGATCTGAGGAAGAAAAAGAGAGAGAGTTGTAATTCTATTAATGTTTAATTTTTTTTTTAATGCTTTATCTCCTCCTATGTTTTTAGCTGTTCCTATTTTATCTGTCTCGATAAAATAGGGAAAATATACGGGATAGAAATAAAACAACAACCATAATATTAATAAGTGGCCATAGGATTGCAGCCCTGTGTTTCTTAATGGAACTGCATCCCTGATAATGATGCAAACTTAGAATCACAGAACTGAACTGAAATGGCGAAAATAACCGGAAAAATCAGGAAACCAAGAAGATAGAAACTTTAATAAGGAATTGGGGGGGGGGGATTTATAAGTTGTTTACGAGAACACTGCAAACAACTAAAAACTTTGGCAGGATGATAGCAACACTTGCAATGTATAAAAAACTAAAGTAAAAATGGATTTTAAAGAAAAATGGAGAAGTTATATGATGCAGTAGAAAAAGTTTGATAATGCAAACCGTGGAAGGATGGAGGGAAGTCTAAGGATTCAGGGAATCCTATATGTTTAGGATTATGATTATTGTTTGAATTCAAATGCATGTTGTAAATAAATAAATAAATAATAAAAAATAGAATAATAAAACTGAAAAGTTGGAAAGGACCCAAAGGGTCAACTAGTCCAAACCCCTGCAGTGCAGGAATGTAAGTAGATGTTAAGTAGATACTGTATTTTTTGCTCTATAAGACTCACTTTTTCCCTCCTAAAAAGTAAGGGGAAATGTGTGTGCATCTTATGGAGTGAATGCAGGCTGCGCAGCTATCCCAGAAGCCAGAACAGCAAGAGGGATTGCTACTTTCACTGCGCAGCGATCCCTTTTGCTGTTCTGACTTCTGAGATTCAGAATATTTTTTTTTTCTTGTTTTCCTCCTCCAAAAACTAGGTGTGCCTTGTGGTCTGGTGCGTCTTATAGAGTGAAAAATACGGTACTTATTTGCCTGCAGTTGCTGTTTATGAGAAGTCTGTGTCGGCATGCAGAGGGCCGGGAGGCCAGCTGGCTAGCCCCGGCTGGGCCGTCTCCTTCCAGCCATCCCGCTGCAAAGACCATTACTTCTGCTCCGACGTAAATCAGCGACCTGGGCTTACTCAGCCAGGGCACACTATCAGCAGATCGAACTGTGCACACAGAATAGGCGTGAGGCTTGTGGAAGGCTTGTACAACTACAGATTTATTAATCATAAATCAGAACAAAGAAGCATGTCGTCTCTCTCTCATGCCATCTCAGAGAGAACAGCCAAAAGCAAAAGCTATACACAACGGAAGTTCCCAGCAAGCTGTGCTGGAATGTAAACAGGCATGTGACACACAACAATTCCACACCTCTGCCCTTAAGGTGGAATGGAAATGTCAACAGTCTGATCATGCCCATCCATTCTCCTTTGTTTCTCTCTGCAGGGTTCCTGCCCTTCCAGTCAAGAACCTGAATGGCACTGGCCCAGTGCACCCTGCCCTGGCAGGTAAGAGCAGCAGGGACGGTCCTCAGCCTACCTTGAGATGTGGAATTTTGGTGAATGTTTTCAGTTTATCGCTGGTTTTAATCTTTTGAAGGTTGTAAATCAGTGGCTCCCAAAGTGGATGGTACCACACTCCCCTGGGGGGACAGTGGGATTACCTGGGAGGTGCAAAGAGGCTTAGGGGGCGGCAGGGTGTGTGTCCTGGAGGCGTCAGTGACTATCTGACCTTGAAGTGCTGGTATCCCTGGATCAAGTTCCTCAGATTTGTTGAATTAATTCCACTAAATGTTTTCATTGGAATTTGAATGAATGTGCCATGCATTGTTACTGTTCTGAATTTTATTTAGAAATGGGAAGGCCTGGAAAAAACTAGATTTCCCCCCGTTTCCCCCCATTTTTCTCCAAAGCTGTTTTTTCCCAGAAAAATTGAAAAAAAAATTGAATATTACACACCCTTTTTTTTCAATTTTTCCAGAAAAAAACAGCTTTGAAAAAAAAAAACAGAAAAAACCCTGGGTCCCCCCCTCCCCATTTTCCTGAGTTTATTCGAGGTCTTCCCATCTCTAATTTTATTGTGTTGTTATTTTCCTTAACGAGTCATGAAAACCGCTATCCTGAAGAATGCTTTTTATATGGTAGGGGGCACTGGGGCCGGTGGTCTGAAAACATTTGAGAACCACTGTTTTAAATGGTGGTCTTTTACCGTTTTTATTTATGATTTTATGGTTCACTTCTTGCTCACACAGGTTTGAGGGGAAGAGGAGGTCTCCTAATGACTTTCAGCACCCTTAACCCAACTACCGTTTCCAAGGTTCTCTGGGGGAGGCCATGTTCTTTTCCATGTGCTTTATCTATAGGGTGTGAATGTGGCCTCTGAGGACTTAAATCAACTTTGCTGGCATCCATGCTGCCTGGGGTTGAGGAGAGTTGTAGCCCAACCATCTGGGGAGCACAAGATGGCAGGAGGCTGGGAAATCCACAGCCTCGCCCATGAGTTCCTTCCCCATTCAGCCTTGTTTCACCTTGTGCGCTCTATATCATCTATCTATCTATCTATCTATCTATCTATCTATCTATCTACTGTATTGGCCTGAATATAAGCCGCACTTTCCCCCCAAATTCTGACCGTGAAAAGTTAAAGTGTGGTTTATATTTGCGACCTTATGGTATGCAGCCAGGAGCATGGGGCAAACAGCACCAGGAGCGTGGCGAAGTGGTGCCCGCCCCATGCGTAGTCCCCCGACCTCTCCCCCAAGGCCAGGAAGGGCGAGAGTGAGGAAGGGGAAAGGCCGCCGGGAATGCAGCTCGGCTCCCCCCTGTCCAGTATGCAGCCAGGAGCAGTGAGGAAGGGAGCGGCTTATATTCGGGTATTTTTTCCCTTTTTCCTTTTCACCCTCCAATTTTAAAGCTGCGGCTTATAATCGGGCCAATACGGTATCTCTCTGTCTATCTATCTATCATCTATCATCTATCTATCTATCTATCTATCTATCTATCTATCTATCTATCTATATCTATCTATCTATCTATATCTATCTATCTATCTATCTATCTATCTATATCTATCATCTATCATCTATCATCTATCTATCTATCTATCATCTATCATCTATCATCTATCTATCATCTATCTATCATCTATCTATCTATCTATCTATCTATCTATCTATCTATCATCTATCTATCTATCATCTACCTACCTACCTCTGTTGTTCTTGTTGTTTGCCCTGAGCTTTCCCTTCGAAAACCTGCTCTTTACAGCTGAATCAGAGCAAACGCCAATTCAGCTTTCCCATGAATTGACATTTGCTCCAATTCAGCTTTTTCATGGGAAAAGCTCCAGAGCAAAAAATATGGGGCTTTGAGAAATGGAGTTTTAAATTGTGGGCTATGCCTGGAAAGAGCGAATGATAAGACTTCTCTCCCTCCCTCTCTCTCTCTCTCTCTCTCTCTCTCTCTCCTTGTCTGTATCTGGCCCAGGGATGACAGGCATCTTGATGTGTGCGGCGGGCCTGCCGGTCTGCCTCACTCGAGCTCCAAAGCCCATCCTGCACCCACCACCTGTCAATAAGAGTGACATGAAGCCGGTGCCTGGAATCACTGGGATCTGCCGGAAGACCAAGAAGAAACATCTGAAAAAAAGTGAGCGTGTTTCTTTGTGTCTCTCAATGAGGCCCTTGCCCCATATCTGACTGATACCACAGATACCTAAATTCAGGGCCAGGGTCAGTATCCAACATTTGTGGCCAAGCCCCAAGCCTGTGGGTCTGCGTGACGCTTGCCATTGTAAAGGTCTGGTTTGCACATAATGCTAAACTGTGGTTTGTTGAAGCACACATCTCACAGGTGACCAGACAAACCATGGCTTGTTTCTCCCAAGTTTGGTTTGTTCTCCAGCTGCTCTTGCCTTGTAGTTCGGTGAGTGCCTGGAGTGAGATGACCAAACAAACCATGGTTAAGTAAGGGTGCCGGGTTTCTACTCACAGCTGTCCATGGAGGCGCAGGTCAATTTTGTGTCCAGGGCAGCTGTCTACCAGCTCCATCTGGTACACAGACTGAAATCCTATCTGCCCGTGGACTGTCTTGGCAGAGTAGTGCATGCTGTAGTTATCTCCCACTTGGACTACTGCAATGCGCTCTACGTGGGGGCTACCTTGGAAGGTGACCCAGAAACTGCAACTAATCCAGAATGCGGCAGCTAGACTGGTGACCGGGAGTGGCTGCCAAGACCATATAACACCAGTCCTGAAAGACCTTCATTGGCTCCCAGTACGTTTTTGAGCACAATTCAAAGTGTTGGTGCCGACCTTTAAAGCCCTAAATGGCCTCGGCCCTGTATATCTGAAGGAGCGTCTCCACCCCCATCGTTCTGCCCAGACACTGAGGTCTAGCTCCAAGGGCCTTCTGAAGGTTCCCTCCCTGCGAGAAGTGAAGCTACAGGGAACCAGGCAGAGGGCCTTCTCAGTAGTGGCACCACTCTGTGGAACGCCCTCCTATCAGATATCAAGGAAATAAACAACTATCTGAGTTTTAGAAGACAACTGAAGGCAGCCCTGTTTAGGGAAGTTTTTAAATGTTTGATGTTTTATTGTGTTTTTAATATCCTGTTGGAAGCCGCTCAGAGTGGCTGGGGAGGCCCGGCCAGATGGGTGGGGTAAAAGTAATAAATTATTATTATTATTATTATTATTATTATTATTAACATCATCATTATTATCATCATTATTATCATTGTTGTTGTTATTCTTGTTGTTGTTGTTGTTGTTACTACACAGAATGCTAAGCCATGGTTAAAGCAAACCAGGGTTTGTAAGCCCCCCAAGACTTCACATCATGGTTTATTAGGGCAGGAAATACTTCATAGTTAAGGTGCTGACCAAATTTCGCACGTATTGCTAAATGCCAAGCCGACATAGGTGAACCTACATCGCAGGGGTGTGGTGAGGATAAAACAGGGGAGGGGGGACCCATGCATGCCAACTTGAGCTCTTTGAAGGGGAGAGAAATGTAATATCATTTTTTCTTATAAGAAAGGAAGGCTATATAATAGAGAATGATCTAGTTCCAGTGCTCTTTTATTCTGTACAGGCAAGAACCCTGAAGATGTAGTGAGACGTTACATCCAGAAGGTGAAGAACCCCCCAGATGAGGTGAGCTGGCTGCTAATCTACTAATCTACTTCATGGGGGATCCAGTTATGTGACACTAAATTCCTTAGAAGTATACAAAATGTAAGAATAAATACCCTGGGCAAAGGGCAAGCTAAGATCCCAGAGAGAAGCCTGTGTAAGAATTCTTTCCCCGATCCAAGTGGTGAGGGGTCTGGAAGCCAAATTATATTAAGAAATGGCCGGAAGATCTGGGTGTGTTTGACCTGGAAAAAGAGGTGACTAAGGGGTGACATGGAAACTGTCTTGAGATAGCTGAAGCAGTGGTGTAGCGTGGGTTGCCAGCACCCGGGGCCATGTGGAGGGATGGGTGAGTGAGAGGGAAATGGATGAAGTACGCATTCAACTCCCTAATAGCATACGCATCACCCAGGAGATCACAGCCACAGAGATAAGAAGAGTTATTCTGTTGTCTGGAGAGGCGGCTTCCTGGTTCGCATGGAGAAGTCATTTTCAAAGGAGCTCAATGACAGAAGAGCACAGCCTTGTTGAGGCAGCACCGGGTGTTGAAATTTTGCACCCCTCACAATTTTTGCAAATGGGGCAACCGCCCCTGTGCCCCTTGCCCAAATGCTACACCACTGAGCTGAAGGGTTTGTCATGCAGAAGATGGAGCACACGAGCTCCAGAGGGGCAGGATTGGAACAAATGGGTGGAAAAGGCAAGGAAAGCAGATTTCAGTGAAACATTAGTGACTGTGAAACAGAGGTGTCGGGTGCCCCTTCCCTGGAAGTATTCATGCTGAAGCTGTGCCTGCAAAAATAAGGAGCAGAAAGAGAGGGGGTCCCCTGGCCTCTTTCAAAATTGAAGACAGCCCTAGAACCCGTTTTATCCCCTGTGTTTACCACTCACCAGTGTTTGAAACTCCCACTGTTCTGGGTGCATTTTGCGACAGGGAATTTCATTAGGGCGAGCAGTTTCTGAGCTCTGGGCGCAATACTGTGCCTAAGATTTCAGATTAAAACTGCCGAGTGAAAGGAAAGGAGGACCTTTTTCTGCCTCCCCACTTCCAGCTACTCTCTGAAGTCTGGAGAAGAGACCCTCTTAAGAATATTAGGGGAGTAGGCAAGGGAAAGACTAGACCATGTGAAGAATGAACATAATATTTTAGCTGTAGTCCATTCATTTTCAGCGTTGTATTTTTGTTATTAAAAAAGCATGCCTAGACATTCTGTTGCTGCTCCCATAACCTAGGTTTAAGGTACCATTTAGCTCCTAGCTTTCACATCTCAGTTTCTAACACTGCCCCTCATGTCCCCAATTTGTCTCTCTCCAACAGGACTGTACCATCTGCATGGAGCGGCTGGTGTCCTCATCGGGCTACGAGGGGATCCTCAGGCACAAGGGGGCCAAACCGGAGCTGGTGGGGAAGCTGGGCAAATGCGGGCACCTCTACCACCTCCTCTGCCTGGTTGCCATGTACAACAATGGCAATAAGGTGAGAGACCAGAGGGCAATGGGTGGTTGGGTGAAAGGCATGGGAATGGACTTCTCCCTCCCAACACACCTTTCTCTCGTTTTAAGCCACACAATTTTCAAGGCCTGTTTTCTGCAATAAATAGTAATACAGTGGTATCTCGGGTGGCGCTGTGGGTTAAACCACAGAGCCTAGGACTTGCCGATCAGAAGGTCGGCAGTTCGAATCCCCGCGATGGGGTGAGCTCCCGTTGCTCAGTCCCTGCTCCTGCCAACCTAGCAGTTCAAAAGCACCTCAAAGTTCAAGTAGATAAATAGGTACTGCTCCGGCGGGAAGGTAAACGGTGCTTCCGTGCCCTGCTCTGGTTCGCCAGAAGCGGCTTAGTCATGCTGGCCACATGACCCGGAAGCTGTACGCCGGCTCCCTCTGCCAATAAAGCGAGATGAGCGCCGCAACCCCAGAGTCAGTCACAACTGGACCTAATGGTCAGGGGTCCCTTTACCTTTACCTCAGGTTACATACACTTCAGGTTACAGACTCCACTAACCCAGAAATAGTACCTCGGGTTAAGAACTTTGCTTCAGGATGAGAACAGAAATTGTGCTCCGGCGGCACGGTGGCAGCAGGAAGCCCCATTAGCTAAAGTGGTGCTTCAGGTTAAGAACAGTTTCAGGTTAAGAACGGACCTCCGGAACGAATTAAGTACTTAACGCGAGGTACCACTGTACAGTCATACCTCGGAAGTCGAACGGAATCCGTTCCAGAAGCCCATCCGACTTCCAAAACATTCGGAAACCAAAGCGCGGCTTCCGATTGGCTGAAGGAAGCTCCTGCAGCCAATCAGAAGCCACGGAAGCCCCACTGGATGTTTGGATTCCAAAGAATGTTCACAAACCGGAATACTCACTTCTGGGTTTGTGGCGTTCGGGAGCCAAAATGTCCGATTACCAAGGCGTTCAGAATCCAAGGTACGACTGTAAATAAATTAGGGTAGGGTTGCCACCTTTGGTCAGGCAAAATATGGGACAAGTTGGTGGGGGAACTGAGGGGGCTAACAATTACTTTACTTGGTGCAAAAATGACAATGGCTTGTTTCCAATGCTGGTCATACTCAGAGTAGACCCAATGAGATGTATGGATCTAAGTTAGCAATGCGGGACGCGGGTGGCGCTGTGGATTAAACCACTGAGCCTAGGACTTGCCGATCAGAAGGTTGGCGGTTCGAATCCCCGCGACGGGGTGAGCTCCTGTTGCTCAGTCCCAGCTCCTGCCAACCTAGCAGTTCAAAAGCACGTCAAAGTGCAAGTAGATAAATAGGTACCACTCTGGCGAGAAGGTAAACGGCGTTTCCGTGTGCTGCTCTGGTTTGCCAGAAGCAGCTTAGTCATGCTGGCCACATGACCTGGAAGCAGTACGCCGGCTCCCTAGGCCAATAAAGCGAGATGGGCGCCGCAACCCCAGAGTCAGTCACAACTGGACCTAATGGTCAGGGGTCCCTTTACCTTTACTTTAGTTAGCAATGCACATTAATTTCAATGACTCACATCCTCCCCACCTGCTGAATTTCTGCCTATCAAAAGAATGGTAAATGTTTTAAACACCTTGAGTTCCATGGCTAAAAAGCAACCTGAAGAATGAGCTTCTTCTACATCTGCCTGTTCCTCTTTCTCCTCCCACCCTGTCTTCCTTTTGCCTGGCAGGATGGCAGTCTGCAATGCCCCACTTGCAAGGCCATCTATGGGGAGAAGACCGGGACTCAGCCCCCTGGGAAGATGGAGTTCCACATTATTCCACACTCGCTCCCTGGCTACGTAGACTGCAAAACCATCCGCATCGTGTATGACATTCCTGCAGGGATCCAGGTGAGAGGGATGGGGAAGAGAGAAAGAGAAAGGGAGACGAAAGGGTTGTGGTTGTTGGTTCCTATTTATCTACAGTGGTACCTTGGATTACAGACACTTCAGGTTACATACTCCACTAACCCAGAAATAGTACCTTGGGTTAAGAACTTTGCTTCAGGATGAGAACAGAAATCACGTGGCGGTGGCGCAGCAGCAGCAGGAGGTCCCATTAGTTAAGTGGTACCTCAGGTTAAGAACAGTTTCAGGTTAAGAACAGTTTCAGGTTAAGAACGGACCTCCAGAACGAATTAAGTTCTTAACCCGAGGTACCACTGTACTTACTTATTTCATTAAATTTATATGCTGCTTGATTTTTTTTTAACCCAACAACCCCAAAGCAGTTTACAGAAAAGATAAAACATAAAAACTATCAATGACAATAATTTAAGACGTTTGAAAAGTTAAAATAACAATAGACTAAAAGCAGACAGAAACTCACATGAACTTTCTAAACATCAGGGCAGGCTTGTCTACACAAAAAATGTTTTTAGGAGGTGCTGATAAAAGTACAGTGGATGCACCTGCCTGATATCAAGAGGCAGGGAGTTCCAAAGTGTACATAGGTGCTGCCACACTAAAATACCAAGTTCTTACAAATGCCAAACAGGTACTATGTAACGGTGGTACTTCCGCTGATTGAAGCAGTCGAGTAAGCATATATGGAGTGAGGCAATTTTGCAGGTAAACTGGTCCCAAGTTGTTAAGTGCTTTATATACTAAGAGGTACACTTTGAGCTTGACCCAGTAGCAAATTGGCAGATCGCTGTGTTGATAGCAATTGTGCTGCAGCATTCTGCACTAATTGTAGCTTCGGCCCTCCACATGTTTTGGGACTACAATTCCCATCATCCCTAACTAAGAGGACCAGTGGTCAAGAATGATGGGAGTTGTAGTCCCAAAAACATCTGGAGGGCCGAGTTTGCCTATGCCTGTTCCAGATCAAATGCAAGGGAAGCTCCACATAGAGTGCATTGCAGTAATCCAGTGTTTGATTTATGAGTTGCAAAATACCAAATCTTGCTAGGCAACACACACACACCGTATTGGCCCGAATATAAGCCGCACCCGAATATAAGCCACACCTTTAAAATTCAAGGGGGGGGAGACAATACCCGAATATAAGCTGCTCCCTTAAAATTCCACAGGCATTCACACCCGTTCTGTTTTACAGTATGTCTGTTTAAGCAGCGATATCGTAAAAGCCCATTTTTGTAAGGTCGCCAATTTAAGCCGCACTTTAACTTTCAACAGTCGGAATTGGGGGGGCGGGGAGTGCAGCTTATATTTGGGCCAATACGGTATAATTAATGAACTTTTCACAATATACCCAGGGGCAAGAAAACCATGTTTCCCTTGCCCCATGACCTTTGCTGGCGCAACATGTAACTGAGACCTCTTGCTTCACCAGGGCCCGGAGCATCCAAATCCTGGGAAGAAGTTTACTGCAAGAGGCTTCCCTCGCCACTGCTACCTTCCTGACAACGAGAAAGGCAGAAAGGTAGGCAGCTGAATTTCCCATGGGCTCTGGGAGGGGCCTTCAGTACAGAGGAGAACATTTCCAAGCTTCCCCTCGAAATCCAACTTAGCCGAGCGCTGAGTTTCTGGCATTTTGCTTCTTCAAGACCCCTTTGGGGCCAAAGCCCAAAAACCTGCCTCTGCTTTTCAAAGCCCATTTCTGAAGCCATGAGGACTAGATGCTTGCCCATTTTGTTTTAAAAGGTCAGGATCCTCAGGGTACCTTGTTTCGAAACCAGCTGAGTCATAGATCTTTGTTCCAAAGCCATGCTCTTAGGACAGCAGCAATGGCAGGAAATGGCCGAAAAGGCACTGGTATGCAGGTCCCCCAATCCAGCTGGTACATAAAGGTGGCGGAAAGGATGCCTGCAACTTCGAGTGATGCTTTTAGTGTCAGGCAATAGTTTGGCCTTGAGCTAGCTGCACAGATCATTTTCTGGGTGGGCCACCTCTTGTTTTCAAATGGGGTCTTTATTCCTTGCCTGTGAAATAGCGGTTGGGCACCTGCTTCGCATTCAGAATGTCCCAGGTTCAATCCCTGGTATCTCCAGGTAGGGCTGGGAGAAACTCCTGTCTGAAACCCTGGAGAGCCACTGTTGCTCAGAGTAGACAGTGCTGAGCTAGATCTACCAATGGCCTGACTCAGCGCTTTTCCCCCAGCCTCTGCCGTGTCAGGGTTGGGGTGTATGCAAGGGAGAAAGAGAAGGGTCATTGGTTCGGGAGCTGGTTCATTCCGGGCTGGCTCAGTGCCAGGAGTTCTTGTTTGCGGGCTCCGGAAAAAGGTATCAGAACTGCACTCAAAGCCCTGGTTTGACTCAGTTGATTTATTCGTTCATTTATTCCTGCATCTTTTACTGTAATCTGTCTATTGTATCATCATAGTATCCTAAATTCGTGTTACTTTACAAGTGTCATCGTATTCCTGCCAATGATTTCAACTGTTTACAATGGTTTCTCAGATACCGTACTTTTCCGTATATAAGACTATGTTGTTTTTTTCTTCAAAAATTCATGCTAAAAACTGGGGGTTGTCTTTTACATGGGTAGTGCATAGGGTGGACGTTTGATTAGCTGCTGGCGTGGCTGTCAGCTGCTATTGTGCATGTTATTGGTTGCTGCATCAATGGGTGGTTGGCACATTCTGCTGGCGATGGGACAGACAGGAGGCAGATTTTGCAACGTGTGTTGGTGAGAGATTTTTGGCAATTCCCCCTAAAAAAAGCTCAACAACCCTGGGTAATCCCCCCCCCCCAAAAAAAAACAAAGCTCAACATCTCTGGGCAATTATCCGCAAAAAAACCTCAACAGCTCTGGCCAATCCTCTGCAAAAAAAAAAAAAAGCTCAACAGCTCTGTGCAATCTCCCCCCTTTTTCTTAAAACTGGGTCCCCAAAAATAGGGGGCGTCTTATACATGGGGCGTCTTATAGACAGTATGGTATGTTAGAAAGTTACAGTAATACCTCGGGTTAAATATGCTTCAGGTTGAGTGTTTTCAGGTTACGCTCCGTGGCAACCCAGAAGTAACGGAGTGCGTTACTTCCGGGTTTCGTCATTCGTGCATGCGCAGATGCTCAAAATGACGTCACAAGCATGCGCGGAAGCGGCAAGACGCGGAGATGTGCAGTCGCATGTTACGTTCTACTCAGGATGTGAACGGAACGGATCCCGTCCGCATCCAGAGGTACCACTGTATTCCAGTCTTTTAACTTCCTGGTTTCCGATCTTTCCCTTTAGTCTTGCTGTTTCTGCATATTCCATCAGCTTGGTCTGCCATGGTTTGGCTCAGTTTTAAGTAAGCCAGCTTCTTATGTTGCAGGTCTTGAAACTCCTAATTGTGGCCTGGGAACGCCGGCTGATCTTCACCATTGGGACATCCAACACGACAGGCGAATCCGACACAGTGGTGTGGAACGAGATCCACCACAAGACCGAATTTGGGTCCAACCTCACCGGCCACGGCTACCCCGACCCAAACTACCTGGACAACGTCCTGGCGGAACTGATGGCCCAGGGGGTCTTGGAAGCCAACCTGAAGGACTGAAGAGGCATCGCAGCTGCTCTTTCCCAACCACACTTTTGCCATGGGCATTGCGTGGAAGCACGAACACTGCCTGAGTCCGTCCGTCCGTCCGTCTGCGTGTGTGCGTGTGTGCGTGTCTCTGTTGATCAGCTCTCAACCAGCATATCGGGATAAGCCTGGTCTTCAAGACCTCTCATGTTGCCGGTCTTCACCTCTTCAACCTGGGTCTTCAGTTTGGCTCTTCAGCCGGGTCTTCACTTCTTCTCATGTTGTTGGTCTTCACTTCTCCAGCCAGATCTTCAGCCTGGCCTTCACATCTCATGTTGCTTCTACTGCCTTGACTATGGACGATCTCCACACAGCGATGCCAAACATGGCTAAAGGAAACCATGGGGCGTTCCTCTCCCTCCAGGACCAAGGACTGTCTAGATCATTCCTGAGTTTCCCCACTGGAGGAAGACCACCCAAAACTGCGCAAGTGAGCAACTGAAGCAATCTGCTCTCCTTTTTTCTTTTATATATGATATATACATACATAACACAAACCCCTATATATTCTTGGCAGTCTGCAATATTCCTCTTGTCCTGACTGTGTTTGCACATTACACCATCCTATATTACATATCTGCCGCTCTGTAACAGGATATCATATGTAATAGAGGAGATATATGAATCCAAGTGTGGAAGCGTTGGTCCTCCTGCCCACCCCTTCCCGGGAAAACTCTTGGTTCTTCCTGCATTGGTGACTCATTTTGCCTTTGTGATGCCTTTGCCACTTTGCCAGGAGGCAGTAGGAAGGAATTCTGGCTTGGGAAGCTATGGGTTGTTGTATCCACCTAAGCCCTACTCAGAGTAAACCCATCGAAATCAATGGACCTAAGTTAGCCCGGTTTGTTCATTTCTGCGGGTCTGCGCTGTGTAGGACCTGGGATGGCCAAAGAGAGGTGTGACATCTTAATGACGGGCACGGCAGTGTTCCCCACCTCAGCTTTGCAAATTGCCTTACACACACAAGCACGCTGGTCTTTACGGCCAGCCCCTGAAGAGTTTACTGCCTAAAGCAAAGGTCGAGATGCTGCCGCCTCCTGTTCCATCAACTGTCCGCTAGCATTCAGTCCGCTAGCAAAACCCTCTCAATCTTGCTCTGCTGGCCTTCACCTCTCCAGCTGGGTCTTCACATCTCATGTTCCTTCGGCTGCCTTTGCTGCCCAGCAATGTTTCTGAATCCCAGTTGCTGGAAACCACGGGATTGCGTTCAAATCCTACTTGCTGGTTTCCCACAGACATCTGGTTGGCCCCTGTGAGAACAGGATGCTATTGGCCGGATCTAGCCGGCTCTTCCTTTCAACTCGATCTGATTTCAGCACTGGCGACGGGATAGTGAAGCTGGTTTGGAGATGAGGCCATGTAGCGCTCTTCTAAGAGCTTGCTGCTGCTGCTCTCCACCCCGCCCACTACATCATTTGCTGACTAAGGCAGGTGGCTCCCTCTGCCTAAGGTTAGGGCTGGCCCTGTTGCTCCCCATCCATGCTATGGGATACCGTCCCCCTAATAGTTGCTGGAAACCAGAGGGGGGAAGGAGAGTCCTCTTGTCCTTGGATCCTTTCTGGTTTCCTACAGGCATCTGGTGAGAAGAGGATGCTAGACTAGAGGGGACCCCTCTGGCCTTATCTAGCAGGCATTTCTTACCTTCTTGTCTTAGGAAGGTCTTTGCAAGGGCAAAGAGGGAGTCCTGCACTTCAGATTAGATTCTGATTTGGGCACATTGGCCTTACCCTCAGAGAGGGGGGAAAGGGAATTTGGCAGAGGTGTATGAAACAATGTATTCTGTGGGGGGAAATGGATTGAGAGAAGGCTATCCCTGAGCTCTCATAATACTAGAACCCAGGGCCAGCCAATGAGGCAGAATGTCGGGAGATGCAAGATGAAGTAAAAACTCTGGAATTAGCTGCCGCAGGAGATCACGCAGCCCGCCATCTTGGACAGCTTTAGAAGGGGGTTAGACAAAATAACAGAGGGTAAAGGCTATCAACAGTAACTCGTCAGTGATGGCCCCACATTAGTCCATTTTTTTTTTTAATGTTGCTTTAATCAGAAGCGATAGTTACCGACACACACACACAAACACTAAACCGTCCTAAGATTGCAAACTTGGGTTTTTTTGAGTTTATTAAAAAATGTGAGGTTTGTGCAGGAATTTGATAGGTGTGCACGGCATGGTGTGGAAGGGAGGGGGTGAAGCTGAATGTTGGAATACAGTGGTACCTCGGGTTACATACGCTTCAGGTTACAGACTCCGCTAAGCCAGAAATAGTGCTTCAGGTTAAGAACGTTGCTTCAGGATGAGAACAGAAATTGTGCTCCGGCAGCGCAGTGGCAGCAGGAGGCCCCATTAGCTAAAGTGGTGCTTCAGGTTAAGAACAGACCTCCAGAACGAATTAAGTACTTAACCCGAGGTACCACTGTATTTAGGACAGATGACGTGACTTCTTTACAGACTGGGGAACTTGCTCCCACAGGAGGCAAGCCACTTGGATGGCTGCCTTCTCCCAAATTTACTGTTCCGATCCACCTCTGCACACTCTTGGGTTCGCCTGGCTTGACCAGCAGCCCTCAAGTGTTGAGCCTTGCCTGGACAGTCCCCACAGTTCCTACCATGCCCTCGAGCTGCTAGCCTCCTGTTGCCTTAATATGACCAGCAGAAAGGAGAACTGTGGGCAGCTCTGGCTTCTCCCCAAGTCATTGAGGAGAGAAGCTACCTTCTCATCCCCACTCCCTGCCAGCATTACGACATGGGTGCAGGAATCTATTTCAGACTGAGGGCCGCATTCCTTCCAGGGAAACCTTCCAGGGGCCACGTGTCAGGTAGGGCCAGAGGCAAGAGGCTAGTTTCTGCATACACCCTTCTCTATCCCCCATGGAGGAGGCAAGAGGCACGATCAGTTCAGGGGCATGTTCCCAGCCAGGGAAAGGCATCCAGGGCAGTATGTGAATCAGGGCCAGTGAGTGGTGTGGCCTAGGAAGAGTCCAGAGGGCCAGACAGCCTGGATAGCTCGTTGGTTAGAGCGTGGTGCTGATAACTCCGAGGTTGCAGGTTCGATCCCTGTATGAGACAGCTGCTTATTCCTGCATTGCAGGTGGTTGATGATCTTCAGGGTCCCTTCCAACTCTGAAATTCTCTGGTTCTATGGTAAGAGATGCATGGTGAGCCAGATTTGGCCTGATGTTCCCCACACCAGCCTTAAAAGGTAAAGGTAAAGGGACCCCTGACCATTAGGTCCAGTCGTGGCCGACTCTGGGGTTGTGGCGCTCATCTCACTTTATTAGTCAAGGGAGCCGGCGTACAGCTTCCGGGTCATGTGGCCAGCATGACTAAGCCGCTTCTGGCGAACCAGAGCAGCGCACGGAAACGCCGTTTACCTTCCCGCCGGAGTGGTACCTATTTATCTACTTGCACTTTGGCATGCTTTCGAACTGCTAGGTTGGCAGGAGCAGGGACCGAGCAACAGGAGCTCACCCCGTCGCGGGGATTCGAACCGCCGACCTTTCAATAGGCAAGTCCTAGGCTCTGTGGTTTAACCCACAGCGCCACCCGCGTCCCTTAGGACAGTGCTTAACAGCACAGCGATCCTCTCGCATACAGGATCTTAAGGTATCTGATGCACAGAAGGGAGAATTGTGGCTGGTGCCCCTTCTCCTCACCTCACCCTCCAAATACCACTTAGGCCCCTCCACCATCCCATACCCAAGTCCCCCAACTTAACTGCTCTTTCTGCAGATCCAGCAGGAATGGGAGGCGGACGGCGTGCCCTTCAGGGCTGGATTCACCCATACGCTTCATCGTCTGCAGAGAGTAACGTCCCTGCTGTCTGGAGTTTGCCCAGGCACAGTGCGTGCCCATCTCCCTCTAAACTCATTTCACATTCCTGGTCCTCATAACTCATGCCTGCCCTTTGTTGAAAGACAAGGAAGAGGGAGCAGCGGCTGGCGTTTTGGTTTTAAAAAAAATTATTATTTCCCTCTTTGCAAAGGCAGGTTTCTGCTGCAGTGATAAAATCAGCAGGGAACGGATCCACCTTTTTGCATTGAAAACCTGCCAAAGTTATCTCTCACCTCTGGGAGAGAAGGAAGCGGGGGCTTGGTTTCATTAGGCAGCACATCCTTCCCCAACCTGCGCCCTCCAGAAGTTGTGTACTACAGTTCTCATCAACCCCAACCCAACATGGCCATAAGATGCTGGGGGCTGATGGGGGTTGTACTTCAAGAGGGCTTTGCTAAGTGGGGCTGATGGGAATTGAAGTCCAAACTCCTGAATGACTCCAGGTTGGCCAAAGCTGATGTAGTAAGTTTGATTGTCCAGCTATCAGTGTTGGGACTCAGCTACATTAGTCAAGAAACAGCGTTTTGAATGCGTTATAAACATGCGGCACCAGATGGCGCCAGAGAGCAAAAAAAATTTCTAAGCCATTTTCCATAGCGTTTTTCTTTTCTTCTGATATAACAATTTCTTACTTTTTATAGCTTTTTTCCCCTGTGTGTAGATCTACCCTTGGTAAAAAGGCATATATTTGTGAAAATGGGGTACAAGAATGCTTTAAACTGGGGAACGTGGCTTGCAAAGAATGTGTGCATTAGGAGAAACATGCACTAAAATTCAGATGGAATTCCATGAGGGATTTTTTTTCAAACTGATGAGGGAGTTGGGTATGTTTAGGCAGGAGAAGAGAAGACTGAGAGGTGAAATGAGAGCCATTTTCAAATATCTGAAGGGCTGTCACATAGAAGATGGAGGAAGCGGTTTTCCCCCTGCTCCAGACTGTAGGGTCTGAACCAGTCGACTCAAGTTACCAGATTCTGACTGAATGTTAGTAAGGACTTTCTGATGATAAGAGCCATCTGACCATAGAATGTACTCCCTCTGAAGATGGTGGACTCTCCTTCCTTGGGGGGGCGGGGTTAAACAGAGGCTGAATGGCCATCTGTCAAGGATTCCTTAGAAGTGATTCCTGCATTGCTGGGGGGTTGGAGTAGATTGCCATCAGGCATCCCTTTCAACCCTATGATTCTATAATGCAGATTGTGGAGGCTAGACTTAACAACTGGAAAAATGAGAAACCAAGAAAAAAACCAAAATGGACAGATTTGTCAATCCCTGAAAGGGAGAGTCCCAGAATTTACTCCCCATTTTGCCAGTCTGGGGCAAGAAAGCATAGGGGCAAGTCTGGGGCAAAAAACCATTTCATCCTCTGTTCATTAGAGGCAGGGCTGTTTCCGTTCTGCTGCAGTTCATTTTCTTCTCAAAGATACATTATTCATCTCACTGTCGTCTGCAGCAAAAATCATGTAACTTGAGACAATTTAAGCAATCAGTTGCATTAATTACATTGTTATTACATTGTTCTACCACATTCATTTGAATGCAAGGGGAACTTAATGCATTTTTTTGTGGGGTGGGGGTATAATCAGTTATGTATCATTTACAAACTGAAGGCAACAACAGCCAGTTGACTGATTTCCGTTCTGGATACAGGACCCAAAAGCAAACATAATCAAATTCCTTCTTCATTTCCGTCGGAATTTTCCAACATCCCTAGTTGCAACTCAAACGTTTGGGCTGCATCTTTTAAAACACACACACACACACACACACACACACACACACACAAAAACTCAGTGCAGTTTTCTCTGCTGTTCTTTTGCTGCTCCTGCTGGGCTGTGCACCTGGAGTGATTATTTCACTCCACGTCAAAATTGCCGCCTCCGGCGCTGTGACAACCCCCCACCTTGACCCAGCTGGTCTCAGTTGGTGTATGAGAATCAGTATGGCTTGATGATTATATTATTGTTATTGCTGTTATTATTGAAGTCTCAAGGTGACTCCCAAATGGAGAAAAGGTACAATGTATGTTAAAACAAGATGAGCACTAAAAAGTGGTCCTCCGTCAATTCCCAAGCATCGACCCCGCACAACATCAAAACGATCATACAAAAACATCTGGCTGAAATAATCCCAGGGCAGCGAGGATAAAAAGTAACCATCAGATGTCCAGGAGAACAGGGAAAGTCTTTGCCTAGTGCCAGGAGTACCTTAGAGTCAGCACCAGGGGAGTCTCCCTGGGGAGAACATCCCATAAATCAATTCCACTCACCCACACCCTCCAGGCAAGCAAGAGGCATGATCAGAATTCCTGGGGAAACATTGCAGGCAAAAGCATTCAAGTAGGGGTCAGAGCAGGGCTCATGGGAGGTGTGGCCTGGAGGCAAGGGGTGTGGCCTTGGAAGGAGGGGTGGCTAGGGAGACCTCAGATGATGGTGCCAAGTTGGTTCCTACAGGAAGAGTTGTTGCATGAGGTATTGGGGTCTTGAGCATATATGAACCAGAGTTTATTTAGCATTATGTTCTTTCTCCTCAACCCTCCTTTTCTTGGCTAATAGCAAGAGCTTGAGCCTGGCTTGCAAGAGTGTTTCTGAGGATGTGCCAAGTGCCTTTCTCCTCCCATTGTGCCACCACAACTTCCCTAGACAAAACCACACATGCCCATGGCTAGATTGGACGGGCATCCAGGCCACGTCCCTATTAGGAGTACATCTCCTTGGAACTGGCATCTGTGTGATGCTCCTTAAGCCAGGTGAAAAGGGGAAGAAACTCCTCTGTACTGTTCCTCTCTTCTCCCTGCTTCCTTAACGGTTAGGATCCAGTTTGTTGCCGGAAGCAGTGACAGTGTTGTCTTCTAAACCAGCAGAGACCAGAAGGCACCCGTGCAAAGGCTCCTATGCCAGCCTGAAAGACTTCTTCTGCTACTTATCAAGCAGCCCAAAAATGTGCGCCAGCCTCACCACTGAACCTGTCAATGGAAGAGTGAGGAAGCTCACTGAGTGACACAGAACTCCTCATTACAAGCCCAGTTTGTGCAGGCTTATTCTCTGTCCTCCCTTCATCCAAACAAGCATCACCAGAATCCCAGTTCTTTCCATAGATCACGTAGCTCAGTTAGTTACAGCATGGTGCTGATGATGCCAACGTCACAGGTTCGATCCCCGTCCAGGACAGCTGCAGGGGACTAGATGATTTTTGGGGGTCCCTTCTATGATTCTGTGAGTTCAAGGATGCTTTGCAGCCTGGCAAAACCACTTGCCCAGGGGTGGGGGGAGCAGGGCTGGTGAGGGGTGTGGCCTGTGGAGAAGAGTTGTGACCAGTGGAGGAGGGGTGTGGCCTGTGTAGGTATGGCTAAAAGGGGCGTGGCCTGTGGAGAGGGGTGTGGCTGGGAAAGTGGGTGTGGCCTGTGGATACAGTAGTCCCAAGGGCCCGAAAGAAAGGTCTGTCTGGAGGTTCTCATCTGGTCCCTACGTCTGAAATTTGCCACTGTGTCCTATGGCTTGAATGCACATATGACCTGAAGCACAGTAATAGCAGGGGCACGGGGGATCTGTGGCCCTGTCCACAACTCACAACATCCACCAGTCCCAGCCAGCATGGTTGATGCTCAAGGATGATGGGAGTTGTAGTACTGACCGCATCTGGAGGGCCACTGGTTCCCCACCACTGGGTTATTGGGTAGAGGAGAGTCAAGTCTCAACAGCCTCACATGGGACAGGTGAGAGAGGTTGCATTTCCGAGCATGTCTAACTCTGGGTGGGGCTGCTGGATGGTGGGGAGGAAAGTTGCCATGTCAATGGCAGGGTCAGTTGAGGTTCCTGTCTGGAGATCCCAAAGGGCTTTGTAATTTCCTTGGTGTCTTTCTCTGTTCATGCTCAGCATGTGTTGATGTCTTTACAAATTTATGCAGTAAATGTGGAATCCAAATGCTATCTCTGTGTTGCATTCTTTCCTCTCCAACCGAAAGCACCTTGGCTATGTTCGACGCACCTAACTCTCAGGGACTGGCTGGGTGAGGAAGAGATGTGGGCGCTGCCTGCCCTGGAGCTCCTCACGGGTGATACAGAAGATGTCTTAGACCCTGGATCATGGTGGTGGGACACTGGGGGGCAGTCTGGGGGAAGGGATGAGCTGGGAAGCAAGCGCACTGCCTTGCCCCTGTGATTGAGAGGGCTGGTGCAGATGTGGATTTGAAACACACACACACACACACACACACACACACACACAGCAACTTCCTTTCCCCATTTTTAATTTGAAATGGTCAGTTTTAAACCCTCCCCAGAGGCTCAGAGAGCAACAACCTTTAGAAACAGATAATAAAAAACTTCAATATAGTTCAGTTATTTACAACTACGTTTGTTTGTTTGTTTTTGTTTGTTTGTTTAAAAAGGAGGCACTGACTCCATACATTCAAAACAACATTTAATTAAATTTTGGCTGCCTTGGGTGTCAAGATCCCAGCAGTTCAAGCAGCTTTCCATTGGTAAAATCTGATGTTCAAATTTGCTCATGTGTGAAAGGACCAGAGCCAGCTCCAGGTTCGATGGAGCCCCCAGCAAAAGGGGGTCAAGTCCCTCCCTCATGATATCACCTCCCCACTGTCCCTATGGGCTTGCGTCATGACAACAGCTGAGAAGCTACTCGCCATTTAAATTCCCCCATGATGCAGTGCTCTGGAGGGATGCTACATTGGGTGCCCAGGGCATTGTTGGAAAATACAAAATGGCGGCAAGCTCCCTAACCACTGCTGCCATTAGTCTGCAGCCAAGGGAATAGGCAGATGAGAGAGAGAAATAATAGCCTCGGCAAGCCTTCATGAGTTACCTGGACACCAGCAGCTGCTTGAGGGTGCTAGACCACCAATGCTGGAATGGAAAAGGGGCAAATTCTACATTGTCATTTATTCACATTTACAGTCTTCTCTTCTTCTGAGGAGCTCAGGGTAATGTACATGGGCCTCTCCCCTCTTTTCAATCCCCACAACAGCCCTGTGAGGTAGGCCAGGCTGACTGACCAGTCCAAGGTCCATCATCTTCACAGCACAGAGTGCACAACCACCAATATTTCTCTGATAAAAATAGGGATGTCCTATCCCATAACAACAACAACAACAACAACTTTATTGTTCATACCCCACCCATCTGACTGAGTTGCCCCAGCCACTCTGGGCGGCTTCCAACATATATAAAAACATAATAAAACATTAAACATTTTAAAATTCCCCTTCAGATGTCTTCTAAAGGTTGTATAGTTACTTATCTCTTTTGGTTGGGGGGGGGGTCACATAACTCCATAATCTCCAACATTTCTCCAGTGGAAATAGGGGCATCCTAAGGAAAAGTGAGGCATTCTGGGATCAAATCAGAAACTGGGAAGACTTCTGTAAATCCCTGGGGAAAAGGGACACTTGGAGGGTCTGAGAGTGATAGGGTGTGGAAACCAGGTTTCCCTCTCTGGGCTCAACAGTTGGGGGAACCGCGTGACAAGCAAGCCTTGTGCCTTTTGCCATGGCAGCACACATTTGGGTCCCTGGTGGCCTCTCTTGTTAGAGGGGAAGGGTGCAGGACCCAGAGTTGAAGACTTAGAAGGCCTTGTCACAGCTTGCTGGCTTGTTCTCTAAGCAACACAACCACAGCTGGCTAGTTGAAAGTTGCTGGAAACCATAGCAGAAGAGATGGCTCTTGTGCTCGGATCATGTTCACCAGTCCCCCAATTTGGGCATTTGGTTGGCCACTATGAGAACAGGAAGCTGGACCAGGTGGCCTGATCCGGCAGGTTCTCCTTAGGTTCTGGACTGGATAAGAAATGCCCAGAGGTTCCTAGGAGATCTTCATCTGGTCGGGAAGCAGGGAAAAGGGGAAATCATCTCCCAGGGCTTAAAGATTCCCCACCCACCCAAGGGAGACTGTGCGACAGATGCTTTGGTGCAAGCCATGATTTATGGGGCCATTTAGTGCTGCTGCACCATCAGCTTTTGGCAAGGCGTCCCCGGGGAGCTGGGCTTTGCGGCTCTTGCTGCACTCAGAAACGTGGTTCGTGAAGCTATTATCTCTCTGCACTCCCAGCAAGCCAGGAGCCTGGTCCGACAGCCTTCCCCACTCCCCACTGCCCCAAATATCACTCCAGCAGCAAGGAGGGGCTTTGTGAGCCGTGTGCCACATTGCAAATATAATGCCCTGCCTGATGGCTCCCCTAGTGCAAGCAAACACCTGCTTCCGGTGGCCTGTCCTAAGCCTGCCCTCAGCTCCCTGGGGGAAAACCTATTTCTGGTCCTTTCACTAGACTGCCCCTGTGTGAGTCACATCTGCCTGCATTTACAGTAAAAACAGGCACAATGTTTTCAGAGAGGTGGGAGGGCCGCCATCGCTGCCCTCAAAACACAGAGACATTTCTCTCCAGCCTTGGAGAAGGTGGGGGACAAAAAAAACAACAGTTGAACAGGCAGGTTTTCAGTGAGATTCGGGTTGAATCAAGCTATCGGAGGGCTGGAGCTCATTGGAAGAGCGTCTGCTTTGAGTGCAGAAGGTCCCAGATTCAATCCCTAGAATCTCTAGGTAGGGGTGGGAGAAATCCCCTGCCTGAAACCCTGAAGAGCTGCTAAACTAGCAGAAAAGGAAAGAAAGAAATGGAGGGGAGTGACAAAAAATGAGAGGGTTGTATCCAAGATACCACTAAGGGCAGATTCATACTGCAATGTTTAATGGATTGAAAGTGCTATATTTCCCAGCGCCCTTCACTAACTTCAGTTCCCAGGATTCTGCAAGGGAAGTCACACGCTTTCCATCTGCTGTGGATGCACTTTAAATGCATGGTGTGGAATCTGCCCTGAGTTCGTCAGTTAGCTTGTTCTGGTAATGAAACATTTTGCTCCATGGGCCCATTGTTGTGCAAGAGACAGATGAAGGTGTTTGCTGCACAAAAGATTGCATGGTCTGTTGCCCAGAGAGTTTCCGCTAGTGCACCTGCTGTGTTGAATTGCTGTGCAACTTTAAAAACTTGGGCTCGTGGGCAGAAAGACTGGACAGAGCCCAGAGAGGAAAAGAAGATCTCTTCCAAAACAGTGCAAAGAAATCACTGTGTCTCACCTGCGAAGCATCTCAAAGTGTTCCCTGGCCTCCCAGAACCACCTGCCACCACAGGAAATAGGGTTAGTTAACTGCATTTTGTAATCTGCACATCTCTCTCTTTGTGGGGGGGACAGGTAATGCTGTTTTCATTTCCCATATATTCCAAGCAGTGGCAGCCAGTGCCCCTTGGCATTGGAGTAAGGTAAAGGTAAAGGTAAAGGTACCCCTGCCCGTACGGGCCAGTCTTGCCAGACTCTAGGGTTGTGCGCTCATCTCACTCTAGAGGCCGGGAGCCAGCGCTGTCCAAAGACACTTCCAGGTCACGTGGCCAGCGTGACAAGCTGCATCTGGCGAGCCAGCGCAGCACACAGAACGCCGTTTACCTTCCTGCTGGTAAGCGGTCCCTATTTATCTACTTGCACCCGAGGGTGCTTTCGAACTGCTAGGTTGGCAGGCGCTGGGACCGAACGACGGGAGCGCACCCCGCCGCGGGGATTTGAACCGCCGACCTTTTGATCGGCAAGTCCTAGGTGCTGAGGCTTTAACCCACAGCCGCCACCCGGCATTGGAGTAGGTGGCGCCAAAGCCAATGACAGGCAAAGCCAGTTTAATTATAACTTTGTCCACATCCTCCTCCCTGTTGACTCTTGCAAGGGATAACCGGGGGCAGCCAACACTTTTCCCTTGACTGGGTGTAAGTAAGAAGCCAGGGAGGTAGGAGGCTTGCCAAGGGCAGACTGAGTTTGGCAGGGCTGTACCCAATTCACTCCAAAGGACCGCCCATCCCTTCTGAATCTCAGATTCTCCAACAGAATGCTTAAGTTATTTAAGACTGAATCCTTATCTAACAAGACATCACGGCATTTGAAAGACTGTGTTTGGCTGTACACCAACTAGCTTGTTCTGAATCCACCGGATCAAAGGAGTTCTTGTTGTTTTCAAACTGACAGTCCTGGGCTGTTTGCTTGCTGCAACCGTGTGATCAAATGCAAAGGGGTACTCAATGCTAAACTAACATATGTTATACAGGCGCTGGGGAATCATAGGCTTAACAGGACGAGGAAGAGGCACACCTGCAGCAGGAGAAACTTTCTTGCACTGCAAGAGTTTGGCAAAGAAACCAGGAGATGTGATCAGGAGGACCCCACAGTTGTTGTATTGCACACACACACTGCTCCTAGCACCGTGGCAAATTGCTAGGGCATGGCCCCAATCCACAGTGGGGCACAGTTGCACACCAACAAGGGGGGCACACACTGGGGGCAAGGAACCTGCCTCCTGTGCTACGAAAGAAACTGCCAATTCTGCGCCGGGAATAGATTCTGCGATCTCAGTTATACAAAATGCCCACAATATCTCCTATTCCCACAGAACATATTCTCCGATGTGCTTTTCTCAAATTAATTTTCCACAATTTATTGCAAATCGGCTACATGAAGTCATCCATGCCCACCAAAAGTGAGATGCAGCCAGATGCCTCCTTGACTTCTACGGTTTTGGTGGCCATTGCCTGTGGGCTTTCAAGCCTAACCGTAAGGGATAGAAACTTGGTCTTTTAAAATAAGGATTAGGGAATGTTACTGGAGTCCTAATTCCCATCATCCCTCACTATGGGTCATGCCAACTAGAACCGGGAGTCGAACAACCTATGAGGGCCACAGGTTCCTCATCCCTTTTATAAACACCCAACGGCTGAATTTTTCCAGGATGCTGTGCCCACAATCTGTGCTTCTACAGATTTGTAACATGCACCTCCCCCCCCCACAAAACCACGGGACTAAGTGTGCCTCCTTTGTAAGGAGAAAGTGATCCAAGAGAGGACACTTCAGGAATTACTTGTACATCTGGCACAGATTCACGCAAGCGCCCTCAAGATGCTGTTGAACTACACCTTCTACTGTCACAGACTATTGGCAATGCTGGCTGGAGCTGATGGGAGTTGGAGTCCAACATATGAAGGGCACCATGTTGGATATAGAGCGTAGACTGGGTGCAGCTAGGAGGAGATCAAAGACATTTGCCAATCCTTTCTCTGTCTGTCTGTCTGTCTGTCTGTCTGTCTGTCTGTCTCACTCCCTCTCTCTCCACAACCAACCCAACTTGCCTCCCAAGCCCCAACTCTGCATCCAAAGCCATCCAACTTGCAAGGCAGGCAATGGATTCCCTTACTTATGTAAACACACCATTACAATACGGAACAAACATGGGGTGCGTGTGTCCCACCTAAGGGTGGTGGGGCACCAGGTCAGCTGCTGCCTTTGCTTCCTCTTCGTGGTGCTCAAAGTCATCGTGGGCCTTCTGCAGATCCTGAATGACTTCTAAGAGTTGGGCAGTGGCTGCCATCCTCCGAGCGCTTGCATCTGGGGGTGGGGCCAGAGAGGTGGAGGAGAAAGCGAGAGAAGATGCCGAAGATTATTTGCTGCCTTGGAGGTACATATTCTCCATCGGGTGTCCTCTCCCATCAACTGTCAACAGAGGGCAGCCATTCCACCAGGCTGCCTTGGCAGGAGAAGTGGGAAACAGGTCTTGTTTCATCAGCTCCACCCGGCACCTCCTGCCCCTGAATTGCACCAGCTGGTCATTGTAGGAACAGCTGTTTAGAAATGAGTGTCTGAGGTTTTTAAATAGACTTTCCTCTTCCTTCCCTGTCCCTTTTTCCTTGTGTGCCATGTTGTGGTTGTGAGCCTGCATGGGCAGGGTTTGTCTTGTTCTGACTCCACATAAGCCACTCTGAGGAGCGGGGTACCCATGCTCTAAACAAATGAATGAATAATCTTCCAGAGTCCTGATGGATCCGGCCACTAACAGGTCATTGCCACAGTAGCCAACCCGGGGCCTTGTTTTGTGAAGATGTAAAAGTAGCATTTACTTACATAATCTAGTTCTTGAAGCAGCCATTTCAGTAGCAAAAATGAAGGCAGGTTTATAACTACTATCTAAGTCACACAAGTTAAGCTCAAAAATGGTGTCTGAGCGGCAGAGCTCAGACATGCCTATGAGGTCAGCATGGATGGAAGCACAATGAAGAAAGAGAAGGCTGCCTGGGCAGGAAGGAAGTATGTAGTGTCACAGCTTCCTGCCAAGGCAGATAAAGGAAGTGATCTCACAAAGTTCTCTCTAGCATATTTTACAGGGAAGCTCTGTGAGCCTCAGCCCCTTCATGTGCCTATCTGGCAAAACATGAATTGCTGGTTTCACTGCAATGATGTCCCACAAATCCCATATATGGCATGTGCTGGGAACTGCAAGGAATGAGAGGGCTCCTGTGCTTGGGGTTTCAGTGGCCACTGTGAGAACAGGAAGCTGGACTAGATGAGCCCCTGGGCTGATCCAGCAGCAGAAGAAGAAGAGTTTGGATTTGATATCCCGCCTTTCACTCCCCTTCAGGAGTCTCAAAGCGGCTAACATTCTCCTTTCCCTTCCTCCCCCACAACAAACACTCTGTGAGGTGAGTGAGGCTGAGAGACTTCAAAGAAGTGTGACTGGCCCAAGGTCACCCAGCAGCTGCATGTGGAGGAGCGGAGACGCGAACCCGGTTCCCCAGATTACGAGACTACCGCTCTTAACCACTACACCACACTGGCTCACATAAGACCCTGCTTATGTCCTTATGGTGGGGCAGAGCCCCATTCACCTTTGTGGACCAGTCTCCGTTGGCAATAGTCAATCCTCTGGCACAATATGTCAATCTGAGACTGGCCAAATGGATAGAACCTGGACGGAGAATGATAAAATGCAAGATTCAACTGAAGACGCTGTAGATTCAGATGCAGAAGATGCATCTAAGAGCCCACCGGGGATGGGAAGTGACCTATGTGGCCTTCGGTTCTCAGCACAGGAGCTACATCCTGCTGGGCTCCCCTAGGAACTGTCAAGTCTTGTTGAACTTCAGAGAAGCCCCCATCCCATTGGCCCATCGTCAAGACTTTCATCTGGAGGCCCCCACCTCGTCCCTCCTTACTACCTCAAGGACGCTTTGCTTTCCAGCCTCGTGAACATTGGTCAACCATCCAGGAGACAGAATCGTTCACACTTGATTAAGGACGCACAGAGCCTTCATTGTCATGCGATGGCAGAGCGGAAGAGACCTCATCATTCCCATGGAGCCGGGAGACCCACTGGGGAGGGCCAATGTCCTTAATTTCCAGCTTTCAGGAGACCGAGGGAATGCTAAGTTTGGAATTTGTCAGTTGGACACACAACAGAGCGTAAAGCTAGCCCCACACTACAGCACGGATTGGCTGAGCTGCTGTGATATCACTCGGCTTTCCCAAAGGGGAAGGGGAGAGAAGATCCGGCAACAAAAGGCTGGCAAACAGCAGCTTTTGTGAGGGGAGTGAAAGGTGAATTTGCTGGGAGTGCATCAACGTGCCTCTTTTTGCTGGTAGTACAATGGTCCTTGAAACCATGAGGCAATTCCTTCCCATGAGGGAGGTGCTGCAAGATCTCTGGCAGAGAGAGCATAAAGATCTATGGAGAAAGGAGATCCTGAAGCAAACTGCAAACTGCAGTTTGTTGAGAGTGCTGAGAGTTGTTAGGAGACACCCCCCCCACAGAACTACAATTCCCAGAGTTCCTTGAGAAGAACGATTCATTGTTAAACTACTCTGGGGATTGTAGTTCTGTGAGAGAAGTAAGGGGTCTCCTAACACTCTTCTTCTTGGGAAGAAGCTGAATGGAAGCCCTTGGAAAAACTCTCCCAGAACTACACAGTCAATCAGAGCATGTGCTACCTCAGCAAGGATCATGTCAGTGCCTCGTTGCTAAGCAACACCTCCACTCACCGGCTTGGCTAGTTGACTAACACAGAGTTAACCCTTAAGTTGCACTTGGCATGATCTCCGCTGTTCTCAGTTAAGGATGTCTGGTGACTGTTAGTGGGCTGAGAAGGCAGTAAATTTAGGAGGCCTCTCTTTAAAGCATAGTGATGCTGGCAGCCAATGACCACCAGACATCCTCAGCTGAGGACCACCGAGGCAAACCAGGACAGTTGGAGAGAGAGGCAGAGAGAATGCTGGCTGCAGTAGTGAGACCTGCCAGCAACTCGCATCCTTATTACTCATTTCCTGCTGCTACTCAAGGCAGCTCACAGTTTTACATAACAGGCAGGATACAGCAGGGAATAGGAAAAGGGAAATAAGCAGAATTCGGGTCCTGGAGCTGCTGACATAGGCTGCTCTGGGAGGGGAGCATCCAAATCTCAGTGGGTCCCAGGGATGCTGACAGAGGAGGTTTCACTACCTCATCTCTTCCCTCTGAGGCAGCCAGGTGGACACCAATTGGATCAGACCCTCTACCCAAAGGGGCTGCCCACCTTTATAGGCCTGTGGGAACATTTGGAATTTTGAGGGAGTTTTGTGGGTGCTGGTGGAACTGATCTGAGCCTTGAAAAGCCCATAGAGCTGAAGGAGGAAGTGAGATAGAGTGTCCCTCTTCCAACTTCCTCCTTCAGCTCTATGGGCTTTTTCAAGGGGGGGGGGGAGGTAACTATGCTAACCAGCTTCTGACCAAGGGGGCAGGGAGTGGGGTGGGGCTCATAGGCTTTGTGGGCATAAGGAGAAGACCAGAAGAGTTCCACTGCGCCCAAGGGCACCATGTTGGAAACAGCGGCTCGCTCACTCTTCCTCTGGAAGAACCTTCTAAAAGCAAGTTTTTTTAATCACTATGCTGAGCGCAACAGCAAAAACAGAGACATGAAATCTGATAAGGGTATCAAATTCCACTTCCCCACTTTTGCTCACACAAAAGCTGGCAACGTTTAGTGACAGCACCCCTCCCCAAAATGTCACGGGAACTGTTTATTATTTTATTTTAAAGGATTTTAAGCAACGCTGTTTAACCAGGAAGGCTCTCGGGACAATGAGTCGCAAGTCAGCCCCTGTCCTCAGGCTTACAGTGCTGTGACCCAAAAGGAAAAAGGGAGGAGGGGGGAGGAGGAAAAAGGCAAACTCGGGCTTAAAGTTCTTGTAATGACCGTAGAAGTTGAAACGAGCAAAATCCAGGCGCTATGGCGATGGATGGAAGGTAGTTCCAGAATGAGCAATGAGAAAACCTCACAGACTGAGCTGCATTACACACATCATGTGTGATGGCCTGGGAATCAGATTCAGAGGCTGAACCTGAGGAATCCCAGCCTGCACAGGAGTCCCTGCCTCCAGGACCAGCTGAGCCGGGGCTGGGGCTTGAACCTGAAGGGCCCTGACCTGTGCCGGATCCTCAGGAGCAGACACCAGCTGAATCTGCTCTGGCTCCGGAGGTGATGGAGGACCCATTGCCTGCAGGTGTTCCACTCCCAGCCCTGTCAGGGGAAGGTGAGGTTGCCTCTGGGTCCAGTAACCCTCCAGCCTCTCCTGAGCTGCAGAGGCTCAGGGCAGAGAGGCGGAGGGAACTAAGTTCTCGCAGGAGGAGTGCTCTCCTCCAGGCCAGGCCCCCCTATGCCTCAGAGGAGATAAAAGCCAGCCAGCCCAGTCCCAGGTTGCGGGAGCAACATTGTTGGTAGCCTGTTCCTGCCAGCACCCTGTCCTGCTCTTCTGCCAAAGTTCCTGTCCACGCCCGACTCCTTGCCTTGGACCCTGCTTCAGACTTGACGGACAGCCTCCATACCACACCCTCGACCTCGGACTGGACTCGGACCACACCGCACGGTAACCCCCCGGGACCAGCACATCATGCAAGCATAATCACAATGCCAGGAAGTCAAACCCTGGATTTGGAGACAGAATTACAGAATTCTGACTCAACTTACATCTCTGACAACAGAAGAGGAATAGAGACCTACCTTTCTGGGCCCCACTGCTTTGCTCCTGTGTGGCCCCCGTGCTTGAAAACTCCAGGTATTTCTCCCTAGGGAAAGGCAGGAATAATTTGATACAGGGCTGCAAGCTAATTCGTCGGTGCAATCAAACTCCCAAGGGCTGCAACCCAATACACTACAGGCAGGGAGGCTTCTTCAGCCATTCTTCATTCCATTTTGGACAACCTTCTGAGGGCCACATGCCAGGGGTGGGCAGAGACAGAGGCAAAAGTGGGTGGAGCAACGGATGTAAATTTTACCTCTGTAGAGTAGGCTAGTTTCTATACACATTCAAATACCCTTATTTATCCTTCCATGCAGGCAAGCAAGAGGCTTCATCAGAGTTCAAGGGCACATTCCAGCCAGGCAAAGAACACTCAAGGAGGGTACGAGGCAGGGCTGGTAAGGGGTGTGGCCTGGTGAGGGGGTGTGGCCTGGTGAAGGGGTGTGGCCAAGCATCCGATAAAGAGAAGATGAATTGACTCTTGAGCTCAAGGTTCCCTTGCCTGTTATTTACACTTCCCAGGGAGCCAGTATCATGGAAGGCAATGGGGCTTACTTCTGAGAAAACATGCAAAGGACTGCATTTTCAATCTTTAAATTGCAGGCTTTGAAAAACAAGCCAACATACAACAATTCTGCCCCCAAAGAAGCCCCAAGTGTCATTTTATTTAAGCTGATTTATTTAAGTAGATTTTTTTTTTGTGAAAAAATATATTAAAAATTGGGGGGGAGGGAGCATGCTAGTTCTGTTTCCATGGGAAATAATAGTTACTGACTCTAAGAACCACCTTCACTTTAAGGCAAAGGGACAAGGCATTCACACAAAGGAAACAGTTTTTATTTAAAAAGAAAAAATATATACAGTGGTATAGGTAAAGGTAAAGGGACCCCTGACCATTAGGTCCAGTCGTGGCTGACTCTGGGGTTGCGGTGCTCATCTCACTTTATTGGCCGAGGGAGCCGGCGTACAGCTTCCGGGTCATGTGGCCAGCATGACTAAGCCGCTTCTGGCAAACCAGAGCAGAGCATGGAAACGCCGTTTACCTTTCCGCCGGAGCACTACCTATTTATCTACTTGCACTTTGAGGTGCTTTTGAACTGCTAGGTTGGCAGGAGCAGGGACCGAGCAACGGGAGCTCACTCCGTCGCGGGGATTCGAACCGCCGACCTTCTGATCGGCAAGTCCTAGGTTCTGTGGTTTAACCCACAGCGCCACCCACATCCCATATACAGTGGTGCCTCGCAAGACGAAATTAATCCGTTCCGCGAGAGTCTTCGTCTAGCGGTTTTTTCGTCTTGCGAAGCAAGCCCATTGACGGATTAGCGCTATTAGCGCTATTAGCGGTTTAGCGGCTATTAAAGGCTTAAAGGCTTAGGGGATTAGCTGCTAAAAGGCTATTAAAGGCTATTAAAGGCTTAGCAGATTAGATAAAGGGGGGGAAAAGCGAAAAAAAAAATCTCTAGACTCGCAAGGTATTTTCGTCTTGCGAAGCAAGCCCATAGGGGAATTCGTCCTGCGAAGCAACTTCAAAATGGAAAACCCTTTCGTCTAGCGGTTTTTCCGTCTTGCGAGGCATTCGTCTTGCGGGGCACCACTGTACAGTGGTACCTCGGGTTAAGAACTTAATTCGTTCTGGAAGTCCATTCTTAACCTGAAACCGTTCTTAACCTGAAGCACCACTTCAGCTAATGGGGCCTCCTGCTGCCGCCGCACCACCGCCGTGCAATTTCTGTTCTCATCCTGAAGCAAAGTTCTTAACCCAAGGTACTATTTCTGGGTTATCGGGGTCTGTAACCTGAAGCGTCTGTAACCTGAAGCTTCTGTAACCCGAGGTACCACTGTACTCTATTTCTTTATTACAATTTTGCATTGGGAAATGTGCTGAAGGCCCAACCATCAGATCTGGCAGCAGGAAGCCATCCGCTCCGCTCGCTTCTCTAGCAGATCGATGCTATCAATCACGCGGCTCATTCAGATGGGAGCGACGTCACAACAGGCGCAACAACGGGAGAGTGAAGCAGCAATCAAAAGCTCCATCACTCATAGCCCAGAAGGCCCGGGCCCTCCGATTATCCATTACAGTTTTTACTTGAATTGACAAGACAAGTAATTAAACTCGAGAACCAGAGGAAATTGCCGTTCATTCTACAGCCTGCTCATGTTCCTCCCTTAACAGGGTGCGGGATGTTACTTCATGGGGAGAGATGACCACAAGCTTTGTATTATGCTTTGCAATGCCGAAGGCTGGATCCCTGCCATCTCTTGCTAAAACGGAGATAGGGACATAAGGAGAGATCTTCTGGATCAAGCCAGTGGCCCACCTGGTCCAGCATGCACCAATAGCGGTTTAGCCATGCTCAGCGCTTTTCTTCTGGGGGGTGGGTACACATACCCCTAAACATTTTGTGAATCTTTGTACTTTTGTCCATTTATTGTACAGTGGTACCTTGGTTCTCAAACTTAATCCGTTCTGAAAGTCCGTTCCAAAACCAAAGCGTTCCAAATCCAAGGCATGTTTTCCCATAGAAAGTAATGCAAAATGGACTAATCTGTTCCAGACTTTAAAAAACAACCCCTAAAGCAGTAATTTAACATGAATTTTACTATCTAACAAGACCAGTGATCCATAAAATGAAAGCAATAAACAATGTACTGCAGTCACACAATCAATCCGTAGCTGAACTGGGTTCCACACTGTCACAAAAACAAAACAAAAGCCGCAAAAATGAGAACGCAAAATAAATAACAAAAACAGACAGACCTCAGCGTAACACTCAAAATGGAAGCGTGGCCCTCAAAACAGAGCACGTCCGGCTTCCCGAAAAATGTTCGCAAACAGGAACACTTACTTCCGGGTTTGCAGTGTTTGGGTTCCAAGTTGTTTGAGTACCAAGGTGTTTGAGAACCAAGGTACCACTGTATTTATTTCCCCCCATTTGAACTATAAAATGGTGATTTTCTTGAGTCAAAATGAGAGTACCCCTAAACATTTTTTAAAGAAAAAAAGCACTGGCATTGCTGGCCACAGGCAAAGCTGTCTGTGGACAAATGCCAGCTCCCTTGGCCTCAGCGGCATACTCCATAGTCGCTTTTGACTGGACTTCACCGTCCAGGGGTCCTTTACCTGTAGCTCTCAGTGTGGCCAACCAGATGCCCCAATGAAAAGCCCACAAGCAGGGCCTGAGCACAAGAGCCCTCTCCCTTCCTGGGGTTTCCAGTGTATTGTGTGGCTGTCACCCTTAGCTGGATGTCCCAGGCGTTTGGCATGGATTATGATGAATGGATTATGACTCATGAGAGGAGAAGACTCCCTGGAAAAGACCCTGATGTTGGGAAAGATGGAGGGCACAAGGAGAAGGGGACGACAGAGGACAAGATGGTTGGATAGCGTTCTCGAAGCTACCAGCATGAGTTTGACTAAACTACGGGAGGCAGTGGAAGACAGGGGTGCCTGGCATGCTCTGGTCCATGGGGTCACGAAGAGTCGAACACGACTAAACAACAACAACAACAAACATGACGAATTTGCTGTTTCTTTTTCAATAGGTTATTGTATGTACGGCATTTACTGTAATGTATTCCCACCACCACCACCCCATTTTTATGCCATGCTCTTAAAATTTATAAAGTCACTTAAAGACTCCTAAAAGGTAAAGGTAAAGGGACCCCTGACCATTAGGTCCAGTCACAAAGGACTCTGGGGTTGTGGCGCTCATCTTGCTTTATTGGCCGAGGGAACCGGCGTACAGCTTCCAGGTCATGTGGCCAGCATGACTAAGCCGCTTCTGGTGAACCAGAGCAGTGCACGGAAACTCCGTTTACCTTCCCGCCAGAGCGGTACCTATTTATCTACTTGCACTTTGACGTGCTTTCGAACTGCTAGGTTGGCAGGAGCAGGGACCGAGCAATGGGAGCTCACCCGGTTGCGGGGATTCAAACCGCCCACCTTCTGATCGGCAAGCCCTAGGCTCTGTGGTTTAACCCACAGCGCCACCCACGTCTTAAAGACTCCTAACGCTTAATAAATTAACGATAACAATTTCACACTTTTCTGGATTTCTCCCCGAGAAATCCAGAACTATTGAAACTGGCAGGCTGACACAGCCCTAGCCAAGATTAGTCCAGGATCAGATCTCATGCACTAAAGCCAACAGTAAGTGAATAATTTTTTAACCATTTGGTTGTCAAATACTGAGCCATTTTTAACTGGAGCTGCTTTGGGTTGAATTTGGAACCTTCTTAATACAAAGAATGTGCTCTGCTATTGAGCAGTGGTGTTTTCCTCAGGCTTGAGGCCCCCTATGTGGTCTGTGATGAGATCTTGACCTTTTGATTTTTGAAAGCCAAATTGCCCCATCTTCCTCTTAGAAAATTGAAGAAGGGCTGATGTTGATAGCAGTGGAAATTCCTTAATGAAGAGGGGGGCCTCTGGTGGGGACATCTGGTATTGCATGCCTGACTTTGGCTCCCTTAGGGTACCTATATCTGACATGTTTATTGGCACCAGGAAGGCACCTTCATAGAATCATAGAATTGTAGAGTTAGAAGGGACCCTGAGGGTCATCTAGTCCAACCCCCTGCAATGCAGGAATATGCAGCCGTCCCACACAGGGATTGAACCTGCAACCTTGGCGTTATTTGCACCACGGTCTAACCAATTAAGCTATCCTCTTACATCACTCCTACTTGGTTTGTAGGCTCTTTGTGTTGTAGACCCATGCAAATTAATGGCAATTTAAGGAGGCTTCCTGTTTGACTTCTGGTATAGTTCAGTCAGTAGAGAATTGAGACTCTTTAATCTCAGGGTTTGGGGTTCGAATCCCACGTTGGGCAAAAGCTCACTGCATTGCAGGGGGCTGGACTAGATGGCCCTTGTGGTCCCTTCCAACTCTACAATTCTATTATTCTAAGGCTTTATTCTAAGTCCCATGAACTGCAAGAAGATCAAACCTATCCATTCTTAAGGAAATCAGCGCTGAGTGCTCACTGGAAGGACAGATCGTGAAGCTGAGGCTCCAATACTTTGGCCACCTCATGAGAAGAGATGACTCCGTGGAAAAGACCCTGATGTTGGGAAAGATGGAGGGCACAAGGAGAAGGGGATGACAGAGGACGAGATGGTTGGACAGTGTTCTCGAAGCTACCAGCATGAGTTTGACCAAACTGCGGGAGGCAGTGGAAGACAGGAGTGCCTGGCGTGCTCTGGTCCATGGGGTCACGAAGAGTCGGACACGCCTAAACAACTAAGCAACAACAAGGCTTTATTTGTACGCAGCATTTCCTGCAACAGCAAAGGGTTGGACCAGATGGCCTTTGAGGGACCCCTAACTGTATGATCTCATGATAAAGAGCTGACACCACAAAAAGTAGACTTTTGGCTGCGTGTCCTTTTCTCTTTGCCACACCCGTTAACTCCAATGGGTCTACTCTGAGTAGAGCTAGTCCTATGCCTCCCCCATGACCACCACTAGCACTGCCACCAGCATGACGGTGCATTGCCTTGCACACACCTGAGCTTGTCTCTGCCCAAGAGAAGCTGCCGGTACACCATCTGTGCCTCTGTGTCTGGGTCCAGCGGGTCGCTCCAGTCGCCGAGGGTCACGGCTGAGTGTGTGCGGCTGCAGCCCCGAACTGTAACCAAACCACAACCCATGAGGGAAGCCATGAGTGGCTGCACAGTGCAGGGCCTGATCTGGATTTGGGCGACTCACTTGTCCCAAAAGGATCTTGTGCGGGGTGGGAATCCTTTAAAATAAGGCGGGATCTGCCAAAATACTGGGGACCTGGCCTCTGCTCAAGGGTGCTGAATACCTGACCCCAGGCCTGGAAGTGGATGGTGCTCACTGGGCAGACACCAGGGAGCCCAACAGTAGGGGGCGTCAGAGGGAGTGAGAGGTTGGAGAATAATAATAATACGGTAAATAATAAAATTTTATTTATATCCCGCCCTCCCCAGCCGAAGGAGGGCTCAGAGCGGCTAACAACAATAAAAGTAAAACAGCATTCTAAAATCAATTCATTCTAAAATCAATTCAAAATCAAATTAATGGCAACCATTGGGCTAGAGTTCTATGAGGATTACCAAAGGAGGGGGTCAGGCTGTGACTTGGCCAAAGGCCTGGTGGAACAGCTCTGTCTTGCAGGCCCTGCGGAAAGAGGTCAAGTCCCACAGGGCCCTAGTCTCTTGTGACAGAGCGTTCCACCAGATCGGGGGCCACAGCCGAAAAAGCCCTGGCTCTGGTTGAGGCCAGCCTAACCTCTCTATGGCCAGGGACCTCCAAGATGTTTTTGTTTGAAGACCATAAGGTCCTCAGTGGGACATTCCAGGAGAGGGGCGGTCCCGATTCTAGTTTTAAACCCAACCTCCTCCTGCTGAGTATTACAAGGGGCAACACTGAGAATGAGCTGCCAGTCAGCGCCCCTCCCCGGGCTGGTTGTACAGAAGAGGGGCAGGCAAGTGGGAGCTGGCCAGTGGCAGCCTAGGTTGGTGGGGCAGGGCCTTTGCCCTAACTGTCCACGCCTTCAAAGAAAGCAGGTCAGGCGACAACCCCGAGAAGTGGGGTGGGAGGTGGTGAGGGAGAGGGGACAATTCCTAGGGAGGGAGGCTCCATCCCAATTGCACAGCTAACAAAGCTTGGCTGAAATTCAGATTTTAAAAACCACAACACCCTGAGAGCCAGGGTGGTGTAGTGGTTAAGAGCGGTGGACTCGTAATCTGGTGAACCGGGTTCGCGTCTCCGCTCCTCCACATGCAGCTGCTGGGTGACCTTGGGCCAATCACACTTCTCTGAAGTCTCTTAGCCCCACTCACCTCACAGAGTGTTTGTTGTGGGGAGGAAGGGAAAGGAGAATGTCAGCCGCTTTGAGACTCCTTCAGGTAGTGATAAAGCGGGATATCAAATCCAAACTCTTCTAATTGCATAAAGAGGGCAGCTCTGCGTTTGCCTCACTAAGGTGCCTTTGATGCCCACAGGCCTGCATATGTGAGCACAGGCACAAGCTAAGTTACCTGCACGGTCAGTCTGTAAACAGCAGGTCCAGCGGCTGCCGCGAAAGGCACCCGGGTGGCAAAACGGCAGCAGGCACTCATTGGAGACCATCACTTTCCGGATAGCTGAGAGCCACTGGTTGAGCTCATTGACGTTCTGCCGGAGAAAAGAGAGCGCCGGTCAGTAGGTGGCGCCATTTCCCCTCACTCATTTATTTGCCGCTGGTACAGTGGTACCTCGGGTTAAGTACTTAATTCGTTCCGGAGGTCCGTTCTTAACCTGAAACCGTTCTTAACCTGAGGTACCACTTTAGCTAATGGGGCCTCCCGCTGCCACTGCGCCACGCAATTTCTGTTCTCATCCTGAAGCAAAGTTCTTAACCCAAGGTACTATACTATTTCTTGGTTAGCGGAGTCTGTAACCTGTAGCGTCTGTAACCTGAAGCGTACGTAACCCGAGGTACCACTGTATTCTTGATTGCATTTCCGGGTAAGGGCTGTAGCTCAGTGGCAGAGTGACTGCCTGGCCCCAGGTTCAATCCCCGACAGCACCTCTCTGTGGGGTTGGGAATGTCCCCCACAGAGTCAGTGTAGACAATATGCAGCTAGATGGACCAAGGGTCTAGAGCTCAATATAAGGAAGCCTTCTCTGATAAGGGAAGGTCTCAGTGGTTAGCCAATGTGTTTTCCATGCAGAAGGTCCCAGATTCAGTCTCCAGCATCTCCAGGTAGAAGCCTGCCTGGAAACCCAGAGAGCCACTGCCAGTCAGTGCAGGTAACACTGAATTAGATGGACTTGGGATGAGGCAGCTTTCTAGTGCTTCATGCTTCTATGTTCAAACATGCCTGGCAGCAGCAGCGCCGAGGCTGCCATGGGTATCCCAGTGCCCACTGAGGCTGCTGGCGCTGTTCACAGTCACATCCTTTTCTGTATGCAGGGGAAAGCTTTGTCAGCAAGGACAAAACGGGGCCTGTAATGAAATTTAACAGAAAAGGATCATAGCTCCATGCTATAACATCTGCTTCACAAGTGGAAGGTTCCTGGCTGATACCCTGGTGAGCTGCTGCCAGCCAGTATCAGCAATAGTAATAATAACCATACTTTTATTATTTGTACCCTACCCATCTGACTGGGTTGCCCCAGCCACTCGTGAGCTGGATGGACAACTGGTCTGACTTTCAATTTTTATATTTTAGAAGCTTATCCTTCACCATCCCTGCTCCCCAAAATGCTTACAAAAACCAATGTGGTGCAGCAGTTAGTGTTTGTTTAGACCAGGCATCCCCAAACTCAGCCCTCCAGATGTTTTGGGACTACAACTCCCATCATCCCTAGCTAACAGGACCAGTGGTCAGGGACGATGGGAATTGTAGTCCCAAAACATCTGGAGGGCCGAGTTTGGGGATGCCTGGTCTAGGGCCTGGGGTACCAGGGTTCAAATCCCTACTGGCCCATGGAGCTCACTGGGCGACCTTGGGCCAGTCACTGACTCTAAGCCTAGCCAACCTCACAGGGTTGTTGTGGGGATTAAATGAGGAAGCGAGAGCCGTGTGCGCTACCTCGAGATCCTTGCAGTAAAAAAAGGTGATGTACAAATGCAATCAGTTAATCTGTACAGAATAAACTATAGGAAAACATAGATAGCAACAAACTCCTAACGCAAGAATTGTAAGTTCACAGCAGGTCAAGATGCACAATGACAACTCCAACAGTTTTATTCGCCACTCCTCCTTCGTTAGTAATTCTTCCTGTTTGCATTGTTAGACTAGTTAATACTCTCGCTGCTATAGTTGCATAGAAAAACAGATTTTTGTCCTGTCTATTAATTTCTGTACCTACAATGCCAAGTAAAAATGCTTCTGGATGGAGTATGCAGAACTGGCAAAGTTGACTGGAAGAATCCGGAGCCAGAAAGACTAGGACTTCCTTTAGGATTGGAAGAAATATATGACTTATTTGAAAGACAATTGCATTAATGTAATATCACTTGTAGGTTTACAAGAAGTTTCGTAAGGAGGACTATATTGTAAAATGATTTAGGAAGGAAAAAATTACGAAATGAAGTTTAAAAGCATTAATTATAATAATAAAATGCAAAAACAGATAGCAAATTTGAAAATCACTAGACAGGATTGATGGAAGTCTCAGGCTATAATAGCCAAAATGAGGATGATGTGATGTGAAGTGTTGTTTGGAAAACATATGCAAAAATTAATAATAATGTTTTTTGGGGGGGGAAAGATGAGCAATGAAAAGGGAATTGCTAAAGAAAAAGAGCAGCCATCACATTCTCAAAGCCAGATTAACGATGGTCGCATCCACATCCTACATTGCACTGGATGTACATATATAGCAACAATCCCCTAATGCAAGAATCGTAAGTTCATAGCAGGCCAAGAGGAGCGATGCAAAGGGAATTCCTAAAGAAAAAGAGCAGCCATCACATTCTCAAAGCCAGATTAACGATGGTCGCATCCACATCCTACCTTGCACTGGATGTACATGGTGGACAGCTGCCCTCCATTTTCCCGCGTTGTGATCTGCATCATGTGCGACTGCTGGAAGGCGTTCTCATCCACACGCTCCACGGCGCAGATCTGCTGGACGGGGATGGATGTCCGAACCTGGCCATGGGGGAAGAAACCCAACACACCGCCCTGTTCATCAAGGGGGAAACACGGCTCTTGATTCTCCAGCCCTTCCTCAGGAAGCATTTTGCCAATTTACGGGCACCACCCCAGCCAACATGGTGAACTGAAAAAGAGCCTTCTGGATCAGGCTAATGGCCCATCTGATTCAGCATCCTGCCCTCACAATGGCCAGCCTGTGGGAAACCAGCAAGCAGGATTGGAGCACAAGAGCCCTCTTGCCTCCTGTGGTTTCCAGCAGCTGGTATTCGGAAGTATTATTTCCTCTGACCATTGAGCCAGAGCATAACCATCATGGCCACTGATAGCCTTCTCCTCCACGAATTTGTCGCATCCTCTTTTAAAGCCAGCTAGGGTTGGTGGCCATCCCTGCCTCCTGTGGCAGTGAGTTCCACAGTTCAACTGTGGCTGAAGAAGTCCTTTCTTTGCTCCGTCTTGGATCTCCTAGGACACTGAATGTCTGCGATTTCCAGTTGTTATGCGAGAGGGAGAAAAACTTTTCTCTCTCTCCACTTTCTCCACCCAACGCATCGTTTTACCAGCCTCTAGCAGGTCACCTCTTACTTGCCTTAACAAAAATGCAAAATTTAACCAACCCTTGCCAAAAACGCTTAAGTGCAAAGCAGAGTTTGAAGTGGACTTGCAAACTCTTGACAAACTTACCGTGTCTAGTGTTACGATTGAGCCAACTCTTAATACTGACCACATTTCCCTCCAAATACAGGATTTTAAAACGGCTCTTTCCTTACAATGCTATCTATGATCTTTGGCGGGGAGCCAGGAGCACTTTCTGCTACCTGAAATTGCTCCTGGAAGTCCTTTGAAGGAACCCGGCCTTTCAGAACAGATGAGGTCCACTAAACGGACTGTGAGTTTAACTCCTGTGGCAGTTGAAAGAGGCTTGAGACCAGCTCACAACTCATTGTACCTTCCAACATTTTCTCCAATGAAAATAGAGACAGCCTAAGGAAAAGTGGGACATTCTGGGATCAAATCAGAAACCGGGACAGCTTCTGCAAATCTGGGACCGTTCCTGGAAAATAGGGACACTTGGAGGGTCTGCAGTGCAGATTTTAAGGAATGTGTTCCAGGTAGTGATGGGGCTCTTCGGGTCTGAAGCCCAATTTCAGCTCTCTAGGCCTTTCTCTCAGGCAACACCCCTTATCCACAAGCCAAACCCCTCACTGGCCCTTATTTACACCCCCTCAAGTGCTTTTGCCTGGGTGAGATGTGTCCTTGAACTCTGTCCATGCCTCTTGCTTGCCTGGGCAGAGAACAGTGTCTGTGTAGAAGAACTAGACCACTGTACAAAAGCAAACATGGCCTCATTGCTCCACCTACTTTTGCCTTTGGCCCCCCACACTTTGGAATGTGGCCCTTGGGATGTTGCCTGGAAGGCAATGCGGCCCCTGGCCGGAAAATGTTTGTCACTCCTGGCCCAGGTGCAGCTCCTGAGAGGTCCTGAGAAGCAACGCTTCCTTGGGCAAAAGCTGTCTATTACGTATTCTGTGGTCTGTGTTTGCTGAGCCTGGACTAAGGATTCTGAGCCCCTCTGTTCTGATTCGACACATGATATCCAATCACAGAACATTTCAGGATTTGGGCCTCTGCCATTGGCCCTTAAACTCTGAGCCATGATTCGCAGCTTGGAAGTTTAGACAGCCAATCATGTTGGGAGTGGGAGTGGCCCAGGCTTTCAGAAATGTATATAAGCGGTTGCTTTGCTCCTGTTTCCCAGTTATGTAGTTCAATAAAGGTTCTTGCTGTTATCACTGCGTCTTGCCTCGTGAACCTGTACTTCACTGCCCTTTGACTGTTTGCTTTGCTGTGGATAAGACACACCTTTGAACAGCCTTCAACCCTGAGTTTTTGCGTTCCCCTTGCGTCCTCCGCCCTCTGCCCCCCGGGTAAAGGTGCCCACCTGCCACTCGGGAGATTTGGAATACGAAAGGCTCTCGTTGCTCAGCCAGAAGTAGCGTTTTTTGAAGGTGAACCGTGAGACCAAGTGGAGGCCCTCAGCCTTGCGCTTGTTGAGGTAGCCCTCCTTGATGGTGGCCGAGGGGTGGAAGAGCGTCCAGGGCTTCTTCTCACTTGCTCCTGGAGAAAAAAAGGGAGGCACGCTGATTTCTCATATGCTAAAAGCCTTGAAACCCTGTGAACACCGCCCCCCCTGCTTTGGCCAGGGCTAAAAACCACCCCAAGACTCCTATATACATGCATACAAATTGTACAGGGCCGGCCCTAACATTAGGCACAATGAGGCAGTGGCCTCAGGTGGCAAATGCTGGAGAGGAGTCCCCTGGCTGTAACTCCTGAGCTCCCGGTCTAGAGATTGAAGAAGACATCATTTTCTGTTCCAACTTTACCACTAAGAAGGGACTAGGGGTCCCCAAAGTAGCCCAGGAGTCATAGTTTATTAAGGGTGCTTGCCGAGGGTAGTGAGAAGACCCCTCCTCTCCTCACAGAGCTACAATTCCCAGAGGGGTTCAATCCCTCTTCCCAAGGAACTCTGGGAATTGTAGCTCTGGGAGGGGAATAGGGGTCTCCTAACAACTCTCGGCACCACCAACAAAATACAGCTCCCAGAATACTCTAGGGGAAACCACGAGTGTTTAAAGTGGTACCATAGTGCTTTCCACGTATGGTGTGGATTGGGCCTTGGTCTTGTGGTCTCTGCAACAGTGTGTATAGTGGTATATATTTTATTCAGGTGCATGTATTGTTTTGCAAAGTGTGAATTAAGTAAGTTTGCATTTAGTACGTTTCCGAGCACAATTCAAAGGGTGCTGACCTTTAAAGCCCTAAACAGCCTCAGCCCTGTGTACCTGAAGGAGCATCTCCACCCCACCCCCACCCCATCATTCAGCTCCGAGGGCCTTCTGGCGGTTCCCTCACTGCGAGAAGCGAGGTTACGGGGAACCAGGCAGAGGGCCTTCTCGGTAGTGGCACCTGCCCTGTGGAACACCCTCCCATCAGATGTCAAGGAAATAAACAACTACAGTGGTACCTCAGGTTAAGTACTTAATTCATTCCAGAGGTCCGTTCTTAACCTGAAACTGTTCTTAACCTGAAGCACCACTTTAGCTAATGGGGCCTCCCGCTGCCACCGTGCCGCCGGAGCACGATTTCTGTTCTCTTCCTGAAGCAAGGTTCTTAACCCGAGGTACTATTTCTGGGTTAGCGGAGTCTGTAACCTGAAGCGTATGTAACCTGAAGCAAATGTAACCCGAGGTACCACTGTATTTGATTTTTAGAAGACATCTGAAGGCAGCCCTGTTTAGGGGAGTTTTTAATGTTTGATGGTTCATTGTGCTTTTAATTTTCCTGGGAGCTGCCCAGAGTGGCTGGGGAAACCCAGCCAGATGGGTGGGGTATAAATAATAATATATTTATTTATATTATTATTATTATTATTATTATTATTATTATTATATGCAAGCAGAATCAAATTCCCACCCGTACCCTCAGTCCCAGCTTCCTGGAAATGTGGCCCATTAGAGCTCACCGTTCTCACAGTCCACGTTGATGAGCCAGTCCAGGAACTCCTTGACTTGCCCAATGCTAGACAGGATGAAGGGGTGCAAAGGTTCCATCCACTGCTCCTTGCCGTGACCCAGCTGAAGCCCCAGGCTGCCAATGCTCTGCACTGCCTGCCGGCCAGGGTGGAGGGAAGAGAGAAATAGGCAAAGAGGTGACTCCAAGGGAAGGGAAGGACCAGTTCATAAAAGTCTAGTGGGAAGAGTCTCTAAAGCTTGGCCTGCTGTGCCCACACAGGAACCGAAATGATCAAAGGGATGAAGTGACTCCCATGTGAAAAAGGGGCACAGCATTTAGGAATTTTTAGTTTAGAGAAAAAGCAAGTATGAAGGTTTTCCCTCCTCTCTCCTAACACTGGAACTTGCGGGCATCAAATGGAGCTGAATGTTGGAAGATTCAGAAGAGAGAAAAGAAAGTCTTTTCTTCACGCAGTACAGTGGTACCTCGGGTTAAGAACTTAATTTGTTCCGGAGGTCCGTTCTTAACCTGAAACTGTTCTTATCCTGAGACACCACTTTAGCTAATGGGGCCTCCCGCTGCTGTCACACCGCCACCACGTGATTTCTGTTCTCATCCTGAAGCAAAGTTCTTAACCCAAGGTACTATTTCTGGGTTAGTGGAGTCTGTAACCTGAAGCATCTGTAACCTGATGCGTCTGTAACCCGAGGTTCCACTGTACATAGTTAAACAGAGGAACTTGTTCCCACATGAGGCATACCCTCCAATATTTAACCAATGAAAATAGAAAGTTTTGCCCAACAGTTCTCCAACGAAAATAGAGACATTGTATTCCATACCCTCCAACATTTCTTTGATGAAAATAGAGACATCCCGTCCAACAGTTCTCCAAAGAAAATAGAGACATCCCCTCCAACAGTTCTCCAATGAAAATAGAGATGTCCTATTCCATACCCTCCAACATTTCTCTGATGAAAAAAGGGACATCCTAAGGAAAAGTGGGACATATCAGGATCGAATCAGAAAGCAGGACGGCTTCTGTAAATCCAGGACTGTCCCTGGAAAATAGGGACACTTGGATGGTGATGGCTAACAAGCATGATGGACAGAGGCAGCAATGCTTCTGAGTACCAGCTACTGGAATCCCCAGGATGGGAGAAGGCTCTTGTGCTCGGATCCTGCTTGCAGGCTTCCCACTGGGGCATCTGATTGGCCCCAGTGAGAGCAGGATGCTGACTGTTACCTTGGCCAAGAGCAGGAGGGTCCGGCTGGTCTGGGTGTCTGCATGCTGGTCTCGGAGGTTGAACAACTTGGGGGTCAGGATGGCCGGAGCAAAGAAGCGAAGGAAGAGGAACCCACTGATGGCAATGTATTTGGCATCCTGAAAGGAAAACAAAGACGCCCAGCGTGGGTCACATCCAGAAGTTAGGATTGATCACAAAAGTTTTCTGTTGCCAAACAGCCATTGCTAAAGCATACCACACATCCAAACTAAACTTTGGGTTGCACCCAAGGGTTCCCTGCAAAGAAGGATTTATTGTTGAACTACTCTGAGAATTGGGACGCGGGTGGCGCTGTGGGTTAAACCACAGAGCCATGGACTTGCCGATCAGAAGGTAGGCGGTTTGAATCCCCGCGATGGGGTGAGCTCCCGTTGCTCGGTCCCTGCTCCTGTCAACCTAGCAGTTCGAAAGCACGTCAAAGTGCAAGTAGATAAATAGGTACCCCTTCGGCGGGAAGGTAAATGTCATTTCCGTGCGCTGCTCTGTTTCGCCAAAGCGGCTTAGTCATGCTGGCCACATGACCCAGAAGCTGTACGCCGGCTCCCTCGGCCAATAAAGCGAGATGAGCGCCACAACCCCAGAGTCGGCCACGACTGGACCTAATGGTCAGGGGTCCCTTTACCTTTACCCTTACTCTGAGAATTGTAGCTTTGTGAATGGGGTCTCTTAACAAATCTCAGCACCCTTAACAAACTACACCTCCCAGAATTCCTTGGGGGAAGCCATAACTGTTTAAAATGGTATCATGGTACATTCATACCTTGGAAGTCGAACGGATTCCGTTCTGGAAGTCCGTTCGACTTCCAAAGCGTTCCAACTTCCAAATCACAGCTTCTGGCTGGCTGCAGGAAGCCGCGGAAGCCCCGTCGGATGTTTGGCTTCCAAAAGAACGTTCAAAAACCAGAACAGTCACTTGCGGGTTTCGATCGTTCAGGAGCCCAAATGTTTGAGAACTAGGCTGTTCAAAAACCAAGGTATGACTGTGCTTTAAATGTATGGTGTGAATGTGGCCAATGATGTGCTTACAGAAAGCACAAAGGGAGGGGTAATCACTTTCTGAAGGGGCCCTGAGTTGTCTCTGCCTATCATTGGATCCAGCGCCACCTACTGTTGACCTCCCTAACTCTTGCTTAACCAACCCCATCAGAAGCAGCTTGGATCGCAGAACGCCAAATCCCTTGGAAACATGGATGATGAATGACCTCCCCAAGACTTGCTGTTTGGCAGAGGGAGTGGTTATGGGATAGAAAATGTCACACCTGATTCTCTGCCTCCGGGAAATGGTCATCCACTCGCTTGTGCAGCTGTTTGAAAGCCACTCGCATAATGGGGGGACACTTTTCCGTAGAGCTCACGATGGACTCCACAATGTCACCCAGGTATCCTGTCAGCACCTCCAGGCTGCTTTCTCGGATCTGGGCCTCGGACAGGGAGCTTTTGAAAGAGATCCGCCTAAGAGAAATGGAAAATGCGGGGTGAGGATGGGTGGGCGACATGCATGAGAGACCCTTGACCCACCAACACATAACTCAACCACCACACAGTGCTGCCCCCTGCTGATTGTTACAGAGAAGATACTGAAACTGAGCTCACTTACTCACTGGAGCAGCTCTTTGGTATGTGTATGTCTTGTGAATTTGACAAGAGATTAGACTACCTGCTGCAATCACCCACAGAGATGTTTGCAGAGTAAGAAAATACCAGCTCCATCTGGTCCACCAGCCATGGCTGTCCCTGGACTTGCCACTGTAAGTTCATGCATTGTTAACCTCAAGGCCGAGTTATTGTAATGCACTGTATATGGTCCCTTACTCTGCTTGTTTTAACCCACTGCAAACCCCTCTCAGCAAGCTGGGTTCCACCCAAACTTCCCTGCTTTTCAGCAGTCAGACCCTCAGCAAATCCACGTTGAGCATCCCTGCCAATGTCACACTCTGGAAGCATCCCGGAGATGGTGTTGCCTAGCAACCTGCACAAAGAGCATCTCTCCCAGGAAGGCTTCTATCTCTAGAGCAGCCAGAATCCTTTCCATGAGCCAGCCCCACATCCTCAGTGCTAATGTCCTATTAGCCATTTCAGCAGAAATACCCTCCATCTGTATGACGCTCTTCTGCAGGCACGGCTGAGGCTGTCATCCGTCACGTAACACAAGCATAGTGTACAAGCATGTCAGCTGTTAACACTTGCCACACCACAGCGGCCTTATCACATGGTTATCTGTTGTTGTTTTTATCTACATCCCACCTTTTCCCCAGACTGAGACTCAGGCAGCTTACCCAAATGAAGACAGAAGGCTAAAACATGTACAAAAGATAATTGGAAAAAAGTAATTAAACTATAGAATTAAAACAAGATAAAAGCAGATTGATTAAAATACAGCACACCACCGTTTAAAAGCTCGTTCCTTTTTTTAAAAAAGCAAGCCAGTGAGTTCACAAAAGCCTGTTGGAATAAAACAGTCTTCACCTGTTGGCAGAAGGACAGCAAGGAGGGAGCCAGTATGAGTTCTCTAGGGAGGGAGTTCCAAAGTCTGGGAGCAGCCACCGAGAAGGCCCTGTCCTGCATCCCCATCAAGTGTGCCTAGGGGGGTGGCAGGACTGAGAGGAGAGCCTTCCCCAAAGATCTCAGAGCCTGGGTAGGTCCGTATGAGGGAATAGTCTTTCGAATAGCTTGGGGGTAGTTTTGTACTTTTCTCAAAAAGCCTTAAACTGTATGAAACACCCATGTATCAACATTTAGAGATGTTAGCGGTGGTATCTACCCTCAGTGATACGGCTAAGTTTAAATATATATGTGTCATCCAGTTCAGAAAGGTCTGCAATGTTAAATGTAGCTAAATTCAGAGAGAAGAATATAAGAAGAGTGAAGCGCAGGTGGGTGCTCACGAGACAATACACAGTAATAACAGCAAGAACCTTTATTGAACTGGACAACAGGGGCAAAGCAACTGCTTATATACATTTCTGAAGGCCTGGGCCACTCCCACTTCCAATGTGATTGGCTGTCTAAACTTCCAAGCTGTGAATCATAACTTTAAGGTTTAAGTGCCAATGGCAGAGGCCCAAATCCTGAAATGTTCTGTGATTGGATATCATGTATTGAATCAGAACACAGGAGCTCAGAATGCTTAGTCCAGACTCAAGCTCAGACCACTAAATACATAACAATTAGACCCTGCTAAGATGTTTATTTCGGTGGACAACATTCTGACAAATTATTGTTGCATGCCACCCCAATCTCTGAGGCGGGCGAGATTCCACAGGTTCCCAACGCTTACCCAGGGTTTGGTTTGCTTGGAATGATGGACGGTAGAGATTGTGGGTTTTGTGGGATATCAACAATGTGATGCAGTCGCAAAATAGCTAACACGATTCTAGGCTGCATCAACAGAAGTATAGTATCCAGATCAAGGGAAGCCATAGTCCCACTGTTTTGCCTTGGTCAGACCACACCTGGAATACTGTGTCCAATTCTGGGCACCACGATTTTAGAAGGATGTTGACAAGCTGTAACGTGTGCAGAGGAGGGCGACCAAGATGATCAAGGGCTGGAAACCAAGCCTGACAATGAGCGGTTGAAGGAGTTGGGTATGTTTAGCCTGGAAAAGAGGAGGCTGAGAGGAGATATGATAGCCATCTTCAAATATCTCAAGGGTTGTCACATGGAAGAGGGAACAAGCTTGTTTTCTCCTGCTCTGGGCAGTAGGACTCGAACCAATGGCTTCAAGTTCCAAAAAAGGAAGATTCCAACTAAGCATACGGAAAAACTTTATGACAGTAAGAGCTGCTTGTCAGTGGAACAGTCTTCCTTGGGAGATTATGGACTCTTCTTCCTTGGAGGTTTTTCAGCAGAGGTTGGGTGGCCACCTGTCATGGATGTTTTAGCTGAGATCCCTGCATTGCAGGGGGTTGGACTAGATGACCCTTGGGTCCCTTCCAACACTAAGATTCTATATACAACCTGAGCCTATGATGGAAGGGCTCACAGCATGAACACCCCAAGAAGGCCTTGCTTCTCCCGTAGCCACAGCCTTGCATCCCACCAGAAATCAGGCATGGCTTTGTCTCTCAGCTGCAGCCTGCCTCTAGCTTCTAGCTGTCTCTCACCCACAACTCATTTCTGGCATTTGACCTTCTAACCATAGCTGTCAACTTACAGATTTGAAAATAGGGGACCAGCAGCTAAAATAAGGGATTTTGCTATTGTAAAGAGTTACATACATTGGTAGGATTGACAGATGCTGTCAATCCGGCATGAGGCGGTTGCGGTGCCACCGCAGCCGCTGAAGCGCAGCCCTTCTGCGTCCCTCCCCATCCTATCCTCTTCCTCCTCTCTCAGGCCGCCTCCTCAGCTGCCACCACCGCTGCCGCCTCCAGGCTCACGGGCGGCGTGGGCGAGAGTCTCTCTCCCTCCCCCCCTCTCTCTGGCAGGGAAGGGCCGATGGAACTCCTCACGCCAGGATGACGGCGCCAGCGCGTGCGCTCTCACGTGGCGGAGGACCCCGAGCCGCTGCTTCCCTCCCGAGCCGGGCGAGCATGAAACCCAGGAAATTTAAGGGACATCATCAATAAGGGACAGCAGCGGGACACGGCACTGGGGAAAGGGAGTTTCCCGCCAAATAAGGGACAGTTGACAGCTATGCTTCTAACTAACAGCTGGGAGGGGGGCATCCATTTGATTTCTAGCACAGAGCCACTTCCTTTGTTACCTTAACGGCCCATACTTAAGGGACCATCACAGCTAATTCAACCATTGAACCCTTGCTGCATGCAGGAATTAGAAGGGTCTCAGGCATGCAGCCCTAACAGCCCCAACCTCCAACTCACAACATTATTTTTGGAGTCATAAATCATCTGCCAGGCAGGCTCTCTTGCTTCTGTTTTAATTAGCACTGTTGGGTGAGGAAAAAACCGCTACCTGCGAATGACACCCGTCCCGACGCACCACTGTTTTTTAATCATTTTTCTCGTGGCGTTTGGCACCCTACCCCCCATTTCTCAGCAGGCGGCCTTGTCTCTCCTACACTCTTGCTCTGAATGTCACAGTGATGTGTTCTCCACTCTCTTCCCACTCCTCCTCTCCTCGAACTCTTTCCATTCCAGCTGTCCCTCTCAAGGAATCCTGGAGCTGAGATCTAGTACCTGAGTTCCTTTCCTCCTCCCTCCCAACCACTTTTCCTTTTCTGTCCTTTGCAAAACACACCTCGGCTCCCTCTTGAGTGTTCTTCCTCTTACCTGGTCCGGCTCGGCTCAATCTTGCAGGGATCCAGCTCCACGTACTTCTTCTCCTCGAAGATTCGGTTGATGATGGCCTTCAGCACCTCGTGGAGATAAGGCATCCCGACCACCTGACGAATCACAGAGAGTTAGGAAAAGAAGAAGGGGGGGAAATACTTTTTCCAAAACATACATCCGGGTGGAAAGAAAAAAATGACTGAAAACATCTCATTGGTGCTGAAATGTTCAAAGGGTATATAGATCCTTACTGCAAACTTTTATACTGGATATACATGTTAACTCACATGGTTTACCCCAAAGAATCCAGAGATTTCTTGTGTTATTAATAGTCAGAGATCCCACATCTTTTGCCCTGCAGTTCCCAGGCCATAGTTAGAGGAATAGTCAGAGGTTCCCCTTCACTTGCCATGGGAACTCTACAATTCTATGATTACCGTATTTTTCTGTGTATAAGCCGATAAGGGGTTGCGGCAATCGCCCCAAGAAAGCTCAACAACCGCCACCACTGATTGTCCAGATTTTCACTTCCGTTTTAGGGTTTAAGTAAAGGTAAAGGGACCCCTGACCATTAAGTCCAGTTGTGACCGACTCTTCGGTTGCGGCGCTCATCTCGCTTTATTGGCCAAGGGAGCCGGTGTACAGCTTCCGAGTCATGTGGCCAGCAAGACTAAGCCGCTTCTGGTGAACCAGAGCAGTGCACAGAAACGCCGTTTACCTTCCTGCTGGAGCGGTACCTATTTATCTACTTGCACTTTGACGTGCTTTCGAACTACTAGGTTGGCAGGAGCAGGGACTGAACAACGGGAGCTCACCCCATCACAGGGATTCGAACTGCCGACCTTCCGATCGGCAAGTCCTAGGCTCTGTGGTTTAACCCACAGCGCCACCCACTTCCCTGTTTCAGGGTTTAGGCAACCCTAAAATATTGTTTTCTTCATTCTGGGTTCAAAAAAATAGGGGTCATCTTATTCATGGGGGCATCTTATACACAGAAAAATATGGTATTCTATTATTATAATTACATTGTAATGAGAGAGAGATATTTGCTTGCTCTTTTTTTTTAATAGGAAAGATGCCTTGAAACCCAAACTGGGGGAAAGGCTAGATGTCTCTCCCTCTCTCTCTCTCTCTCTCTCTGTGTGTGTGTGTGTAAATACAAGCTGATTTGTTCAACGCAACACACCGCTGACACTTCTCCCTTTTCCTTTCACCAAGTGCTTGCAAAAAAAGAGAGAAAAGGGGGTTTGTCCTGTTTGCTGTGAAAATATATATTTTTTCTTTCCTCTGCAGAGGGTGGTTCATCTCATCTCATGGCAGGTGTTTTGCCACCCCGCCTCCCCCCCCCCATGGCATCATTCGCACCCGAAACCAAACCTCATGAAAATGTGGCACATGTTGCAGATTTGTTTATTTACCACCACCCTAGCGGCTCAGGGACAGCCCCTTCTGTTTCACAGAAACTCACACACAGAGTGGAGAGAGAGAGAGAGAGAGAGAGAGAGAGAGAAAGGGAGAGGGAGGGAGATGGAACTCAGCAATACCCACCTGCTGGTTCTTCCTCCACTATTTACTCACCTTCATGAACTGCTCCATGGATTTAGAAGCCAAGGAGTTGGAACGGAAGAGGGTGTTTGGATCAGCTGAAAGAACACAGAGGGGGTTTGCAATTAGCACCACGAGTGAGAAAATCTACCTGCGAATGACGCTGGCTCCCCTACATTAAGGCGTTGGATTTTTCTCACACCATCTGCTCTCCTTCCCACTGGCCAACTCTGCAGAAGCAGTCTGCTCTGTGTCTGGGTCCCAAACTGAAGTCTTTAGGTTCGGCGAAGATGCTCCCCCAGAACCGCTGCTTCCAAGCTTCGCTCTCTGCAACCTTAGGGGCTAGAAACTTGCTCGTATGGAAGAATGAAAACCAAGGTTTTCAGAAACCCAGGTTCTCTCTTTTGTGCTATGGAATTGCAGGGCTCACACCCAGCCCTAGGCACCCAACTGGTCCTGCTGCCACAATCCTGGGCAACCAACCTCAAATGGCGCACAGACGCACAACGTGACATATGAAGGAATTACTTACTGGTTCTTGAAACCTCACGGAGGTTCACATAGTCCAAAAAAGGCAGCACCAAGCCTTGGCCAAGGAAGATCTTGACTAATTTGGTGGCTACATCCTGGCGACTCTCCAACGAGCAGACCTCTTCCAGCAGGGCTAAGGGTGTGACGTCCTCCTCCTGTAGTGAAGCAGAACATCTGCAAATGGCATACATATATATGTGTGTGTATGTATTTAAAACAGGTGTGGTGAACCTTTCTCAGCCCGAGGGCCACATTTGCTTATTTGCAACCTTCCAAGGGCCACATGCCTGCAGTGTTAGAAACTCATATAAGTTAGGCCCAAACGGTTTTTTAAACCAGGGATACAGTCAAGGAGTGGCTGCTGAGACCATATAACACAGGTCTTGAAATACCTACATTGGCTCCCAGTACGTTTCTGAGCACAATTCAAAGTGTTGGTGCTGACCTTTAAAGCCCTAAATGGCCCAGTATATCTGAAGGAGCGTCTCTACCCCCATTGTTCAGCCCAGATACTGAGGTCCAGCTCTGAGGGCTGGACCTCACTGGGAGAAGTGAGGTTACAGGTAACCAGGCAGAGGGCCTTCTTGGTAGTGGCACCACCCTGTGGAACGCCCTCCAATGTGTCAAGGAAATAAACAACTAAAGTGGTACCTCAGGTTACAGACGCTTCAGGTTACAGACTCCACTAACCCAGAAATAGTACCTCGGGTTAAGAACTTTACTTCAGGATAAGAACAGAAATAGTGCGGTGGCGGTGGCAGGAGGCCCCATTAGCTAAAGTGGTACCTCAGGTTAAGAACAGTTTCAGGTTAAGAACGGACCTCCAGAACAAATTAAGTTCTTAAGCCGAGGCATCTGACTTTTAGAAGACATCTGAAGGCAGCCCTATTTAGGGAAGTTTTTAATGTTTGATGTTATATTATGTTTTTATATACGTTGGAAGCTGCTCAGAGTAGCTGGGGCAACCGTCAGATGGATGATGATGATTGAATAGGATGTCCCTATTTTCAGCGGAGAAATGTTGGAGGGTATGAAAGACTAGTTGCTGCCTGGGGAGTCACACAGCTCGAAAGTCGTGTTTTTCAACAAGACTTTTCGGTTCCTGAAATTCATTCTGATTGTGCAGATAAAATATCACGGGTAGAATTCTACAGGGTGTGTTGCTCGCATATGAAAACAGTCAAGATACAATGATCCCCAGGCAAGCACCTCCAGATGGCGGAGATATCAGGTGAAATTCCCCACCCCCAAAATTTCTTCTCCCCCCCCCATTTTCCCCACAAAACACCTGCCTTGACTGCGCCTGCCTCTTTTTAACCCCGTGTCTCTCTCATGCACAAAAAAGGAGGGTAAACCACTAAGTGCACACCTCTGATGGGCACATGACGGACTCCACCAGCAGGTCTATGAGTGGCTGGTAGTACCGGGAGGGCAGGATCCGATCCTCGGCGAGTCGCACCCGCAGTCTCAGCGCCCCCAGCTTCCCCCTGCAAGCAGAGAGCACAATCTACACCAGGAGGCTTAGTTTGATCAGAATCAATTATAGACTTCTGGAGTTCACGCGAAATACATGACTTCTGGTTAGCGAGTCGCCATAGCCACTAGAGGGCTGTGAAAGTTTGTGTCCCTTGCTTTTTAAACTCGTCTACCCATGTACTATCTGAAAACAAAGGGGCGTATTGGCATTATTGAAATATATTGGCATTATTTTCAGCTCCCCCACCCTTGTTAAATTATCTGCGCTGGCTGCTCATCTGCAAAGAAAATCCGCCCTGAGCAACTTAGGTTCAGGCTACCTTAGGGGAAGTCTAATTCATCTGTGGGTGAGTTATTATTGACAAGGCTCATTTGGCAGCAACAAGAAGCTGAGCTTTTAGTGGCATCGACCCAGCCATGTGGAATATCCTGCCAACAGAGATCTGGCAGGCTCCTTCGGTGCCAAACTTTGTACGCCTGCAGAAATTTTTTCCCTTGTGCCGCCAGGCCTACGCAGGCAATTAGGAAGCCATCTTTTCATAATGGTTAGCTGATTGCCTGTGGTTTCAAATTTGTATGCGTTTTTAATATACAGAGATATTGTTGTAAACGGCGTTGACTTTTTTTAAAAAAAAAATGATATAGCGGTATTTAAATCACTTTATAAACAAAATTAATGCATTTAAATTTTAAAACACATTGAAAGCAGTTGAAAATAAATTTAGATTTAAAAATGCAACATTGAAAGCAGTTGAAAATAAATTTAATTTTAAAAACACAATATTAAAAGCAGCTTAAAACAAAATTACCACAACTCTAAGGTGGGTCCATCTATTTCACCATCCTGTTCTCACAGTGGCTGACCAGGTGAACTCCCATCCACCTTGGACTATGATGCTCCCACTGGGCCCTGAGTACCACAGCTCAACCTCTCCCCACCCAAGATCCTGCTGTTCACCTCTGGCCCCTCAGTCTGACAACCTGTCAGTAGACCCCAAACCCAACCCCCTGGCCACCTGGCCACACCAAGCCCTGACATACCGGTACTTGTCAGTTCGCATTTCTTAGTACAGAAAGTATTGATCTGATGTGTAGAGTTCTTTCCTATTCTACTTAATTCAAGAGGCTTCTGGAAGCTTCTCTGTGTGAAAGAAGCAAGCAGAAGGTTCATGATGTTTGGGTTATTCTTTCAGAGAAGCTGGGTACAGCTGCCTTAAACTGGTTCTGTTATCTCTTTCTGTCAAGGTCATGCGAACTATAAAAGTCTCTATCTATCTTTATCTCTCTTTCCTTCTGGTGTGGTGTTCTCTGTACATAGTATGCTTAGTGTTAAGGTTTAGACTTATTATAAGTTATTGTAAGTTTAAGTTAAGTCTGCTGCAACTGGATTTCTTATGGACAGTGCCAATCCTGAATGTATTGGATTTGTGACCTTTATGCTCATTTGCCTTCAGTAGCAGTAAAGCTCTGCTGGATGAAATACAACTGCCTCTGGTCTATTTTGGGGGAATATTGGGTCTACTTCCAGGTGGGGCCGGGTTGTGGTCTGGCCTCCTAGCCACTCCCCTCACACTGGGGGAGACCCCGGCCACGTAAGGTTGCCAGGTGGCCAATCAGTTTTTACTCTGCTAAATCAGTTTTTACTCTGCTAACTATACATCTGGAATCTACTCTGAATTGATACCGAATAGAATTCCATGACAATGCTATGACCCAAGAAGGCCAGAAGAGGTCCCACATTTACCCTGCATCTCCCTCTGTGCTGGTGAAAGGCAACAGGCGGTACCAGCCTTTGACAGGGACCTTCTGCAAGGCATCCAAGGAGAACTCAACCTGCATGGATGAGAGAAAGTGACAGGTCAGTGTGGAGGTAAATGAGTGCTGGAAGTGCAACAGCAGGGATCATTCTGTTTGCGACTCAAGGGTTTATTCAGGTAGGGCTAAAGGCCGGGTTGTGCCTCTGATTATACAACTGGCTTGCAGGGATGGAGGGCAGCAAGGTGTCTATGAGCCTGTGTAGAAACTACCCTCCTGAGGTAAAATTCACATGTCTTGCTCCACCCACCTTTGCCTCTGGCCCCGCCCACCGCTTGCAGGTGGCCCCCAGGAGGTTGCACAGAAAGGAATGCGGACCTCAGACCTTCCCCGTTCCCCGATTCAGTTCCTCAAGTTATAGTTCGACCCTGGATAGCTCAGTTGGACAGAGCGTGGTGCTGATAATGCCAAGGTTGCAGGTTTGATCCCCGTAAGGGACAGCTGCATATTCTTGAGTTGCAGTGGGTTGGGCCAGATGATCCTTAGGGTCCCTTCCAACTCCACAATTCTTTGACCCCTGTCAAAGCAGCAGCCGCAACCCCTCATGTGAGATGTAACGTCACTGAGGCAGTCGGATACAACATTTCCTGTTTGCCCAGAGTGGACACACAGGAGAATGTTGCTCCAGCCAGGAGGACTTCCCATCACACCTGGTCTGGAGCATCCTCCCCCTGCGTGTGACCAGGTAGATGGGTGTGACCCTGGCAGGCCCTAAAAAAAGGGCTAGCCATGCAGCCATCTTCTTCTTTTCGCCTTGTTCCATTTTTCCTTTTGGACTCTTTTGCTGGCTCTTAGCACATGGCTCATCCTTACAGACAATGGAAGCCACAAGGCAGAAAGTCTGTAGTCTAGATCATACTTCTTTTCTCTACACATGTACCTGTAACGATAGTGGTACCTCAGGTTACAAACACTTCGGGTTACAGACACCGCTAACCTGCAAGTAGTACCTCAGGTTAAGAACTATACCTCAGGATGAGAACAGAAATCATGTGGCGGCAGTGTGGCAGCAGCGGGAGACCCCATTAGCTAAAGTGGTATCTCAGGTTAAGAACGGTTTCAGGTTAAGTACGGACCTCCAGAACGAATTAAGTTTGTAACCAGAGGTACCACTGTACAAAATTAAAGGCTGCCTTCAGGACCATACTGTGAACTGAATGTAAGTAAACTTTACCATTACTTTTAAAATAAGACTGTTGTGTTATTGTTGTTTTTAAGAGAGAAATAAAGGGGAAATTTACCAGGAACAATCCAATCTGGACAAGCCAGATTGCTCAACTCAAATGATTCTTACGAATCCATCAATCCATCCATCTACGTGGGGCTGCCCTTGAGACTGACCCAGAAACTCCAGCGGGTGCAGAATGCCGCGGCGAGACTCCTTATGGGGTCTTTGCTGCGAGATCACATTCATCCGGTACTATACCAGCTGCACTGGCTCCCGGTGGAGTACAGGATCAGGTTTAAGGTGCTGGTTTTAACCTTTAAAGCCCTATAGGGCCTAGGACCCTCGTACCTACGGGACCGCCTCTCCTGTTATGCCCCACAGAGGAACCTACGGTCTGCAAATAAAAACATCCTGATGGTCCCAGGCCTCAGAGAGGTTAGGCTGGCCTCAACTAGAGCCAGGGCTTTCTCGGCTGTGGCTCCAATCTGGTGGAACGCTCTGTCACAAGAGACTAGGGCCCTGCGGGACCTGACATCTTTCCGCAAGGCCTGCAAGACAGAGTTGTTCCACCAGGCCTTTGGTCAGGGCCCAGCCTGACTCCCTCCTCTGGCAACCTGCACAGAACTTTGCTTAACGGTTGCCATTAATTTGATTTTAATTAATTTTTATAATGAAATGTTTTAGAATGTTGGATTATTTGATTGTTTGATTATTTGATTGTTGTTAGCCGCCCTGAGCCTGGCTTTGGCTGGGGAGGGCGGGATATAAATAAAATTTATTATTATTATTATTATTATTATTAACAACCGGTAGCTTCCAGCAATGTGCAAGGGAATGTGCTGTGCTACTAGCTCACTAGCGTGCCTGAGGAAGGATAATATTTAATCAATATATCCTCTCCTACTATCCACAACATTCCCACACCTCAGAGCTTGCATAAAAGGGACCCAGCCAGGCCAGCCTCCTGTGCCCACCACTCACCCGTCCCAGGAAGTCATTCTTGCCCACCATGTCCCAATCCCACACTTCTACGATCAGCGGGGTTTCCCCAGAGGTCCCCTCCTCCAGGACAAACTCGAGCATCTCATCCCAGCGCGGGAAGCGAGTTTTCTTGATGATCTGCAGAGGCAGAAGAATGCGTAAACGCAAGCGGACAAATGCCCCGTTTAAGAGCAAACACCACCACAATCACCCCTGCCGCCTTGCCCACGGTGAGACACACGGCCGTTTGTGTGCAGCCACATGGAGTGAGTCAGCTTGTGGTGTAGCGGTTAGATTGCCAGACTAGGATCTAAGAGACCCGAGTTCAAATCCCCCACTCAACCAATAAAGCTCATTGGGTGATCCTGGGCCAGCAGCTGCCTTTCAGGCTAACCTACTACACAGGGTTGTTGTTAAAAGGAGAATAGAGATGGGGAGACTCTGTTCCTAGAGGGTGTGCATGTCAAAGACCTGTTAGTATTTCTGCACCAGGATTCCAGCAGGAAGCCTGTTTTCAGCATCCTAGAGGTACCCAATCGGCACAAAAGGGGACTTTGTTTTAGCCACTGAGAAGAAGCCTTCTTCTCACCTTTTGTGCTGATGGGAGCCAATCAGAATGAAAGGAAGACAGTCAGTCACTGAGGATTGGCTCCTAGGGTTGTTCTGGATAAGGTGCGCCGGAAGAAGACCAAGGAGGAGTTGTTCTGCCTGCCCCAAAGCTAAGCATTTAGGGACATTTGGAAACACAATGAGCTTCAGTTTCAAGAGAACGGTGTGCAAGTTATGTTATGTACAGTGGAACATGAAAGGAAAACGTAACTGAAGACACCCTGAAGATTTTTGGAGCACTCCAAATCATTTGCCTAGGTGCGTGCACAGAAAATAGCGGATCTAGCTGCATCCATCTCCATGAAAGTAAAATAAAAATACATTTATATTATGGCAAATTGTGTGTGCGTTGGGCAAAATTGCACCAAAAAATGTGTACATTAGGAGAAATTCATACTAATATGCTGGTGAATTTTCATGAGGGTTGGAAAAAAAAAACTCCCACACACAAGCTAATGCAAAAAACATGAAGTACTAAGACAGGAAAAATGAGAAAGAGAGAAACTGAAAATGGATAAGATTCCCCAGTCCTCACTTCCTGTTCAGACTCAGACTTTCCCTGGGACACAATAGCCTTTCTGGGCTTTGACTCCAGTTCTTATTTCCCAGGTCTTGGATTCAAATCCTACCATATGGTTCTGACACTTGAAACGCATCAGGGGCTATACTTACAGCTGTTTCGAGCACCTGCCCATTCCACAGGACACGGGCAAAGGGGTCTGAGGTTCCGGAGGTGTCCCGCGGAGCAAGGTCTCTATGTGGAGGAAGATGGCAGATGGATATCAGGAAGTACAGTGGTACCTCAGGTTACATACGCTTCAGGTTACATATGCTTCAGGTTACAGACTCCGCTAACCCAGAAATATTGCTTCAGGTTAAGAACTTTGCTTCAGGATGAGAACAGAAATCTGGTTCTGGCGGTGCGGCGGCAGCAGGAGGCCCCATTAGCTAAAGTGGTGCTTCAGGTTAAGAACAATTTCAGGTTAAGTATGGACCTACGGAACGAATTAAGTACTTAACCTGAGGTACCACTGTATATTCCAACAGGGTTTTATTTCTTTATTTTTAATTTAACAAAAATGAAATGTAGCTTCATCAACAAAACAAAAACTTCTTAAAGGGGGCTCACTGCTGAGGTTGACAAAGGAAGGCCTTTCCTGGCAGCGGAGGGTTCATTTCAGCCTTAGGTGTGTGGCTGTCTTCTAACAGCAAACTCAAACTCGGGTGCTGAGTGACTAAAGGGAAGTTCTCTTTCTGCAGTTCTCTTACTGCACATAACTGTGGCATTATGGGAAGTCTTGCTATGGGAACTATTGCTTCTTTTCTCTTGCATTCTGGGAAGTCTCGCTTCTGCTTCTGCACACACTGTACAAACCTGTTCTAAACACACCCAGACATTCCCTCATTCCTCAGTTCACATTAAGTTCATGAACAAACAATATGACCTGTTCTTAATGTATAGCTGACCACATCTACGGAACTCGATTATTATACTCTTTCATGTTATGATCAATCATTAGTACAGTGGTGCCCCGCAAGACGAATGCCTCGCAAGACGGAAAACCCGCTAGACGAAAGGGTTTTCCGTTTTTGAGTTGCTTCGCAGGACGAATTTCCCTATGGGCTTGCTTCGCAAGACGAAAATGTCTTGCGAGTCTAGAGATTTTTTGCTTTCCCCCTTTATCTAATCTGCTAAGCCTTTAATAGCCTTTTAGCAGCTAATCCCCGACGCCATTCAGCCTTTAATAGCCGCTAAACCGCTAATAGCGCTAATCCGTTAAGCCGCTAATAGAGTTGCTTCGCAAGACGAAAAAACCGCTAGACGAAGACTCTCGCGGAACGGATTAATTTCGTCTTGCGAGGCACCACTGTAATTGTTTTAGTCATGTTATATTAATCTTTAGTTATAATTTAATTAGGAGGTTTCATGCCTGTTTAGTTCCAGCTCCGTTTCCCAGCCTTTAATCTATCAGTGATAAATGGTTATATGTAATTCCCGCCTTGTACCTATGTTAACCAATCAGCAACAAGTTGCTTTGTGTTTGTATCAACCAATCAGCCACAAGCACACCTGTGGCAATGTTTGTAATATTCAATAAAAGAGAGTTCTCGGGGCTTGCCCCGGCAGACGCCTCTCATATGACACCTGCCACTCGTCTGTCGTGGATTCATTCCAACAAGTGACGATGGCTACGTAGCCAAAACAGGGCTACTGAAAAACCAGAGTAAGGTATCAACAGGTTTGGGGGAACCTCAAGATTTGCAGAAGTGGAGAAGATCTTGGCAAGGTAAGGGGGCAAAACCACCCCAGTGGTTGTCTAAGCACGCAAAATTGCCACAAAATTCTGAGTGCCTGCAGGTCCTGTTGCTTGTATTTATTCAGCATTATATCCACCGCAAATTGAAAACTCTTTTTCAAGCTGCCATAAACTTTCTGACACCGTAACACGGCTACTGCTATCACTACCACCAAACATAGGAGCCAACTCCTAGGCACCATGGGTGCTGCGGCCCCCACAATAAAATATTTTAAGGATCCGCCCTGCCTCCCCCAGCTGATGGACATTCCCATTCAAATGGTGTGTGTGCACTATGTCATGTGAATGATTATGCTGGGTGTGGCTCACGTGGGCTCCCACCCTATTTTATTCAAGTTGACACCCCTGCCCATGTAGTGCAGGGAGCCTGTTGGATTTGCACAGGGGAGTTCTGGATTCCAAAAAAAACCCTTGCTCTGACACAAAGCTTCCTGAGCAATCTTGGGCCAATCCCTGTATCTCAGTCTCAAGGGAGAGAGAAATCATGTCTGCTAGCTTGAATTTTCAGAGAAGTTTGGGATAAAAATGTAAACAGCACTACAGTTGTACCCTAGATCCCGAACACCTTGCAAGTTGGAACGTTTTGGCTCCCGAATGCCGCAAACCCGGAAGTGAGTGTTCCAGTTTGCAAACGTTCTTTGGAAGCCAAACATCTGACGCAGCTTCCGATTGGCTGCAGGAGCTTCCTGCAGCCAATCAGAAGCCGCACCTTGGTTTCCAAACCTTTTGGAAGTCGAACGGACTTCCGGAACAGATTCCGTTTGACTTCCGAGATATGACTGTACTACTAACACTACTAATTTTATTTCATAAAATTTATGTGCTGCTTGGTTATTAAAAACAAAACAAAACCCTCAAAGCAGTATACATAAAGTATAAAACAAGGAAATGATCAGTCGAAACAGTTAAAAACTATTTAAAGCATTCAAAAAACAATTAAAGTCATTGATAAGCTAAAAACCTGTCAACATTCTACATACATATCTGGATACTTTTACCTGAAAAAAAAAGAGTTTTTAGCAGGTGTAGAAGAGAGTACAGTGAAGGGGCCTGTCTGATGTCAAGTGGCAGTGAGTTCCAAAGTTCAGCCCCTGCCAGGCTAAAAGATTGATCCCTTACAAATGTGGAATAAGAATTATGTGGCACTTGTAACAGGTATATTGTTCCGTATATTGAAGCAGACGAGTGGACATTTATGGGGTAAGGTGACCTCACCGGTAAACTTGTCCGCAAGCTCTACCTAGTAATAGTAATAATTTTATTCTGCTCCCCTGTTGTCATACTCAAAAGGGCTTAACAGCAACTGACTAAAGAGGAGTAGAGAACAAGAAAATGTGCCTCTGTCAACAATTTAAAAAATAAAAAATCTGTTTCCAGCCTAACAGAGCATGTAACCCCTGAGCATGTACAGAGTGCCATTCCCCTTCACCACTGATCAACTCCAACCTGTGCCAAAAACATCTAGAACTCAGGCAAGATTCGCTTTGCAAATAAGTATTCCCTGTACCCGCATTCTGAGGACCGTGTCAGTTCAAAATGAAACAGAGATGTCTTTAGGCAACAGGACTTATGCTATTACACCCACACCACTGCCGACCCCTTATTCCTTGACTGCAGCCACTCATTCCATTCTTTTTCCCACTCACCCCTATGATCCACCCATTTCCTATTGGCTAACCGGTTGCCTAGGTTCCCAGTTGAGCATCCAGGAGAGGAGGATGCTTTTTCATGGTCTCTGACCACCTGTTCCTTTTCCCTAACCCTCTCAGTTCCCACGCACTGAACCCTTCAGCAGCATCACTCCTGCAAAGCAGAGCATTGAGAGAAAGGTAGCGATCTCATCCAGAATGGTATCTCTTGCACTGAGTTAGCATGCAGTGTAGCGGTTAGACTTCTTTATGGTCCAGCTCTCAATTCCATACAGTAGTGATGTATGGAAGTGAGAGCTGGACCATAAAGAAGGCTGATTGCCGTAGAATTGATGCTTTTGAATTATGGTGCTGGAGGAGACCGATGGACTGCAAGAAGATCAAACCTATCCATTCTTCAGGAAATCAGCCCTGAGTGCTCACTGGAAGGACAGATCCTGAAGCTGAGGCTCCAATATTTTGGCCACCTCATGAGAAGAGAAGACTCCCTGGAAAAGACCCTGATGTTGGGAAAGATGGAGGGCACAAGGAGAAGAGGACGACAGAGGACGAGATGGTTGGACAGTGTTCTCGAAGCTACCAGCATGAGTTTGACAAAACTGCAGGAGGCAGTGGAAGATAGGAGTGCCTGGCGTGCTCTGGTCCATGGGGTCACGAAGAGTCAGATACAACTAAATGACTAAACAACAACAACGGTAGCAGTTAGAGTGCTGGAACGAAACGGGGGAGGTGGGTTCGAATCCCCACTCCACCACATGAGGGTGCGGCCTTGGGCCAGTCACTGCCTCTCAGCCTAACCTACCTCACAGGGTTGTTGTGGGGATTAAATGAAGAGCAGGATTGGGGGGAACAATGTATTCGACCCTGAGCTCCTTAGAGGAAAAGGTGGGAGATGATAGATAGATAGATGATAGATGATAGATAGATAGATAGATAGATAGACAGATAGATAGATGCTGGAGATCAGTCACTTTCTTCTCTGAAGGCACAACTTCTGATCATTAAAAGCTCCTTCTTTCCATCCCAGGCAAGTAGCATTTTAAACATAAAAACACCAGCCATAGGTCAGTGGTTTAAATATATGGGGTGAAAGTGGCCCTGGAGAGAGTCCTGAGGGCCAGGCAGAGAAAAGTGGGGAGAGCTGCATTTGGCCCCCAGGCCTGAGGCTTGCCATTTGTGAACATCAAAACTTGGAACTCCCTGCATCTTCCTGAGGACTAGCACCTTGACTCGAAAAGCAAAACCTTCAAAAATGGCACAAACCACAACAAGGGCTACCATTTTGTTATCCATCCCAGCTAAATATGTGAAAGAAGCATTTTGTCACAGAAAATCAAAAGCCTGACCCGAAAAGACATTTTAAAAAAATCAAGATAAATGTGAGCTGTCCCTAAATCCACCACCCACCCACCCAACCCTCCACTCCTGCCAAATCTTTTCACAGCCCCAGTGTTCATTTTTATTATGATTATTCATAAGGTGTTAATTATCTCACTTTCTAAGGGACTGGGAGGCAGCCAAGAGTGCATGAAGATTCGCACTCGGTTTCAGCAGCCACAACACCTTTTTATTACAACCACCCTTCTTTTTCTCACTGGGAGAGGGGGAAGTGAGGAAAGTGAACACCTCCAAGCACTCTTCTAGCTTTTCAACTTTTTAATTTTAAAAAATCTAGCATATATCATCAAAAAAGATGTTCCACAACAGCCACACACCCCCAACATTTTCCAAACCTGTGCTTTTGGGTTGCATCCAATGTAGCACTAAGTTAAAGTTATATATTCATTTCAAAATGCACAGGCACGTTACTGGTAACTTTTTTGCATGTTCCTTTCCCCTCCCCCCCAAAGAAAAATATATCCTGGGAACCGTAGCTCTGTGAAGGGCAAGCTACAGTTCCCTCAGGTTTCTTTGGGGAGATGTCACGACTGACAAGACTGCCAGTGTATTATAGTGGATAGTGTGTCAGTCTAGGACCTGGGAGTAAAGGTAAAGGGACCCCTGACCATTAGGTCCAGTCGTGACCGACTCTGGGGTTGTGGCGCTCATCTCGCTTTATTGGCCGAGGGAGCCGGCGTACAGCTTCCGGGTCATGTGGCCAGCATGACTAAGCCGCTTCTGGCGAACCAGAGCAGCGCACGGAAACGCCGTTTACCTTCCCGCCGGAGCAGTACCTATTTATCTACTTGCACTTTGACGTGCTTTTGAACTGCTAGGTTGGCAGGAGCACAGACCGAGAAACGGGAGCTCACACCGTCACAGGGATTCAAACCGTCGACCTTCTGATCAGCAAGTCCTAGGCTCAGTGGTTTAACCCACAGCGCCAGGGTTTAAATCCCTACTTGGCCATGAAGCTCACTGGGTGATCACTGTCTCTCAGCCTAACCTACCTCACAGGGTTGTTGTGGAGATTAAATGAAGAGGGAGGGAACCATTCATGCCACCTTGAGCTCAGGGAGGAAAACAGATGCACAGTTTAAATAAAAGCAAAAGCATTCTAAAAAGCAGTTTTAGTTCCCTTCCAACCAGTGATCTTGGGGTGGCCAGGAACAATATTCTTCAGCCATCAAATACCTGGGTCGACAGGGATGTTTTCAAATCCACCCTGAAAGTTAGTAAGGATGGAGACAGGGTGCACCTTGCTAAAGAAGACATTCCACAAGTGAGGAGCCCCCACTGAGAAGGCCCTGCCGTGGGTCAGCAGCAAGCAGGCAGCACCAAGAAGGCCTCATCTGCCAGTCATAGGGTACAAGATGATTGATATTGAGAAAGGCGCTCTTTGAAGTATAATAGCGCTTAGTTTAAATGTAAGGTGTGGATGTGACAACAGAAGCCTTCCATGCAAGCAGATGCTCTCAAGGAGGGCCTGACACAGGGCCTGTGAAGGGTATATATCCAGAAAATAATCCCCAGGCTTCAGATGCACTCTCTCTCTCATATAGACAGACAGACAGACAGACAGATAGATAGTGTGTGTGTGTGTGTGTGTGTGTGTACACACGTATATATATACATACAGTTTTTTCTATTTTACAATTTAAAGTACTTATTTTTACATCCTTAAGATATCAATGACTTCCCTTCTCCTCTTTCCATGGTTCATTTTACATATCATAAGTCCCTGCATATTTTAAAGAAACTACACCATTCAGTATTCCAGTATTGCATCCATCAAAACTTATTTACACTGTTGAATTTATTTTAAGCGTTTTCAGCTGTACACAGTTATTTCCCATATATTCAATAAATGTTTTCCAATCTTCTCTAAACATATGCTCTTCTTGTTCTCTTATTCTGTATGTTAAGTCTGCAAGCTGTGCATATTCTGTCAATTTAAGTTACCATTCTTCTTTGGTTGGTACTTCCCTCGCTTTCCATTTTTGGGCTAATGAAACATGGACTGCAGAAGTGGCATATATAAATAACCTTTTTTGACGCCTAGGAATTTCAGTCTGAATTGTCCCCAACAGAAAGGAATCTGGGTGTGTGTGTTTTTGGAAAGTACTTTTAAACATTTTTTTTTCAATTCATTATGGATCATTTCCCAAAACTTTTTTAACCCTTTTACAAGTCCACCACACATGAAAGAACATTCCCTCCACCTGCTTGAGATGCACTCTTGAGCTAGAAAGGGGAGAAGGGGAGGAGGACACACAGAGAGAAAACCCTTCTTCTACCTGGCTTCAATGACATGGCAGCACAGCACCCTCTTGTGGGATTCCTCCACCACCTGCAGCTCCACCGAAATCTCCCCCTGCACCTCTTCGTTGGGATCCACAGGGCTCAGGTTGATCCAGCTGTCGATTCCTGCATTGGAGGAAGAGAGAGAGAATGGGAAACACAGCAGAAGTTTGCAGAAGGACTATATGTGTATATATATATGTATATATGTATATGTGTGTGTGTGTATACCGTAATTTTTGCACCATAACACTCACTTTTTTCCTCCTAGACAGTAAAGGGAAATGTCTGTGCGTGTTATGGAGCGAATGCCTGTGGGTGGTGGTGGGGATCTGCTGCAGTCGTGAGCAGAGGATCCATGGTTCCCCTTCCTTCCCTCCTCCGTGGTTACAAAGCATGGATCCACATGGATCCTCAGGATTTTTGCATTGGGCTACTCCAAACTCACTGTCAGATCACATGTCTGTGGCCACAGCATGAACCACAAAAATCAAATATCCACTATTTCGTTTAGAATATTTTTTTTCTTGTTTTCCTCCTCTAAAAACTACGTGCGTGTTATGGTCTGGTGCGTGTTATAGAGCGAAAAATACGGTATATATATCCCTTTCCATATGAAAATTGTTGATGGTCTTGGCAGATAGTTTAGGGATTTTTCTATCTGTTAACAACAACAATTGTTTGTTTGTTTGTTTGTTGGCATCAACATTTGTTTGTTTTTTTGTTGACGTTTGCTTGCTTGCTTGCTTGCATGCCGCCCATCTGACTGGGATGCCCCAGCTCTGGGCGGCTCCCAACAAAAAATAGTAGGAAACACAATACAACATCATACCCCTCACACCCCACCCCCCGCAGCCATTGGTCACCCTTCCCACTAGAGTGCCCACTGGCACCTACCCCGAGAGTGAGATGAGATGAAGTCTTTGCTGAGGGAGATTTTGCCGATGGCATCATCATGCCTGCAAGGAGACAAAGAACAGAAATGGTACAAGATGGGACTGAAAGAGGAGCACCAGAAGCTGCCTTATCTGGCAGGGTTGTTGTGGAGTTTGTGCAACCCTGATTTTTAAGCAAATCATTTGCCCTTCCCAGACTAATTTGCAGAGTGGAACAGTTATCCTTCCGTCTTTGCATTCCTTTGAATTCTGCAATGCAATATCTGGCAGCTAGATATAACCTACACAGAAACACATATCTAAAAATGGGGGGGGGGGGATAGGTTTAACATACAAAAATGCCTATTTTTTTGGTGGTGGTGGGGAATACTAATACTAATACTAATAATAATAATTTATTATTTAAACCCCGCCCATCTGGCTGGGTTTCCCCAGCCATTCTGGGCGGCTTCCAACAGAACACTAAAATACAATAACCTATTAAACATTAAAAGCTTCCCTGAACAGGGGTATGTTGTATCCACTGTAGCCACTGCAGTCCTACGTACCTCATCACACCAGTGAAAAAATTCATGTGTGCAGAATGGAACTTCCCTTTGTATGCCTGTATGCCCCAGATCTGCCCCACAGAGGGGACCCCTAGGAGAGGTGTAAGGGGCCTACAGGGGGGCGGGGAGGAAAATGGGGAAAGTTCCATTAGTAAAGGTAAAGGGACCCCTGACCATTAGGTCCAGTCGTGGCCGACTCTGGGGTTGCGGCACTCATCTCGCTTTATTGGCCGAGGGAGCCGGTGTACAGCTTCCGGGTCATGTGGCCAGCATGACTAAGCCGCTTCTGGCGAACCAGAGCAGTGCACGGAAACGCAATTTACCTTTCCGCCAGAGTGGTACCTATTTATCTACTTGCACTTTGACGTGCTTTCAAACTGCTAGGTGGGCAGGAGCAACGGGAGCTCACCCCGTTGCAGGGATTCAAACCACCAACCTTCTGATCGACATGTCCTAGGCTCTGTGGTTTAACCCACAGCGCCACCCGCGTCCTTAAAGTTCCATTACACAAGGTTAAATCCTAGCGCCGACCAAACAAGTTATCTGGATACTGCCCAATGGGTAGGGGAAATGCAGATTGTTGTCGCAGAAACAAGGCTTTTGAACAGACGAACTCAGAACAGGCGTTGGGAGGAAACAGATGGATCCACCTGTTCCTAGTCCTTGTCATGCAATACATCATCTTCTCCAGAAGGCGGCCCACCAAAAAAGCCTATTCTCTCCAGAGCAACGCCAAGCCCTGTAGAAGCAGATAGAGGCAGAGGGTCTCCACTCGCAGAGAAAGCTTTGCATCCCATTCAGCCCATCCAAGAGCGTTTGAAGGATGTCAAGGTAGGCAGCTCCCCGTGTCGCCCCCAACTCCACCACAGCAGGAATGGGTTAATCAGTCAGTTTTTGGTTTCTGCCCATTTTTCATTTCGCCAGCCTTAAATCCAGTTCTTGGCATTTCTGCATCGGTGTGCAATTTAATATTTTTAAGGTTTCGATGAAAACTCACCAGCATTTTCATGCAAATCCCCCCCCCCCGATGTTCTCATTTATATGTGCTGTTTCTCTTAATATAATGCATTTTTGCAACCAAACTTCCCATAATATTGTTTTGGGGTTCTTGTATTTGTTTCAAAGCAAACAGAATATGGTCAAATCCCCCCCTAATATAATGCATTTTCGTATGTTACACTTCACTCCAGCAAATGAGGAGGGAGAAAGGTTATTTTCTGCTGCTCCAGAGAAGCGGACACGGAGCAATGGATCCAAACTACAAGAAAGAAGATTCCACCTAAACATTAGGAAGAACTTCCTGACAGTAAGAGCTGTTTGACAGTGGAATTTGCTGCCAAGGAGTGTGGTGGAGTCTCCTTCTTTGGAGGTCTTTAAGCAGAGGCTTGACAACCATATGTCAGGAGTGCTCTGATGGTGTTTCCTGCTTGGCAGGGGGTTGGACTCGATGGCCCTTGTGGTCTCTTCCAACTTTATGATTCTATGATTCTATGAAATGTCCTTCTATACACACAGACTGAAGGAACAATAAATCCTTGGGCCAGAACCTGCAGTACTGTCCAGGGTCCTGAACCTTCCCTGTTCCTGATCAACTCCAGCTAACATCCTTACCTTGTGCAGTCTCACCTAAGCCATTGCCTTGCTGGGGCGACGAGAACCTTGGTGGATCAGGAAAGCTACCAGTGGGTAGTAGCCATGATGGCTAGACATAGCCTCCAAGGACCCTACGTAGGCTACACCACATCCCTAGCCACACACACTCCATTGGACCAGCATTGCCCTGTCCTTGTGCGTTTTTGCCTAGCCAGAAATGTGTCCTCAATCTCTTGACAATGATTCTTGCCTGCCTGGGTGGAGGATAGAGAGGGGCAGGTGAGTGCGGGAAGAAAGTAGCCTACTATACAAAGGTAAGTTTTGTGGCCCTGCCCACTTTTGCCGCTGGCCCCGCCCACCACCAGCATGTGGCCCCGAGAAGGTTTCCCCAAGGGGAATGTGGCCCTTGCACTAAGTTAATCAGAGTTAAACCATTCCAGGGGGTGAGGCGGAGAGACAGCACCCAGCCCAAGGTTACCCAGTGAGATTCATGGCCTAAGTAATAATAATAATAATAATAATAATAATAATAAATTTTATTTATACCCGCCCTTCCCAGTCAGAGCCAGGCTCATGGCGGCTAACACCAGTAAAATTACAGTAAAAATATAATGAAGGGGGAACCAATTCAAAATACAGGTTAAAATACAATTTAAAATGCAGCCTCATTTTATTTTATTTTATTTTTTCTTCTTTTTATTGAGTTTCACTTTAAAAGTAGCCCATAGATCAAAATCATAAGGGGAGGGAAACATAAGGGTCAGACTGAGTCCAAACCAAAGTCCAGGCGGAACAGCTCTGTCTTGCAGGCCCTGAGGAAAGATGTCAAGTCTCGCAGGGCCCTAGTCTCTTGTAACAGAGCGTTCCACCAAGTCAGGGCCAGTACTGAAGATCCACCAGGGCGGATTTGATTTAAATCAAATTGATTTAAATCACTAGTCAATAAGACTTGATTTAAATCACTAGTCAGTAAGACTTGATTTAAATCTTTTTCTTTTCTTTTTACAGAAAGACCCATTACTGGTATAATCTTAATATTTACAACCAGTTGAGGGTTTCATTTTTGGAATAATAAATTTTCAGAGTAGTTTTTACAGTTATATCAAAAATTACTGATTTGGTTATACTATTAGAAATACATAGACCGATAATTATGAAATTATTGTGAGGTTTAATAAGTTAACTGTTTATATTTGGACAACTTTTCTGCTCTACTTTATTGGAAGGAGAAAAATAATAATTTCCTTAATAACAATTTAAACAATTTATTTAACTAAAGCAATAACATTATAGCAAATGTATCCATGTTTGTTAACTGATGCGGTTAAACTTCTTTTAAAATAAAACAGACTGAGTTTTAGCACACATGAAAAACTTAAAACAAATCCTTATTTCCTGATGAATAGCCTTTGGACTATAATGTAACGTAAATAGAAAACTATCTTTAGAAAGATTTTTCCTCCAAAAGCATTTTATTTTAAAAAAACCAATTTAAATTTTAAAAAATCTGATTTAAAATTTTTAAAATCTGATTTAAATTTTTAAAAATCTGTTTTTTTAAAAAAAAATTGTTGATTTTTATCCACCCTGCTTGTCACTTACAGAGCAATTGTAGCTCTGGTGCATTGTTTTATTGTTCTTAAGAGATTTGTGAAGGCGGTTTTATTGGAGTCTGCCGAAAGGATTTCATCGCTGTGCTCTCAACCCAGCCAGCCTTACAGGGTTGTCATAAGGAAAAAAGGGGGGCAGGGGAACGACGCATGCCACCGTGAGCAAATTGGAGGAGAGGTGGAATATAAATGCAGTGAGTAAATAAATATAAAGTAATGCTACAAGGGAAGTGATTAGAGACTCCTACCATAAGGGGCTCAGGAAATGCAGTCCTCAAATCCAAGAACAGGAGAGTGTTATTCTGTCATCTGTCTTAAGGCAACCAGATGGACTACTTACACTAATCACGCTGAGCCTGATAGAACCCATTCACCTTTGTCAGTTGTAAGAAGTTCGATCTGCATCGAGTCCAGAGCCATCTCAGCTCGTGTAGACAGATAAACGACAGACTTTAGAGCAGAACTTCCCTGGGAGAATATTGAAACCTTCATATACAGTGGAACCTTCAGGTTACATACGCTTCAGGTTACATACGCTTCAGGTTACAGACTCCACCAACCCAGAAATAGTACCTCAGGTTAAGAACTTTGCTTCAGGATGAGAACAGAAATCGTGCTCCGGTGGTACGGCGGCAGCAGGAGGCCCCATTAGCTAAAGTGGTGCTTCAGGTTAAGAACAGTTTCAGGTTAAGTACAGACCTCCGGAACGAATTAAGTACTTAACCCGAGGTACACTGTATTGTATTGGATCAGCAACCTCTTAAACATGTCCTTGTAGTCTATCAGCATCACACAGTTGCCTAGAGAGGTCTTTTCCATCGTAGCCCCTCCAAACAGGGTAATAGCAAAGCATTGCTGGGTATTATTCCTGTTGTTGTTTAGTCGTTTAGTCGTGCCCGACTCTTCATGGCCCCATGGACCAGAGCACGCCAGGCACTCCTGTCTTCCACTGCCTCCCCCAGCCTGGTCAAATTCATGTTCGTAACTTCGAGAACACTGTCCAGCCATCTTGACCTCTGTCATCACCTTCTCCTTGTGCCCTCCATCTTTCCCAACATCAGGGTCTTTTCCAGGGGGTCTTCTCTTCTCATGAGGTGGCCAAAGTATTGGAGCCTCAGCTTCAGGATCTGTCCTTCCAGTGAGCACTCAGGGCTGGTTTCCTTCAGAATGGATAGGTTTGATCTTCTTGCAGTCCATGGGACTCTCAAGAGTCTCCTCCAGCACCGTAATTCAAAAGCATCAATTCTTCGGTGATCAGCCTTCTTTATGGTCCAGCTCTCACTTCCACTCATCACTACTGGGTATTATTCCTACCTCCTCAAAATACAATGGTCTTCTGCATGCATGGCCCATTACAGCCCACCTTCTCTGGTGTCCATTCCCCTACTTACCCAATGGTGTCTTCATCCAGAACATAGAAGGAGAGGTTGTGGAACCCCATCGGAAGGTGCAGAGTATATTCCTCCCCCCAGAAAGGGTTGAGGTTCTTCCACACCGTGGCAGTTCTGCAGAGGGGAAGCAGAGAAGAGGTCAACACTGGATGTGTGGCTGTCTTTTGAGGTGTCAAAAACCCAGATTCTCAAGTATATACATAGCATGGGGAACCACTGTCCCTCCAGAGGTTGCAGAACTCATAACTCCCATCATCCCAGACCACTGGCCATGTTTGCTAGGCCTGATGGGAGTTGTAGTTCAGCAACATCAGGAGGGACAAAGGTTCCCCATGCCTGATATAACACACCCTGGTACCTTGGGGTGAAGGGTGGGTGAAATAATAATAATAATAATAATAATAATAATAATAATAATTTCACTTATTATTATTAATTAATCAGCCTTCCTCAAAAGAGCCCAGAATGATATATATAAAACCTATGGGCAAAATGTATTTTTTTATTTTAAAAAAATTATTAGATTTATATTCTGCCCTTTCATTGTAGAAGGACATGTTGATCCAGAATTGGCCTCCAAGGTCACTTACGGACTCACTGTTAAAACCGTGTTTATGGGAGACAATCTTACTTGGCTACGAGTGATCGCCAAAGAAGAAGAAGACAACTGCTGTTTATCATAGCATCACAGGGCGGTTCACAGAATAAAATATAGTAAATAATAAAAACAAAACAGCAAAACAATACCCCCCTACACACACACACTTCCCACAGACACATTTAAAAAGTGGTAGAATATGAATCAGCCAAAGGCTTGGTTGAAGAGGAACTTTTTCGCCTGGTGCTTAAAAATATATAATGAAGGTACCAGGTGAACCTCCCTGGGGAAAGCATTCTGCAAATGGGGAGCCACTACAGAGAAGGCCCGTTCTCATGTTGCTGCCCTCTGGACCTCACGTAGAGGAGACACACAAAAAAGGCATCAAATGATGAACACAGAGTCTGGGATGGCTTATACAGCAAAAATTCAGCAAAACAGTGCTAAAACCATATGCACACGAAGAAGAGCCCTGCTGGATCACACCAAAGGGGGCCCATCGAGTCCAGCATCCTGTTCTCACAGTGGCCTTAATAGGAAACCTGCAAATTAGAACTCATAACCCACCTACTTTCAGCAGCCAGAAGCATCATAGCCACTGGAGAGACCTGTCGGGAGTAAGCATGGACCAATGGTACCAAATAGTATGGGAAACAGCCCTACTAGAAAAATTAACCAATAAACTGAAACTGACACGGGGACAAAGACTCCTTCACCCCGATATGGCTCCCCTTTATCACATACACAGCCCAACAAGACAACGACAAAAATCCACCAACAGCATACAAATCAATATGGCAAACCTGATCCAAAACACCCACCCACCCCACTCACACATGAAAACAAAGACCACCACAGCCAACCACAAATGAATAACCACACCCTAGGCCAACCCCAACCTCTCTCACCGCCAAAGGAACACAAGCGAACAGCAAAGAACCTGCACAAGCAACGCTGACACCAAACCCTACATATAGTAAGTAAAATAGTAATTCTCTCCTCGCCTATAATTCCTACCAACTGTTATTGAGATGCATACTGTCTCCAACAGTGGGTGGAGAATATAGTTGCAGCGGCTAGTCACCACAGAGAGCCTCATCCTCCACAAAATGGTCCAATCCTCTTCTAAAGGCCTCCAAGTTGGAGGCCAATCGCTACACCTTGTGTGGGTATGAGTTCCGCTGTGTGAAGCGGGTCTGTCCTGTATCTTTCAACATTTAGGATGTCCCTAAGTTCTAGTATTCTAACAGTGGGAGAAAAACCTTCTCCCTATATCCATTTTTTTCCACGTCATGTGTCATTTTATACACCTAATTTTATACAGGAAGCATTGCCAGATCATCAGTTTCTAATCTCTCGTGTTTCCTCTCGTTCTTATTCACCATTTTTAGAGCTAACTAGGGAACACTTTGTTGGAGAGGGCGGTCAAGTCAGGAGTCTGCCCAGAAGGACCGTTGGTGCTTAATGCCTTCTATGCAACACATTGTTAACCTATGGAACTCCCTCCCACAGGAAGCAGTGATGACCACCAACTTGGATGGCTTTGAAAGAGGTCTGGACAAATTTGCAGAGCAGAAGGCCATCAGTGGCTATGAGAACTGCATGCTGGACTAGCTGGGGCATTGGCCTGATCCAGTAGGCTATTGATTGATTGACTGACTGAGTGACTGATTGCATTCATATCCCGCTTTTTCTCTAAGGAGCTCATTTAACCCCCACAACAACCCTGTGAGGTAGGTTAGGCTGAGAGGTAGTGATTGACTCAAGGTCACACCCAGTGAACTTCATGGCTGAGTGGGGATTTGAACCCTGGTCTCCCAGGTTGTCCTAGTGCAATTCTCTTACCACTGCACCACCTTGGCTTTCTCTTATTCTTCTGTTCATATGTCCTTTCATCTCTCCCCCCCCCCCCTCAGCACAGCCAGGGACTGATTCAACCGCCTCTTCCCAGCCTGGTTAATCGTTCACCATCCTAAGGAGCAAATCTTTACAGAGCCATGTTGCTCTGTCTTCAAGCCACTTATAATGTTGTCAGTTTGTTCTTGATCAAATATTTGAGGAGGGATAAGATGAGAAGGGTGTGTCAAGACTGGACGGATCAGACAGCCTGAGGCTCTCTGAGGCTCTTGCCAATTCTCCAGCCCAGGAAGACAAGCACAGGGTTCCTTAACACCTCTGGGCACCGGGCAATGTCAAATGGCTGACAAGCTGTCAATCATGCTTACAAGCTGCCAGTATGGTGACCCTACCACATATTCCACAGAAGAGAAAGTGGAGGATGAAGGAATACTGTAAATGGTGCTAATAGAAGCTATCAGGACCTGTAAAAAAAACCCTTTTAAATCCCAAAGTACGTAGTGCCTTTGGGACAGGCTGTAGCTCAGTGGTTAGGACACTTGCTTGGCCTGCAAAAGGTTCCAGGTTCGGCCACTGACATCTCCAGGAAGGGCTAGGAGAGACCCCCTGTCTGTAACCCTGGAGAGCAGGTGCTAGTGAGTATAGAGCGTTGTGGTCTAAACCACTGAGCCTAGGGCTTGCCAATCGGAAGGTTGGCGGTTCGAATCCCTGCGACGGGGTGAGCTCCCACTGCTCGGTCCCTGCTCCTGCCAACCTAGCAGTTCGAAAGCACGTCAAAGTGCTAGTAGATCAATAGGTACCGCTCTGGCGGGAAGGTAAAGGGGGTTTCTGTGCACTGCTCTGGTTTCGCCAGAAGCAGCTTAGTCATGCTGGCCACATGACTCAGAAAAACTGTCTGCAGACAAATGCCGGCTCCCTTGGCCAGTAAAGTGTGATGAGCGCCACAACCCCATAGTCGTTCACGACTGAACTTAACTGTCAGGGGTCCTTTACCTTTACCTTTACCTTTTTAAGCTTGATGGACCAGTGCTCTAACTCCCAGAGTTCCCTGGGAAGAGGGACTGATTGTTAAATCAACTCTGGGGATTGTAGCTCCCAGAATTCTTTGGGGAAACATATACCATGCTGCTTTAAACAAATGCATCCTTACTTTGGTGCAACTTCATCTAAACCATATCCTCCAACATTTCTCTGATGAAAATAAAGACGTCTCAATCCATAATGATAATTTTGCTATTTATACCCCACACATTTTACCGGTTTGCCCCAGCCACTCTGGGCAGCTTACAACATATATAAAAACATAATAAAACATTAAATGTTTTTTTAAAAAACCTTCCCTATGCAGGGCTGCCTTCAGACGGCTCGGTGAGTCGGATAACTCCATACCCTCCAACATTTCTCCAATGAAAATAGGGATGTCCTAAGGAAAAGTGGGATATTCCTGGATCAAGCCAGAAACTGGGGCGGCTTCTTTAAATCTGGGATGTCCCTGGAAAATAGGGACACTTGGAGGGTCTGCTAACCTTCCTGCCCACAAACCAGGAGGAAGACTTGCTAAATGGCCAATGTCATCTAAACTCCCCGCAAACAGAGCTAACAAAATCTAGATGGGCCATCAGCCTGATACAGCAGGCTCATCTTAGGTGGGATAACCAGGGCTTTTTTCCCCAGGCAGAACTCATCAGAACTCAATTCCAACACCTCTCAGGTAGGTGCCATTGACATTAAAAGAGAACAAGGGAGGCGTTCATGGCGATTGCCAGCATCTCTTATTCTAGAAAAAATAGCACTTTGCTTTAATGCAACGTTATCTAGTCTCCTTGCAGACAACGTTATCTACCGGTAGTCTCCCTGGAAGTGCTACCTGCTCCCCTGGCTATGTGCAGGCCCATGGGGCCTTAAAATAACATAAGCAAAAATCCCAACTGAGATGTCTGGCCTCCTGCTCTCAAACATTAAGCTGCGGAAAACCTCGTGGCGGATTAACATTCCTTGTGGATATTAGTGCTCACCTTTTAACGGCACATCTGAATCTCTCCTTTGGCAACCAGGGAGGCTGCCCCACGGCTGCCAACCAGGCACCAACCGCCACAGATCTGCCTTAATTGCCTAGGACAACCCCTTGTTTTCGTTAATCCCCATGGAAGGGAGTTTAATTTTCGGCTCAGGCTTTAAGTGGGACACGTCATCGACAAAGCCTGGATTTGGAAGCCTGACAATGAGAAGCTTTCACAGAGCAATGCTTTTCCCAAGGGAAGCAGAGTCCAGACCCTGTTGTTGATGTTGTTGTTGTTGTTGCTGCTGCTGCTGCTTACCTGCCCTTCACCCCAAGGCCCCAGAGCCAGTTGTGAAATTGAAACACAACATCAGAAACAGTTTAAAATAACTTGTAATCACAAAAATATACACCTCAAGTGTCAAAAGCGGAGGTGTGTTTTCAGCATCCTCTGGAAGCTGTATAATCAAGGTGCCAGGCGCACATCTGTAGGGAGGGAGTTCCACAGCTTAGGGGCCACCACAGAGAAGGCCCTCTTCTGGGCCGCCATCACCCTGAGCCTCTGAAGGTGAAGGAACTACCAAGAGGACCCCCTCTGCCCGTCTCAGAACCTGGGAGGGTCTGTCAGCATAGATGCAGTCTTTCAGATTTTTGGGGCCTGAGTCATTTAGGGCTCTGAACACCAGTATGAGCTGCTTGGGGTGGATCTACACACGGGGGGGGGGGACCCCCCGCTATAAATAAGTCAGAAATTAAATCGTTCTAACAAAAGAAAAAAAACGCTAGAGAAAATTGCTTAGATTTTTGTTTTGCTCGCCAGTGCCATCTGGTGTTGCATGTTTATAATGCATACAACACGCTGTTTTTTGACCAATGTAGCTGAGTCCTTAAACTGGGCCTGGAACAAAATGCCAACCAGTGCATCTGTTCTAAAACAGGGGTTATATGAAATCTAAACAGAACCCCAGCTAGTAATCTGGCTGCGATAATCCAGTCTGGAAGTTCCCAAAGCACAGAGCACAGTGGCCAAGTCACCTCCGTCCAAAAGAGGTCATAGCTGGCAAGCCTTCCAGAGCTGGCACCAACCTTGCTTTCGGACTACAACTCCCATCAGCCCCACCAAGCACGGCCTTTCTGGACTACAACTCCCATCACAGCTGGCTGGGGCTGGTGGAGTTTTAGTCCAAACATCTGGAGGACATCAGGCTGCCAAAGGACAGTCTGGACTCGAGCACATTTGTAACAATAGTCAGATAAATCTTAGAACAAGAAGAGTTATAAGAACATCTGGACCAAAATTTCCTATAGTCCAGTCCTCTACCAAAACCAACAATGACCAGCCAAATTTGGGAAGCCCGCTATTTGTGCCCAGTGTGTGGCATGTAAGAGCTATACAGTACTGCCTTCGAACATGGAGGTACTATTTTGCTGCCGTGAATAAGCCCGATCCTCTTCCACAAATATTTCTGATCCTGAGGCTTGAGATACTGAGTTCAATGATTCAGAAAAGGGCAACCAAAATTATCAAGGGGATGGAGGGAACAACTCTCCTACAAGGAAAGCTGGCAGTGTTTAGGGACGTTTTGGGGAAATCTCTAAATCTGGGAAATCTTTAAAACTGGAGAGATGTGGGCGTTCCAGTCCTCTCTGCCTCTACTTACCTTGCCACGACCTCGTTGTCAACCTTGATGATGCAATAAGGGTCGCTGGTGCCGGACCTTTGGGAGAGAGCAAAGCAGAAACATGGATGAGAATTAAACACTCCCCACACCAATGCTAATAATAATAATAATAATAATAATAATAATTGGTTGGGGGCATCACTGGTTTCAAAAATGCCACAAAAGCCGTGGGTGGCAGTAGTACTGGTGCCCACTGAAAATTCTGATGGGATTTACCTACAGAGGAGAACAGGAATTTAAGGGAGGAGGTCTTTTTTAGCCTAAAAGTCACATTCCATTCTGGGCAACCTTCGGATGAGAAAACAATCCAGCAGCACCAGTCCCTATGAGAAGAAGTCCCAGCAAAAGAAGAATGGATACAAAAACTTGTGGAATATGCAGAAATGGTGAAACTTACTGGAAAAATAAGAAATCAAGGTAACAAACTTTTTATAAAAGAATGGAAACGGTTTGTTGAATATTTACAGACAAACTGTAAACAGGTGAGAACATTGGCAGGATTATTATAATCGCCTGCCAATTTATTTACAGGAGATGAACAAAGGAGCAAATTAAGTTAATATGGATACGCAGAAAATATTACTAAATAAATTTCAGGAACTGCAGAAAGAGGGGGAAGGAAATGTTAAAATGATTGAAAAATGATTGAAATGTATGAAACTGAAAAGCATAAATAAAATGTTTAAAAAGCAGTACCAGTCTCTGTGGAAGCCAGCAGCTGTGTGAGGGTTCCTGGTTTGTGGCACCTCAAAATTGTGTACCCGTTGGCCATAGTCCCCCTGCCCCTCCACACTACGCCCCTAAGCTGGGGACAGCATATAGCCTGGTGGAGAGAGAGATCCAAGGGACAGATTGATTCAAGAGCATAAGCAGAGCTCTGCTGGATCAGGCCAATGGCCCATCTAGTCCAGCATCCTGTTCTCACAGTGGCCAACCAGATGCTCAAGCAGCAGCTGAGCACAAGATCCCAGTCCTCTCCTGCAACTGGTATTCAGAAGCATCACAGCTTCCAGCAGGCCATACAGGCAGAACACAGCCACCATGGCTAAAGGTAAAGGGACCCCTGACCATTAGGTCCAGTCGCAGACAACTCTGGGGTTGCAGCACTCATCTCGCTTTATTGGCCGAGGGAGCCGGTGTACAGCTTCCGGGTCGTGTGGCCAGCATGATTAAGCTGCTTCTGGCGAACCAGAGCAGTGCACAGAAACGCCGTTTACCTTCCCGCCGGAGTGGTACCTATTTATCTACTTGCACTTTGACATGCTTTCAAACTGCTAGGTTGGCAGGAGCTGGGACCGAGCAACGGGAGCTCGCCCTGTCACAGGGATTCGAACCGCTGACCTTCTGATCGGCAAGTCCTAGGCTCTGTGGTTTAGACCACAGCGCCACCCACGTCCCTGCCACCATGGCTAGTGGCCATTTATTTATTTTAAAAGCCTTTCTAAACCACTTCACAGTTTGAAAACCTCTCTAATCAGCATGTGCTATGTACAATGCAAAGAACCAATATCCGTTAACACGCAAATACAGCCGTAAAGTCAATAAAAGAGCATAAAAGCAAATAAAAAGAATGAATTCAGAGGATTTGCGCATATAAATCAGAGTCTAATCTTACGGGTCATGAAAAGCCCAGGCCAAAGAGATAAGTCTTTACGAGGCGTCTGACGCAACTGCTGGTTGCTACTTGACACAAGGTGGGGGAAGGTTGTTCCACAGGATGGAGCAGCCAGGAGGACCACTCATTTTGGATCTGGGATGTTGAAAATAAAACTGCCAGTATCATAATGCCATTATACAGATCTACGGTGCAACCACATTTGGAGTACTGTGTTTACAGCTCTAGTTATCTTGAACTACTGCAACGCGCTCTCCGTGGGGCTACCTTTGAAGATGACCCGGAAACTGCAACTAATCCAGAATGCGGCAGCTAGACTGGTGACTGGGAGCGGCCGCTGAGACCATATAACACCGGTCCTGAAAGACCTGCAATGGCTCCGAATACGTATCCAAGCACAATTCAAACTGTTGGTGCTGACCTTTAAAGCCCTAAACGGCCTCAGCCCAGTATATCTGAAGGAGCGTCTCCACCCCCAACGTTCAGCCTGGACACTGAAGTCCAGCTCCAAGGGCCTTCTGGCGATTCCCTCCCTGCGAGAAGTGAGGTTACAGGGAACCAGGCAGAGGGCCTTCTTGGTAGTGGCACCCTCCGTGTGGAATGTCCTCCCATCAGATGTCAAAGAAATAAACAACTATCTGACTTTTAGAAGACATCTGAAGGCAGCCCTGTATTGGGAAGTTTTAAAAGTTTGATGTTTTATTGTGTTTTTAATATTCTGTTGGGAGTCGCCCAGAGTGGCTGGGGAGACCCAGCCAGATGGGCAGAGTTTAAGTAATATTTATAATAATATAATAATAAGTAATATTGGAGAGGCAAAAAGAAAGAAAAAATACCCGAATATAAGCCGCTCCCTTCCTCGCTGCTCCTGGCTGGCTGCATACTGGGGGGGGGGGGACCATGTTGCGTTGCCGGCAGCTTTTTCCCTTCCTCACTCTCTCCCTTCCTGGCCTTAGGGAAGAGGACAGGGGACTACGCATGGGGCAGGCGAAGCTTTGCCGCTCTCCTGGCGCTGTTTGCACTGCGCTCCTGGCTGCATACTATAAAGTCACAAATATAAGCCACACAGTCAGAATTGGGGGGAAAGTGAGGCTTATATTCAGGCCATTACAGTACAGTGGTACCTCAGGTTACAGATTCCGCCAACCCGGAAATAGTACCTCAGGTTAAGAACTTTACCTCAGGATGAGAACAGAAATCGTGCGGCGGCGGCAGGAGGCCTCATTAGCTAAAGTGGTACCTCGGGTTAAGAACAGTTTCAGGTTAAGGACGGACCTCCAGAACGAATTAAGTTTTTAACCTGAGGTAACACTGTATTACAGTTCTGGTCGCCTCGCCTCAAAATGGATACTGCAGAGTTGGAAAAGGTTTGGGAAAGGGCAACCAAAGCAATTGAGGGATGGAAAGACTCCCGAATGAGGAAAGGTGCAGCATTTGGGGGACTTTTTAATCTAGAGATAAGGCAAGCAAGAAGTGACATCGCAGAGGCTTATAAAATTAAGCTTTGCGTGGGTGGGTAGGGAATAGATAGAGAAAAGCATTTCTCCCTCTCTCATAACACTAGAACTGGTGGACGTCCAACGAAGCTGAATGTTGGAAGATTCGGGACAGATATAAGAAAGTCTTTCTGCATAGTTAAACTATGGAACTGGCTCCCACAAATGGCAATGATGCCTACCAACTTTGTTGTTGTTGCTGTTTAGTCATTTAGTCGTGCCCGACTCTTCATGACTCCATGGACCAGAGCACGCCAGGCACTCCTGTCTTCCACTGCCTCCCGCAGTTTGGTCAAACTCATGCTGGTAGCTTCGAGAACACTATCCAACCATCTCATCCTCTGTCGTCCCCTTCTCCTTGTGCCCTCCATCTTTCCCAACATCAGGGTCGTTTCCAGGGAGTCTTCTCTTCGCATGAGGTGGCCAAAGTATTGGAGCCTCAGCTTCAGAATCTGTCCTTCCAGTGAGCACTCAGGGCTGATTTCCTTCAGAATGGATAGGTTTGATCTTCTTGCAGTCCGTGGGACTCTCAAGAGTCTCCTCCAGCACCAGAATTCAAAAGCATCAATTCTTCGGCGATCAGCCTTCTTTATGGTCCAGCTGTCACTTCCATACATCACTACTGGGAAGACCATAGCTTTAACTATACGGACCTTTGTTGGCAAGGTGATGTCTCTGCTTTTTAAGATGCTGTCTAGGTTTGTCATTTCTCCCAAGAAGCAGGCGTCTTTTAATTTTGTGGCTGCTGTCACCATCTGCAGTGATCATGGAGCCCAAGAAAGTAAAATCTCTCACTGCCTCCATTTCTTCCCCTTCTATTTGCCAGGACAGCATTAAAAAAGGATTAGACAAATGCCTGGAGGAGAGGCCTATCAATGGCTACTACTCATCCACAGTTGGATACAGTTACTATGCTTCTAAATACCAGTTGCTGGAAACTGCAGGAGGGGAGAAGGCTCTTGTGCTCGAATCCTGCTTATGGGCTTTCCACAGGCAATTGGTTGGCCACTGTAAGAACAGGATGCTGGACTAGATGGGCCATTGGCCTGATCCAGCAGCCTCTTCTGATATTCTTATGCTGGACCTGAAGCTGAAGCCTTAAATGCTTAATTCTGCCATCACCTCTGGTGTTTTCTCATCTCTGGAGGTTTCCATTCCTGCAGTTTTTCTTTGTTTGTTTTTAAATTCATCGCAAGTCACCCAGAAGCAAGAGAGCTACAAATCGGGGAAATGCAAAATGCCCCTCTCTTCCCAGCCTCACTGCCACATGCATGGCTGAGTTCTCACCGGTGGCCATCGCAGCGCAACATATCATTATGGGCAACCTCTCCGCCCCCTCTATTATTTATAGATTAATATCAGCCTGGTTTGTAACTTGATAACTAATAATAGTAACTTAATTCAGCCTCCTGAACTCCAAGGGGTTAGGCAAGATCGCTGCTCAAAAAGAGGATTGTAGCTTAGAAATTAATATCCAACTAAGGCCTACTCAGAGTAGACCCACTGGAAACAATGGACTGAAGTGAGCTGAGTTCATTATCCTCAATGCGCCTTCTCTGAATAAGATGAATGTTGGATATACAACCCAATACAGTAGTACCTCGGGTTAAGTACTTAATTCGTTCCGGAGGTCTGTTCTTAACCTGAAACTGTTCTTAACCTGAAGCACCACTTTAGCTAATGGGGTCTCCTGCTGCCGCCGCGCCGCTGGAGCACGATTTCTGTTCTCATCCTGAAGCAAAGTTCTTAACCCGAGGTACTATTTCTGGGTTAGCGGAGTCTGTAACCTGAAGCGTATGTAACCTGAAGCGTATGTAACCTGAGGTACCACTGTAATACTATGAATACATCTTTGCATTTTCTGGTTGCAGTCCTCGCAACAACCCTGTAATGTTAGCTGGTGTTATTATTTCCCCATATTGAAAGGAGGGGCTGAGGCTGAGAGGGGCATCTTGCCCCAGGATCCCAGCAGGCTTGTAGTAGTTGCAAGATTTGAACCAGGGACTCCCTGCCTTGGCAGTGCTGTCTCTTAGCCACTACAATAGAACATCTCAAGTGTCTGGCTGTTCTAGGGAGCTGGTGCCATTTAAATGGTTGGTCCTTTAAAGCAGGATTGGGAAACCCAATTTGCCCCCTCTCTTGTTGAGAGTTGCATTCCCTCAGTGGTATTCTGTTAGGGCATGGGTAGGCAAACTAAGGCCCGTGGCCCAAATGCGGCCCAATCGCCTTCTGAAACCGGTCTGTGGACGGTCCGGGAATCAGCGTGTTTTTCCATGAGTAGAATGTGTGCTTTTATTTAAAATGCATCCCTGGGTTATTTGTGGGGCATAGGAATTCATTCATTCAACACCCCCCCCCAAAAAAAATATGGTCTGGCCCCCAAAAGTGGACAGAACTGCTACTTCTTTCTTTCTTTCTTTCTTTCTTTCTTTCTTTCTTTCTCTCTCCTGCTACTTCTTTCTTTCTTTCTCTCTCTCTCTCTCTCTCTCTCTCTCTCTCTCTCTGTGACACATTCTGTCTCTATGACATCCACCTTCTCCCTCTCTCCCTTTCTGTGACACCCCTTTCATTCTGTTCTTCTCTTTCTCTCTCTCCCTGTCCCAAGAGGAGCCAACTCTTAGGGGCCAAGGTCCCTTCGGTGCCGGATTTACGTATAAGCTAAACAAACTATAGCTTAGGGCCCCACTCTCTTTGGGGCCCCAAAAAAATTTAAAGGGGGGGAAAACTGGATGTACATTTCCAAAATATAAGATAAAGAACAAATAAAATAAAACCTACATACAGCAACCGTGTTTTGTGTTGTGTTGCTCCTATGATGTAAGTAATGGGCCCCGCCTGCTAGCCTGCTCCCTAAAATATCACTGGTTTGCTCATTTCTATACATAGGGTGCCTACATTCTGCATGGACTGGACGTATAAAGGGCTCCATTACCTTCAGTAGCTTAGGGCCTCATCAAACCTAAATCCGGCCCTGTGTCCCTTTGCCCACCCCCGTTAAAATATTTGAAGGGGCTGCCCCCACCCCAGAGTGGATAGGCATTGCCATTCAAATGGTGTGTACACGTTGTGTCGTATGATCAGTTATGCAAGGCTGTGCTTACCTGGGACACCCACCCCCCAATATTTTATTCCAGTTGGCACCCCTGCCTCTCCCCCTACTCTTTATGACACCCCTTTTCCCTCTCTCTCCCCCTTTGTCTCCAACACACCCTTCTTTCTCCACTTCACCTACCGCCCAGTAAGAGCCCTGATGAATCAGGCCAAAGCAGGGGCTCCATCTAATTCAATATCCTGTTCTCTCAGTGGCCAACCAGACCCCACCCCGCCCAGGGGAAGCCCACAAGCAACAGCCACCATCCCCGCTGGCAGCTCTCAGCAACTGCTCTACAGAGGCTTCCTGCAGGTTACCAGAGCCCTGAGCCAGCCAGTTGCACAGGCAGGGGCCTTTTGAAATTCACCGGAGGGCCGCATGTTGCCGATCCCTGCTTTGAAAAGGAACCCTTTGTTCCCTCCTCCCCTGAAATCTTGTTAGCTAGCCTCTGAAGCAAGCAGCTCAAGGAGATGTCACTACATCCATGGAAACAGCAAAATGCCAGGAGCCCGACTCACAGCAGTTTTCTACTTAGCTAGCTGGCTTGGGAGAACGCAGGTGTGATTGTGTGTGTGTGTGTGTGTGTCTGCACACAAGCCCTGTTTCATGCCACCCCCGCCCCCAAGATCTGGGTTCAGATCCTGTCCTTAAAAACAGAACTACTTTAAAAACAACTCACATTCTGAGACTGATATACAGTGGTACCTCGGGTTACATATGCTTCAGGTTACATACGCTTCAGGTTACAGACTCCGCTAACCCAGAAATAGTGCTTCAGGTTAAGAACTTTGCTTCAGGATGAAAACAGAAATCGTGCTCTGGTGGCACAGCAGCAGCAGGAGGCCCCATTAGCTAAAGTGGTGCTTCAGGTTAAGAACAGTTTCAGGTTAAGAACGGACCTCCAGAATGAATTAAGTACTTAACCTGAGGTACCACTGTAGTCACATTCGGAACACACATTTAAAGCACGTGGCTTTCCCTCCAAAATCCTGCGAACTGTAGTTTATTTGTATTATTTTATTTTTAAACACATCATTAAAAGCAGTCATGTGGTGTATTTTAGTTTGATGTTTTGTTTATTGTATCTGCAAATCTTATTTATTTTGAAAAAAGATTTTTATATACCACTTGACTATGGCAAAACCTCTAAGGGTTTTATGAGAAATATTAAAATTACCAATTAAAAAAACCCAGTTAAAAACATTTAAAGAGAATTAAAATGAACAGGCATTGACATGTCAATATCTGTATGTCTGGATAAAAAGGTAAAGGGACCCCTGACCATTAGGTCCAGTCGTGACCGACTCTGGGGTTATGGGGCTCATCTCGCTTTATTGGCCGAGGGAGCCGGCGTACAGCTTCCGGGTCATGTGGCCAGCATGACTAAGCTGCTTCTGGCGAACCAGAGCAGCACACAGAAACGCCATTTACCTTCCTACCGGAGCAGGACCTATTTATCTCCTTGCACTTTGACATGCTTTCAAACTGCTAGGTTGGCAGGAGCAGGGATCGAACAACGGGAGCTCACCCCGTCACGGGGATTTGAACCGCCGGCCTTCTGATCGGCAGGTCCTAGGCTCTGTGATTTAAGCCACAGCGCCACCCGCGTCCCTGTATGTCTGGGTAGTCTTTTCCTAAACGAAAAGGTTTTAAGAGGGCTCTGAAAAAGGGTGCAGCAAAGACACCTGCTTGGTGTCAAGAGGCAGGGAGTTCCAAAGTATAGCTGCTGCCACACTCAGAGATCAATCAATGAGTATTGTGTGGCATCTGGAACTGTACCAGTTCTGCAGATGCAAACCATCGAGTAGATGTATATGGGGTAAGGTGCTCCCTCAAGTGTGCTGGTCCCAATCCATTTACTGCCCCACTTCCGCCGGGGCAACAATTCCCAGTGTCCTTAACAAACTGCTAATGGTTTGTACATAAAGCAAAGGCAAACCATAGTTTCACACAAATGAGCAAACACTCCTCCTGCTTGCTATTGTACCCAAAGCTAAGCCATGGTGTGCCTTAGAGTTACATCAAAACCCAGATTCGTGCCCTGAAAGATGGGTTCAAGATGCATTTGATAAAGAGATAAAAACTCAGAGGTACACTTTCCCTGAACGTGGAGGTTCTGTTATCTTGATTAATAGCTGCTGAGAAGCCTCTTTGCTTTGCAAGCAGAAGGCACCAGGTTCTGTCCTTGGCATCTCCAGGTAGAGAGCCCTGCCTAAAACCCTGGAAAGCAGCTGCCAGTCAGTGCAGACAACGCTGAACTAGGTGGACCGACAGTCCAATTCAGTATAAAACAGCTTCCTATGGTCCTATATCACGGAGGCAAAAAAAGCTAAGCCTGCAACCCTGTACACACTTACTTGGGAGTAGGTCCCAGTGATGTCCATGGGGCTTACTTCTTAGCAGACACATAACATGCCTCTGGAAAGGGATGGGCTAACTACTGTTGTCTATGCTCTGGTAACTTCAAGGTTAGATTACTGCAATGCGTTATACGTAGGGCTGCCTCTGAAGATGCTTCGGAAACTTCAGCTAGTGTAGAATTCAGTGGCCAGGCTGCTCACCGGAGCAGGACGGTTTGAGCATATTGCACTGATCCTGGTCCGACTGCACTGGCTACCAATTAGTTTCCGGGCCCAAGTCAAAGTGCTGGTTTTGACCTATAAAGCCTTAAACAGCTCAGGACCGCAATATCTCAAGGACCGCCTCTTTCCATATGAACCTACCTGGACCCTGAGATCATCTTTGTGTGCCTCCTCCTCAAGAGGTCTGAAGGGCGGCAACACAAGAACGGGGCCTTCTCTGCAGTGGCTCCCCATCTGTGGAATGCTCTCCCCAAGGAAGTTTGCCTGGTGCCTTCATTAGACACCTTTATGTTGTGATCTTTCTTGTGAACCGCCCTGAGACCTCTGGGTATAGGGCAGAATATAAACTCAATTAATAACAACAACAACAACAACAACAACAACAACAACAATATTTACTCAAGCGTTGGTCTCCATGTGTTCAACAGGGCATGGTAAACAGACACAGGATTGACCCTTCAGTAACGACCCTTTGGTGGCAACAGGGAACCTGCCAAGCAGTATTTGAATCTGTGCTGAAGCTGGCATAGAAGCATAGACTTGTAGAGTGTTGGAAGGGTTCCCTGAGGGTCATCTAGTCCAACCCCCTGCAATGCAGGATTGCTGGGCAGCGGCCAAAGCTGCTCCTCTTCACTCCCTTAAAAGTACAGAATTGAAGAAAGGATGTGGCTCAGAGGGAGGGCAAGCTGTTTTGCATGCAAGAACGTCCCAGGTTCAATCCCCGGCATGTCCAGCTCGAACTGGAAGAGGCTCCCTGTGTGAAATCCTGAAGAGCTGCTGCCAGTCAGTGTGGACAATATTGAGCTAGATGAACCCATGATCTAATTGGACTTTATATCAGGTGGCCATAATGACAGCTGCCAATCTGGGATGGCTTCCAAAGGTGATTAGACAAATTCATAAGTTCTATCAGTTGCCTTGTATGTATCTGACCTTTGGTCCATCTAGCCCAGAGTTGTCAGCACTGACTGGCAGTAGCTTTCCAGGGTTTCAGATAAGGAGTCTGCCCCAGCCTGGATACGCCAGGGTAGGCTGTGGCTCTTCCCTAGAGACATAGAAACACAGAAAGCTGCCTTATGCCGAGGAAGACCTCTGGTCCATCTAGCTCAGCATTACCTACACTGACTGGCAGCAGCGCTCCAGAGTTTCTGGCAGGAATTTTCTCCCAGCCCTACCTGGGAGATTGGGGATTGAACCCGGGACCTTGTGCATGCAAAGCAGATTCTTTAACCACTCAGGTAAGCCACCTCCCCTGTCACAGGAGGCTTTCTTATACTGATCCAAATCTCTGGTCCATCTAGTTCAATGCTGTCTGCACTGACTGGAAGTGTCTCTCCCGATTTCTGAACAGGGTTTTCTCTCAGTGCTACCCAGCGGTGCCAGGAATTGAACTCGGAACATTCAGCATGCAAGGCAGATACCACTGAATGACAACATCTTCTTCTTGCCATATTGCAATCCTTAACTAGTGTTGCTTTTACTATTCTTGCCCCAGTAACTTTTGTTAAAGCTTATAAACATCGTAAGCAAAAAAATTTAGCTTCCTATAGTCACCCATCTAACTTCTAATGGTAGAGTTGACATGGAGGAATGTTGCGTTTGAATATGGTTTGTTTTGGGGGTGGGGTGGGGAAACCATCTACTTTAATAATGAACTAAATCCCTCCAATTATGCGTTATTGTTATTATTATTGTTGTTGTTATTTCTGCACTTTTGGAAATGTATTAACTTATTTTGCAAGATTTATATACCGTTTGAGAGTAAAGAAGCAGTTTAGGGGAAGGAAAAAAACAGTAAGATTATCAGCATAACCGAACAGTATGACTGTACGGAACAATTGCAGATTTGCAAAGGAAAATATCCTTTTGAATTATATACCCAAGACGTGGAATCTAACAAAGGGACAATTTGAATGGACTCTTACTATGGCAAAAAGACTGATATTGATGAACTGGAAAAATAAAAATCCATCTTCAATGGATTGAAGATAAGTACAAACTCTCTACACATAAACAAGTTGTGTGCAAACGTAGACTTGCCACAGACAAATTTAACAATATTTGGAATTCATTTTTATAAATACTGTATTAGATTAAGGTCTGATTAACTACAACTCCCTTTTTTGATAATGTACACAATATCTTTTTTCTGTTTTGTTTGGGTACTATTTCTTGTTTCTTCTTTTTTGTGTCTTACTCTGTGCCCTTGTAAGTTTGTACTTTTTATTTCTCAATAAAGAATATGAAAAAGATTGCCGGCATTAAAAAATAGTTTAAAACAACTATTTTAAACATTATTTTTTAAAAAAATAAATTAAAATCACACCCAAACTCAGAGCAACCTCCTTAATATATACATTATATACAGAATCGAACCCATCGGTCCATCTAAGTCAGGACTACACTGACTGGCAGCCGTTTCAGGCAGGGGACACTTCATGGAGATGCCATTGGGACCTTCTGCAAGCCAAGCAGATGTTCCAACCCTGAGCTAAGGCACTTCCCTTAAGACATAGCAACGCAGAAAGCTGCCTTTTACTGAATGAGACCCTTGGTCCATCTAGCCACCAACACTGACTGGCAGCGACTCTCCACAGTTTCAGGCAGGGACTCCCTCCCAGCCTTGGAGATGCCTCGAATTAAACTTGGATCCTTCTGCACGCAGAGCAGCAGACACTCTGTCAATATCAGCAGGATGGACGAAAGCCACCGACAGGACAGCTCAGCCGCGTGGTGCTGATGATGCCAAAGCTGCAGGTTCGATCCCCGTCAGGGGCACCTGCGTTATACTCTTGCTTTTCAACTGAGGACCCTCAAGGTCCCTTCCAACTTTACGAGGCTATGACGTTCCTCGGTTTTCTGAGGGACAGGAGGCTGGAGAGGGTCCGTGGCTCGCATCTCGCCTGCTGGATCCCCCGGAGTCCCTCCGCTCCCTCCCCTCGAGGAGATACAGGAGAGAGACCTTCGCTGTGACCCAGCAGCGGGGCTCGTCTTACGCTCCCGAGCGGTCGCCACCTGCCTCCCCGCGCCCACGCAGTGAGCAAGAGCAGAAGGAACTCCCCACTCCCCACTGCCACCACCTACTCAGCCTTCTGGAGTCGTGGGGATCGGGGACCACAGACGGGGGGGGGGACGACGGGGGGGAGGGGCGATGGCCAGGAAAAAGCTGCCCACTGAAGTGAGCTTGCCAACATCTCCACCCCGCCCGAAAAAACAACAACTGGAGTTTGCCCCGGCAGTGCTGCCGTCGGGGGGCAAGACAGCCGTGGCCCTCCAAGACAACCAGTGCCCTCCGGCAGCCGGTCATGGAATCATAAAAGGGATCCCTGAGGGTCCTCTAGTCCAACCCCCTGCAGTGCAGGTCTTAAAGAGGCGCTTGCTAGCCCTGCCGCCCTCTAGGACCGTCGAGGTTGGGTGGGGAGGGAGAAGAGCCAGAAGACGGCAAAAAAAAACCGGGGGAAACAAAAAGAGGCGCCGTCTAGTCGGGTCCGCGCAGTGGAGACGGAGCTCGCCTTCGGACGGCAGGCGGGGGCCGCCCGGAGGGGTTTGGCGGGGAAAGGAGGGGGTCTCGACGGCGCGGGCCGGCACTCACACGTCCTTGGCCGGCAGGTCCCTTCCCTCCACCACGCGGAAGTGCAGCGACGTGTTCTTGGCCATGCCGAGGCCGGCGGAGGCGCGCTGGCGGCGGCCGCTGCAGCAGCGCTCACCGACGGTCCGCGGGCTGCATGGAGCGCCGATCCTCGACGGCCGTCCAGCCGCAGCAGCCGCGCCGCGCCTTCCTTTGATCCCTCCCGGATTGCAAGGCGAAGGGGCTTTTTCCTGTCAGCAGGAAAGCCTAAGCCTCCTCCTCCTCCTCCTCCAGAAGCCAGCCAGCCAGGCAAGACGGGAGAGAGAGGCAGGCAGGCTGGGGAACCGGTCCGGCCAGGTGGCGATCTCCTTCTCCGCGGAGTTCAGAAGGCGAGAGCGCCCGCCTGTCGAGCTGGCTGCCTTCGCTCGCCTTGTTAAATGCCAGGCGCTCCTCGGCTGCCTCGGCTGCGGCTACAGGTGGCCGGGCGGAAGAGTGTGAAGCTGGCCCGCCTCCTAGAGGCCGAAAAGCGAAGCGGCGGAGCTCCGTTCCGTTGGTTGTTGGGGGGTGGGGGGCGTTTGTTCCTTTGCTTTCAATAATAATAATAATAAATAATATTGATGATGATGGTGGTGATAATAAGACGCCTGCTTCTTGGGAGAAAAACAATGACAAACCTAGACAGCATCTTAAAAAGCAGAGACATCACCTTGCCAACAAAGGTCCGTATAGTTAAAGCTATGGTTTTCCCAGTACTGATGTATGGAAGTGAGAGCTGGACCATAAAGAAGGCTGATCGCCGAAGAATTGATGCTTTTGAATTATGGTGCTGGAGGAGACTCTTGAGAGTCCCATGGACTGCAAGAAGATCAAACATCTCCATTCTGAAGGAAATCAGCCCTGAGTGCTCACTGGAAGGACAGATCCTGAAGCTGAGACTCCAATACTTTGGCCACCTCATGAGAAGAGAAGATTCCCTGGAAAAGACCCTGATGCTGGGAAAGGTGGCAGGCACAAGGAGAAGGGGACGACAGAGGACAAGATGGTTGGATAGTGTTCTCGAAGCTACCAGCATGAGTTTGACCAAACTGCAGGAGGCAGTGGAAGACAGGAGTGCCTGGCGTGCTCTGGTCCAGGGGGTCACGAAGAGTCGGACACGACTAAATGACTCAACAACAACAAAGAAGAAGAAGAAGAAGAAGACGAAGAAGAAGAAGAAGAAGAAGAAGAAGAAGAAGAAGAAGAAGCAACGTTCTCCGGAGTGTTAAGAAACTGCCCTGCTGGATCTGATCTCCCAGCCCCAGTGTTCTGCTTCCAGCAAGGTGTGGCCGGATGCCCCCCAGCCATGGACTAGGGCTGGCATGAAAGCAAAACACAGAAAAAATTGAAAACGCCTTCATGTTTTTTTTTAAAAAAGGCAGGGCTCAGGCATCCCGCCAACCCCCAACTGAAAGAGGCCAGATCAGAAGCCAAACGACAGAAAAGAAACAGTTTTGCTTGGTGCTTAAAGATAAGTGATGATGGCGCCAGACATGCCTCCCTGAAAAGAGCATTCCTCAAGAAGGGGGCCACCACTGAAAAGCCTTTGTGTCACTGTCCTGTGGATCCTTCCATACAGTGCTATTTTTCTAGAAAAAGAGCTACTGGAACTCACGGTGAATGCCTCCCTTGTTCTCTTATAATGGCAATGGCACACACCTGAGAGATGCTGGAACTGAGTTCCGGCTGAAAAAACTCCCTGCTCCCATCATAGAGGATGTTCACAGAGAAGGCCTTCAGACAATGACCAGAGGGTCCAAATTAGAGGCTGCTGCTGTAATGTGTCGCCAGAGGGGTTGCCCTTGAAAAGCTAGATCTGAACAGTTATGAGGAACTACTGGTATGTGCCACAGACCAGTCAACTCCTATCAACAACTCCTATCATCCCCTGACCATTGACCATGGTGGCTGGGGCTGATGGGAGCTGGAGTCCACTAACATCTGAAAGGTGGCAGGTTCCCCATCCCTGTTCAGCTAAGCATCCTGGACCTGGACATAGGGTCAGAAGCATGTCAGCAATAGAAAACAAACACCGGTGTCAGTGAATTTAACTTTAATTCAAAGAAACCAAAACAGTGCAAGCCCAGTGATGACAGCAACTCTTCCCTGTAGGTCTTGCCCCAATGAGGCAGTTGCACTTCCCCTCCTAGTAGTCTAAGGCTCCTTTTTCTTGTCTCTCTTTGCTCCCTGGCTTTTTCAACAGCCTGCCTCATCTCTGTCTCTTGGCCCCCGTCCTCTCCTGCCTCTGATCCTAGACTGCTCTCTTTCCCAGCATCTACCTGCTCACTAAACCCTGTCGCCTCTTCAACTTCCAACATCTCCTCCTCCCCGTCTGCTCCTTCTTCTACCTCTGACCACTAATAGTCGTTCCACCAGCACTCCCCAGGCTCTGAGCCTCATTCCCCTGGGGGTTCCTCAGCTGGTGACCCCCACCACTCTCGTGCATCCAGCCAGTCTGAAAAATCAGTTTTCCAATGACTTCTGCCAACAGATATTCAGTGTTCTGGGTTTGCTAAGAATTCTCAATGCTCACTAGGCTGCTTTGGGGGCAGTGTTCCTCTGGTTTGGTTTTCCCCTAACATTTTGTATGGCTGTTGCACTAGCGCAAGGGCAAGAAGAATGGTGTTGCAATATGAAATCTATCCCTAGATTTCATATTGCAACAACATTCCTCTTACCCTTGAGCTAGTGCAACAGGCATACAAAACATTAGGGGAAAGCCTAACCAGTGGAAATGTGTTGTTGCACAACCAGTTATACAACAGGGAATATCTAGGAGACAGCAATCTGATGTTTAACCACCCACAAGAGCCTTGTTCTTCTTCTGCCTTCTCTTGCACAAGCAATTATCCTAGTCTAGTGCAACTAGTACACCATTAACAGACTTAAACTTGGTGGTATGTTGCATTCCTTTGATTATTAGTATTATTATGAATTGATGAGGTCTATGCATGAGGTCAGGGACACGGGTGGCTCTGTGGGTTAAGCCACAGAGCCTAGGACTTGCTGATCAGAAGGTCAGCGGTTCAAATCCCCATGACAGGGTGAGCTCCCGTTGCTCGGTCCCTGCTCCTGCCAACCTAGCAGTTCAGAAGCACGTCAAAGTGCAAGTAGATAAATAGGTACCACTCCAGCGGGAAGGTAAACGGTGTTTCCGTGCGCTGCTCTGGTTCGCCAGAAGCGGCTTAGTCATGCTGGCCACATGACCCAGAAGCTGTACGCCGGCTTCCTCGGCCAATAAAGCGAGATGAGCGCCGCAACCCCAGAGTCGGTCACGACTGGACCTAACGGTCAGGGGTCCCTTTACCTTTTATGCATGAGGTCTAATGGACTGCTAATTGTGATATTTTCTCCTATAGCTGTTGTTCTCTTGACCTATATCAGAGCTGGCGAATCCCAGGTGTAGGGGCCAAATGCAGCCCTACAGGGACTCTTAAGAGCCATGTCTCCCCACAAGCCACACCCCTCCCCAGTCCTCCTCTGCTCTCTGGAGTGCTATTGTCTGGCTGGACTCTGGAGTGTCTCCTGGTACTGTGATAATGGCTTTTGCTTGCCTAGATGAAGGATGAAGAGATGGAGTGTGTGTGTGTGTGTGTGTGTGTGTGTGTGTGTGTAAAAACCTCTGGCTTTTGTGTGGCTGGAATACAGCTGGCTCCAGAAAGGTGTCATGTCTGAAGGACAGCTCCATTGGTAGAGCATGAGTCTCTTAATCTCAAGGTTGAGGGTTCAAGCTCCACTTTGGGTGAAAGATTCCTGCATTGCAGGGGGTTGGACTAAATGACCCTCAGGGTCCCCTTCCAACTCTACAATTCTATGATTCTATGCCTGTGGCTCAGTTCCCGCCAGACCTGCCATGCGGCCCCCCAAAGGTTGCCCATGGGGGGAAATGTGGCCCTTGTGCTGACTTCCACAAAACCATTTTGCTACAAAAAGAAGACGTGAAGAGTTAAATTGCCTTTGCTTCCCTTCCAACTCTGCGTTTGGCCCTGTGATCTTTTGCAGGAGGAGGAATTGAAAGGACAAACATCCTGTTTTCTTCCTGGGCCCCGGAATCCATTTCTCACTCATCATTAGTGGCATTCTTAATTGCAGTGCGTGGGTGAGAAACTTTAGAAGACGCACTCAGGCTTGAGACTTGTGTCTAACAGGAGACTTATTAATTTCTGACAGGATCCAGCCAGCCTGGATCTCTCGGCTGGGTTTCTCTCCCAATTATCTCTGCTTTCAAAAGTCTGGTGCGAAAAATATTTTGATTATTATTTTGGATTTGATTTGATTTTATTAAAAAAAAATCACCCTACCTGAAGTGGGAGTAGGCCAGATAATAGCAACCTGCCATTTCCAAATTATTTTAAGTTACTTAATGAATGTATTGATCACACCACTAGACTGATCAAAAAAAGGACACATGTTTACCATTATAATAAGCAATTCATTCTAATCTAAGCCTTATACTGAGTCAGACCCATGGTTCATCTAGCTCAATATTGTCTACACAGACTGGCAGTAGGTCTCCAAAGCTTTTCAGACACTTCCCCAGCCTAACTGGAAATACTGGGGATCGAACTTGCAACTTGAACCTCAACTTCTGCATGCAAAGCGGCTGCTCTGACCACTGAGCCACAGCCGTTCCCCTACATTCTGTGCTATAAACATTTTGCATGCTTCACATTTCCCTGACGAGTCTCAAAGGAATCTGAGGAGCTTCAGTTTTGTGTGTGTCAATTTTAAAGCACCCGCCCCACATCCTGAGAACTGTGCTGGGAAGGATAGCTCTGTGAGGGATAAACTACAGTTCCCATGATTCTTTGGAGGGTGTGTGTGTGCTTTACGTGAACAGTGTGTATTCAGCATCCAGAATTCCCTCCAGGTGTTCGTTTTATTCCACCAGATTTATACACCGCTGCATTGGGGGTGGGGACGGACCTCAAAGCCGTTTACAAATGCTACCAAACTACAACTCCCATCATCCCTAGCTATTGGCCACACTTGCTGGGGCTGATGGGAGCTGTAGTTCTGCACGCCAAAAGGCCATCCATCCCTGTTCTAGCGCGAAACAGCGGTTATCAACCTGTGTTTCCCCAGATGTTGTTGGACTACAACTCCCATCATCCCTGAGCTCTGGCCTTGCTAGCTAGGGGTGATGGGAGTTGTAGTTCAACAACATCTGGGGACACACAGGTTGAGAAAGGCTGTGTTAGAATGAAGCCAGTTTGAGAAGCGGTGCAGAAAAAAACACACCCCGCATTTATAATAGAAAAATAAATGAATAGATGAATAGATGTTTAAAAAGTGTAATGCATAATGGGGGGGGGGAGAGACGGCTAGAAAGGTGCGCCTTCTTTCGCCATTCAGCTATTTTACTATGTTGCACAAGCGAGGGGCGGGGGGAGACTTCCACGCGCAGCTCAGCTCTGGCGGACGCGTCGCCATGGCAACAGAACGTTGTGCTGGCCGTCTCCTTAGCAACGGGCAGCTGGGGCTCGCGCTGCTCCGGCAATAAAAAAAAAAAAAAGTCTGCTTCGCCTATTATTGTTTTGTTCCTCTTCTTTCGCGGGCTGCAAGTTCGGCCGCAGGAGAGGAAAGGGAGGCTTTGGACAAGCGGCGATGGCTTCGGATTTGGAGGAGAGAGTGCGCGCGGCTTTGCTAGACAAACTGCAAATGATGTAAGTGGGGGTTGGGGTTTTTTGGGGGGGCGAAGGGTCAAAGAGAGAAGGGCCTTGGAGACTGTGCTGGCCGTACAGTAGCGGGCGAAGGTTCCGCAAGGGTTAAAAGGAAGGGCCTTAGCTCAGCGGTAGAGCAACGCGCTTTGCTAGTGCAAAAAGTCCCAGGACGCAGCATCGATTCCCAACACCTTCGGGGGGAGCATGGAAATAATCATGGGTGTAACCAAGGGGGAGGGGCAGGGGGAAGCTGCCCCCCCCGTAAATCAGGGAAAAATAATACAAATCAATACAAATATGAGGTTCTGCCCCCCACCCCCAACAAAAGCTTGCACCCCCAACAAAAATCCTGGCTACGCCCATGGAAAGAATCCCCTCTAAAAACACTTGTAGACTAGGGTGATGTGGGTATTGTGCATCTGTACCAATTTAACAAGCAGGGCTTCGCTCAAAGAATGATGGGGACTGAAGTTCGTTAAGGGTGCTGAGAGTTATTTGGAGATCCTCACTATTCCCCTCACAGAGCTACAATTTCCAGGAAGTTTTTGCAATCAATCTGCCTTCCCAGGAAACTCTGGAACTGTAGCTCTGTGAGGGGAATGGTGTGTGTATGTGTGTGACAGCATCCTTAACAAAGCACAGTTCCCAGGATTCTCTTGGGGAAGCCATGACTGTTTAAGTGTCATAGTGCATGAAGTTGTATACAGTGAATGTAGCCTACAACTTTGACAGATGATAATAAAATAATAATTTTTATTATTTATACCCCACCCATCTGGCTGGGGTTCCCCAGCCACCCTGAGCAGATCCCAACAGAATATTAAAACCACGATAAAACATTAAACATTAAAAACCTCCCTAAGCAGGGCTGCCTTCAGATGTCTTCTAAAAGTCAGATAGTTGTTTATTTCTTTGACATCTGATGGGAGGGCATTCCAGAAGGCCCTCTGTCTGGTTCCCTGTAACTTCACTTCCCGCAGTGATGGAACTGCCAGAAGGCCCTCGGAGCGGGACCTCAGTGTCCGGGCTGAATGATGGGGGTGGAGATGTTCCTTCAGGTATACAGTGGTACCTCTGGATGCGAACAGGATCCGTTTCAGAACCCCGTTCGCATCCTGAGCAGAACGCAACCCGCGTCTGTGCGGCTGCGGGTCATGATTCGCCGTGTCTGCGCATGCGCATGACGTCATTTTAAGCGCCTGCGCATGCGCAAGTGGCGAAACCTGGAAGTAACCCGTTCTGTTACTTCCGGGTCACCACAGGATGCAACCTGAAAAGATTTAACCCAAAGCAACTTTAACCCGAGGTATGACTGTACAGGGCCGAGGCCGTTCAGGGCTTTAAAGGTCAGCACCAACACTCTGAATTGTGCTTGCAAACATACAGAGCTATAGTTCCTAGCGTCCTTAACAAACCACAATTCCCAGGATTCTCTGGGGGAAGCCACGTGCTTCCTGTGTATAGTGGATGTGACCTTAGACATTGCGGCCTGCAGGATATGTAGCAGCAGATGCAGTGGTGTGACGCTAGACTAGCCTGTCTCCCTCGATGCATTTCCTGGACGAAGTTTGGATGGGGCTTTTGACACCCTTCTGTGTGCCTGTTTCAGGAAAATTCCTGAAAGAGAAGAGGACTTTTTGCCCCCTGCTTGCTGTCTGCTGGAGAAACAAAGGGAACTGGCAGAGGTGGAACAAGCTCTATTGGCCCAGAAAGAGGTAATGCAAACTCTTTGGAGAACCACTCCAAACCATCTCTTGGACCAAGTGGTGGCTGGTGTGCCAGTTGGGAGTGGTTGGGAAGAAGGCAGGAAGTCCAACAGTAGATAGCGCCACAGCCACTGACAGGCAGGTCTGACTGATCCTATTTTGTCCTCCTCCTCCTCTCTGCTGAGTTCTAGAAGGGCAACACAGAGATGGAGGAGAAAGAAGAAGATGGCAGCCAGGGCTAACTTTTGGACTGGTTGTAAGAAAGAAGGTAGTCGGGGAGAGGGATGATGAGGTTAGTGAGGCAGTTGCTCCTTCATCTCATGGACCAGCCCTCACTGTTTGGCTTCATATAAGAAAGACCTACATCAGGCATTAGAGACGCGGATGGCTCTGTGGGTTAAACCACAGAGCCTAGGGTTTGCCGATCAGAAGGTCGGCTGTTCGAATCCCCGCGACGGGGTGAGCTCCCGTTGCTCAGTCCCTGCTCCTGCCAACCTAGCAGTTCGAAAGCACCTCAAAGTGCAAGTAGATAAATAAGTACCGCTCCGGCGGAAAGGTAAACGGCGTTTCCGTGTGTTGCTCTGGTTCGCCAGAAGCAGCTTAGTCATGCTGGCCTCATGACCCGGAATCTGTATGCCAGCTCCCTTGGCCTGTAAAGCAAGATGAGCGCCGCAACTGCAGAGTCAGTCACGACTGGACCTAATGGTCAGGGGTCCCTTTACCTTTACATCAGGCATAGCCAAACTCAGCCTCCAGATGTTTTGGGACTACAACCCATCATCCCTGACCACTGGTCCTGTTAGCTAGGGATGATGGGAGTTGTAGTCCCAAAACATCTGGAGGGCCGAGTTTGCCTATGCCTGTCTTAGACTTTGGAACAAGCATAGGAACTTCCAGCAAAATCCTAACCCTATCACTAAATTGGAGTTACAACTTAAAAAAAAGAACTACAAAGAGTTATTAAAAACCAAAAAAAGAACCGCAGACTCTCTCATTTGGCAGGCCCTCATAAAAGCGCCAATAGAAAAAGACAATTCCAACTTCTGGAAAATTATCTCCAGTCAAACCAAAGCTCCTAATGAGGGCACAATAATCCCTGCAAATTCATGGGAAGAGCACTATAAAGTGCTGTTTAGGGAACATCGTCCTTCTGCGCCGCTTAACATCCCCTAGATAATGATACACCATGGCCCCCAACATCTGAAACTGAAATCACTTCGCTAATTCTACAAATGAAATCTGGCAAAGCCCCAGGAAGTGATTTTATTGTCGCTGAACTTCTGAAAGCGCAAATAAACTGGTGGGCCCCGGTCCTTGCTAATCTATTTTCATATATAGATAAGACAACTGAAATCCCTAAAGATTGGGGACTAGCTATAATTGTTCCCATATTTAAAAGGGCAACCCCTCGGATCCATCTAATTATAGACCAATTAGTCTCCTGAATGTGATCTGTAAACTTTATACAAAACATCTATGCCTAAAATTATGGGAATGGTTAGATCATAATAACTTGCTAGAAATTGAACAAGCAGGGTTTACATCCGGACGTTCCACCATTGATCACTGCTTAGTGCTAGATTACTTTGTCTATAAGTATGCAAAATATTGGAAAAAGTCATTATATGCGGCCTTTGTGGACCTAAAGGCAGCATTTGATTCTGTATCCAGGAGCAGGCTCTGGGCCAAATTGGCCAATATGGGTATTAACAGAAGGTTATTACTTCTGATGATTAAGCTTCATGAGAACAATACCCTCCAGATAAGACTTGCACAGGACGGCAGACTCTCTAGAGAAATCCTAGTCCAAAGAGGAGTTAGACAAGGATGCCTATTAGCCCCATTCCTATTTAATATCTATGTCAACTCCCTGGTCACATGCTGCCGTGAAATTGAAACCCACCCCCCTGTGTTCTCTAATGGCAGAAAAGTACCAATTTTAATGTATGCGGATGACGCTGTTCTTCTCTCTCAAACCAAAGTGGGTCTGAAACGTGCCTTAGGAAAGTTTAGTGACCAATGTAACACTGAACTGTTAACAATTAATTTTGCCAAAACCAAAATTGTACATTTTAACCGCTCCTTTAGGAAGGATAATTGGAGCGTAAAGGGAACGCCATTGAACAGACTAAGACCTTCCAATACTTAGGCATTACTTTCTCTTATAATGCCAAATTCTCAACACACTTGACCACATCAGCTATATCAGCAGAAAGAAGTGCAAATGCTATCCTTAGATTATTCAGAAGGAAAGGAGCTGGCTTCCTCCCGATGGCCCTAACAGTCTTTCAGGCAAAATCTTTAGCCCAACTTCTATATGGCTCTCAAATTAGCCCCTCTGCCAACCTTAAGACCCTTGAAACAGTACAATCTAAATTCTTAAGATCATTATTTGCTACTCCTAAGTGTACACCTAATGCAGTCTTAAGGCAAGAGGCAGGACTGCCCAGAGTGGAATTAAAAGTCTGGGAACAAGCAATATCCCTCTGGCTGAAAATCCATTACAATCCTAAGGGTCTATTACCTTGCTTCCTGGCTGCAGTTCCCTATCCTCCTTGGCTTATGCAAATAACTAACAAGATCAAACAAATTGGCCTAAACCCTGAAAATATTTTTATTGGAACTCTGAACAAGGCAAAAGCTACTATCACTCGGAGACTTTATGATATCGAATTACAACAAGAAGGCGCCCTACTCCCAGAGACGTATAGATGTATAAAAGCTTGGCCTAATTTTGCAGCTGCCCCTTACTTAACTAACATCACTAACGAAACCTATAGATGGGCTTTCTCTAGAGCCCGCTTTGAGACAATGCCCTCAGCAGTGCTGTACGGCAAATTCACGCGAGTTCCAATGCAGGCGCGTCTCTGCCCTTGTATGTCTAATAAGGTAGAATCTGTCACACACATTCTTCTGTCTTGCGAATTCTATAGTGAAGAACGAGTTCAACTTATTTTACCGCTTCTATCAAAATTTATACCCCTTCAATATTATTTGGAATCCTCCCCTGAAACTCTTCGAAAATACCTCCTGGAAGATTCCTCAAGCTCAGTATCATATGAGGTGGCTAAATATTGCACTTTAGTAATTAAGAAGCGTAAATCTCTTCTGTTGAATGGCACACTGTGAAGTTCTCTTGTGTAACCTTTTTCTTTTCTGAAGTTGTTGCTGATTTCTTGTTGTCTGATCTTATGGTGTTTAGTGTCACTGGCTTTGGCCGCAATAAACTTGACTTGTAATAGGAACTTGCCTTATACCAAGTCATGCCACTGGTCCATGTACCTCAGTGTGGTCTACACTGATCGGCAGCCCTCGATGAGGGTGGTTTTCCAACCAGCTCCAGCTCCACGTGATGGTGCTATTATTTAGCCTGAATGTGTCCAGTTTGCTAACTACGACAACAACACAGGGAATTTTGAGAAATGTTTTGCTGTAACCAAGATAAATTACATCCAAAGCATTCCGACCGTCTACTGAGTTAGTAAGCCAATAAGAAAAAGAGAAAGAGAAAACTCACCTGCCTGACTCCTCCCCGACTGATATTCCTTTGCCCCCCCTTCCAAGGAATTCCAGTTGAAAATGGAAGAGCTGCAGCAACGACGGAAGGAACTGGAGCGCAAAGAGGGCCAGCTCAAAAAGTCCATTTTAAAGTTTGACAAGTTCCTGAAGGTCTGTAAGTGCTCAGGGGATGAGTGATGTGGTGGTGTGGTGGTGTGGTCGGCAGGGGCGCAGCTAGGCCTCTCTGTGCGGCTCTCGTGATCCGTAGGCCCATCTCCCGTAGGACAATGATGCCAAGCGGAGCCGGGCTCTGCGGAAAGCTGCCGAGGAGAAGCAACAAGCAGCCCAGAGAGTGGCGGAAGCTGAGCGCCTCAAGGAGGAGATTGCGCACCTGCTGGCCGTGAAGGACAAGCTGCAGTGGCAGCGGGAGAGACACAAGGCCTTCCCAGAGTATTTGCAGAAGGTTCTGGAAAAGACGGAGCAGGTGAGAGGGTGGGGAGATTGAGAGAGCAGGAGCCTGAGAGGAGACGCTAGGAGGACCCCCCAAAACCCTCCCTGTGTGAGGTTTCTGGCACAAGTCAAGGCCTTCAGCCAGAACATAGGAAGCTGTGCTATACTGTATTGGATCCATTGGTCCATCTAGCTCAGTACTGCCTGCACTGACTGGCAGCAGCTGCCCAAGCCCTGTCTGGAGTTGCCAGGGATTGAACCTGTGACCTTCTGCATGCAGGAAGCTCTACGACTGAGCTGTGGCCATCATGGCATAGGTGGCTGTCTTTTACCAAGTCAGAACATTACCTACACTGTATTGTCTGTGCTGAATGGCAGCTGTTCTCCATGGTTTCAGACATTCCCAGGTCTACCTGCTGGGGATTGGATCTGGGGCCTTCTGCACACAAAGCTCCGGCACTGAGCTATGTGTCCCTGGAAGCTTTCTGTTATGTACTGAGTTGAATAGGATCCAAAATGCAGCAGTCTGATTGATCCTAGAACAATAGGATTCAGAATGCAGCAGTCTGATTGGTCCTAGAACAATAGGATTCAGAATGCAGCAGTCTGATTGGTCCACAGGAGCCACCCAATCCAGCTCCAGGTGGAAGGGAATCCGCAACCTGATCGGCCTACAGGAGAATCCCGGAATTAGCCAGTCACGTGGGGCCCATTGTGTAAATAATGTATATAAGGCAGACGTTCTGGGGGAACTTCCCTTCCTCCTCACCACTATGCGCTGAATAAAGAGCATTAAATCCACTCTCAACTTCGAGTATATTTCACTTTCCCATGGCTAGTACAGTCGTAACTCGGAAGTCAAATGGAACCTGTTCTGGAAATCTGTTCGACTTCCGAAATGTTTGGAAACCGAAGTGCAGCTTCTGTGTGGCTGCAGGAAGCACCATCAGCAATGGCTAATGGTCAGGGATAATAGGAGTTGTAGTCCTGTACAGACTGTTCAAGGATGAGTTTATTCTCCATCCTCTTATCCATCCCAGTTTCAGGGCATCCCAGAGCTGATTGCCCAGTTCCAGGCTCTGATGGCCACCCAGGCCACCTTGGCCCAGAGGGAGCTCTTTGGCCAGGAAGCCGTGGAGGAGGAGCGTGCCCGCCTGCAACGCTACACGGAGGAAAGCAGCAACCAGATCTTGCAGCAAAACAACCGGGTGGCGGAACTGCAGGCGCAGCTGGAGCAAGCCCAGACCAGGGTCCTGGAACTGGTAAGACGACGGGATCCATGATAAACAGTCAAAAACCTTTCTATTCCATCAGATATCAGCAGGCAATCCTAGGGCTGCCATACATCTGGTTTCCCCAGATATGTCTGGAAATTGCTCAGAAAAATGGCGTTCGGGTGGGTTTTTGCCTAATCGGCAAAATGTCCGGGGAAACCCTATGTCAAGTTGGGCTATTTTTGTTTTTTTTAAAAATTCTTTAAAAATCAAAGAAAAGCCCCCTATTTTGGGGGGGGGAATGTTCCTCCCCAAAAGCTGAACAACTCTGTCCCTGATCTTTTCACTTTGGGGTCACGGCATCCCTAGGCAATGTAGAATACATTTTCCCATAATAGCTGATTTCTAGAATTTTATGCATATAGGGATGTTGTGGAGAAGAAGTGTTTGTATTTGATATCCTGCTTTATCACTACCCGAAGGAGTCTCAAAGCGGCTAACATTCTCCTTTCCCTTCCTCCCCCACAACAAACACTCTGTGAGGAGAGTGGGGCTGAGAGACTTCAGAGAAGTGTGACTAGCCCAAGGTCACCCAGCAGCTGCATGTGGAGGAGCAGGGAAGTGAACCCGGTTCACCAGATTACGAGTCCACTGCTCTTAACCACTACACCAACCACTACACCACTCTGGTGGGGGACATGTTGTGCTCCTTCTGGGGTAGTTTGCTCCCACCCTGTACTCAGAAACTCTGTGCATAAAAGTAATGTGGCCATTTGGATAGAGCGGTTAGAGGGTCAGACTAGGACCTGTGAGAGATCAGGGTTCAAATCCCCGCTCAGCCATGAAACTCACTGGGAGTGAGCTTGGGCCAGTCAAGGCCCCTCAGCCTAATCTACCTCACAGAGTTGTTGTGTGGATTAAAATGAGGAAGGGGAGAACCACACATGCTTCCTCGAGCTCCTTATAGAGAAAAAGGTGGGAAATAAACAGAATAAACAAATACACAAAGCCTAGGCACAGGCAGGGCAGATGTGGGGTGCCTTTGGCGCTACAGATGTTTTGCTGAACTACAGCTCCCACAATCCCTGCTCATGGGCCACACTTGCTGGGGCTGATGGGAGTTGTAGTTCAGCAACACCCGCAGGGCCCAAAGTTCCTCACACATGCATGAAAGAGGCAAGAGGCACCCCTAACTCTCTGTTCTTGCTAGTAAGCTTGATCTTTATTGATCTTTCGCAACAGGGTGCTCCCCTCACCCGCAGGAGATAGGAGGGACCCAGAAAAATGGCACGCAAGGCCTTATAAAGACTTTTGAAATTGCCACCCTGTAGATCAAGACCACCCCCAGAAACATCATACATACATCACAGAAGGGGTGTAACCTAAGACCACCCCTCAGATACATCATACCTACATCACAGAAAAGGCGGTCTAAACAGAAATTTGAATGTTGTTTTTCTCCTGTCGGTGTTTATCTCCTGTCTGGCAGGTTACTTGACTGGATTTCCTGGGGAGCCTGGCTAGCCTTTTGTAATGATAAATACTTAGTTCCTGGACCAGGTCACAGGCTCACACCCTATTCATATCTTAGATGTGCCCTTAAGACAGGATTTGTGAGGAAAGAGACAATGGGAGGTTTCACACTTTGACCTTGCAGAGAAAACGTTTGCTCAGTTTAGAAATCAAAATGGTTCTAGGTCAGTCTTCCTGTGCTGATCTATGTACATGCTTGGTTGGTACACTTATGAACATTACCATATATCTAAGACCATAAAATTCCTATCACACTGGCCTGCTGCAGGAGTCTAACTGGGTTTGCATCCAGAACACCGCGGCCGACAAGACATTGGAGCTTGGGCGGATCAAGCTGGCAGCTTTGAACCTCTTCCAGATGGTTGCCAAGCACAGGAAGTTGCCAGCCGACGTGCCTATGGAAGACACGGCAGCCCAACTCGATGCGGTCAGTGGGAAGGCACAAGCCCCCCCCCCTTTTTAAGTGGCTCATTGGGAGCTTTGCAAGCAGTGGGCAACTTAACAGGGCCCCAGAAAGGTCCATCAGTTCAGACACCAATCTTGGGCCTCTCTGAGGTTGATGGGCCTGGACTGCTGCCGTTTTAAATTCCCACACTGTCCTTGAATGCCCAGCATTGTGCCTGCTCTGTTGGCAGTTTAAAATGGCAGCTTTCCAGCTGCCTGAGCCTTTGGTCTGATTCAGCAGAGCTCTTACATTCGCTCCTTTCCGCTTTAATTTCCTTCTTTACCCCACCCCTCTGCTCCTTACCCAAAAAACCCAAAGCCTTCTTGTTTGTATGAATCTACTTCAGAATGGGGTGGGGTAGGGGGTTGCATTTACCACCCCTCACCAAAAAAACTGTTCCCTCAGCATGGCAATAGGGTTTGTCAGCAGGGGGAGGGATTTATTCAAATTCGAATTTCACTGACTCATTTCACAAAAATTGATATCTCAGTTGATTTTTTAAAAGAGCCCCAGAACCCCACCCTCAGAGTGGTTTGCAAAAAGAATAAAACAATGAAACGGTCAGTATATACACATTTAAACAACAACTATGGAAAACATTTAAAAATAATTGACAGTAAGTTGAACAAAAAAATCTAGTTTTAAATGCTTGCCGGTGTTCTACTTGTCTGGGTACGCTTGCCTAACCAAAAATATTTATAGCAGTGTATAGCGAAGCACCTGCCTGGTGTCAAAAGGCAGGGAGTTCCCAAGTTGGGGTTCTGCCGCACTAAGATATCAATTTATTATTATGTGCAATCTGCAGAATCATGTCAGTTCTGCAGATTGGAGCTGTCAGGTGGGCACATAAGGAGCAAGGCGATCCCACAAGCAAACTGGTTCCAAGCTGTTAAGGGTTGCTTTTATGAACAGCAAACGCCTTGAAGTTGGCCTGGCAGCAAATTGGCAAAATTTAGTCTATTGTTATTTAACTTTCCAAAGGTCTTTCCGTTATTCTTATTTGTTTTTATTGATAATTTTATTCTTTTATCTCTTTAGTAAACCACTTTGAGTTTGTTTTCCGTTTTACAATCATGAAATAAATGTTTGGCCCAAACTGAATCTTTTTACGAATCTCTGTTGCTCTGATGCCTCCAGGTTGAGCTTTGTGTCGTGGACTTGAACGACATCCTGGCCAACTTCCGCAAAGGGGAACCCGCGCCAGTCCCTCAGCCAGAAACAACAGCGGCATCTCGCTCCGAGACAGACCCCAGCTAACCACCTCGACCACCTGGGGTGAGTTTATTATCATCACCATCTAATTTATTACCAGTCCTTCAACCAGCAGGCCCCAGGACAGGTTATAGCCCTTTAAAATTCAGAATTAAGAAAAGTTAAAACAGGTTACGAAATTAAAAGACGCCTGCTTCTTGGGAGAAAGCAATGACAAACCTAGACAGCATCTTAAAAAGCAGAGACATCACCTTGCCAACAAAGGTCTGTATAGTTAAAGCTATGGTTTTCTCAGTAGTGATGTATGGAAGTGAGAGCTGGACCATAAAGAAGGCTGATCGCCGAAGAATTGATGCTTTTGAATTATGGTGCTGGAGGAGACTCTTGAGAGTCCCATGGACTGCAAGAAGATCAAACATCTCCATTCTGAAGGAAATCAGACCTGAGTGCTCACTGGAAGGACAGATCGTGAAGCTGAGGCTCCAGTACTTTGGCCACCTCATGAGAAGAGAAGACTCCCTGGAAAAGACCCTGATGTTGGGAAAGATGGAGGGCACAAGGAGAAGGGGACGACAGAGGACAAGATGGTTGGATAGTGTTCTCGAAGCTACCAGCATGAGTTTGACCAAACTGCAGGAGGCAAGGGAAGACAGGAGTGCCTGGCGTGCTCGGGTCCATGGGGTCACGAAGAGTCGGACACGACTAAATGACTAAACAACAACAAAACAGGTTACAGTCTCAGGAATAAGCTGGGCCCTGAAAACTCAGATCTTAGGTGCCAAAGGCCAGAGAGAAGTCGTGTGCCTTCGGCATTTGCCAAAAGCTCTGCAGTGAAGGTGCTAGGCCAGGGGTCGGCAATCTAAGGCCCATGGCCCACAAGCGGCCCATGGGGGTCGTTTAACTGGCCCATGGACCCCCGCCACCCGTGCACTGCGCTAAACTGGTGCGGAGCAGAGTGGGGACCACCTTCCGTGACGCTGGCCGACTTCCTATTGGCTGCTGGAAGCTCCTGCAGCCAATGGGAAGCTGCGCACGCCTCCTCAGCGCCGGAAATAGCGTTTGCGCATGCGTGTGTGCGTGCACTCCGGCCCACCACGGCGTCTGCGGGACCGTGAACTGGCCCAAGCCACAAAAATTTTGCCAACCCCTGTGCTAGGCGCACCTTTGTGAGGGAGTTCCACAACTTAGGGGCTGCCACAGAGAATGTGCTTAGTGGCCACTGAATCCAGATGTTTTCTGGGGGCAGGGAGAACCTTAAAAGAAGGGGGAATGGAACTGAGTGGTCAGAATCCTGAACAAGGGACAGTTTGACACAAGTCCCATTTGCTTTATTTTAATGTCTGTTGCCTTGAGGCCCCCTCTCCAAACACCAGGACAGAAACACCAGCATTATAACCAGGAAAACCGATACACTCTTCCTCATCTCTAAATGCACCCTTATAGTTCTAATCAGAGTAAACCCCCTAGTCTGTCCCCAGTGTTTTCTGTCCACTGGCACAAAGAGCTATTGGACCAGCAGGTGGGCGAGTGTTAATGTTGTGCAACTGACGAACCACGCAGAGCAGCTGTGCTGGTGGGAGCTCGCTGTACAATGGATTGCATAACCTGTTGCTCAAGCAAAATCGCTGGTCCTCTTGCTCAGGCAGTCTCTGTTCTGTTGGCACAAAACCATTTCGCCAGCAGAGAAAGTATAAAGCTAGGCGACTTTGCTGTGGCGCTACATTGGAGACAACCGACTGAAGTTAACAGACGCCAGATGGCGAGCTCTGTCAATTCCAACAGGTGCATTCTGAGTGGGACCAAGGTAAAAAGGTAAAGGACCCCTGGATGGTTAAATCCAGACAAAGGTAACTATGGGGTTGTGGCGCTCATCTCGCTTTTCAGGCCGAGGGAGCCAGTATTTGTCCACAGCTAGCTTTCCAGGTCATGTGGCCAGCATGACAAAACCGCTTCTAGCGCAATGGGACACTGTGACGAAAGCCAGAGCACACAGAAACGCCGTTTACCTTCCTGCCGCAGCAGTACCTATTTATCTACTTGCACTGGCGTGCTTTCGAACTGCTGGTTGGCAGGAGCAGGGACAGAGCAACGGGAACTGACCCTGGCACGGGGATTCGAACTGCTGACCTTCTGATTGGCAAGCCCAAGAGGTTCAGTGGTTTAGACCACAGCGCCACCTGCGTTCTGCAACAGCTGCATTCCGATTAGAACATATACAGGATAAGCACTTCTTCCACAGCAGTTTGCTCCCAAGGGTTCTGCACACAGGCGAAAATCACGTATACCCAAACCCCTGGAGTTGCCCCAGTGGATTGTGGGCGAGGGGCAGAAAGAGAGAACCCCCAGAGCCAGCCTGCTAAGCAGGCCTTGCCCAAAGCAAGCGAGGCTGAGAACTTCAAAGCTCTCTTTGAGCTGGGTCTGCTGAGGGTAGCTTGCGAGGGCAAGGTACACAAAACCCGGGAGACTATGGATGCTCGTGCTGAGTGTCACATATGCATCCAAGAGCTGGTGCACTGAGCAGGCCTTCCCCCCGCCCCCGAGCGAGGCGGAGAGCTTAAAAGCTCTTTCTGCTCCAGGTAGCTCCAAACGGATCCCAGTGCGAACAGAGCTTTTAAGCTCTCCACTTTGCACAGATCTAATTTGTGCCGTTCCATCCAGGTGCATGGTTGAAATTGCACATGTGAAAATGCACGTCAGATGCAGCCCACTGTCTCCCCTTTGTTAATTTTTCAGTGGTGATTTTTTTGGGGGGGGGGGCCTCAGTAACTGATGGAGAACAGGTGAGGGTGGGGGAGACCTGCAGGATAAATGTTCAGCCCAGACCAGATTCAAATTCAGAGCAGCAGCTGAGGGTACAGTAGAGGAAGGTTTGGGGGTGGAAGATGGCATCGATCCAAACTGATTAACAGAAAAGGTAGGAGGGAGAGAGGAACGCTCGTAGAAGCTTGGTAAAAGGGTGATTTTAATCTTCCCCAGAGTTTACACAGCAAATAAATGACGGTTGTCGGCGGAGCTCTCGGAAGCCTGCTCGCACCGGCTTTGCCCCCGCCTACATCCTCTTCCGCATCTTGCCCTTCTTGGCTGCCCCTCGCCCGAAGGCCGTCTGGCGCATCTCTTGCACCCGCTGCCGGTTGCGCGACTTCAGGCGCTTCAAGCTGCCGCTCTGTAGGAAGCGCTGTTTGGCTGCCTTCTTCCGTTGCCTCAAGATCTGCTGCTTGGTTTTCAGCTCGGAGCGGATCTTCCCCTGCTGGGGGCCGCGGCTGCCGTGGGAAGCCGGGGCAGGGTGGGCACCTTCAGAAGGAATCACAAATGTGCGCATTATTATTCCATTGAAGTACAGTAAGAATACAATGTGTGTGTGTGTGTGTGTGTGTGTGTGTGTGTGTGTGTGTGTTATGTTCTGGTCACTGTAGGCGTGGAGTGGCCACCAAGACCATATAACACCGGTCCTGAAAGACCTACATTGGCTCCCAGTACGTTTCTGAGCACAATTCAAAGTGTTGGCCCTGACCTTTAAAGCCCTAAATGGCGTTGGCTCAGAATACCTGAAGGAGCATCTCCACCCCCATAGTTCAGCCCAGACACTGAGGTCCAGCACCGAGGGCATCCTGGCGGTTCCCTCCGTGCAAGAAGTGAGGTTACAGGGAACCAGGCAGAGGGCCTTCTCGGTGGTAGCGGCTGCCCTGTGGAATGCCCTCCCATCAGATGTCAAGGAGATGAGTAACTATATAACCTTTAGAAGACATCTGAAGGTAGTCCTATACAGTGGTATCTCTGGTTACGTACTTAATTTGTTCCGGAGGTCCGTTCTTAACCTGATACTGTTCTTAACCTGAGGTATCACTTTAGCTAATGGGGCCTCCTGCTGCTGCTGCACCGCCGCCGCACGATTTCTGTTCTCATTCTGAAGCAAAGTTCTTAACCCGAGGTACTATTTCTGGGTTAGCGGAGTCTGTAACCTGAAGCATATGTAACCCAAGGTACCACTGTATAGGGAAGTTTTTAATGTTTGATGTTTTAATGTGATTTTAATTCTGTTAGTAGCCACCCAGAGTGGCTGGAGAAACCCAGCCACATGGGTGGGGTAAAAATAATAAATTATTATTATTATTTCTACAAGCTGCTGTTAGGAATGCCAGAAGACTTGAAAGCTTGAAGAACTACCCTGCCTCAAACATGTTTCTCCATATGCCAACACGACGACCTCTCCCAAGAGCAAAATGTTTTGATTTATACCTTAAAAGATGGGCCTATTTTCCACCTCCTGCCAAAAGTGGTAGGGTGAATGAAATACCGCCCATAATGTCTTTTCTTTAGGGATGCTGAAATAGACTCTTAAGTTGTAAGAGGGAGCCAGGGGAAACCACTCATATACCATGTCCCCTCCCTGGGTAAACACTCACCCCTGCCTCTCCGCTTCTTCCCAGCTCTGCGCTCTCCTTCTCGATCTGAGTCCGAATCCTGATCATCTATCTTGTTCTTCTTTTTCCATTTGTCGTAGCTGGGGTACGCGAGGTCAGGAAACCACACCATCAATACTCTTTCCAAGCAGTGTGCCAATATAGACCGTAGGCTGCTTGCTCTCCAGGCACCCTTTCTCCCCAACCTCATCAAAAGAGGAGATGGCTTCCCAGTGGATGCTTGAGGAGCTCGAGAGGGCAGCAACTCTTTAGCAAGTCTTGTGGGGAACTGCTGCCTCTGCCAAACTTCTTTTGACATTAAGAAGCTTGTCCTCTCATTCAACTGAAATCTACCCTGCTATAATCTAGTACAGTGGTACCTCGGTTTAAGTACTTAATTCGTTCCAGAGGTCCGTTCTTAACCTGAAACTGTTCTTAACCTGAAGCACCACTTTAGCTAATGGGGCCTTCCGCTGCTGCTGCGCAGCTGGAGCATGATTTCTGTTCTCATCCTGAAGCAAAGTTCTTAACCTGAAGCACTATTTCTGGGTTAGCAAAGTCTGTAACCTGAAGCATATGTAACCTGAGGTACCACTGTACAGAACAAGCCATTGCCCTCTTTGATATGACAGTGCTTCGGCTTCTGAAGAATATTATCGCCTCCTGTCCTCAATAATCTATTCTCCAGGCTCATTTCCTCTATCCCCAAACCAACAGCTACGTGGCCCCTATCTGTTTGCCCTCTCACCCTTCTGTACGATACAGGAATGCTATAGGAAGCTGCCTTATACTGATTCGGGCCATTGGTCCCTCTAGCTCAGTGTTGTCTTCATTGACTGGCAGCAGCTGCCCAGGATTTCAGACGGTGATGGACCTGGCATCTACTGCATGCTCTACCATGGAGCCATTTGCAGCTGGAAGGATACAGGTTGCCTTTGTAGGAGCTGCTGATGTAGGCACCACTTTCCGTTCGGATCTTCTTCTTATTCTCCTGGCCCGTCTGCCCCACAAACCTCTTCCTTTTCCGATCCCTGGAGAAGAGAGACACAAACACAAATACAGTGGTGCCTCAGGTTAAGAACATAATTCGTTCTGGAGGTCCGTTCTTAACCTGAAACGGTTCTTAACCTGAGGTACCACTTTAGCTAATGGGGCCTCCTGCTGCCGCTGCACGATTTCTGTTCTCATCCTGGAGCAAAGTTCTTAACCTGAGGTACTATTTCTGGGTTAGCGGCATCTGTAACCTGAAGTGTCTGTAACCCGAGGTACCACTGTAGAGCAAAATGCTCTCCCCAAGGAGGTTCGGCTGGCACCTTCATTATACACTTTTAGGCGCCAGGCGAAAACATTCCTCTCCAACCAGGCCTTTGGCCAATTGATATCTGATGCCCTTTAAATGTGTTTGTGGGGAAGGGACTGTTTGGGGGCGGGGAGCAGGTTTTATTGGATTGTGTGCTTTTTGTTGTTCTTGTTTTGATTATGTATTTTGTGTTTTCATCTTGTACATTTGTGTTGTGAGCCACCCCGAGATCTGCGGATGAACGGTGGTTATACAGATTTAATAAAAGAATTGACCACCACCTGTTGGTTGAACTGATGGAAAATCTTTTAGGGCAGGAACAGTTAGGCCTGGTGCTCCCTCAAGATGTCGCTGGGACTCCAACTCCCAGCAGGCTCAGCGGGCATTGGGAGGGCAATCATAGCTGTCAACTTTTCCCTTTTCCTGCGAGGAATCCTATTCGGAATAAGGGAATTTCTCTTAAAAAAAGGAAAACGTTGACAGCTATGAGGGCAATTGCAACATCTGAAGGGTCTCCCCAACCCTTGCTTTCGGGTCCCACCCCTGTCATTCAAAGGAGTGAACTTTGGAACTGCTCACCCCTTTGAAACAAGAATTTGTACTTGCAAATTAAAAAAAAAGAAGGAAATTTTTAAAAGAAAATAACTATTGATGAATAATACTAAGAAAAAAGAAGAAGCCACCATCAGTTTGCATTATGGCTACACTAACTATCAGTTGATGTGCATCTGAAGCTAGGCCCCATTCATGCCGTACATTGAAAGTGGGGCAATACCACTCTATAAACAGTCATGGCTTCCCCCCAAAGAATTGTGGGAGCTGTTTGCTCAGGGTGCTGAGAGTGCTTAGGCTGTCACAATCCTGGCTACAAACGCAAAATGGCACACAAGCAGCTTCAGAGCAACCTAGCAAAGGCTGACTGGAAACCCAGGCTAATGTTTTATGTATCAACAGATGGCCTTGTGTGTTTCCCCCCCAACAGCCCACCAAATTTATTATTAGTAGCTCATTGTGGGAAGTATAAGACGATGTTTGTTGTTAATCAAGCTTTCACTGAAGTAATAGGTTACCGTTAAAGGTTATCCGCCCATGCCAAACCTTGGAAACCTAATGATGATAAACGATAAAACCATTCAAGGTCATTTGAGAATAGTGGTGATTGTGCGCACATTGTGATGTTCTTGCTGCTAAATAGCACCGACTTCACTGTAGAGATTACCAAATGAGATCTGAGACAAGGTGCATTGTGGGGGTTCTCCTGCAGCCAGCCAGGCCCTTATCCAGAATACTCCATTACTTACACACACACACACACACACACACACACACACACACGTTAAAAACCCTATTTTTCTCCCCCTACCCTCCGAACAGCCAGATGTTTTCCATAAGCAAGTGGAGTCCCTCAAGTAAGCTGTTTTGTCAGGATTTCCCCCAGCTAAAAATCTTATTTCTGAAAATCTTCGAAACCTGCCGATACCACCCAGATGGTGCTGTTTGGGCTACATAATGATCTTATGTAGAATAAGCTCGCTGTACAACGCAGCTCCTACTCCAAGCTGTTTGGTGCCCAAAGTCCCATTTGAAAATCTAAGGAACTGTTGTGGGCACCACAAAATACCCCTTTCATGGCACAGAAACTGGAAGTGCTCAGAATCGCCACCACTCTCCTCCCCACAAATAGGCAGAATACCTACATCTCTCCCGCCCCCCTCAAGAGCTAGTATGGTGTAGTGGTTAGTGTGTCGGACTAGGACCCTGGGAGAGCAGGGTTCGAATCCCCACTCAGCCATGAAGCTCACTGGGTGACCTTGGGCCAGTCATCTCTCAGCCTAACCTACCTCACAGGGACGTTGTTGTGAGGATAAAATGGGGGGGGGGAGAGAAGTACGTAGACTACCTTGAGCTCCCCCGAGGAAAGGTGGGGTATAAATGAAATAAATAAAAAAGGTAAGAGTAAAAAAAACCTCCAAACAAACAGGCAAACATCCATTACCAACCCCTGCACAACCACATTCAATGTGGGAGGGGGAGGCATCAAATATGTGTGTTTGAAGGGATGAAGGAATGTTTCTAGAACGTTCTAGAATGACTGATTTGGTTTTCAGTTGTGGGTGCATTTTCCACCCCAGGCTTCTGGGGGCAGGGGGTGGAGAGACATAAATTCACCATGCACAAATTCATGGTTATTATTAGGAGCCTTCCGTTGACGAGAAAGGTTTTTGAACGGTTACATTTCTGCCGCCCTGCCCCACTTACAAAAACAAAACAGAACAGCCACGCAAACCCCTTTGATTATGAGCCCTACTCACCATTTCAAGAGCTGCTTGCTGTTGCTCATGTTCCGATTCTCGTCGCCCATCAGGTCAAGGACGGCTCCGGAAGCCTGTTGCTCGAACGCCGTGCCTTCCCCACCAATGCACAACCTGGGCATTTGAGAGGAGGCTGAGGTCAGGAAAGAAAGCCACCAGCTGTACTCCGGGTCAAACCACTCGCCCATTCGCCTCAAAGCTGTCTGCTCCGACTGCCAGGGGCTCTCTAGGGTCCCAGGTGGAGACAGGTCTCTCCCCATCACCTGGACCCTTTTAACGGGAGAGGCCAGGGAGTTGAACCTAGGACTTTCTGCAGCCGAAGAAGGTCTTCTGCTTGGGAGAAGAGCCGCAGCTCCGCAGCAGAACACCTGCTTTGAATGCAGAAGGCCAGAGGTTCAATCCTGGCATCTCCAGGTAAGGACAGGGAAAGGCTCCCCTGTCTGAAACCTTGGGCAGCTGCTCCCAGTCTGTGTAGACAATACCAAACTCAGTATAGAGAGACAGCATCCTGTGAGAACACAAGCAGAGCAGAGCCCTGCAGGATCAGGCCAATGGACCATCTAGTCCAGCATCCTGTTCTCACACCAGTGAAGCCAGATGCCCAAATAGGAATCTTGACCCCTGGACAAGAGAGAAGGAGGAACACTTTTCTCTATCCCCTTTCTGCACACTACGCATAATTTGTATTCTATCGTCTCTTAACTCTCCCAGTCTCTAACCTAAAAATCCTGCCCTATATTCTCATGCTTTACCACTGAGCTAGGACCCTTCGGACTGGAGACTACACTAGTGGCCAAAATTGTGGAAACCTTTTGGGAAAAGTGTATTTCTGAGGTTTGATGGCTCACACCACCACTTTTTCCTATTTTGAGTAACACCATAAAATTATATATCAATGGAAAGATAATTTAATGAAGAATGTAATGCAACCAAGTTAAATAAACCTTGTGGAGCGAAAAGTGTTAATGTATATAGAATTGTGCATATGGTCGATTTGAATATGTTATTATTGATTATGTATACTCAATGTATCAGCCGCCTGGGGGGGTTTCACTGTTGGGTTTTGGTTGTTGGTAAAAAATAAAGAAAAATAAAAAAATAAATGTAATGCAACAAAGTTTGTTCAATTATCTGTATTCTATCAAAAGTTATAGCCAAATAACCAGAAAAAGGAAGTACAACTTGCTTAGGCTGATATGCAGCAGCTTTTCTTCATTTGAATGTAGCCAGTGAGCACGGGTGTTTAGAGAGCCGATCGGGTGTTATGAGCCATCAAACCTCGGACATACACTTTCCCCAAAAGGTTTCCACAATTTTGGCCGCTAGCGTTCTCCCACTGCTGCCACCTACCCTCGTTCGCTCTCAAAGTCCTTCGGCCGGTATGGGATGTAGAACTCTCCTTGCTGCTGCGTCGCCAGCCTCTGCTTCTTCCCGGTGTCCTTTCCATCCAGGGGCTGCTTCCGCTTCCTTCCCACCACGCTGGAGAAAACATCCTGGGTGTGTGTGGAAATGTTAAGAACGGTTAGCAACCCTCGATATTCAGAAAGGCGGGCCAGTTCCACTGGGTACATGGTTCTCTGTGGTTCTGCATTACTCCTAGGGAGGGTGCCATCAGGCCTGCGCTTTCCCCAAGCACACCAACAGGGGTGCCAACTATAGGGGATGAAGGGACTTCGGCCCCCTCAATATTTTGGGACAGGGGTCCGAGCCCCCCCCCCCTATATTGAGGGGGCCGCCATCCCCCGTCTCCAACAGGCAAGTGCTTGAGTGCCGCACAGAAGGCAAACATCATCTTCCACGTTCGAGAGGAACACAAACACATCTCTCAGCAGCTTACAAAACTCTCCGTCTGCTACGAACATTGAGGACTAGAACTGTGATGCTTTTTGATGGGCTGTACTGACCCCTTAATGTTTTTGGATTTCTTGTTTTTAAAATTTTACAATAAACTCCCCTTGTTTCCTCTAAGGGGTGGGAAAGGATTGTTTTGTCCTGTTAAAATTGTGTTGGTAATAATAATAATAATAATAATAATAATAATAATAATAATAATATTTTATTATTTATACCCCACCCATCTGGCTGGGTTTCCCCAGCCACTCTGGGCGGCTTCCAACAGAATATTAAAATACAATAACCTATTAAACATTAAAAGCTTCCCTAAACAGGGCTGCCTTCAGATGTCTTTTAAAAGGCCGTTTATACAACAACAACCCCCACCAAGTTTAAAAATAATTTTCAAAAGTCCACGTCAGGTGTAGTCTCTGATTTCCAACCACTGAAGGAGATGGTGGTGGTGATGATGGTGGTGGTGGGACTGTCACCATCTTAAAGTAGCTCTCAGACCCTCACCACGGTCAGCAGATTAGCATTAAGGTTCAGAAGTTATGGATTCCAGATTTTCCAACTGTGAAATTTATTTAAACAATTTATATACTGCTTGACTACAAGCTTGGATCCTGGTGGATATAAGCCATGCATCCAAGCCTTGGGAGACCACTAACAGCAGCTCCCCCAATTGCCTCCGTGATCTGGCATGGATTTAAGGAATCTGGAGGTCCCTCAGGTGTCCTGGACCAGAGTTGTTCAGGACCCTGAAAAAGAATGCAAGAACCCTGAACCTGTCCCAGTAGCCTATGGGCAGCCAGTGCAGATTTTGGGGCACCAGAGTCACGTGCTGGTCCACCACCAGTAGTCCAGCATTTTGCTCCAGTTGGAGCCTCCAGAACAGGCATCCAAGGGTAGCCACAGACGTCCAAGGGTAGCATTGCAAGGATACGGGTTCCCCAGTCTGTTCTGAATCTGAGAGGAAGCCCACCAGCCCCAACCGCATCCCTACCTGAATGCGTTCCTCCTCTTCCTCTGGGTCTTGCTCTGCAGTCGCCGGCACAGCAAGACGTTGGACCTTCTCCGCCGCCAAGGAGAGCCTCTCCTGCTGCTTCCGCTGGTGCCGGTCAATGAGCTGGCAGTCCCGGTTACGTTTGGCCCGCATGACGTCGCTGGCCAGAGTCTTGTTGGTGGCGTTGATTTCAAAGATGGTCTAGAAACAGCAGCAGGGGAGGGGGGTGGCGACGTTTGTCAGGGCAAAGCAGAATCGAACCCTGCCCTTGCGCGGCATGCAGCTACACTGGGCACATGCCAGGGCTCCCTTAATGCCAAGAGGCAAGGGGTCTGCTGCTAGGGGTCCCTCGCGACACTCACCGCCTTGGAACGGTAACTTTTGATGCTGTCCACGAATTTCAGCCGCTCCATCTCTTCCCCTTCAAAGCGAAGACCTTCGGGGACACAAAGCAGGGAGGGGAAGGTTACCCCCGTGTGGTGCAGCAGCAGCAGACTAGGAATGGGGCAACTCAGCCAGATGGGTAGGGTAATAATAATAATAATAATAATAATAATAATAATAAATGTTTATTTATATCCTGCCCTCCCCAGCCAAAGCTGGGCTCAGGGCGGCTAACAACAATAAAATAATACAACATTCTAAAATCATTTCATTATAAAATTAATTCAAATAAAATTGATGACAACCATTGGGCTAGAGTTCTGTGAAGATTGCCAAAGGAGGGAGTCAGGCTGTGCCCTGGCCAAAGGCCTGGTGGAACAGCTCTGTCTTGCAGGCCCTGCGGAAAGATGTCAAGTCCCGCAGGGCCCTAGTCTCTTGTGACAGAGCGTTCCACCAGATTGGAGCCACAGCCGAAAAAGCCCTGGCTCTGGTTGAGGCCAGCCTAAGCTCCTTGTGGCCTGGGACCTCCAAGATGTTTAAATAATAAAATTATTATTTTTTAGTAAGCTACTCACTGAACAAGGGGTGGATGCCCAGCAGGCTGAAGTCCATTTCCTTGACCCTCTTGATGGACTCGGGCGACGGAGCAGGCCGCGACTTCAGGTACTGTTTCTGGGCATTGTCAGAGACTCGCCGGAGGCTCTGCAGATCCAGCGAGCGCTCGTGGTCCGTCTGCAGCAGGCTCTCCTCGTCGTCAATGATGCTCTGAGGGACACGGCCAAAGATGCCGTCTGTATCTGAAAGGGGGGAAAGTGAAGCAGTCAGGGAGCTGTTTCAGGGCTTCTGACAGAGGAATGGGTGGCTATCATAGAAGGGCCTTCTTGGTGCTGGTGCCACAGCTGTGGAATACTCTTTCCCCAGGTATTCACCTTGATATCACCGGGGGGGGGGGGACCTTTTTTTTTACCATCCCAAAATTTTATGCATACAGTGGTACCTCGGGTTACAGACGCTTCAGGTTACAGACTCCACTAACCCAGAAATAGTACCTCGGGTTAAGAACTTTGCTTCAGGATGAGAACAGAAATCGCGCAGCGGTGGCGCAGCAGCAGTGGGAGACCCAATAACTAAAGTGGTCTTCAGGTTAAGAACAGTTTCAGGTTAAGAACGGACCTCTGGAATGAATTAACCAGAGGTACCACTGTACATCCTGCTGATTTTGTGTAGCATGCAACCAACCAACCAACCAACCAAACAAACAAACATGTAATGTGAGGGTATAATGAGGTCGTTCATTGAGTGCAGGAGTCATAAAAAGGAGAAAAATGGTGTATAAAATTGGGAGGGGAGAGGAGAAAGTGGCAAGACCAGCTCCGATTGTGTTAGTTCCAGACGTGGCTTTGGAGAGAGGGAAAGGTTCTCTCTTGCTTTCATAATACTAGAAACTCAGAGACTTCCAACAAATGTGGGAAGACAGGTAAACTTCTTCCTGCACAGCTAAAACTCTCTCCCAAAGTGATGGCCACCAACCTTTGAAAGAGCATTAGACCAATTTGTGGAGGAAAGAACTTTCGATGGGTACTAACCACAAAGGTTAAGGGCATTAATGCTTCTGAATAGCAGTTGCTGGAACAGCGGCAGGGAAAGCGTTCTTGGATTCAGGTCCTGCTGCCTGCAGATTTACTCCAGTCATCTGGGTGGCCACTGTGAGAACAGGATTCTGGACTAGATGGACCACCGACCTGATCCAGCAGGCTTTTGTAACCTTGGGACTAGGTTACATAGGGGACCACCTCACCCCATATATCCATGCCCAGGAACTGCTTTCCTTAGATGGGGCACTGCTGAGTATCATATGCCCCAGTAGTGTGCCCAGTTTGTGATAAAACCAGGCTTTTAGTGTTGCAGCTCCAGCCCTCTGGAATCAGCTTCCCACAGAAACTAAGACATCACAATATTGAGGAGTCTACCAAAGATGTTTTTGTTTAAGAATGTGACCTAATCATGTATGAAATACTAACTAATTGCACAGCTGTAAGGATGGTTCTACTGTTTTTAGAATTTGTAGAAGTGCTTTGAATTGTGAGAATTTGCATTTTGTCTTCTTTTAACTGTGTTGTATACTGCTTTGATGGCCTCAGGGGATAAAGAGGTTTCTAAATTTGCAAAATGTAACAGAACAAAGGAATAAAACATACAACATATTGCACGATAGCCCTGTGAGCAATTGTGGCAGCAACCTTTTTTGACCAATCTATTATACTTGCAATAAAGAAAAATCAATTCCCAAGGGCATGCCTGCTAATTATTGCCACCCAATGAGGGCAGACCTACCTGTGGGCTTCTCGTGAGGGTTGGCAAGGACGAGGGGCCGGCCTAGGAAGAGGTGCAAGTCAAAAACATAGGGGGTCTCATCCGGCGCCACCAGGGAGTAAGCAGTACCACTTCTTCCTGCCCGGGCCACTCTGCCTGGAGAAAGCAAAACAGAGAAGAGAAATGTTGGATGGCACAAAAGGTCTGTTTAATCTGTCTTCTAAGCTTGAATCTCCAACCAGTGCTGTAAAAAAGAGTGACCATTTGGGCAAAGCTGAACAGCTACAGAGCCCCATGTGTTGCAGTCAAAGGGTTCCAGTCCCTATGCAGTTTGACAGGTGCTTCCAGTTCCTGCTTGACAGTAGCCAATGAGGGGTGGAACACTCATAAAACACCATGCAAAGCGTATGCTTTACTCCCCAGGCTGTTGTTCCTCCCACCTCTGCACCCAGACCCTTAAGATGCTGGTCTAGGTGAACCGACTTAAGGCAGCTTTCACAACTTAAGCTGCACAAGGTGCCGGACCTCAAGAACTCACCGACACGGTGCAGGAAGAGTTTGGCTTTGGCCGGGAAGCTGTAGTTGATGACATTGTCCAGGAGAGGGATGTCGATGCCCCGGGCGGCCAAGTCGGTGACGATCAGCACCGAGCACTTGCCATGGATGAACTTGCCCACGTTGATCTTCCGGGCCGTCTGGTCCAGGGAGCTGTAGACATGCGTGCAGTTCACACCCTGGGCTGTCAACAGCTGCAGGAGCATCAGTGAGAGGAAACAAACTGAAGGTCAGTAAGTAAGGAGAAATCAAAAGTATCACTTGAGTTCTCCAGGTGTCCATGGGGTACAGAACAGGACTGAAATTGGGATTGGAGCTTTAGAACTTCTTCACCCTTTTCTTTAAACACCCAGCAAGTTTCTAGTCCTCATCGTTTCGAAGAAAATTCATTTTGCTGCCGTGATGCTTTTATTGTAATGTCTGTGTCTTTAATAGATATTTTGCATGTACATACAATAAGCCTGCAACTTAGGCAGGGGCTATGTTTTGGGGACTGCGCCTAAAGCCAAAATCGTGTGTAGTCAAAACAGCTTGGTTTCAATGATGGGTGAAGATTGCCAAAGTCATTTTACCTGAAACTCCATCCCATTTCTATTCTTTTCTTTTTTTGCCATGTGCCTAAAGTGCATGTGTGTAAGTTGTGGGCCTATTACGTGTATATAAAGAGACATATAGTTTTAATTTTATTGGTGTTTAATAACTTTTCAATGACTTCCCCCCCTAAGTTTTTACTTGTTTCTATTTTATCTGTAAGCCACCTTGAGTCTGGGGGAAAAGGCGGGAAATAACAACAACCACCACCACCACCACCACAACCCATTCCTGTCCTGTGTAGACAATCCAACTTGTAAAGGAAAACTTAAAAGCATAACCATCAAATATCACAGGGGTTACGTGTAGACTCAGCCCCATGTCAGTCCTGTTTATTAGAGGATAATATGCCTACCGACCTGAAATCTTGCTGACAGCAGCAAAAATGGTGTGAATCGCCATGTGAATGCCGCCAATGACACAAAACTCATCAAGCTGCATACCTCTTTCAGATATTCCGTATGATGTTTTGTGGCCACAAAGACAATCGTCTGGTCCTGCGGTCTTACGACTGTCCTCAGCAGGTACAACAGGAGGGCTGGCTTGTCATCAGCACGCACATGATAGAAAGACAGCTGTGAGGATGATTAGGTGTTTAATTGTCAGTGTTGGTGCCTGCTGAGTTTTCTCCCAGCTTGGAAGGGTCTAGCTCAGTCTTCGCCAGTCTGACACCCTCTCCACAATACGACATTTTTGACAACAGGAGGGTGACAGATTGGCTGAACCAGGCCTTTTTTTCCCAGCCAGAACTCACCGAAACTCAGTTCCAGGATCATTGCCATGATAAGAGGACAAGGGAGGCATTCATGGTGAGCCTTTTTGCTAGAAAAATTGCCCTGAGACTAACCACTCAAAGTCAACCTAATCTGGTATAAGGGAGCTTTTTATGCCTCCTTGCAGCTTAGGATATACAGTGGTACCTCGGGTTAAGTACTTAATTCATTCCGGAGGTCCATTCTTAACCTGAAACTGTTCTTAACCTGAAGCACCACTTTAGCTAATGGGGCCTCCTGCTGCCGCCGGAGCACGATTTCTGTTCTCATCCTGAAGTAAAGTTCTTAACCCGAGGTAATTCTTCTGGGTTCGCGGAGTCTGTAACCTGAAGTGTATGTAACCTGAAGCGTATGTAACCCGAGGTACCACTGTAGTTAGATACACACACATGGGCTGCTGCCCCTGCTCACCAACCCCTACCACAGCGGCCAACGTTTCCCTTCTTTTAAGGGAAATTCCCTTATTCCGAATAGGATTCCTCACAAGAAAAGGGAAAAGTTGACAGCTATGACCCCCACTTACCCACTGGTTGCCAGTACCCCACCCTGCCCCATTACATTTCCCCCAACCCACCATCTCCTCACAGCTACTTCAAACCCCTGTATATCTTCTGTGCTCCTCCATCCCTGCTTTCTGCAGACCTCCACTGTTGTTTAAAGCCGCCATTTTAAAACCTCATTTGTTCCCTACACACACACGCAAACCCCAAACTCAAGGATGAAAACTGGCATTTTTTACAAGTGCCAAATAATAATAATAATGATCCGTCAGTACGGCAAAGCCTGCATTTTGGAAGTCTCTGCCCACTGATACTGGGCAGACACACAAAAATATAGCCTCCTCTCTATCCTCCATTCAGGCAAGGGAGGAGCAATATTAAGGGCATACTCCAGCCAAGCAAATAATACCCGAGAGAGCTCTCAAGGGCCGCAGTTGGTCACCGAGGCAGAGGTTCCCCACCCCTGAGTTAGCAGAACCGCCAAGTTGGCTCAAGCAGACTAGAGGAGCAGCAACAGGGAAGCCATACGAAAGGCCACATGTGCCTCGCTCCCCAGTTTCGGCAGATCCCAATGCCAAACTCCTCCCCTTCCCCAAACTGCCCCTTCCAAGATATCCATGCTTCCTGCTTACCTTGAGCTGCTCGCTCAGCTTGGATTCCACATCCAATCGGATCAACACCGGCTCTGTAAGACCTGTGGAAAGGAAGTTTGGGCAGAGGGGAGAGAATATGAAGCTACATTTCGCTCTGGATTTTCCAGATGATCTCAGCAGGGTGGATTTGATTTAAATCAAATCGATTTACATCACGATTTAAATCACTAGTCAGTAAGACTTGATTCAAATCTTTTTTTTTTTTACAGAAAGACTCATTCTTGCTGGTATAATCTTAATATTTACAACCAGATGAAGGTTTCATTTTTGGAATAATAAATTTTCAGAGTAGTTTATATCAAAACTACTTTATTTTACATCAAAAATTACTGATTTGGTTATACTATTAAAAATACATAGACTGATAATTATGAAATTATTGTGAGGTTTAATAAGTTAACTGTTTATATTAGGACAACTTTTCTGCTGTACTTTATTGGAAGGAGAAAAATAGTAATTTCTTTAATAACAATTTAAACAATTTATTTGACTAAAACAATAACATTATAGCATATGTATCCACGTTTGTTAACTGATGTAGTTAAACTTTTTTAAAAAAAAACACCACCACCAGACTGAGTTTTAGCACACATGAAAAACTTAAAACAAACCTTTATTTCCTGATGAATAGCCTTTGGACTATAATGCAACTTAAATAGAAAACTATCTTTAGAAAGATTTTTCCTCCAAAAGCATTTTTTTGGAAAAAAAAACCCCGATTTAAATAAAAAAAATCTGATTTAAATAAAAAAGAATCTGCTTTTCTAATTTTTATTTTAATTATTGATTTTTATCTACCCTGGTTACATCTCACTCTATAATGAGGATAAAGGTATTTTCCAGATGCTCTCAGCAATCTAGATCAATGGGAGTGGGGGATTTATTTAAAAGGACTCTCCGACCACTAAAAACAGTCATGAATCCCAGGAAATGCTGTTTGCTAAGGGTGCTAAGAGACCTCCCCTATTCCCATCACAGAGCTACGGTTCCCAGAGTGGTTTCACGGTCAATCCCTCTCTCTCCGGGGAACTGTGAGATCGGGCCTCCGGTATGCAAAGGCGGCACCCGAGACCAGGTCCGTCTCCTTACCGGCTCGAGCAAACTCCACGAGAAGTTTTGGCAGGGTGGCAGAGAAGAGAACAGTCTGGCGGTTCTCAGGCAGCCTCGAGATGATCTCCTGCAGCTGCTCTGCAAAGCCCATCTCAAAGAGCCTGGCAAGGTAAGCGGGAAAAGGCGTTTTGAGGAGACACAGAAAGCAAACAGGAGAAGAACAAGCGGCAGGGCAGAGGATCTGAAAAATATACAACGAGATTCAGCCAAGCAAATGCCTGGCTACAGACATGGTACAGCCCTCTACATGTACGTGATACAGCCCCCTCCCCAGGACTGCAGCACTTCAGAGCACCCATTGGGAACCCCCCCTTTTTTTAAACGAAGTGTTCTTCTGTTATCTATTTTGGAAAGTTGTTTGCTATGTGTTTATTGACCGAAGTATTTCTACATCTTCCACTCACAAACCACCAGGGCAGTTTACAGCAACATTAAAACATATTTTTATTTATTTTATTTTATTTTTGTTTCTTAGAATTCCAGCGTGGCACAACCCTGGAAGAAGTTTCTGGTTTCCAATACAGTGGTACCTCTGGTTAAGAACTTAATTCGTTCTTAACCTGAAACTGTTCTTAACCTGAGGTACCACTTTAGCTAATGGGGCCTCCTGCTACCGCCAGAGCACGATTTCTGTTCTCATCCTGAAGCAAAGCTCTTAACCTGATGTACTATTTCTTGGTTAGCAGAGTCTGTAACCTGAAGCGTCTGTAACCCGAGGTACCACTGTACAAAGATGGTTGAAGAACAGGGAAAGGGTTGGGATGAGAAGCTATAAGAATATCTTGAAAGCCGAAGTTTCATTTTTAAAAAGCCACACACTACGGAAGGAATTCCATGGCAACATATATATCTCACAAAGACAAAAGGTACTTCATTAAAAAGAAAACCTATATAGTTTTAAAGGGTAAAGGTAAAGGGACCCCTGACCATTAGGTCCAGTCGTGACCGGCTCTGGGGTTGCGGCGCTCATCTCGCTTTATTGGCTGAGGAAGCCGGCGTTTGTCTGCGGACAGCTTTTGGGTCATGTGGCCAGCATGACTAAGCTGCTTCTGGCAAACCAGAGCAGCACACGGAAACGCCGTTTACCTTCCCACTGGAGCGGTACCTATTTATCTACTTGCACTTTGACGTGCTTTCGAACTGCTAGGTGGGCAGGAGCTGGGACTGAACAATGGAAGCTCACCCCGTCGCGGGGATTCGAACTGCCGACCTTCTGATCGGCAAGTCCTAGGCTCTGTGGTTTAGACCACAGCGCCACCCGCATCCCAGTTTTAAAGGGTAGACTTCATGAAATCTACAGATATTTTGGACTACAAGTCCCATCAACCCCAGCCAGCTAATCTTGGAATTTGAATGGTTTTGGCTCAGAAGTTCCTTTTCCACATGGGGTACACACACCACCAAGAATTCACAACTGAAAAAAGCCAAAACTGTCCACAGAAACACAGGTGTCACCAGGCTTCTCTACCCTAAATGGAAGAACCAAGCAACACTGCTCAGAGGCAGGACATCTGCTTTGCTTGCAGAAGGTCCCAGGTTCAATCCCTGTCATCTCCAGGCAGGACTAGCAGAAATCCTTCTCTGATATTTTTGATAGCTCAGTCGGTAGAGCATAAGACTCTTAATCCCAGGGCTGTAGGTTCGAGCCCCACATTGGGCAAAAAGTTTGCAAGGGGTTGGGCTAGATGACCCTTGTGGTCCCTTCCAACTCTACAAATCCAGGAGAGCTGCTGCCAGTCAGTGTGGAGAATATTGAGCTAGATGGACCAGGAGGCTGACTCAGTATAAGGGAAGGGAAGTTCAGTGGTTAGAGCATCTGCCTTGCATGCAGAGGATCCCTAGTTCTATGCCCAATGGCATCTCCGGGTAAAACTGGGAAAGATTACCTGTCCAAAATCCTGGACAGCCGCTGCCAATCAGAGTAGACAATATTGACCCAGATGGATCGAAGGCCTGCCTCAGCAGAAGCTGGCTTCCTACGTACCCGTTTCCAAATGCTGTGGCCTGATCTCCTGCCTGGGAAAATAGGCGCTCCCCCAAGTGGCCAGGAACTCACCTGTCTGCTTCGTCAAAGACCACGTATTCCACACTCTGCAGCTTGAGCTTCATCTCTATGGCCACGTGCATCAGCCGGCCGGGAGTTGCAATGATTCTGTGGGAGGCAAGCAGAGGACACAGTGGCTGCAGGGTTTTCTTACAAGTTCAGAAAGAGTACTGCATTGTACCTGTGCCAGCCCAGCAGATCGAAATGGGCTTATATACACCTTGTTATGGGAGAGGAATCAGGATGAATGCAAGGGGCAACCAGGAAGCCTGTTAAAACAAGCCCCTTGTTTCCTAGTCACCAGCCCAATGTTTTTAGACTCACACAATGCTTTTTTTCTTTAAAAAAATGTTTAGGGGTACTCTCATTTTGATTCAAGAAAATCACCATTTTATAGTACAAATTGGGGAAAATAAATACAGTAAATGGACAAAAGAACAAAGATTCGCAAAATGTTTAGGGGTCTGCGTCCCCCTAGAAAAAAAGCACTGGACTTACATATCAGGGTTTTCATGTAGAGCTGCAAACTGGTCTTCCATCCTGGAGGAGAGGAGAGGCAGAAGGCAAATTTCGTTTTAGAGAAAGCAGGAAAACCTCCCCGCCCCCCTTTGTGCCTAACTTTGACTGCCACACTCAGATCTTACGTCACGACTTTTTAAAAAGATATATTTTTAAAAAATAATTTTTTATTACATATAACAATAGGAATGTTAGAAAGGACAGTGGCTTGCCTGCTTAACATCATATGGTCTACAACTTCAGAAACAAAATGTATTGCTTCAACGGCACTTTTAAGCACCAACACTGGATATTTATTTTTATTTATTTAGATTTCCTAGTTAGCAATCAACTTTATGGAAGGCTCACTCCCTGGAAAGGCAGAGGGATGAGTTACAATGCTGAATCAGATGGACCTCAAGGCCACAGTCACACCATAAGTTTAAAGCATATGATACTACTTTAAACAGTCATTACTCCCCGCCCCCAAGGATTCTGGGAGTTGTAGTTTGCTCAGGCCGAGAGTTGTTAGGAAACCCTTATTCCCCTTTCCAGAGCTACGATTCCCAGAATGGTTTAACAATCAATCCTTCTTCTCTGGGAACTGTAGCTCTGTGTAAGGGAATAGGGGACCTCTTAACTACTCAGCACCCATAACGAACTACAGTTCCCAGGATTCCTTGGGGGAAGCCGTGAATGTTTCAAGTGTGTTATAGCGCTTCAAACATATGTTGTGAATGCGGCCTTGGTTCTTCAACAATGTGACTTCCTGTGAGGCCTAAACATGGGGCAGGTCAAAAATCTTTGTGTGTTTTTTAATGTCAAGCTTACTTGTCTCCTCCAAGGATCAGGGCTGTTTTCAGGCCTGTGTATCGGCCAAGCTGTAGTGGGAGGGGGGGAAGAGTAAAAAAAAAAACAGTCAAAAACTTGCATTTGATCCCAGTATATCCTACCAGCTGTCTAATAACCAAAAGAAAGCCAGGGACTTGATGAGCTTCATGCTTGAACAGCCCCACCTTTGCTTGACCGCAAGCCCTCTGAGGAATCCTGCTAAACTCGCAACAAAATCCTGTGGCAGTATGTTCCTCTGGTCAACTGCACATTGTCCATAGATCTCTGCAGCCTCAGAGAGCTTCAGCAGTTGCGTCCAGACATCAAGCTTATAGCATTCATTTTGCTGGTTATACTGCAAGAACATCTCCCCTGTCTTCTAACCCTTTTGCACTGCCGCACCTGTTGAGTTATAGAACTGCGGCTTGTCGATTAATATACCGCCACACAGTGCGGTTTAAACAACGAAGTTTAAACAACAAAAACCCTTGTATGCTGGGATAACTGCTCCAAATTTTGAAAAAAATGAAACTGCAACTCAAAAAAACTCCCACAATTTCCCAAGCGAACAGGGTTGCAAGCAGATTTTTCTTTCTCTGGGAAACAGCACGGATATGAACATTCATTTTACATTAGTATTATTATTAATTAAATTTCTATACCACTCTTCATCCGAGGATCCCAGGGCAGTTAACAATATAAAAACACAAAAATAAATAGCACAGTAACAAACAAAAACAACAACCCCAAAAACCACCATTTAAAAGACCATAGATTGGCTAATTAGCCAAAGGCCTGGGAAAAGAGGAATATTTTTGCCTGGTATGTAATGATACATGGGAATTAACAAGTAAGGAAACGTGGGGGAAATGGAATAAAGCACTGCCTAAATGCAGCTAGTACAAAGGCTTCTAAGCGACCAAGACTGTTTCTGCCACTCTTGAGTCCCATCTGAACCACATCAAGCAACACAAAGGCTAATAATATATTGACAATATTCATATAACACTACCAAACTGTTTCAAAATTCATAAACAGAAGACATGTAATATGTGCAAAGAGTCACAAACAAAGAAGAGTCAAGTAACTATTGGATAAACAGAATGATTTAAAGGCTTTAAAGCAGCCTTTCTCAACCTGCGGGTCCCCAGACGTTGTTGGATTACAACTCCCATCATCCCTAGCTAGCAAGGCCAGAGCTCAGGGATGATGGGAGTTGTAGTCCAACAACATCTGGGGACCCACAGGTTGAGAACCGCTGCTTTAAAGACCCTTTAAAGTCCCAGCCTTCCCTCCACCCATCTTTGGCTTACCTCCTTAGTGAACTTGAGGGTCTGCAAGGCAAGCTCTCTAGTCGGAGAGAGGATAAGAGCCCGTGCCCCCGTCTTGGCACTGTGCACCTTCAGCTTCTCAAACATGGGGATGAGGAAACAGGCCGTCTTTCCGCTGCCCGTCCTCGCCATCGCCACCACATCCTTGCCGTCCAGGATCACGGGGATGGTCTGCAAAATGAAGCTGATTCAGAGTGGAGGCAGGGGAAATCAAACGACAGCAGCAAACCAGAAGTCTGGGACAGAACGGCAGATGAAGTTGATGGACTATATGGAACTGGCGGAAATGACTGGCAGAATCCGAGACCAGGGAGAAGAGTCGGTGGAAGAAGACTGGAAAAAGTTTAAAGACTATTTACAGAAATACTGTAAAATTAATGAATGTTAGAAAAATGTTGGAATGAAGTTATATGGCTTTAGTAGAAACGTTATAAGGAATTAAGTATAAGTAGATTAATAGAGTATTAAAGGAAAAAATAAGGTTAGAATGAGTTAAGATAATTATAGGATAGAAAACAGAGGAAGATGGAAAGGAATTGCTGAAATAATTAACAGAAGTGGAATACAGAAAGGGAGGTGTGAGGAGGTCGTGGAAATAAGTGAATGAAAGATGGGAGAATGAAATTGTTTGATTTATTTTATTGTTTTTGTTTTGTTTTGTTAGTTTAATGTATTGTATTGTATTGTATTGTACTGTATTGTATTGTTTTTTTAGTGTTTAAATTGTTGGAAAAGTAATAATTATTTTAAAAAAGAAGAAGTAGTCAGGGACTGTGCAAACTGCAGCTCCCCAAGAGGGTGAGGAATCTTCTCACAACTCTCAGAACCCTTAACTACAACGTAGAGTCGGGATGGGGCCTAGGAAACACACAACCAAGTTTACACGCAAAATGTCATGAAGATGATGATGAAAAAACAACTTAGTTGTCCACATATTGCAGATTTTGGGGTGAGGGGAAGGAGGCTAGAGAGAGAGAGAGAGAGAGAGATCTGAATAAAATTTCATAATATTGTAGAGTTGGAAGGTGGAACAGGCTTTTTTTTACTCCTGCTACATAGGATAGGATTCGTGTTCATGTTGTAAGAAAGGAGATTCCGACTAATAATAATAATAATAATAATTTATTTATATCCCACCCTCCCCAGCCGAAGCCGGGCTCAGAGCAGCTAACAACAATAAAAGTAACACAGCATTCTAAAATCAATTCATTTTAAAATCAATTCAAAATCAAATTAATGGCAACCATTGGGCTAAGGTTCTGTGAGGATTACCAAAAGAGGGGATCAGGCTGTGCCTTGGCCAAAGGCCTGGTGGAACAGCTCTGTCTTGCAGGACCTGTGGAAAGATGTCATGTCCCACAGGGCCCTAGTCTCTTGTAACAGAGCATTCCACCAGATCGGGGCCACCGCCGAAAAAGCCCTGGCTCTGGCTGCGGCCAGCCTAACCTCCCTGTGGCCTGGGACCTCCAGGATATTTTTGTTTGAAGACTGTAAGGTCCTCCGTGGGACATACCAGGAGAGGCGGTCCCGTAGGTACGAGGATCCTAGGCTGTATAGGGCTTTAAAGCTTAAACCTGATCCTGTACTCCACCGGGAGCCAGTGCAGCTGGTATAGCACTGGGTGAATGTGATCCTGCAGAGAGGACCCCGTAAGGAGTCTCACTGCGGCATTCTGCACCCGCTGGAGTTTCTGGGTCAGTCTCAAGGGCAGCCCCACTTAGAGTGAGTTACAATAACCAAGCCTGGAGGTGACCATCGTGTGGATCACAGTGGCTAGGTCAGGGCGAGAGAGGTAAGGAGCCAACTGCTTAGCTTGGCGGAGGTGAAAAAATGCTGCCTTTCTTATAGCTGCAATATGCGCCTCCCTGGAAAGGGAGGTGTCGAATATTTATACCCCGCCCATCTGGCTGGGTTGCCCCTAAACATAAGGAAGAACTTTCTGACACTAAGAGCTTTTTGACAGTGTAACAGCCTCCCTTGGAAAGCAGTGGACTCTCGGACTTCCGGGTCAGCGCCATTGGTGAATGGCGGAGTTCCTCCGACTGGAGGAACGGGCTCCGTGAAAACTGGGTCTTTGCGCCGCGGCGAAGGTGGGGACCCGCTAGAAATCCCAGGCGGAGGAAGCCTGGGAACGTGGGGTTCGGCAGGGCACCAGAAGCGCCCCCCTACTCACGGGGAATCCCATCTAGGGGCTCCGGAGCGAAGCGCGGTGCTACGAACTGACTGCTACTTTCATGGAGTGAAGCCGCACAGCCATTGCCAGAGAGTGCTGACTTTTTCCTGTGGACAATTGGACTTAAAACAAGTACCCGTGAGTAGAAACAGAAAATTGGATCAAGAAATTGTTTTAATTCGGTAACGAAGCGGGAAGGTGTAAACAGGAAGTCCGCCTTCCGTTTCCTTGTATATAGACTAAAGCAAAAATTTTGCAAGCTAATGCCGGGAAGCTGTCAAAAAAGGACTAAATTTCCTTCATTTAGAACCACTGAAACCCCCCTTGGAAGCAGGAGAAAAGGGGGGGGGACTCTGTTTAACTCTACCAGGAGAGGGAGTTAAGAAGGATAAGTTTCCATCGTCTCTAACCTGGGAACGGGGTGTCAGAGACAGAAACTGTTGCTGAGGTTCATTGACGGTGAACGTAACACTTTGACAGATAGCTAATGAAGAGAAACAAGTTGATTCTAATGTTGCCTTTTGCATCTTAAAGAAATAAAATATCTGAAAAACCTCTGAAATATCTGAAAAATGAAAGTAACTTTCCTTTGTCTTCCAAAAAAAAAAAAAAAATGGCTACAAACAGATTGTCTCCTCTAGAGGGAGCTTGCTAAATTGTTGTTGCAGCATATTTGAGACCCAACATCTGTGAGATTAAGACTGTGGGAACAGACCTTTTCATCCTTGAACAAAGATGAGCTGGGAGAAAGACTGGTTGCTTGCTCTATGTAAGACAAATGCTTTGCTGGAACAGATGCATGAAAAGATGGACTTAATGAATGAGCAAATGGATTTGACTGTTGTGGTTAATAACATTGATACAGAAATCATCCAAGAACCAACCTATCAATCTGTACCGACTGGGCAAGTGCAGTTGACAATGGAGGAGGATGTGGCTGCACCTCAAACAGTACAAATGGAGAGACCCGAGGCCCTACAGGAGCATAAACCACTGTTATTGAAGACTGATGCTGGAGCGGGCCAAGGGGAGTCTGGAGATGAGGAGACTTCTAGCTTTGGAGAGATTCTGAAATTTGATTTTAAATTCATTTTGGATTACATCGAGGACTGTGGGGAATGGGTGAGCTGGATGAAGGGTGATGGAGACAATTTTGGGTTGGAACCCCCCAGAGACCTACTCCTCAATGAGAAAGGAAAGAAACTAAGACAGAGACCAACAAGAGACAAGGAAAAGGGCAAGCACAAACAAGATGAAGAAGAATTGCAGAAGGGACATGGAAGAGATTTAAGGGCCTCGGACATAAGGCTTCCAGGTTGATGGACTAGACGGAATGGACAATAAGGACTGACATGACCCGAGACCAGGAAGAAGAGACGCTGGATGATGATTGGAAGAGAATTTATAATGGAAACTTTGATGAATGAATATTTCCCTAATATTTGATGAATGAATATTTCCCTAATGAATATTAGGGAAAATGTGGGAATGAAACTATACAACTCTAGCAGAAATGATATTAGGAGTTATGTATATTTGAAATTTAAGATTTAAGTTTTAAGGCACTTAGGGGTAAGACAAGGATAAATAAATTAAGGTAATCTGAATAATAGAATATGGGGAAATATGGTAAGGATCTGTTGAGCTAATTATTAGGTTAAATTGTTAAGACAAATTTTATAACAAAAATTGAGAAAGATGGAAAGAATTTGCTGAAATAATTACTAAACTAGAATACAAAAACGGAGGTGTGAGGAGGTCAATGAAACAAGCAAATGGAAATTATGAATATGCAATTTGGGATTTGTGTCCCCCCCCCTTTTTTCTTCTTTTTTACTTTTTTATTGCTGTATTGTTATATTGGTTTTCTCATTTTGTGCTTTTTTCCCTTTTTTATTGTCTTCTTCTTTCTTTTTTGTATTGTAGCGTTGTTTGTCATTTTTTATTTTTCTTGTAATTTTGAAATTATCAATAAATATTATTTTTTTTAAAAAAAGGAAAGCAGTGGACTCTCCTTCATTTTTAAAGAGAGGTTGGATAGCCATTTATCACAGATGCTTTAGTTGACATTCCTGCATTGTAGGGGGTTGGGAGTAGATGACCCTTGGGGACCTTTCATAAAATCGTAGAATTGTAGGGTTGGAAGGGACCCTGAGGGTCATCTAGTCCAACCCCCTGAAATGCACAAAGAGAGTATTTCTAAAGCAAAAATGAAGAGACCGGCTTAGATGGACCCTTGATTTCCGATCCAACATAGCATTTCCTGGGTCCTCACCTTCCTCTGGATGGGAGTCGGTATTTTGTACCCTTTCTTCATGATCCCTTTGAACACAGGGTAGCCCAGACCTAAGGGAGGAAACAGATAATTGAAATTCACCATTATTTTCAAATCTGGAGTGCAGGGCAGGGAGGACGCTGGACCAGATGGGCCTTTGGCCTGATCCAGAACCCTGCTGCCCACGACCCGTACAAAAACCTTAGAATGCAATCCCATATCTGCATCTATAGCATGCCTTGCCAAGTAATACTTCTGAATATGGCTCACTGGAGGTCAACACCCCAAAAGAATTTGGTGTACACATTTGCCTCTGGCATATGGGCATAGCCTTTGATCACTATCAGCAAGAGCCCATAGAATAGGATGCTCCAATCATCAGGTGAGCACTGAGGGGATGATAATCAGCTACTGAGATTAGATATAGTGTTTTCAGCTTATCGGAACTAAAACTATTCCGTTTTTAAATGAACATTTTCAGCAGTGCCGAGAACTGCTTAGCCAATTTCGGTGCATTTCAGCAAATGGTCTCTCATTCTCTAGCATTGCCCCTCATTTGCCTTCTCTTTCAACAGCCTTCAAAGCACAATCATTATAAAGAACAAAATTAATTAACATTAGTGTTGAGGCAAAATCCCTTCCTCACTACGTCACCACAACTGCATTTGTTTTATTTTGAAATCTTTAAGATAATATTTTAGTTTTCTGTTATGTTGCTTTGACTGTATATTTTATATTTGAGTTTCTTAAGATTGTTTTATTGATTTAATATGCTGTAAACAGCTTTGAGATTTTTCTTAAAAATATAAAGCGGCATAGAAATTAAATAAATAAATAGGCCAAACCACCCCAGGAGAGTGGAGGGCACTTTGCTGCGGGCTGCCACAAACCTTGTTCTAGCCCCTGCTAGCATACAAGAACAGCCGATTTTGTTACATTAAAAAAGCTCTCCCTCACTCACCCATGGACTGAAAGCCCCCTGATTTCTTCTTTTTCTTGTTCTGGGCCCGAACCATTTCCTGGGTGTCCAGCTCAACATCAGAAGTGCAATCCGCTGCCGGAAAAGCTGGAACCGGCATCTCATAGTCCTTTGAACCACACCAAAAAAGAAAGAGAGAGAGTTTGAATACAGAGCAGCAACAAGAAGAACCAACCCCGAGTGGGCTATAACCCAGTGTTTTCTCCACCCTGTACTATCCTCACAAGAACCCTGAGAGGTGGCTGTTGTTGTTGTTGAGTCATTTAGTTGTGTTCGACTCTTCGTGACCCCATGGACCAGAGCACGCCAGGCCCTCCTGTCTTCCACTGCCTCCCGCAGTTTGGTCAAACTCATGCTGGTAGCTTCGAGAACACTGTCCAACCATCTCGTCCTCTGTTGTCCCCTTCTCCTTGTGCCCTCCATCTTTCCCACCGTCAGGGTCTTTTCCAGGGAGTCTTCTCTTCTCATGAGGTGGCCAAAGTATTGGAGCCTCGGCTTCACGATCTGTCCTTCCAGTGAGCACTCAGGGCTGGTAGGTTAGGCTGAAGAGCTGTTTTGTTTGTTTTATGCAAAGGGTTGCTTTGCCATTTTCTTACCATTCATGTCCCAACTTCTCCTCCAAGGATCCCTACCTCGTCTCATTTCATCCTCAAAACAACCCAGTGAGGCAGGCTAGGCTGAGTGGGGATTTGAACCCTGGCCTACCAGGTCCTAGTCCGACAAGCCACTATACAATAGTACCTCGGGTTAAGAACTTAATTGGTTCTGCAGGTCTGTTCTTAACCTGAAACTGTTCTTAACCTGAAGCACCACTTTAGCTAACGGGGCCTCCTGCTGCCGCTGCGCTGCCACTGCACGATTTCTGTTCTCATCCTGAAGCAAAGTTCTTAACCCGAGGTAATATTTCTGGGTTAGCGGAGTTTGTAACCTGAAGCGTATTTAACCTGAAGCGTATGTAACCCGAGGTACCACTCTACTGGCCCCAGGCTCCCGATCCTTGCCTTAAGCCCCGGCACCTGCGAAGGGAGCGGGTCTCCCCCTTACCTGCTGCTCGTCCAAGTCCCGATCCTTGCACCGTCGCTGCCTTTTCCTCCGCCGCCCCGTGGCCTGGGCAGGAGCCATGGCAGAAGCGCCGCCAACAACCTGCCGGCCGAAGAAGTCACTCCGAATCCAGGAAGGCAGGGAGCCACGTGCGCCGAATGGGCGGGGCCCCGGTGATCGGAGGCGGGACATCCATTAAGCCCCGCCTCTTCTCCCTAGCAAGCGCTCCAGGAGTGGCTGGCTTTTCTCTGCCACTCACGGCTTGGACGCCAGCCTCTTTAGAGATAAAAAGGTTAGATCAGCTGATCTCGTGTCTTGAGGAAGAACCTCCGGGTTCAGTTAGAGCGCCGCGTTTATTTGTTAGTTTAAAACGCAAGCATTTGATGAAGTGGGCTTTGGCCCATGAAAGCTTTCGCCACAATCGTGTGTCAGGGCAGATCCACACCATATGTTGAAAGTACATGGAAGATCCAGCGCACATTTAAAGCGCATGCCTTCCTTTATTATAATTTTTTTAAAAAAATAAATCAGAGAAGCGTAGTTTTCCGCACACGGATCTACAATCTCCAAAACACATTCCAAGCATATATGGTCCCCAGCATGGGAACTGTAGTTTTCATCTCACGGAGCTAGAATTTCAGTAGCCTTAACGAACTACAGTCCCCATAATTCTTTGGGAGAAGTCAGGCGCTTTAAATGTGCGTTAGACGCGCTTTAAATGTCCACTGTGGTCTTTATGAACCACATACGCAAAAGTTTATTGTTTGCTTTTCCGCAACAGACCAATGCTGCAAATCCTAATCCCGTTTACCCATGAGTAAACCCATACTGAATTCATTAGGGATTACTTCTGAGTAGCCATGGTTAGGATTGCAGTGTTAAGACGGCTACTCTTCTGCAAACCTCACGCCGCGGAAGTGAGAGGTGGTGCTCATAGAAATCAATGGAGGGTTGCTCACGATATCCCTGGAAAGGTGTTGGCATTGCACTTTAGAGATGAGGCTGAGGATGCTCAAAAAATCCTGCCCCACGTTGCAGCCAAAGCCAATCTCTGTAGAATGATTTCCTCCCAGCCCAAACCCGGCGAGCATTGCATGTATAAGGCTTCTTTCTGCGCTATTGGCCTGCATGTATTCATATTGCAGTTTAACTTAAAAAGTAAAAAGTAAAATTCCACGTTTCAGAAGACAGGAGAAAAACTGGGAACTCCTGATGGTATTGCTACAAAAAAGTGGAGGGGGTGGCGGCAAAAGCTGTCCAATTACACACGCCCATCAAACTCTAAAGCCCTACATTTCTCCAGGGATTTCTATGGGACGTTCTTCCTTCCTAAAAAAGGGGGGAGTCTTGAGCAACCGGAAGCCGCTTAGACTGTGTGAGTCAATCGATTCATTCGCCTCTTGGGAGTCCTCGTCCCCTCCGTAGAATGGTTTCGCCCAGTCCTCTCTTTTTTTTCCCCCAGCCCCGCAAGGCGGCGCAGTCTCTACAGTTTTCATCCTACATTTCGGGTTCCGAAGTGAAACTCGTAAGTACTGGAGAGGAAGTATTATTAGTGATAGGAGGCGATTATATGAATCAATATTTTGGGGCGGAATCAAAGGCAAGTTTCTCGCTGCAGTGCTTTGAAATAATATTTCTACGCCAGCGGTGGTTGGGCTCTACGTTTGCGTTTCTGGCTGCGAATGGGAACCGGAAAGGAGGCCCGTATTGACCTCTTTGCTCAGGCATTTCTTTGGTTGTTTGATGTGCTGGGGAGAAGAAAGGAAAGGCAAGCAGAACGAGGAGGAAAGCTGCAAATCCGTAAGTCTAGGAGGGGAGGGGAGACCAGGTTTGCGGGGCCCGGGCCCGGTTGCAGAAATGTGCATTCCTTCATGCAAATTGTTGCTTCGTCTTCTGCAACTGCATTTTGCATTCAGAGCGGGCTGTGATGCTTGCGTCTCCCAGGGAAGCGAGATCCAAACAACGCAGACAGCAGAGAGCAGTTAGACTGCTCGATCCTACCTCTGCTTTTCGGAAAGCAAGCCCCGCTTGATTTTGACAGGGCATACTTCCAAGCGTGAGTGACTTGGGAATCTTTTTGCTGGAAGAATCAGGGCAGATGAAAGAAAACCCCCCTTCAGGCAGTGCAGAGTTAAACTATGGAACTCTCTCCCACAGGAGGCGGTGATGGTCTCCAACTTGGATGGCTTTAAAAAAAGATTGGACAAATTCAAAAAGAGGAGAAGGCTATTGAATTGATTTTAGAATGCTGTATTATTTTACTGTTGCTGGCCACTCTGAGCCTGGTTTCGGCTGGGGAGGGCAGGATATAAATATTATTATTATTATTATTATTATTATTATATTGATGGAAACCGGGTGATGCTACTTAGCAATGCTTCTAAATACCAATTGCTGGGAAACCCAGAAAGGATGAGTTGGTCTTGCACTAAGGTCCCACTTGTGGGTTTCCCATAGAGGCATCTAGTTGACTGCTGTGAGAAAAGGATGCTGGACAAGATGGGCCATTGGCCTGATCCAGCAGGCTCTTCTTATGTTCATTGTAGTGTAGTACGGTAGTTAAAGTGTGTCAGACTAGGACCTGGGAGACTGGGGTTCAAATCCCTGCTCAGCTGCAAAACCTGGGTGGGTCACAGTCTTCTCTGTCTAACCTACCTCACAGGGTTGTTGTGAGGATTAATCGGGAGGAACAGAACTGTGTTCTACCACTTTGACCTCCTTGGAGGAAAGGTGGGGCACAAAAAAATAAGCACAACAAATCTCTGATCCTAAGCAACTCTTCATCTCAAGCCGGAGGGTTGAATTTGAATCGGCCTGTTGAATTTCTGCCTCTTGCGAGGCTTTTAAGGAGCCTTTTCGCTCGCAAGCAAAGTGTAATTTGTGTCTAAATCCTATAAGACCTCTCTATTTTGGCCCTCGGGACTTTCCCTAGGCCACATCCTGCATTTGCCCTGGTCGAAATTGTGTCCTTCAACTCTGATCAGGCCACTTTTTTACCTGGATGGAAGATCGAGAGGTGAGTGGGAGCCAGCCTACTGACATTGACATCCATTGCCCCAACCCATTTTTGGCTCTAGCCCTGCCCACCACTGCCATGTGGCCCCTGGAAGTTCAGGGATATTTATTTATTTATTTTTCACAAGTTGTGTGTCCTTGTTTCTCAGTTTGATCCTTTTACACGGTTTTGCACGTCGTGTGGTATTTTATGCTTTTTTTATTGATTATAGTTTAGTAATTCTTCATTGTAAGCTGTTTAATTACTATTCGCTGATATTAAATTTTACCATTTACTAATATACGAATTGTTTGAATATTGCTTTATTTGATATAAACTTATTTTAAAGTTATTGTGGCTTTTTTTTGCTATTGAATCAGACTGCTATTATGGGTGAGATCTTTGCTGTTGATTTTGTTGTTTGTTCAGCTTGTGAATCGCTTGTGCAGTGTAATATAGTAAGGCAGTATACAAATTGAAAGCGAAATGAAATGCCAAGATGGCAAAATGTGTCCTCACTTCTGCTCTACCCTATCAGTCTGCCTTGGCATTCACCAGTGACTTCTTGCTTCATTCAGATCTTGCTTATGAACCTCTAAGTCTCCTGCAGACCTGGATGGCAGGGCCTGACCCGGCGTGGCTTAACCGGATCCATGAAGGCATCCGCTGAGCTGGGGATCCAGCCCCGCCAGTTCCAACGCAGTGGGAGGAGAGGCTACAGGGTCACGGCCAAAGCCTCCTACGTGGATGAGTCGCTCTTCGGCAGCCCCGCAGGACAATTGAACGCCAGAGCAGAGTTTGACCCACCGTGGGTGTGCAAGAAAGCTAGTTCTCCGAGACCCCTTTTGTGGAGTCCCAAGACGACACAATGGGAGGTGGACACCAGCCCCTCGACAGCCGCTCCGCCCACCAGCACTCCGAGAAAGGGAAATAAATACAGGTAGGGGAGGTTTTTATATGCCTGTTGTCTTTGTCCATGGAGTTTTCTTGGCGGGGATACTGGAGTGGCTTGCCGGTTCCTGCTCCAGGTGGATCACGTTTGGTCAAAACTCTCCACTATGACCTGTCCATCTTGGGTGCCCAGCACGGCATAGCTCATAGCTTCTCTGAGTTATTCAAGCCCCTTCGCCGTGGCAAGGCAGTGATCCATGAAGATCCGTATAGTAAAAGCCATGGTTTTCCCAGTAGTGATGTATGGAAGTGAGAGCTGGACCATAAAGAAGGCTGATCGCCAAAGAATTGATGCTTTTGAATTATGGTGCTGGAGGAGACCCGTGAACTGCAAGAAGATCAAATCTCTCCATTCTGAAGGAAATCAGCCCTGAGTGCTCACTAGAAGGACAGATCGTGAAGCTGAGGCTCCAATACTTTGGCCACCCCATGAGAAGAGAAGACTCCCTGGAAAAGACCCTGATGCTGGGAAAGATTGAGGAAACAAGGAGAAGGGGACGACAGAGGACGAGATGGTTGGACAGTGTTCTCGAAGCTACCAGCATGAGTTTGACCAAGCTGCGGGAGGCAGTGGAAGACAGGAGTGCCTGGTGTGCTCTGGTCCATGGGGTCACAAAGAGTCGACAAGACTAAATGACTAAACAACAACAACAGGGGAGGTTTTGAAGGAGCTGTGACAGTCCGCAAAAGTGAGATTGCCCTGCCAGGTTATTATTATATTTATATCCTGCCTTTCCTCCAAGGAGCTCAATTTGGCACAACAGTTGTGTCTGCCCCCTCATTTTACCCTCCCAACAGTTGGCGGGTGAGGCCAATTGGACCCCCAGATGTCCGTGATGGAATGTCAGAGCCAGCAGTGGTGTAGCAGTTAGAGGTGTCAGACAAGAACCTAGGAGATCAAGGTTCGAATCCCCCACTCAGCCCAGAAGTTCGCTAGGTGTGATCCTGGGCCAGTTAGGGTCTCAGCCTAATCTATCTGGCAGGGTCATTGTGGGGAACTAAATGAGGAGCAGGTGGGGAGAACTGCTCATGCCACCTTGAGCTCCTGGGATAAAAATGCAATAAATAAGTAACAATCTCCCCATCATCCCTGACCATTGGGAGTAATGGGAGTTCTAGTACAGTAACACCTGGAAAACCAAGGTTGAAGAATGCTGGGTTAGGCTGAGAGATTGTGGCTGGCCCAAGGTCATGCAACACTGCAAAAAGAAAAAAGACAAAAAAAAAAAAGACTATGCCCTGATGCTCCCCACCTGATTTACTAAATGAGTAATTTCTCTTACGATTTGTCCCAATATTGACTTCTGAGGCCCTTATTTGTGTGCCTCCTCCATGAGGGTTGCAAAACCAGAACAGGTCTTTTCTGCAGTGGCTCCCAGTTTGTGGAATGCTCTCCCCAAGGTGGGTCACCTGGCATTATACACCTTTAGGTGATAGGCGAAAACATTCCTCTTTAAAGCAGGCCTTTGGCTGATTGACATCCAGTGATCTTTAAAAATGTGTTGGGGAGGGAGGGATTATTGGGTTATTCTTGGTTTTGTTTTTATTTTATTTTTATAATGTATTTTGTGTTTTTATATTGTGATTTTATGTTGTGAACCGCCTTGAGACTTACGGGTATAGGGCACTATATTACTACTACTACTATTAATACCCCACCCATCTGGCTGGGTTGTCCCAACCACACTTTATGCATGGTAATAACTTGGTGGTACTTAGAATGATTTCTCTAGTCGTGGCTTCTGTTGCCAGTAAACATCTCTCTCTTTCTCTCTACCCTCATCTCTCAATGAAGGCTGAAAAGTCACACCCCATCCTACTGCGATGAGACCCTGTTTGGGCCAAAGCCAGGAGTTTGGGAGCAGGCGACTCCCTGGATGGTGAAGGGGGAAGTGGCTAAGCTCCGCCCTTTGCTTTTGACTCCGCCTTCTGCTGCGAGGGACCGGCCAGTCCTTTCCCCTCGTCCGAAGGACACGCCCCTGAGAGCCTTCCATCGGGAGACACCGGACACCCAGGGCAAAGAGGCATTTGGAACCTGGCGTGGAGGAGAGAGTTCTTCTTGGGGGCATCCTGAGAACTGCTTAGATGCAGACAGCCAGGACTTTCTGGGGCGGCCGCCCCCCCAACCTGTTATCCGGCTGTATAAAACTTCTGAGGGTTCCCAGGCCCACCTAAGCAAGCCAAGGACAAGTGTGGAGCAGGATCACCAATGCTCAGTGGCTTCCCCAGGGTCTCTGCCTAGACCACGTTCGAATAATTTGTCCGGGTCGTCGTCTGCCAGGGTCATAAGAGCTACAACCTCATGTAAGCCCAGGCCGCCCTGGAAATAAATAAATAAAAAAGATTGCTGTTCTCACATGTTCTGCATGCAAAATGACCACCGAAAGGGATGTGCTGTTTGCCCATGTTCCGTAAGGAATCTTAGCCGGTGGGCTAGCTAGCCATAACAGTCTTTGCCAGTTCTTTTGGTGCTAAGAGCGGTTGTGACAGCAGTACTGCCCTTCATTCGTAGATTTCAAGGTGGTTCACAATTTAAAATATTAACACAAACGGGAAGTGACTTCTTATATCAGTCGTATTCCTGCAGTAATAATGATAACAATCCCAAAGGAGGCCAGGGCAGCATAACTGTTTAAAACCTTCTCGCAAAACACTTGCCAGGAACAGTGTTTCTTTGGCCATCAAATGCCTGGGTAAACAGGAATGCTCTTCGGTTTCTCCTGAAAGTCAGTAATAAGGAAGACAGACGGACCTCACCAAGAAAGGTATTCCAAAAGTGGGGAACTGTCACTGAAAAGGCCCTGCCATGGGTCAGAGGGGATGATGGGAATTGTAGTTCAGCAACTTCTGGAGGACACCATGTTGGCCAAGGAGACTGGTTCAGATCCCTGCCTCATGCGTGTTGGTTATTGGGGTGGTCTCAGGCAGATCCATGTTTCTGTCCAACTTGTTCTGGGCATAAAAAGCTGAACTTCTTGGAGAGGTGAAAAGGATATGAATGAAGAAATAAGAGGAGGTAGCAGAGAAGTTTTTTTTTTCATCCCAAGGACCACATTTGCTTTTGGGGGGCGGGCACAAGCAAAAGTGGGTGGAGCGATGAATGCAAATTTTACTTTTTACAGTGGTCTAGTTTCTCACACAAACCCCTCTCCTCCATCCATGCAAGCAGGAGGCATATCCCAGAGTTCAAGGAGACAGTACAGTCAAGCAAAAACACTTGGGAGTGCAAAGCAGGGACCCTAATGAATGCGGCTTGGGGAAGATTCCAGCATTGCAGGGGATTGGACTAGGTGATCATTGGAGGCCCCTTCCAACTCAACAATTCTAAGATTTCTGTGGGCCAGAGAGAGACCCTGGGCCTTGGGTTCCCCACCCCTGAAATACGAGTTTTGCCCCTGCAATTCTTGAGCACGGTTAGAACAAGTTCTGTGCAAAGCTTCCCCTCCAGTTTCCTTTCAAACCTGGAGAAAGGAGAGAATAGCTCTTTTACAACTTTGCCTACCTGGCTGATAGCATTTATTGAGGAACGACAAACCTCCCTTGGGAGTGCTAAATACCCATTCTGGACGATCTGGAATGGACTTGGCTGCCTGTGACCGGGGACGGGGCAGGGCAGGAAGAGGTGAAGGCTCACTTCCTCCCTCTTCTCCCTTTGCCCTTCTTCTTCCTCTTGGACCGTAGCAGCGATCTCACCAGGTAGCCCTTCCACAAGGCTTGGATGAGGGTGGCAGCTCGGACCAGGATGGCCAGCTCCTTCTCGGCCTTCTCCTTCTGCTCCTGCTTCACCCTCCTCTCCTCCCTGATCTGGCTGTATTCCTGATCCAGCAGCGCAAACTTCTCTCTCAGCTCTGCCAGCTGTTCCTTCTCTACCACATAGACCACGTCAATCTCCTCGATCTCCTCCTGGGGATGGACAAAGGCCTGGCATTTAAGCAACTGCCTCTACATCTAACGGAACTGATCTCTGACATATTCTGAACCAATTCGGACATATTGTGAGCCATAGGAGGTGGCAGGATGTGATGCCCCTTGCAGCAAAGTGTCTTGTGGTGCTTAAAGACGATGGCCCCATCTGCACTGTGTTTTGAAAGCAGTATTATGTGGTGCCCACAGCAGGTTCTCAGATTCTCAATTCATGTCCCCAAAGGGTTGGAGACCTCTCCTTTAAGTTGCTACAAGATTCCTGAATTGTGAACCAAGAAAGAGACTGGGGGCCAGTGGTTCTGCCCACTGACAAGTTCTCTTACAAGCCTAAATAGGGCAAATAGAGTTTTTTAAGCCCCTCTCACCCAGTCTGAGCAGCAGAAATGGCCTTGGCAAACCTTTTGTAGCCTGAGCATGCTCCCTAGCAGGTAGCAAGTTGCCAATGACGCATTAGCGCAACAGGACCCTGTATTTGGTTTCCTTGTTAGCCATCAATGAAAAATCTACTTAAGTCACGGACAGGCAACATGGTGCCCTCCAGATGTTGTGGACTGCTACTCCCATCATCCTTGACCATGCTAGAGTCCAAAACATCTAGACGGCACCATACTTTTTTTTTGCACACCTGTACAAGCTCACATTCCGGCATGAAAAGAAAAGAAAACATGAACCGAAGGATGCTTTTGTTGTGGTCCAATTAACCAAACCAGCAATGCCAGACCAGCTGGCTGAGCAATTTCAAATAGTAATTTGTGAGGAGGCTGAAACAGCTCAGTTTCCTAGATAATGTTGCAATCATGGAGGTAGGAAAGGGAACCCAGCTGATATAAGGGAAATGGGAGAGTTATCCTACATCAGTGCCCTGGGAGGTTTTGCTGCTTAACATTTGTGAAATGACCTCTTATGGGCAAAAAGAATTGGCAGAGAAAAGGCTCAGACTGGGGTTGACAACCGTACCTGCTTTTCTAGCATCTCAATATCATACTTCTGGACCCAGTTCTCTATTTCCATCTCCACTTTGTATTTTTTCTAGAATAAATAAGAGAAGAAAATCATTTCCAAAGTTTCAGGGTTAAGCTGGGGCGGCTGGCTATACTAGAAGATGACATTTCCATTGAAGGCAACCAACAGTCTCTGGACAGCTTTAAGTGTTTGGATATTCTGGGCCTGGTAACACAGTCAGCTGGTTCACACAACCACACTGAGCCAAACTTTGGCACCATGAGACTGCGTGAAATTGCAGGCTCCTGGGGATGAGCTCAGCTCACAATTACTTGGCTCCCCACCCCCAACCTTTTGGGGGCCAGAGTTTACTACGCTGAGTAAACCAAGGTTTGGCTTAGCAGGTTGTCTGAGCAGAAACTCATAGTTAAAGCTCCCTCCTCAGTTACAACTTGTGGTTAGTGAGGAGAGAGCTATGATTCTGAGATTGGACAACGCACTCAGTCAAACTCAGCACATTTGTGTATCCTTGCTAAGTCAAGTAAGTGGCTGGCTCCAGTTGCATAGTCATTTAGCTACAACAATGGCAACCAGCTGAGTTTATTAACCTGATAGATGCTGTTTATCCCATTTATATGCACTAAAGATGCCCATCTTCTGTACACTTGTGGTTTCCATTCTACAGCCAGCAGCAGGCCATGGCTGGGTCTTTTCTGGCATTAACTGACTCCTGCAAGACCTCTCTAGAGCCAGAAATGGTTTTGCAGTTGAAGTGCTCATGCAGGTGCACAAAACCCAGTGTGTTCTGAAAATGCATGTAGGCCTCCCCAAAGAAAGCTTTTTTCTTTTTTAACTTGTTAAGCCTAGCCACCTTCAGAGTAAATTGACTTGTTCAATAGGTATAGAGTTTAAATGCACAACAATCCTTTCCAGTCATAAATAAATTGTTGTCTTTTAACTTTGGCTGGGAGACAATTTAAAAATCGGAAAGTATTCTTAATTCAGATACTGAGTACCACCACCCCGGAAGAATGTACAGTATACCAGTTTGATAACATTGGTTGCAATGGAGGAAGGGGATTGGCCCAGGTGGCTGTTTGATTCCAGCTCTATCCCAGGCTTGCACTTCTAAGCCACCGTGGCCAAAGCAGTCCATCAGATCTATGCTACAACCTGCCATGTGCTAGATCAGGGATGTCCAACCAGTAGATCATGATCTACTGGTAGATTGCGGCTGATTCTGGTAGATCACGGGATCCTTATCGTGTACAAAAGGTTAATGGGGGAAAGCTAAAATACTCTGTGCAAACCTCCCTCCAAAAAGCTCAACGCCAACTCTGGGCAATCGACCCACCCCACGCACACTCCTCCCTCCAATGACAATGGGTAGATCACTGCCGGTTTTTTTAATACTGGGAGTAGATCACAGTCTCTTGGGAGTTGGACATGCTTGTGCTAGATGATGCCCTTTCTTCTGGCATCACTTGGAAACACATCTCGATATTGACTACAGAGGAGCTCATTTTCTAGGGCAGGGTTCCCCAAACTTGGGTCCCTGGCTGATTTCGGACTGCAATTCCCATCATCCCTGACCGGTCCTGCTAGCTAGGGATGATGGTAACTGTAGTCCAAAAGCAGCTGGAGACCCAGGTTTGGGAAACGCTGGTCTAGTGCAGTTTTTGCCAACCTGGTCTCCTGGTTGGGCTATGTTTGGACTATGATTCCCAGCTGCATTGGCTGGGGCTCATGGGACTTGCAGTCCAAGATAACTGGAAGGCATTGGGCTGTTGTTCTAGTAAGAACGCTCAGACTGGCAGCCCTGTGAATTATTCTCTCCGGAGAATAATTGCTTTGATCACCTCTGCTTACCTTCCGGAGAGCAAGTTCAGACTCCCGGTCCTCCACAATGAGGGCATTTAGTGCGGCTCTGAGCTGATTCAGCTCCTGCTGCAACTTGGCACACTTGCCCTGAGACCCACGTAGCTCTGTCTTCTGTGCCTTCTCCGCTTCTGCTCGGGTGCGCAGGATTTGGTTTTCGGAGACCTTGGCGAGGCTGTGCAAGTGGGTTTTGAGGTCCTTGATTGTGGCGTTCTTCCTGGAGATCTGAATGGCACCAAGCTGGGTCAGCAGGACTTTGAAATCCAATGCACAAACACCAATTCATTTCAAATGACAACACAAGTCAAGAGAACAATTTAAAATAATGCTGCTGAGGATCTGGGAAGAAGCCTGCTGGAAGTAATGTGGAGGGCCTTTTTGGTATCGGCACCCCAACTATGGAGAACCTCCCTAAAGAGGCTCACTTAGTGCCTTCTCTGTGTCTTTCTGACACCTCTTTATTCACTCAGGCTGTATTTTAAATCTGTTTTATTTCCTTGACTTTAATTAGGATATATTATATAACTATTGATGGGCAGCTGCATAAGTTTTAAGAAATCAACAATATCAACCAATGGCACCTCCAGTCTTTATTATACTGGAGCTGTCTACTGATCCTATAGCCTTGCAAAAGGCACAGCTGAAAGCTGAAGCTGGGAGATAACTCCTTTTCTAACAGTGGGTAGCCAATGTGGTACTCTACAGAAGTAGCTGGTCTACAATTCCCATCATCCCTCACCACTGGCTATGCTAGAGCAGCTGGGAGTTGTAGTCCAGCAACATCTTTTTTTCCCTGCCATCAGCCTTTCTGGTTGTGCGATATTTTGCAATTCTTTTGATACAGTTTTGGGCTGGACGACTGCTCTGGACCAGTCAAATCCCAAACTGCCTGCCCCACTGCTGCCACCCCATTGTACCTCATCATCACGACTCTTGATCTCCGCTGCCAGTTCCTCCTCCAAAGCTGCAATCATCTCTGTGTTTTTCTTGTCTCGCTGACTTATTTCATGTATAAACCGATTTCTTTCTCTTTCTTCTAACGGGGTAGTCAGAAGCTTCTCAAGCAGGAACCCCCTGAGCTCCACAAGGCCTTTAATGAAGTGTGAGACAGCCAGCTGCCTGAAACTGGCAATATCTTGTATTGCCTGATAAGCTAAGGGATGAGCAAAAAACAGGCGTACAATATTTCGGACAGAAGACCTTAAGCCTTGTATGTGCAAGACAAGGTAGCCACTTGGATCCTCAGTGTCAATGAGCCACCCCCTGGCAGTGCCCTTTTGCAAAACCCCTTCCTCTTCAAGGCGGGTGAGCGTAGCCTCCATAACGTTTGAAAGCCGCAGGTGTTCCTTAAGAGCCCCTGTAAGTTCAGGTCCCAACACTGCACTCATATCCTCAAGGTTCTTGATGATGTAAGAGAATGCGCTGACCAGCTCCACCTTAAAGATGGTATCGTCCATCACAGATATAATTCTCTTGGTCTCAACAGTGGATAGCTTTGACCGACCAGGCTCCAGGATCTTCAGGGGCATTCTGAGGTTCACCTTTCTGGTCAGGTTGACATCTGACTGGTTGGACAGTTGGACTACTTGAGTTGCCATGTTTTCAGCCAGGTATCCTCACAGGGTGTGCTTTCAGATCCACAAGTAGCTTTAGTCTTCAGTACTAAGTAAGCAGGTGCTCCAGCGCATCTGACGCTTCAATTTCTGTGGGGAAATGGACGATAAAAAACCCACACATGCACACATGTTGGTCCCAGAATCACAAACACAGAATATATAAAAAAGAGACTTGACTCTAGGGCTGGATATCTGGTTTTCAACATTGCAATATATCTCCAGCTAAACATTGCAATATGTTGGTATATCACAATGTATGGAGCTATGCAGAGGCATTGGCTGGCTTCACGGTTTTCCCTGCATCGTGACTGTTGCACAGCACTCACAAACACACATCATGATTCACAATATATTGCTAGGTCAAAAATTATGAAACCAGTATCTCAATACAGACTTCAAACCAGTTTCAGACAATATAGTGACATATCGCCAACTCTACTTGATGCCAAAAAGGAAGATGAGGATACTATTTGCCATTTGCAACCCAGGACAGAATAATGAGGAAATGTGGTGCTTTATATGCCCTAGAACAGACAACTTAGAAGGGGGCAAGTGAGGAGAGAAACTGAAGAATGGGAAAGCAGAAGAGCTGTAATAGGTAAAGGGATGATTTAGGGTCCATGAGAGGTAAAAAAAGTTTACTGCGTGTATGGGGCACTACCCTAGCAACCTCAGGCTTTACCCTCCCCCCCCCACTTGCTGGCCTTCTTACTTAAAACTAGTCCAGCTCAGTGGTATGGCATCTGTTTTCCTGGGGTGCCACACCCCAAACTTCGCTATTGAGCCACTACTGAAACAAAGCCAAAGTAACTGCATTATTCATCTCTTGCGCCTTCCTTTCTCCTCACACTTCTGTGGCTCTTCACACACGCCACCCTTATTAAAAAACCAACACCCCCCCCCAGTTCTATACAAATTATATTTAGGGTATTAATAAGTCCCATAGGGTCCAGGCAGTTCCCGACACAGTCTGATGCATCCAGGAATCCAGCAAGCAAGGCATTAAAGGATAAGCCCTCTCTTGCTGTTGCTCCCCATCCCCACAAACTGGTGCTATACTGCTGCTGAACATGGAGGTTTCATCACAGCTAATAACCCCTAACAGACCTCTCTCCATAGATTCGTCTAATCCTCTTTTGAAACCATTAAAGCTTGTAGATATTGTCACAGCACACAGCAGCTACCCAGTTCCACATCTTAACTTTCTTTCTCATATATATATATATATATATATATATATTTCTGGTCAACACACCCAAGGCGGCTCACAGTTGCAACCTCCTCCAAGCAACAACCTTGCCAGTGTCCAGGGAGGTTAGGCTAAGAGATACAGAGAGCTTCCTAAATTTATGCATGTTGCTTATTAAGCTTGTACAGATGCCCATCCATAGATTTCAGAGATAATATTTAAATGTAAAACATAACCTATAATAACAACAATATAATATGCAGCACAAAATATAATAACCTCTTATTAAAACAATTTAGACTTTCCTTAAACTCACCCCAAAACAAGCCTTGCACCCCACCCCCCACCCCCAAAATGGGTCACCGCTACCACCGCCTCGTTTTTTCAAACAAGGCCCAGCTTGCCTGTTGCTTGGCAACTCCAATTAGCGCGGTGGTGGGAGAAGCCACCAATCACATTCTCCGACGCTTCTTTGCCTATCGTTGGCATCATATAAAAGGGCTGTCCAATAGCAGGGCGGAAACCATATGAGAGTATTCTAAGCCCGCCCCAACCCCCCTTCGACATTCCACTCGCTACCAAGGGGTCATAGACGCGATAGAGCGGCGCTTTGCGGTTCAGGTTCCTTCTTGAGTCTTGACCGTATGGGGAGGGCAACCATAGAGGTGGAAATTTCTAGAACGCCACACATACGCTTGAGCGTCCATGGGCGGGGGGGGGGGGAAAGAAAGTTGAGGCTTATGATTCTCTTATTATAGCAAAGGAGCTACTGTGTTTGGGGGGGGGGGAGGAGGAAAAGAGAAGAAACTCTCTATGGTCTCAGGATGGTACCGCTCTACCCCGTACAATCTCTATGGTGACAACTTCGAAGGAAGTTCGATTTTAGAACGGAAGTGCCCTAAAGACGGCGCTGGTGGCTGTCAAATTTTCCCTAACTGTATGCCATAGACTTAGAGACTTTGGAAGCAACCAGTTCAAGATTGGGAAAAGGACACTACGCAGGTGGGGGCAGAGCAGCTCCCCTGCTTAGTCTTAACAGGGTGGAAAGTTTTCTTTGGACGCTCCTTGCCACTCATATGGTGGAGTTCAACATATGAGGGCCGGAAGTCTGAAAATTTGTGTCTTACCTCTATACCAGCTCTTTACGAACTCAGGGGTGGGTCAATAGGGCTATCTCTCGCCTATCACAGAAGAGCTCGGTTGGGTTTTGCGCACGCGTGTAGGGCGGAGCTAAAAAGTTTGCGGGCGTGTAAGCGGATGGTGCGTGCGCACGGGTTGTTTTTCCTTGTACGTAGAGGGCATGGGCGAGGGATATAGAGGTATACCATCATGAAGTGCATAAGCAACTTCCGGTTTCTACTTATATCCCGCCCTATGATGATTGGGGCAGCAATTCTAGACGGAGCCTGCAATCCTTAAAAACACTCACTTGGGAGTAAGCGCCAGTGAAACCAATGGTGTCTTCTTCCGAGTTGTCATATATAGGATCGCAGTGCCCGTCACTTACGTAGAAACGTAGGATGCTGCCTTTTATTATTATCATTATTCTAGATTCAGGTAGGTAGCCGTGTTGGTCTGACGCAGTCGAAATAAATAAAAAAAAGTCCAGTAGCACCTTAGAGACCAACTAAGTTTGTTTTTGTTATTGTTATTATTATTATTATTATTAAGTCAGACCATTGGTCTCTCTTGCTCCCTGCCATATCCGGAGACGCCAGGGATTGAACCCGATGCCTTCTGCATGCAAAACAAATGCTTTGCCACCGATCCACTACAAGGAAGATGGTCCAGCAAAGAAATAACACAAAAAATATAAAATCATTGATAATACTAACCTTTACTTGAACTTTTCTTATTTTAACCCATGTGCAACTGTACTCACTCCACGTGCCTATTTTAGAGTTTTGTTTCCCACCTCTTGTTATAATTGCTCTGTTTTATATACACTATAAGATGATTTTTTAAGCTTTCAACTTTCATAAAGGCACCAGGTGAAAAAAACCCCAAAATTAGGGCAATTAGGAAGGTGTTCCTCTCCCCGCAGTTTCATATGGCGTGTTTTGTTTTATTTGCGTATTTTATGTGCGTGCGTCCCTGTCTTTAAAAGAGCGGTATTCAGGCTTGAGGGGCCGCCCTGAGGCCAGGTGAGGGGCGGCAGCGACAAGCGAGGGAAGGGGGCGGTTTCAGACAACAATCGTGTCCCGTGTCGTCGTCGTCCCAATACTCCCGCCTTCCAAAAAGGCCTAGGAATTGCTTCCGCCGGTAGCAAGAAGTAGGACAGCGGGGAGGGGGAAGGTAAAGAGAGCCCCTTCCCCTTCAGCGGCCTCGCAGGCAAGGGAGGCTGAGCCGCATTATGCGCTGTAAAAGTTCCGACCTTCCATAACTGATAGTAAGAATAAATGGCAATCATATAGTTAGGGGGACGGGACAGAATGGCTTATATACTAAACGGGGTTCAGAGGTTGGAGTTGAAGTGGTGGCGACACGATCCAGGTGTTAAAATGCCGAAGGCTGGGCGGCACTCTGCCCATGCCTAGAGGCGTTCTTCTTTATTAAGAGGGCATCGTTTGGCAGGTAAAGGAAAAAAGAGCCTCTTAAGAAGCAATTCCGTCTTTAATAAAAGAGGACGCCCAGAAATGGAAGAGGAGGAAGAGCTGGGGGTGCAAAATCAAAAATTGAACAGTGGCTACCAAAAGTGGCTTTTAACATCTGGTTAAGGGAGGGGGGGTTGAAGGCGTGCAAAATCAAAACTCAACAATGTTGGCGAGAAGGGTACCGCCCCGAAAAAAACCCCAGCCCAGCAACAACAACAACAGCCCACCTTTTACTGTTTTAAGAGTAAAGGGTCTTATAGAAGCGTGCAAAATAAAAGACTCCTGCGCTTTTATTGTACTGGATTAAGGGGGGAGAAAGGGATCTCGTTGCAAAACCGATCGAGCCCTGAAAACAGGGTGGGCGGAAACATTTCCGAGATCAAGATAGTCCAGCTGCAATTGCGAGAGGCCTCCCCCTCTTTCCCTTCCCCAAGTTTTGAAACGGATCTCCCTGCTTTTTGCGCGCAGCGATGGACCACCGAGGCGCTATTCCGAAGAGAGGCGCCTAGCGATGCTGGCTGGCCCCGGGCCGGCTAAAGCAGAGCACCATCTCTTTGGTTCGCCTCCGCTCGGCCTCCGCTCACTCTCTCCCCGCCTCCCTCCCTTTCCCTCCAGGGATGATCCTCCTCCTAAGTCGGAAGGGCTGCTGAGGTCAGAGACAGACGCCAGCTGAGTTTGGGACGCAGCAGCGACGGCGGAGGCGTTTTTGCGCGGAAAGTGAATGACGGCGCAAGTCGAGAGTTGACGCTCCTTTGGCAACAAGAGCACCCAAAAAGCCAGGCGGGGTACCTGGTGGGGGCTCCATGATGCGGGCCAGGGTTGCGCCGAGGTGGGTGCCGTTTCCTCCACGCACCCGGGACAGTCTCAGGTCTGCAAGATGCGCCTGATCTTGGACGAAGCGGCGACGGGAGCCGGGGTTTAAAGGGATTTCCCGGAGCAAAGCAAAAGTCTTCTTGGGGATGGCTGTGAATCCGGAAGATGACGACGTCCCCCTCATCCTCACCTTGGATGAGGGCAGAAGTCACGGTCCCGATCCGGAGGGGCTACCCAGCGAAAGTAAGTTCAACTCCCTCCCTTCATTTGTTTGTTGCATCCCCTGCAACGAGGCTGGTGTCCTTTGGCAGTTACCTAAACACGCCATACTTTTTAAAGCCCATTTTCTCCACCAAAGGATTCTGGGAACTGTGGTTTCTCCACATTCAGAGCTACATTTCCCAGCGCCCTTGACAAACTACAGTTCCCAGGAATCTTTGGTGGCCACGGCGAAACATAACTTTAAAAGTATGGTGCGTACCCAGCTTAGCGGTAGGGCAGATATGTATGACAAGTTGTTACTTTTTAAACGAAGCTTTACATCAAGATTTTGCTGAGATCTCAGGATGCAAGGGCAACCGGAAACAATTTGAGCAAGGGCAAATCAAAATTAAAAACATGCAGAACCACGCTAATGATGAGCAGAATTGATGTTTCCTTACCAGTTAAAAGCCTGGGCAGGGCAGGGGGAAGAGGGGAATTATTGGCCCCTTTGCTCAAGTGTAACAGACTAGATGCCAGGTAAGCAGTTCTGCGGAGCGTGTTCCAAATTCAAGGCACTGCTGCAAGAAAGGCCGTTTCCCCAATGGTGTACATCTTGATGGGGGCATCCAAAGGCTTGGGGAAAGATCTGCAGCTCCATGGTAGAACATCTGCTTACTCCATGGAGGCTGGTCCTTTAAGGCGAATGGGACACAGCCCCACCAGCCTCAGTTTGCCTTCAGCCAGCCCTCGCCTTCCTGCCCTCTTACAACCAGTCAAGGGGGTGGTTTGCCTGCCATTAGTTGCTCTCGCTCCACTCATTGTTGGTCTCTCTCGGCCTTCTACCTTTCTAGCCTCCACTGTCTGTTTTGCATTCAGAATTCTGGTCCCAGCTTCAATCCCTGGTGTCTCTGGGTAGGGATGGGAAGGGGACCCCAGTCAAAAACCTTGGAGAGCTGCAGCCAGTCAGTGTAGACAGTACAGTGGTTCCTTGGTTCTCAAACTTAATTTGTTCTGGAAGTATGTTCCAAAACCAAAGCGTTCCAAAACCAAGGTGTGCTTTCCCATAGAAAGTACTGTAATGCAAAACAAATTAATCCGTTCCAGACTTTTAAAAACAACCACCAAAACAGCAATTTAACATGAATTTTACTATCTAACAAGACCATCAATCCATAAAACGAAAGCAATAATCAATGTACTGTACTATAAAATAAATAAGACAGTTTTGTAGATGATGATAATAATAATAACAAATTCTTACCTGCACTGATGATAGTCATTGTTTGGATGGGGGGCTTTCATCCATTTCTGCAGTCAATCAATCAGTAGCTGAACTGGGTTCCACACAGTCGCAAAAACAAATTAATCGAAAAAGCCTCAAAAACAAAAATGCTAAATAAATAAATAAATAAAAGCTCCAAACTTAATCAGTTCCAGAAGCCCATTTGACTTCCAAAATGTTTGAAAACCAAGGCATAGCTTCTGATTGGTGCAGGTGCCCTGGAAATAATAGCCAACAGCCACATTGGATGTCTGGCTTCCGAAAAACTTTGGGTTTTTTGGAGTTTGAGAACCAAGGCATTTGAGTACCAAGGTACCACTGTACTGAGTTAGATGGGCCAAAGCTTTGCATCTTCCTGTGCTATGCCTAGATTGGCCACTAATGGTGAGCTGCCTTATGGGGAGGTCCATAGAGAGTAGACGCTACACGCTTACCTTTTTTTGTGTACACGTGTCAGGGAGTCATAGCAAGTGAATCCTAACTTTACATTGCGTGAGCCTGCACAATAGATAGGTTTGTGCGTGCTCGTTCTTGATTTACCTTTCAGAAGCTTTCTATTCTGTTTTTGATGGAATGAGCTTCCAGGCAGCTGGCTCTTGTGCTTGAGTCCTGCTTGCAGGTTTCCCACAACCATCTGCTTGGCCACTGTTGAGAGCAGGATGCTGGACTACATGGACCGTTGACCTGATGCAATAGGCTCTTCCTATGTTCTTAGATTGCAATAATGCATATAGACACCCATAGACAGATCCCACACCTGCACCATCCAGTCGTAGTTAGTTCCATGGATGGGGTCAGAATGTGCAGCTCTCAGAGTTAGAAACTCAGATATATATATATATAAGCTAGGTGCCAAATGGCTCCTTAAACCAGGGTTACAGCTGCCATAACAGAATGCTGAGCCATAATGTTCAACACGACTTCTGGATTCCTGAAATTCATTCTGATTGTGCAGATAAAATAGAATCCTACGGGATGTGTTGCTAAGTGTGTGAAAACAGGCAAGACCCAAAGACCCCCAGGCATGCAGCTCCAGATGTTGGAGACATCCTGGTGCCCAGGCATCTTCACTTGGTCACAAGTGGCTGGTAAAGGTAAAGTTAAAGGGACCCCTGACCATTAGGTCCAGTCTTGACCGACTCTGGGGTTTCAGCACTCATCTTGCTTTATTTGGCCGAAGGAGCCGGCGTACAGCTTCTGGGTCATGTGGCCAGCATGACTAAGCCGCTTCTGGCGAACCAGAGCAGTGCACGGAAACGCCGTTTACCTTCCCGCCGGAGTGGTACCTATTTATCTACTTGGACTTTGATGTGCTTTCGAACTGCTAGGTTGGCAGGAGCAGGGACCGAGCAACAGGAGCTCACCCCGTCGTGGGGATTTGAACTGCCGACCTTGTGATCGGCAAGTCCTAGGCTCTGTGGTTTAACCCACTGCGCGACCCGCATCCCAAGTGGCTGGTAGCCAAGTGCAAAATGCGCCTGGCACCTGGCGAATTTCGAACACTGCTCTGCAGTCTGTGGGCAACTGGCAATTTTAGCTGGGTGCTCTTTCTAGAGGGGCGTAGGGTGTTTAATAAGCTTGTTGCGGCTTGATTCGTTACTGGCAGATGGATTAGGCTGATCTCCCCCTTGCTGTAAAGGTGCAATCCTCTCTTCCCTTGTCCCTCCCCAGCCCTTGGTTCAGCAGAGAACCTCTTTCGACCTAAAGTTTCACTTCCAGTTGGGCAAGATGCCATTCGACTTGTAGTGCAATGAAATACTTTTTGCTGATGTAGTCACATTAATTACAGTGAGAATCCCTGGGGTACCTGGACTGAATTGGAGTTTTCTATTCTGCCTGAGATAGTTAATTAGAATCGAAAGTTAACTTCAAATGTTCCCAGACACTGAAATGCATTTTAGTGGATAATGTGGGCAAACTGTAGTGTGAGCTTTGGCTCGCTTGCTGGAGTTATCTGTCTGCTCTGCAGCGGCCAGAGCCAGTTCCTTTAGGAGCCAGTCCCTGTGGGTTCTTGTGCTAATGCCTGCTTCAACCTCAATATAGTAATAAAAATAAAACAGGACATTGTGTCCTGCTTTAAGTACCTGGGACTAAGGGAGGAAAGTATTTGCAAATATTAATTTTGCTTGGGGACGTGAGGTGGTCATTGTAAAATTGTTCCTTGGTCTTGGGTCTTCAGGGTTCGTTTCATGCTCACTGTAGGGATGCGGGTGGCGCTGTGGTCTAAACCACTGAGCCCCTTGGGCTTGCCGATCAGAAGGTTGGCGGTTTGAATCCCCATGACGGGGTGAGCTCCCATTGTTTTGTCCTAGCTTCTGCCAACCTAGCAGTTTGAAAGCATGCCAGTGCAAGTAGATAAATAGGTACCACTGCGGTGGGCAGGTGGGCAGCGTTTCCATGCGCTCTGGCACTTGTCCTCCGTGCACCAGAAGCGGTTTAGACATGCTGGCCACATGACCCAGTGTGCTGGTCCTGGGGGGAGGTTACCGTGGGGCGAGGTCCAGGACCTGAGTCGAGGGTTGGCAGACAGTCTTCCACGGGCGAAGCGGGGTCCAAAGCGAGGAGCCGGGCAAGGACAGGAACTCTGGGGGAACAGGACTGGGTGCTGGCTGAAACAGCTCTTCAACGACGTTGCTCCCGCAACCTGGGACCGGGCTGACTGGCCTTTATCTTCTCTGAGGCCAGGGGCGGTCCCGGCCCCCAGGAGACCCGCCTCTCATGGCCTTAAGGCGAGCACTCCTCCTGGGAGAAACCAGTTCCCTCCGCCTCTCTGCCCTGAGCCTCTGCAGCTCAGGAGAGGCTGGAGGGTTACTGGACCCAGGGGGAGACTCACCTTCCCCTGACAGGGCTGGGAGAGGCGCACCTGTAGGCACTGTGTCCTCAACCCCCTCCGGAGCCAGAGTGGATTCACCTGGTGCCTGCTCCTGAGGATCCGGCACAGGTGCAGGCGCTTCAGAATCAAGGCCCTGCCCCAGTTCAGCCGGCCCTGGAGGCGGGGACTCCTGTGCAGGCTGGGATTCCTCCGGTTCAGCCTCTGAATCGGATTCCCAGGCCATCACACCCAGAAAGCTGTTCTGTGGACAAGCGCCGGCTCCCTCAGCCTGAAAGCGAGATGAGCGCTGCAACCCCAGTTGCCTTTGACTGGAGTTAACCGTCCAGGGGTCCTTTATCTTTTTTAGCTTTTTACCATGCTCACTGTGATTAATGAAGGAATCCACTTTTCTAGGAGTGACACAAAATGTAAACAGAATCCAGTGTGTGGCAAGCACCTTAGGGCCTTGGAGCACTTGGTTGCAATTAAGATAGGGACCAGCTGATGCTGCTGTCAACAGATATTTTCACTTATCAGGCCTATTAGCAGTGAGGATCTAGACATGCCAAGGATCCAGGTTCAGAAGAAACACAGGGACATGATTGCAGGAAGGGAAGCGATAAATTCTCAGTAGCATTCTCAATAGGGATTGTATGCAGAAGAGAAACCAATGGAACAATGTTTTGTAAGAAAAGAATGGATCTTGGAAATGATGAAGAGTAAGGTGAGATGTGGAAAAGACTGAATATTGAAGAAGAAGGAAATAAAAAACTATCTTCCCCTCCCTTCTAAAGCTGTAGACATGGGAAACTAGGAATACAATTGCAAGTGTGTGTTTGAGGTGGGTAGTTTTGAGAGGCAAGAAAACACAGGAAGGACCTTGGCTCCATTGCATGTCCCCCTTAAATGTAAACAATGTGAGGAAAGCATTTAATATTTTACAAATATTGCAGTAAATGCTTCTCTATAATGTAACATGTAAACCACATTAAGCATGCTTTAATTTTCCCTCTCATATATTTTGGGTCTAATAATTGTGATGTATTGGGATTTTTAAAAAATATATCATGTGGTACTTTTATTTTCTTTTTTAGCTTTGTTTACTAAATACAAGTAAAATAAACAATAAGCAATACTCTCCCTGATGCTTTTCAACATTTTTATGCGCCCCCTCACCCAGCTTGTCCGGAGCTTGGGTTTGGGTTGCCATGAGTATGTTGATGACACCCAGCTCTATCTGTTGATGGATGGCCATCCTGACTCTGCCCTGGACACACTGATCAGATGTTTGGAAGCTGTGGCTGGATGGTTACGTGGGAGCTGGTTGAAGTTAAATCCTTCGAAGACAGAGGTCCTTTGGCTGTGTCACGACGATATGGGATTGGGGGGCCAACTCCCATCTCTTGCGGGGGCGCAATTAGTGCCAGTGCTGTCCATTAAGAATTTGGGTGTAATCTTCGACACCTCCCTTTCTATGGAGGCGCAGGTTGCAGCTATAACAAAGGTGGCATATTTTCATCTCTGCCAAACTAAGGAGTTGGCTCCTTACCTCTCTCGCCCTGACCTAGCCACTGTGATCAACACGACGGTCACATCCAGGCTTGATTATTGTACAGTGGTACCTCTGGTTACATACACTTCAGGTTACAGACGCCCCTAACCCAGAAATATTACCTTGGGTTAAGAACTTTGCTTCAGGATGAGAACAGAAATTGTGCAGCAGCGGCAGCAGGAGGCCCCATTAGCTAAAGTGGTGCTTCAGGTTAAGAACAGTTTCGGGTTAAGAACGGACCTCCAGAATGAATTAAGTACGTAACCAGAGGTACCACTGTAACTCCCTCAGCATGGGGCTGTCCCTGAGACTGACCCACAAACTCCAGCGGGTGCAGAATGCTGCAGCGAGACTCCTCACGGGGTCCCTGCCATGGGAGCATATTCACCCAGTGCTTTACCAGTTGCACTGGCTCCCGGTGGAGTATAGGGGCAGGTTTAAAGTGCTGGTTTTGACCTTTAAAGCCCTATACGGCCTGGGACCCTTGTTCCTACGGGAACGCCTCTCCTGGTATGTCCCACAGAGGACCTTACCATATAGCATATATTTCTAGTTACAGGTAGGTAGCCGTGTTGGTCTGTCATAGTCGAAACAAAATAAAAAAAAATCCTTCCAGTAGCACCTTAGAGACCAACTAAGTTTGTTATTGGTATGAGCTTTTGTGTGCATGCGCATGTATCTGAAGAAGTGTGCATGCACACGAAAGCTCATACCAATAACAAACTTAGTTGGTCTCTAAGGTGCTACTGGAAGGAATTTTTTTATTTTGTTTCGACATATAGCATATATTCAACACAAAAAAACAGCGACAATTTGTTGTTGGCAAAGGACAGCTGGACATATAAAGGGCCCCATTATCTTCAGTAGCTTAGGGCCTCATCAAACCTAAATCTGGCCCTGGTTGCACACATGGGGAGCCAACACCGAGGAGGCCCTGTTCCAATATGAATGGAGTGCAAGAGAGGAGGAGGAGGTGGTGGAGGAGGAGGGGGAAAGGAAGAAGAAGGAGGAGGAGGAGGAGGAGGAGACATTCCAGGGACTAGCCTGCATTATCCCCCTCCTGGCTAACTTCCAAAGGGTACACCTAATATTAGCTTTCGTTCAGACTATCAGCTGGTTTTTAGAAGTATTCACCACACATGCAAACACGAAAGAGTGAGGCGTGGATTCTAAGTACAGTGGTGCCTTGCAAGACGAAATTAATCCGTTCCGCGAGTCTCTTCGTCTTGCGGTTTTTTCGTCTTGCGAAGCATGGCTATTAGCGGCTTAGCGGCTATTAGAGGCTTAGCGGCTTAGCGGCTATTAACGGCTTAGCGGCTTTAAGAAAAAGGAAACAAACTCGCAAGAACTCGCAAGACGTTTCATCTTGCGAAGCAAGCCCATAGGGAAATTCATCTTGCGGAACGACTCAAAAAACAGAAAACTCTTTCGTCTTGCGCGTTTTTCGTCTTGCGAGGCATTCGTCTTGCGAGGTACCACTGTACCGAGGCTTCCCAAACTAATTTCATGTCCTTCCTGTTCAAAAAGCACAGAAATGCAGTGTTCTGGCTCATAAGCTCGACTTGGAAGGAGCTTGCGCTTGGAACCCCTCAGGCACTGAAAGTGGAAGGATAAAAGAGAAGGCAGCAGCAATCAGCCACAGCTCTAACCACTGGACAGATGTTTCTGTTTGGTTTTTATACAATACTACGTATCGAACTGGGATGGGCAAAATGAGATTTCAAGGCAGGGGGCTACCAGCAGCAGGATAAATCTTCTGCCTGCACCTCCTTGGGCAAAGGAGTTTCTTACGAGCGCCAGAGTGACTAAGGCAACTAAATCCGGCAGGCCCATGTTTTGCTTTCATGCTGGCCAAACCCATCGTTTTTCTCTTTTTTTAAAAAAAATAAAAAATAAATCCAAAATGCCCTGAAAACTGACAAGAAGCAGAAACATGGCAATCAAACCTTGCCAAACGGATGCGTTCCCTGAGAGGCCATGAAAATCTAATCTCTGTTTGTTTTCCAGCCGTTGTTCCGCTCTGTGTGTCAGATGTTCCGAGTCAGCGTCGACGAGCGAAAAGCAGCCAGACGCAGTTAAAAAAACAAAACACGTTGTCATCTCAGAACTGCAGTTTGAATGTCTCCTAGTGCTTTGAAAACCTTTTATCGCCTCACAACCACCTGTTCCCACAACACGGAGCAGTTTAACGATAGCAGTCGTATATTAACATTTCTACCCGCCCATCCCTCAGTGCAAGACAGAAAAGGGGAAATTCCTTTTCTTTTTCAACTATAGCAATGGAATGCACTGAAGTATAGTGTTTTGAAAGCACCCAAGTCATGCTGTCTCTGCATGCAAGGATCCTTTTCCATGTATTCTGGATGAAGTTCTCAAGGACAGCTGAGTATGAATTTTGGTCTGTTGTATGAAAGCAACAGCCTATCTAGTCATACCAGTGTTAGAAACTCAGATATACAGTGGTACCTCGGGTTACATACACTTTAGGTTACATACGCTTCAGGTTACAGATGCTGCTAACCCAGAAATAGTGCTTCAGGTTAAGAACTTTGCTTCAGGATGAGAACAGAAATCGTGCTCCGGCGGCATGGCAGCAGCGGGAGGCCCCATTAGCTAAAGTGGTACTTCAGTTTAAGAACAGTTTCAGGTTAAGAACGGACCTCCGGAACGAATTAAGTTCTTAACCCGAGGTACCATTGTATAAGCTAAGGCACCAAATGGCTCCTGAAACCAAGGTTATGTCTGGTTGCCACTGGGGGGTGGGCAAGACAGCTCTAAAGTCTTATTTTTCAAATGATTGACTGTGATTGATTTGCAGTTAAATATCTGGCTAGTTTAGATGGTAGACGAGCTAGGTTAGAACTTTGGAAACTCAAAGAAGAAAAGCTAGTTTATCCTGTCCACCTATCTATTGGCCTATTATTCTAACCTCTTTTTTTCTTAATGGTGACACAGACCATTCATAATGTAGGGATATTCTTCACAACTTTGAGCAGGGCAGTGAGGTGGGCTAAATGAAGACAAGCTACAACAATTAATGATAACTTTCTTCACTGCTCCTGCTCAGGCTGCACGGAAAAAGCATTCTGGGTTCCTGTGTGGAGAAGGGCTTTCTTTCACGCATTCGCTTTGTACTACATATTAGAATCTTACTTCATAGACCTATAAACGCAACACGTGTGCTGAATCACCAGGGAGTTTTCACCTTTTCAAAGAAGTGGGTGTGTAGAGTCTTAAGTGGCTTGCTATACTAGAATTTAAACTAGGCCGACAATAAATGAAATAAAAATAGACTTGCAAAGGAATCAAGTTGTCTGTACAGTGGTACCTTGGTTCTCAAATGCCTTGGTACTCAAACAACTTTGAATCCTAACACTGGAAACTTGGAAGTAAGTGTTCCAGTTTGTGAACTTTTTTCAGAAGCCGAACATGCTCTGTTTTGAGTGTTACGCTTCCGTTTTGAGTGTTACTCTGAGGTCTGTCTGTTTTTGCTATTTATTTTGCATTTTTGTTTTTGTGTCTCTCTTTTTTTGTTTTGTTTTTTTGTGACTGTGTGGAACCCAGTTCAGCTACTGATTTATTGATTGATTGTATGCCTGCAGTACATTGTTTATTGCTTTCATTTTATGGATCAATGGTCTCGTTAGATAGTAAAATTCATGTTAAATTGCTGTTTTAGGGGTTGTTTGTCTGGAACAGATGAATCCATTTTGCATTACTTTCTATGGGAAAGCGCGCCTTGGTTTTGGAATGCTTTGGTTTTGGAGCAGACTTCTGGAACAGATTAAGTTTGAGAACCAAGGTACCACTGTAATTGCAAACATCCCCACAGAAAGATGTGCCTTGGTAGTGTACTGTTGTAGCTGGGATAGATCTTCAGAGTGGTGTTTGATTGAGTAAATGAGCTGGGAATTCCATATAAACAACATCAGCATCTTCATGAATTTAAAAGGTAAAGGTAAAGGACCCCTGAAAGTTAAGTCCAGTCGCAGCCGACTCTGGGGTTGCGGCGCTCATCTCGCTCTATAGGCCGAGGGAGCCGGCGTTTGTCTGCAGACAGTTTTTCTGTGTTGTGGCCAGCATGACTAAGCCGCTTCTGGTGCAACGGAACACCAAAACTAGAGCACCGTTTACCTTCCCACTGGAGCGGTACCTATTTATCTACTTGCACTTTTTGGCATGCTTTCGAACTGCTAGGTTGGCAGGTGCTGGGACCAAGCAACAGGAGCTTACCGCGTTTCGGGGATTTGAACCGCTGACCTTCTGATCGGCAAGCCCAAGAGGCTCAGTGGTTTAGACCACATGATTTTAGGACAGAGCAAAAAACTGGGAGGTCTTGGATTAATGCCTCAAGAGATGCAAACTGTTTAAAAATATCTATATCTATAGCTACCTTTTTGGTGTCTGCCTCCCTGAAAGTTTAAATCCTGAAAGGTGCCACGGGAATTTTCCAAAATAAATCTCTGTGTTGTGGTTCTGTCAGCCAAACAACCGCTTTCAGACAGGCCGATCTGCTTCTGTCATCTTGTCTTTCCTCTGTGTGTGTTCAGAAGAAGAAATCCTGACTCTGCAGTGTTGGAGACAAGCAAGCCTGTTGCATGATCTCTCTTTGACAGACCCGCCCAATCTTGGCCCATTTAGTACAGGGTGGAGAGAGAGAGAGAGAGAGAGAGAAAGAGAATGTGTATGCTGGACAGAATCGATTGCATTTGGAAAGCAGGAACTATTATATTTTCCCTTTGGCAATCGTTTCTGCATAGGTTTGAAGAATTCCTGCTTGCTTTGGCTGCCAAATTCCTACAGCGAGCTACAAGTACTCCCCATCTGTTTGCATGTACAGTGGTACCTCGGGTTACATACGCTTCAGGTTACATATGCTTCAGGTTACATACGCTTCAGGTTACAGACTCCGCTAACCCAGAAATAGTGCTTCAGGTTAAGAACTTTGCTTCAGGATGAGAACATAAATTGTGCTCCAGCGGCGCGGCAACAGCAGGAGGCCCCATTAGCTAAAGTGGTGCTTCAGGTTAAGAACAGTTTCAGGTTAAGAACGAACCTCCGGAACGAATTAAGTACTTAACCCGAGGTACCAGTGTATTTTCACTTGCTAGAAGGGTTGTGCCACAATAACCATACCAGATATTCAGGAAGGCTTGGTTCTCCTCGTGGTTTTGTCTTTCCCGCTCCTCTTTGGCAACTGCTTTGGAGCTTCTTCTTTTTTTTACAATCAAGTAGTGTTATGAAATACCTAAGTTGATCAAAGATTGTTTTGCCTATTAATAAAATGCAGTAGTCTTAACTGGGAGCGATGAGGTATCTGAAAGTCTCAGAACACAATTGGAAAAGGCTGGAGGTTTCTGTGCAGGGACTGAGAAAGAAGCAGTGCCCAGTGACATGATAATTTTGTCTTTGTCCTCCACCGATTACTCCATCTCGTGCTCCATCATATGGATGGTTTATTTTATTTTAGTATTCGAATTTATTGCACGGTCTACGTGGCTAGGCGCCGAGACCTAAATTGGGAACAGTGAGTGTAACGTTTTGTTTGAATCTCAAAGGCAGGGGTTTGTTCAGCCTGTTAGCCAGCAGAACATCGTGAGTTAGTAAACATTTGCTTTTCCCTTCCTTTTTTATGATGGCATATGGAAGCTGTTCCTATCTAGAGGCCTGCCAGAACCGCTTCCAACGCTCAGATGAATGGAGATGCTTGCATCCCTCAACTATCATTCCACAGGCCTGGCGTAAGCGAGACAGCTGGCTTGGATAGACCTCTTGGGATAAGTCACAGGGGCGTGAAGGCAGCGTTGCCATCTGTGCGACGGATCATTCCGCGTTTCCTCGCAGCTTCTCTCTCTGTGTTCTACAAACTTTGCAAGGCTTTAGCTCGGGGGTGGGAAACAATTTATTTGTGGGGGGGTGGGGTGGATGTGGCCAGAGGCAAAAGTGGGCAGAAGAACGAGTGTAAATTTCACCTTTGTACGTTAGGCTGGTTTATACACACACACACACACACACACACACACACACATTTCCACCACCCTGGCTAGCAAGCTGCATTGTCAGTGTTCAAGGATGAAGGCTGGTGTCATTGTGGATGCCTTTATAAAAAGTGAATGAAGATAATAATTTGTCTGTCTGTCTGTCTGCCTGTTTGCTTGCTTGCTTGCTGCCCATCTGACTGGGTTTCCCCAACCACTGTGGGTGGCTTCCAGTAAATTATAAAACCACAATAACGCCTCAAACATAAAAAACTTCCCTATACATGGCTGCCTTCAGATGTCTTCTAAAAGTAAAATATTTGTTTATCTCCTTGACATCTGATGGTAGGGCATTCCACCGGGAGGGTGCCACTACCGAGAAGGCCCTCTGCCTGGTTCCCTGTAACTTTGCTTCTCACCGTGAGGGAACCGCCAGAAGGCCCTCGGCGCTGGACCTCAGTGTCCGGGCTGAATGATGGGGGTGGAGATGCTCCTTCAGGTATACTGGGCCGAGGCCGTTTAAGCCTTATTAGGCTTAAAGTGTGACAATAAAGAGACCTTTCTCTTCTCTTTCCTCCCTTTGACCCAGATGGAGGCAACTATGACTTGGTCAGTGACACGTCCAGCCCAGCCGCTGGGGACTGCCACCCTCGACGGAGCTGCGGAGGACAAAATTGGGAAATGAACTACCAGGAGTCGGCAATTTACCTCCAGGTGGGCCCTTTTCTTTGCATTAGCTGGCAGAGAAAGGAGAGGGTGTAAATTAAGAGGGTGTATGGCTGACAAACTGAATTCCACCTTACAATTCCACCACCTATGATCAAAGGTGCCTTCTTTTCCTTTACATTTCGAGCATACATTTGAGCATGTTTTATACATAAAGGAAGTATTTTCTTTTATCTTCCAATGTTCATCTTCACGGGCTGCCTACAAGTTGTAGCGTTATCAGATAAGGAGAAAAGCTTTTTTTTGTTCACCTCACAAAGTGGTCTGCCAAGACCCTCATGTGGTCCATATGGAAGAAAGGTTTTGGGAACCGCTGACTTACCTACTACATTGGGCTTGCTGTCTCTAGCGTATTTATGTGTGTGTGGATTTTGTTGATTAAAACCCTAAATCAGGAAGGAGAAAACAACGACAAATTCTTCACGCACCCCAAGGATGCCAAAGCGCTCTCTGCCTACCTCTTTGTACACAACCATCCCTTCTACCTAATGGAACTGACCACGGCACTGATGCTCCTGATGCTCTCCCTCTGCGAGGCGCCTGCGGTCCCCATGCTTCGCCTTGGCATCTATGTAAGTATCTTAAGAATTGGGTTGAGGGGAAGGACTTTAGTGGACGTGGGCAGGAAATTGAAGATTGGCTATGCAATGCAATTTACGGGCCAATGCAGCTGCTGGTGGAATCTAGACACATTTAAAAAAAGTTGTGAAAATGCTTTAAAAAACACCCCACGTTTTGAAAAATATATTGAATTTGCCATAACTCACCGTTGCCATCTGGTGTCACATTTGTGTAATGCACTTTTCAACACACTTAAAATGTTTTTATTTGCAGCTGTATAGCTGAGGCTGTTCTGTCTGTATCTTCGAACCATGTTTATTCGTAAAATTTGGGTGATATACAGGGGTACAGTGTAACTAAAGGATCTTGTGTTCCCAAATATTTCGCTTCGGAGCATAGAGAACAACTCCTTCTTGGTGTTCTTCCTGCACACCTTCTCCAGAGTGACCCTAGGAACCCATCCTCTGTGGCCGACTCAACTCCTTTCTAATTATTTTCAGCCTCCCATCTGCCAACAGCTGCTGTTTGAATAAAAAAAAACTGGCGTGTTAAATGCAGGACAACATTTAACAACAATGATACCCGACTCACCCGACTGGGTTGCCCCAGCCACTCTGTGTGGCTCCCAGCATAATATAAAAACACAGTAATACATCAAACATTAAAAGCTTCCCAGTGCAGGGCTGCTTTCAGATGTCTTTGGAAAGCTATGTAGTTGTTTCCTTGACATCTGATGGGAGGGCATTCCACAGGGTGGGTGCCACTACCAAGAAGGCCCTCTGCCTGGTTCCCTGTAACTTCACTTCTCACAGTGAGGGAACCGCCAGAAGGCCCTCAGTGTCTGGGCTGAATGATGGGAGTAGAGATGCTGTTTCAGGTATACAGGGTTGCATTTAACATTGCATGTAGTTTGGTCTTCTAAAAATGGAAAGGATAATTCACATTGCTAATATATATCAATGTTTTCCAGCTCTGGTGGTGGGGGTGGGGAAGAACAGATTTCCGCAGAATGATGGATTTCTACTTGAGCGCTAGGTTTTGACAAATTTAAATTTGTGAAACGACAAAGGCAGTTTGTTGAACTGTTGTTGTTCTTTGCCTGCCTGGTTACAGATCCACGCGACCTTGGAGCTGCTTGCCCTGACTGTCGTGGTGTTTGAGCTCTCTATGAAGATGAGATGGCTGGGCCTTCACACCTACATTCGACACAAAAGGACCATGGTCAAGGTAGACTGCTGGTAACCTTCTCGCGTAACTGACCTGCACTGTTGCAGGAACCAGAGTGCAACCCTCTGCAACATTTTATTTATTTTTTAACTCAAAAGCAAATCCCACTCTTCCCCCACCTTCCCTTTTAATTTAGGCAGTGTATTGCCTTCTAAATCAGTATAGTGGTACCTTGGTTCTCAAATGCCTTGGTACTCAGACAACTTGGAACCCAAACATTGCAAACCCGGAAGTAAGTGTTCCGGTTTGCAAACTTTTTTCGGAAGCCAAACGTACTCCGTTTTGAGTTTTATGCTTCTGATTTGAGTGCCACGCTTCCGTTTTGAGTGTTACGCTGAGGTCTGTCTGCTTTTGCTATTTATTTTGCATTTTTGCAGCTTTTTTGTTTTGTTTCTGTGATTGTGGAACCCATTTGAGCTACTGATTGATTGATTGTGCGACTGCAGTACGTTGTTTATTGCTTTCATTTTATGGATCAATGGTCTCATTAGATAGTAAAATTCATGTTAAATGGCTGTTTTAGGGGTTGTTTTTAAAAGTCTGGAATGGATGAATCTGTTTTGTATTACTTTCTATGGGAAAGCACGCCTTGGTTTTGGAACGCTTTGGTTTTGGAACGGACTTCTGGAACGGATTAAGTTTGAGAACCAAGGGGCCACTGTATCTCAGTTAAGCATGAGAATAAGAAATACCTTTAAAACAAGACTAAAACCCCAACAGTGGTAAAGATCCATTCATCCAGCTTCAAAAGCCTGTTGGAACAAAAAATGTCTCCAACTGTTTCTGGAAAGTGCAGCTAGCGGGAGCTTGTTGTATCTTGATAGGAATACTGTTCCTGTAGCCTGGATCTGTCAGTTGCTTCGGAGCCATATGGTTTGGCAATTTGGGGAGGGATATGTGTGTGTGTGTGTGTGTGTGTTGGCAAGATGTCCCATGCCCCGTCCTTCTGAATCTTGTCTTATCTGAACTAGCCATTTGCATCTGCAGCTCTTTCTGTTCCTACTGATGTTGATGGGTTACTCTGCAGAGCAAAAGGTGGTTTCTGATTACGATTATCAGTTTTAGGTCCAGCCTTTTACTGTCATCTTTGGGGACTCTTTGTTATCGTGCATACCCACCCTCCCAAACAACTGCAACCTTACTTTTGGCCAATTATTTTCAATAGATGCTACTTTTTTCTCTGGCTTTGTTTATTACTGTATCAGAGGAACTTATACTGAGCCAGACCGTTGGTCCACCTAGCTCAAATGTTGTCTACACTGGCTGGCAGCTGCTCTCCAGGTTTCCAGATAGCGAGTCTCTCCACAATGCCAGGGATCGAACCTGGAACCTTGAGACGCTGACCTTTCCTCAATTATGTACCGTATTTTTCGCTCTATAGGATGCACCGGATCATAGGAGGGGGAGAACAGGAAAAAAAATTTTTTTTCTTGTTCTCTGCCTCTAAAACAAGGTGCGTTCTGTGCGTTCAAGGTGCGTTCACCCGAAGCCTCCAGAGGCTTTGGGTTCCTTTCGACCTGCTCTTTGGGGCTGGTGGGGGGAAGCGCTGCTTTCCCCCACTGCCAGCCTCCAAACCAGGTCGGGGAGCAGCGTGAAGGCGTCGTACGCCTTCCCGCTGCCCCCAGAGCTTGTGGGACTGGTGTTGCTGCCTTCCCCCCACCTTCGTACAGCCTCCGTAGCCTCCGCAGGGCAGTGGGGTGAAGGCACCCCGCTGACCTGCAGAGGCTTTGTGCAGCTAACCCCAAGCTAGAACAGCGAGACACAGCGCTGTGCAACAGTATATGTCCTGGGGTAAAATTGTAAAAAAAAGCTCAACAACTTTGGTTGGCCCTCAGGCATGTTCACCTCATCAAATCTGGCCCTCTTTTGAAAAAGTTTGGGCACCCCTGAGTAGGGTCTTTGTTGAACTTAGGTTTCAACAGATGCCTTCAGTGCACTTAGAGGAGAGAAACCTTGGAATAGCTCCTATGGAACGGAAATGCATTGTAGTGCAGTGTAATCAGGTTAAGAATATCATACACTATTTGTTGATGTGCCCAGAGAATTTTTTTAATCTCCTATTCTTAATTGGTTCTCAGACCGAACCCCCCAGGAAGTGATAGTTGAACTCTTCGCTGATAAATATCCACAAATTATGCACCTGGTAGCCAAATTATCTCTGGCAGCTAAGAAGCTTTGCTCCAGTTAATGCATTGTAATTCAAACATTTTATGTTATAATTTGTTATGCTGTACACTTTTACTCTGTAGACGTTCTAGGTTATATGTGTGTTTTCAGAACCCACCCTATTCCTGCGATACTGATTTGTTTAAACCTTTTTTTTTATTCTGAACTTTGACTTGTTGTAGCCCGGCATGGGACCTGCTGGTGAAGGGCAGGTAATAAATTTTATTGCCACCATCTCTTGTCTTGTTTCCTTGCAGAGCTGTGTTCTGTTGCTGCAGTTTATAGAGGCAATTGTGGTGTTGGTGCGTCAGACATCCCATGTCCGGATCACGAGAGCCTTGCGATGCATCTTTCTGGTGGACTGCCGTTACTGTGGAGCTGTCAGAAGGTAATGGGCTGGCTGGCCTCCGTTGAACTCTGTGTAGCACTCCTGGCCATAGCTGTCAACTTTTCCCTTTTCTTGCAAGGAATCCTATTCAGAATAAGGGAATTTCCCTTAAAAAAAGGGAAACGTTGACAGCTAGGGTTGGGCATGGAGATGGGAAGGCCTGGAAAAAAGCTGGAAAAATTGGGGGGGAAACAGGTTTCTCCCTGTTTTTTTTTCTGCCCCCCCCCAATACCTTTTTTCCCAGAAAAATTGGAGAAAAAAAATCAGTTTGATATAGTTTGAATATTCCACCCCCTCCCCCCAATTTTTCTGGGGGGAAAAAGGCTTTGGAAAAAGAATGGGGGCAAAACCTCCCCCCCCCCCAATTTTCTGGTTTTTCTCCAGGCCTTCCCATAATCTGGTTTTCAGCATCACAATATATCACCAGCTAAACATCGTGATGTACCAATATTTCACAATGTCTGAAATAAGGATGGGGCTATGTAGAGGCACAAAGGGAAAAACCAAGGGTCCTGCAGACATTGTTGAACTACAACTCCCACTATCCCTGTTTATTTGCTGTGCAGACTTGGGCTGATGAGTGTCAGAGTCCAACCACAACTGGAGGCACCCCACTGGCTGCCCTTGTCGTACAAGCATGGAAAGGGATATTAAGGAAGAACGTTTTCCTTTGAGCCAACTCCTGATTCAACTTTCATTTCAGGAACCTACGACAGATTTTCCAGTCTCTTCCTCCGTTCATTGACATCCTCCTGCTGCTGCTTTTCTTCATGGTCATCTTTGCTATCCTTGGTGTGTACCTTTAAGAGTTATCTGTTCACAAGCAGTTTCGCCCTCACAGACGCTTTCAGCAAAGAAGGCAGCACTGTGTCAGACAGGGACAGGCTGCCAAGCAAATAACGTCTTTGCCAAGGTGAAAACAGGTTTGGGGATGGGGACAGAAGATGGTGTAAGAGGCCGAAGCTAAGGAGCTCAGGTCAGCAAACAGATAACAGTGTGTGGTTTTTAAAAAACATTCTAGAACAGTTAAACAGTCTAAAAACCATTGCCTTTAAAAGCATCTTAAATCAGTTTCAGATAAAAACATTCTAAAAGCAATTACAGTTAAAAGCAGGCTTCCATCCAACAATTTCGGGGTGGCCAGCGGTATTCTTGAGCCACCAAACGCCTGGGTAAACAGGCGTGTTTTCAAATTCCTTCTGAAGGTTAGTAATGATGGAGATGTGGGAATGTTCAGGATGGCAGGAGAGGATATATTGTTTATTAATATCCTTCCTAACTTGCGCTAGCAAGTTCCTTTATATAGCATAGTTACATTCCCCTTTTTACATGAACAGCAGATAGCTGGTTGCAGGCTCGTGTGAGCCTCTCACCATTATCCCATTCAATCTGTCTTCAGATTGAATTGTACGTTCCTGGTAAGTTCCCTTGAATCCCTCTTAGAAGAATAGAGATGCAACAATCTTATTCAAAGTCAATAAAAAAAGTTTACTCACATCAGTTCACAGTTGGATTCTTGAAGGCAGACTTAGTTACAAATATGTATATATCTACCCCATATAGAGGAATAATCCCAGTGCTTCTGCTAGCTGAGAGCTAGCAGAGCAGTCCTAGCTAAAAGCTGATCAAACGAAGAAGGAAGTCAAAAAGAAGGGAAGGGTGCTGCGTGACTCGTGCTTTTGTTACCTGGACAGGTTAGGTCACACCTACCTTCTATCACATGCAACAGGAAGGATGCTCCAGCCCAGGAGGAACAGGAAGTTTCAACTGGCTGGACCAAACAATCCCTCGCATGTTTTCTCTAGCATTACAAGGAATGTTGTACTTGACTGCCTCTCATGGACCACATCCCACAGGAGACAGGGCACCTCCCTGAAAAGGGCATTCCACAAGCCAAGGAACCCTGTCGTGGGCCTGCATGGGAAATAGGTTCCACAAAGTGTGTGCTGATTGGCAAGAACTCTCCTATTGTGGGCCAGAACCAACCGGGCCGCACCTGGTGGGTGGCACTGCTAACAAGGTGTCAAAATAAACTTAACGCAGGCCAGCTAGATGAGACTCATTAAAATGATGGTGCAACATTGCTTCTGCTTGGCAGCTGGTTGAATGTCCCATTTATGCCTTCATCATTTTGATGCTTGTTTTTTCTCTCTCTCTCTCTTCTCCCCCTTTCTCCCTAGGCTTTTATTTGTTCTCTCCTAACAAGTCTGATCCTGTAAGTAAAGCATCAATTCGTGGGCTCTTGAAGGTTTGATCTTTGGGGTTTTTTTGCAAAGCATGACAGGCAGGCGTCAATTGGCAACTGTCTGCAACTCTTGGCTGTGGCCTCCGTGGATGGGGAAGGGCAGAGTTGCCATCCTGCCTGAAACAAGGTGGCAGCAGCTGTCCCTTTTGCGGCCAGAGGGTCTTCTAATTAGGGAAGGAAGCTCTTGCTGCTGCTCTTGCATTTTTGTAGGGGACTTCCCTGCAATTTGCATTGGAAACAAACTCCATGGGGATTGTTATAAACACAGCCTCTAAGGGAGCCCTTGGAAGCAATGTGTTGTTTTATGATTCAGGACATGTTGTGCGACAACAATCAGCAGTAGTTCCGTCATCTCATAGATGTTCTTCTTCTGCAGTATTTCAGCACCTTAGAGAACAGCCTTGTGAATCTTTTCGTTCTACTGACTACAGCGAAGTAAGTTGCTTGAGCTCGAGAAATGTTTCTTAAGTCACATGTTATTTAAAGCACATGACTAACAGTTGCGGCTCGCCCCCCCCCAAAGAATCCTGGGACCTGAACATTCTTTTAAAGCCATCTAAGTCGGTGACTATCAGTCACCTCCTGTGGCAGTGAGTTCCATAGTTTAAGTTTGCACTGCCGTGAATCTCCCAGCAAACGATTCCCAAGTCACGCATGCTTGGGAATAAGCTCCATCAAAATAAGTTCTTTCTTTTATCCAACCTGAATCTTCCAATGCTCAGTTTCATTGGAAGTCCCTGAGTTCTAACATTATGAGAGAGGTAGAAAACCCTTTTTCTTCCCAGTTTCTTCATGCTGTATATAATCTTAACAGACTTCTGTTGTGTCACCTCTTACTTGACTGCTCTCTAAACTAAAGGGGTTGTTTGTTAAGCGTGCTGGGAATTGTAGCTTTGCGAGGGAACAAGCTACACCTTCCATGACTTACTGTGAATAAACTAGATTATCTCTCTTTTGGGTTGCAGTTTCCCAGATGTGATGATGCCCTCTTATGCCAGAAGCTCCTGGTCCTGTGTCTTTTTTATCGTGTATCTTTCCATTGAGCTGTACTTCATTATGAATTTGGTAAGTCCATCTTCTTTGTCCACCACCGTTGAGCTTCCAGTTGGCCACTCTCTTCAGAACAGGGATGAGGGACATTTTGGCCCATCACATGTTGCTGAACTACAATTCCCATCTGTGCCTCCCCCCACATCAAGAATGGCTAATGGTCAGGCATGATGGGTGTTGCAGTTCAGCAACTTCTGGAGGGCCAAAGGTTCACCACACCTCCTTTAGAACAACTGTTCTTTCCAGACTTGCCGTGATTTCGTGGTGCTTAACTGCAAAAGTCGGGGGCAGCCTTTGATCTTTGGAATAGCTGCAACTTCCAAAGCGGAGCGGTGTTCACCTGCAGAAGCGAAAATGAGGGCGTTTTGTAGCATCATAAAGATGAGCACACTTTGTTTGGCCTATGCTTTTGCGAACTAGATTCATCTCCAAGTATCTAGTCCATGAGGGGTTATGCTGTAATGAATTTGCAGGCCTTGGTGCCACAAGACTCTTTGTCATATAGCTACTCCTGGATTTTTGTTTTATGAATAGGGCCCATTTCCTCATTTTTTGATACTTTTTATTTCATGCAAATATTCCAGCAAAGTCTGTCATCATACACTGCTTATTTTTGAACTGTTAGGATTTACCAGGTGCCCTCAGAATCCAGCATGCTTGCCTTCCTTCCTTCCTTCCTTCCTTCCTTCCTTCCTTCCTTCCTGGGATAACGGTGGCTTTCCATCATGGAGCTTCTCTGGGAGGTTCCCCTTCAAGTATTCTTCAGCCACCCAACTGCCTGATTTGATTTTTTTTAAATCATTGATTTCTATCCACCCTGCTCAAAGTTCTTCCTGTTCTGTTGATCAATGGCTCGTTGCTGATTAATGGGGAAAAGTTCCTTCTTAAGGTGCTCCTTCCATCACATTCTGGTGCTGTGTGGAACTTGACAGCTGCCAGTTGCAGACTGTAGTTAGACTTCTCCTCCCGCCCCTCTTTGTTTAGCTACTCGCCGTTGTGTTTGATACTTTCAATGATATTGAAAAGAAGAAGTTCAGATCACTGCTGCTTCACAAGCGCACAGCCATACAACACGCCTACCAACTGCTTGTCAGCAAACAGGTATGTGGCTCTCTGCATGTTTGCATGCGTGTGCATGTGAACAAGGTAACCGTTCTTTGTCTGTGGCAGTCAGCACTTTTGCTAAGTACCACTGCTCTTATAAGCTTTGAGTGTTCCAGGAATCTGGTGCTTTCAGTGATCTGAAGCTCCAGGGTCCTCATGGATCTCAATATATACAGAAGGGTATATTTTACCCTGCTGATGATGCTCATCGACTGATAAGGCTGACATCAAGGCAATATAGTCAATAAAACAGTCAATAAAAGATAAAATCAGAGCAGTTTCTAAAAGTGTCATTACAGCCAAGATTACTAAAAAAAAGTTTTTTAATCCATCGCAGAAAAATCTGCATTAAAATCCTTCAAAAACAAAAAAGGTTGTCACATTGTGCAGCAAATGAAAAAAAAAACCTTATTAGAAAACATGCAGGTGAATGTTCTGTTGATAGAAAAACTGTTGTAACTGGCATATCAGTTGTGTTGCCAAAATATACAAACAGCCATTGGATTTCTTGCTAGATTTGGTCTCTTCATGTGCACTTCTGTTGAGCGCCTGATAATGTTCCACTTCATTTATACTTAAAAAAGAGAGAAAGAGCACTTATTTATTTAGCTTTTATAAGCATTCAAACAGTAAGCGTAACAGATCAGTCTGATAGGCAATTACAAGAAATCAGTATCATTGATATATGCACAGGGTCATTACAGTAAGGTAGCACAAGGAACTACGCATTTAGATCTGGGAACGAAATAGAAGATAATATGTTTAACCCAAAAACTCCCTTTATGTTTGATAAACAGTGTCTTTTATCGTTGGTCTCAATAGTACACGCAGTCCTCCGTGAGCAGAGTGTTTAGGTGTGTGCCTTTCTATCGTGATGTCTTTGGCTGGTTGGATGCTGTGGAATGATGGGAGGAACCAGCTGGGGAAAGAAGACTCAGAGCCAGGGGATTGGTGGTGGGACAATGATGAGTGGTCAGAGGGAGAAGAGAGAGCAGACAGGGAGGAGGAGGAGATATCGGACACCGAAGAGGCAACAGGGTTTAGTGAGCAGGAAGAGTCTGTGGCAGAGAGCAATTCAGAATCAGAGGCAGAAGAGGAGGCTGGAGAGGAGGGAGGCCAAGAGGCAGAGATGAGGAAGGCTGCTGGAGAAGCCAGGGAGTCTCCCCCTCCTGCTGCAACCAGCTTCCCTCTTCCCTGGTCTCCCAGAACCAAAGGAGGTATGAAGAGGGTGGAGCAAAGACAGGCTAGAGGAAGGAGCCTCAAATTGCTTGGGAAGGAACTGGGGGAGGAGGAGACTTTGGGAACACTGGGAAGGTGGGGACCTTCAGCCCTTGCAACTGCCTCATTGGGGCAAGAGCCACTGAGAAGGTTTGCTGTGCTCAATAGGCCTAGCTTCCTGAGCTGCCTTGTTTCTTTGAATAAAGAGTTAACTTCACTGAAGACGTGTGAGTCCTTGCGGACCTGCTCCTGGCAACCGCTCCTGTCGCCTGACCTGATTCTGAACACGGAGGGCATATTGCCTTGCACATATTATCCTCCAGTTTCATTCCCTGGCTGTAAATGGAAGGCAGATTGAGAAGTTTCTGTGGGCAACTCACTTAGGGAAATCCTTTTCTCCCTTCTAGAGACCTTCTGGAATCTCCTTCAAGCAGTTTGATGGGCTGATGCGGTTTTATAAACCTCGGATGAGCGCTCGAGACCGTTACCTTACCTTCAAAGCACTGAATCAAAGCAATACCCCTTTAGTCAGGTGGGGACCCCTCTATTTGTGTCAGGTGGTAGGGGTGGGGCAAAGGGGTGGGGGTTAACTGAGAAGAGAAATGGATTCCATGAAGAATTAAAAGAGCATCAAACACCCCTAATTCTGAAACAAAGGATGGTGTTCAACTAAGCTTTACTTGGCCTGGTAGCAAATCGGCAACAAGTGCAGGTTTATGAGCAGTAATATTAATATGCAGATGGCCTATGCGGTTACACAGTAGAAGCTTTCATTGAGGTAGGGTAGAATCTAGTTTTTGCAAAGTCTTAATGAAAACTTGGGGGAGCTTCAGCCAAGAACTCTCAGGTCTTTGGACTGGATAACTTAGTGAAGAAATAACAACAACAACAACAACAACAACGATACCCATCTAACTGGGTTGCCCCAGCCAATCCGGGCAGCTTCCAACAAAATATTAAAAACACAATAAAACCGCAAACATTAAAAACTTCCCTGTACGGGGCTACCTTCAGATGTCTTCTTAAAGTCACATAGTTTCAGATAAACAACAACAAATGGAAGGGCGTTGCACAGGGTGGGTGCTGCTACTGAGAAGGCCCTCTGCCTGGTTTCCTATATTTTCACTTCTCTCAGTGAGGGAACCAGCAGAAGGCCGTAGGTGCTGGATCTTTGTCCAGGCTGAATGATGGGGGTGGAGATGCTCCTTCAGGTACACAGGGCCGAGGCCATTTAGGGCTTTAAAGGTCAGCACCAACACTTTGAATTGTGCTCGGAAATGTACTGCAATGTGATTTCACATGAGCGATGCCCTGATTGTAAAATCCAACTCTTATAGAGGTCAATCTTCTCTTTCAGTCTAAAGGATATGTACAATTTCTATGAAGTTGTTGGTTTAAAATGGAAGGTAAGTGTTGTTGTTGTTTATGGATGTGGGGTAGCTAAGGATGGGGGAGACATTCTATTCACTTCACATTTGAAGGTGAAACCTACCGTAATTGATCATCCTGAAACCATATGCAAATTGAAACACAGCGATCCTTTGAAATTTCCACTTCTCTGAATTTCACAGTGCCGAGTAAAACGTGTACAAAAATGCATATACCAGGGTGAGGTGTCCACTGAAAATAGCACGCAAACTGCATGGTATTAAAAGGAATTGCTTTGCAAAAACGTGTACGTGAGGTAAAAATCGCATGCAAACATATATTTTAGGAGAAATTAACACCAAATTGCTGGTGAATTTTCACGAGGACTTAAAAAAACACATTGCAGACTGATGTGGAAATGAGGAGAGCTGAAAAATGAGGAACCGAGAGAGAAAGAAATTGACAGATTTGCCCATTCTTAGGAAAGGGGAAGGATATGAGGGCACTGATTTATATACTGTCAAAGAAGAGTTGTGTTGGTGGAGATAGCGGAAACTCCTGGAAGAGGCGTCTTGTGCAGTTTTGTTTTAGCTTTTGTTACTGCCAATAATGCCACAATGTGAAAACCAAGACATCTTAAATAAAGGCTGTTCTGTGGCCTGTTCCATTTCTAGGCTAAAAGGAACCGGGAACATTGGTTTGATGATCTTCCACGGACAGCGTTCCTTATTTTTAAAGGTAAAGGCCTGGGGTTTCAGTGCCAATGCAGCTGGAGGCCCTAGCGTGGTTAGAGTCTTGGACTAGGACCTGGGCCTCGAACCCCCACTCAGCCATGTTGAAGTGGGTGACCTTGGCTCAGCCACTTGCTCTCAGCCTAATCTACCTCACAAGATTGTTGTGGGGACAAAAAAGAGCAGGGGAGGAGAACTATGTACACCGCCTTGAGCACCTTGGAGGCAATGCAATGTAATAAATAAAGAAATTTCCAAAGACAAGGCCCCCTCCCTATGGCTTCTCAGGAGCTGCCTTCTCATCCTATATGGGAAGAGGAACTGGCAGGAGTGGGTTCAAGCTCCTAGTAGTAGTAGTAGTAGTAGTAGTAGTAATAATTTATTATACCCCACTCATCTGGCTGGGTTTCCCCAGCCATTCTAGGGGGCTTCCAACAAGAGATTAAAAATACATTAAAACATCAGCCATTAAAAATTTCCCTAAACAGGGCTGCCTTCAGATGTCTTCTAAACTTCAGATAGTTGTTTATTTCCTTGACATCTGATGGGAGGGCATATCACAGGGCGGGCACCACTACTGAGAAGGCCCTCTGCTGGTTCCCTGTAACTGCTTCTTGCAGTGAGGGAACTGCCAGAAGGCTCTGGATCTCAATGTCTGGGCTCAACGGTGGGAGTGGGGACGCTCCTTCAGGTATACTGGGCCGAGGCTGTTTAGGGCTTTAAAGGTCAGCACCAACACTTTGAATTGTGCTCGGAAACGTACTGGGAGCCAGTGCAGGTCTTACAGGACTGGTGTTATATGGTCTCGGCAGCCGGTCCCAGTCAGCAGTCTAGCTGCCGCATTCTGGATTAGTTGTAGTTTCCTGATCACCTTCAAAATTAGCCCCACATAGAGCGCATTGCAGTAGTCCAAGCGAGAGATAACCAGAGCATGCACCACTCTGACGAGACAGTCTGCAGGCAGGTAAGGTCTCAGCCTGCGTACCAGATGGAGCTGGTAAACAGCTGCCCTGGACACAGAATTGACCTGCGCCTCCATAGACAGCTGTGAGTCCAGAATGCATCCCAGGCTGCGCACCTGGTCCTTTGGGAGCACAGTTGCCCCATTCAGGACCAAGATGGATTCACATCCCAATTGTGAGTCAGTACAGGTGTTTTCCTCACCCAGCAACTAGCTCCCAAGTCTTTGTATGATTGCACTGTCTAGTGGGTTCCTGGATGCAGCCCCAAAATGTCATAAGGATAAGCTCTAAGCCTTTTTGAATGTTCGCTTCATCTTGAGATGGCTTATGCCAGGCTTTCCCAAACTTGGCTCTCCAGCTGTTGTTGGACTACAACTCCCATCACCCCTAGCTGGCAGGACCAGTGGTCAGGGGTGATGGGAATTGTAGTTCAAAAACAGCTGGAGACCCAAATTTGGGAAGCGCTTGCAGGTACAATAGATTTAGCAGTGCTGCAGACTAAGGTTCTTGTTTTTTAAACCCTATGTATGGAAAGTCGTAGTGGGAAGGAAGAGTTTGAAATCGAGATTCTAAACATGTTTTCCCCTTAACACGTTCCTTCTTTCAACAGGCATTAATATACTTGTGAATTCCCGGGCCTTCCAGTATGCCATGTGTAAGTCTGATGCCAACTCTTCATTTCCCCCCATTAGCTGCCCAGAAACGGAGTGTTCTCCAAGAAAATTAAATATCCTAAACCTGCAGTAGCTTGTGGAGCTGTGTCCTTCAGATGCCGCTAAGGGGTGTGGGAATGGTAATGCAATAAAATACAATATATAAGAAATAAGATGCAATTAAAAATTGTACAGCTTCGAGCACAGTGCATTACCATTGCTATAACAGGGATAAAAATCACGAAGGGATCTGTCAAGGCCCTCAGAAATTTTCAAGTGGACCATGGAGGAAAATAGTTTGGGAACTACTGCTCCAGAGCTCAACAGGGCTGGTGAGAATCAGCTCGGCAAGTAGATCAGTAGAAGCTCTTTTAAGAACTGGAGCCTGACTGTGCTTGTTTGAAAAATTTATTAACCACCTGTTGTCAAATTATTTCAGGGTAGTGTTTGCTGACCTCTTCCCTCCCCATCTCTCTTTCCTTTTGTGTCATGCTGTTTAGCCTTAGAGGGAAGGGGACTGCCTTGTTTTGCTATACAGTGGTACCTTGGTTCTCAAACTTAATTCGTTCCAGAAGTCCGCTCCAAAACCAAAGCATTCCAAAACCAAGGCGTGCTTTCCTATAGAAAGTAATGCAAAATGGATTCATCCGTTCTAGACTTTTAAAAACCCATAAAACAGCAGTTTAACATTAATTTTCCTATCTAACGAGATCATTGATCCCTGAAATGAAAGCAATAGTCAATGTCCTGTACTATAAAATAAATAAGACAGCTTTGTAGATGATAAAAATTAAAATTATTATTATTTTTTTACCTGCAATGATGATAATAGTCGTTATTTGGATGTGGGGCTTTTATCCATTTCCGCATTCACACAATCAATCAATCAATCAATCAGTAGCTGATCTGGGTTCCAGACAGTCACAAAAACAAATTAACTGAAAAAGCCTCAAAAACAAAAACGCAAAATAAATAGCAAAAACAAAAGCACCAAACTTAATCTGTTCTGGAAGTCCATTTGATTTCCATGTTCAAAAACCAAGACACAACTTCTGATTGGTGCAGGCACCCTGGAAACAATAGCCAACAACTGCATCGGATGTTTGGCTTCTGAAAAACGTTCGAAAACTGGAACACTTACTTCTGGGTTTTTGGCATTTGGGAACCAAGGCATTTGAGAACCAAGGTACCACTGTACTGATCTTATGTATGCTGCTCTGGGGTCCTTGGGGGGGGGGCCTGAAGTGCTTTAAAAAAGCTTAAAAGCTAGGTTAAAAGTGCTTAAAACCAGTCAAAATTTTGGTTCCTGTGTGAAGCAATCCAAAGGTGACATCTTAGCTGAATCCATGTGTTTGGATGCTCTGTGCTGTGTCTGAAAGATGGGCTGATGGGGTTTTGTTGCGTTTTGTAGATACTCTGTTGGCAGTGAACGGCCTCTGGATCCTAGTGGAAACCTTTATGTTGAGAGGTATGGAATAACACAGCTCTCTTCTGTTTGCTGACCCTCTTCCCTATCAAGGTTTTAGTGCTCCCATCTGATATGGTATTTTCCCTCCCTCCCTCCCTCCCTCTCTCTCTGCTTTTTCAGATGGGATCTTCTCGCGAGATGTCCCTTGGAGTTACATTGTCTTCCTTACAAGTAAGTCTCGGCGCTCCCTGTTATGATCTCTGAATATACTCCTTCCAAACATTTGTGCTTGTTGGGATATTTGTGTTCATTTGTTTAAAATATGCATATAACACTATTCATTTAAAAAACAACAACCCCAGAGTGGTTTACAACAATTATGCATAAAACCATAGAACAAAAACCCTATAAAAAAGTTAAAATCCACACAACCTTTCGCCCCACAAAGGTCCACACTCTTAAAGCTCCTTTCTTTTTGTCCCAGAGCTTTCCCCACAAAAACGAGCTCTTTAAAGCTGCAGCACAACAAATGATAATTGGGGTTTTCTCCAGATAGTTGTTTGCTCCTTTTCAGCTTTAAAGAGCGGGTTTTCACGGTAAAAGCTCTGTTGCAAAAACAAGGTGCTAGGACACAGAGTTTTAAACTGTGAACCATGCCTGGAAACACAGAGGGAAGGTAAGTGTGGATACTGTTATGGAAAGATATATTCTTAATTGCTTGCAATAGAAAGTGTTCATCAGACGTTTAAAAGTTTGCATGGAAGGTGTCTGCTGAACCTCTATTGGCAGAGCATCACATGATACTGGGCCAGTTATATGAAAGGCTTGGTTTCTTGTTGTTGCGTGGCGAGTACCCGCCTCCCCCCTTGGAAAATAAAGACACAAGACACAGCATTTAAGGTTAATGGGCGAAAAAGGCCACAACTTTATTGATTGCAGGAATTGAGCGGTATTGGCTTAGGCATTGGTCCTATCGACTAACCGGCTTCAGCCTGATTGCTTGAAGACCAGCAAGGGTTAACCGCCAGCAGGGGGAGTCCTGCTGATGTACATCAACTAGGAGCTCCCCCGGGGTCATCGCTCGGGGGCGTGCCTTAGGCCCACACCTCCATAGGCTTCGGACAGGGCAGCGCCCCCCAGAATCCTTTACCGGACTACCCTTCGATTTGGGGGAAAGTGATGGCGCTTCCTTCCCCCCCTCTCATCTGCATAACAATACCCTTACCAATGCCTAACCGCCAATGCCGAGGAAGATTTGCTACGAGGTAGGGGAAAAAACCAAATGGCTGGTGCCAATTTGCCAAGTGTTTTCAATTTGCCAATTGTTTTCAAATGAGCCTTGACAACTCGGGGAACAACCCACCTTCTTAAGCCTGTTGTCTCAGTGGCGGTATCTGCGTTGGTCAACAGATGCAGTTTGTTGCTTGAAACTATCCAAGCAAAGCTCCTCTGGGGAAGGGCTGCAGCTCAGTGGTAGAGCATCTGCTTTGCATGCAAAAGGTCCCATGTTCAATGCGCAGCATCTCCAGGAAAGACTAGGAAACTTTTGCCCGAAACTCTGGAGAGCTGCTGCCAGTCAGCGTGGACAGCACCAAATTAGATGGACCCGACTCTGCATAAGGCAGTTTCTTATGGTCAAGTGGAAGGTTTTTCCTGCTTATACAGTGCTATTGTGTTTTTGTATGTGCTGGGAGCCACCCAAAGTGGCTGGGGAAGCCGGTCAGATGGGTGTGATAAAAATAAAATAAAATTAAAATAAAATAAAATAAATTATTTATTACACTATGTTAGAAGGTCCTTGTTAGAGGCCCAGCTCTTGATGCCCTCCTCTTCTGAGGAGAGCTGGGTTGAAAGGCTAGGTTGTAAGAAAACACTTCTAGATCAGCCTTTGGGAGAGGATGTTAAATGACAGCTCTCTGCTTTCACTGAGTCCTAGAAGAGCTTTAATAGAAGTCTCTATTAAAGGAGCTCCAGATTCTTCCATGTTGGCTGCTGGTCCACTTTCCCCTCAGACATGGGTTGCTTCCCTGAGCTCGTGAAGGTGTGTGTTGTCAAATTTAATGCCAAAGGTCACATCTGATCTTCAGCCTGCATGTGATGTTATTATTTTCTCTTGTGTCAACAGTCTATGGGGTTGAAGTGCTCCTGAAGATCACTGGGTTGGGGCCTATTGAATACCTGTCATCTGGCTGGAACCTGTAAGTGTGTGTCGTCATTCTGTTTTGTTTTTTTTAAATAATATTTATTGAGTTTCCAAAAATTTAAACACTACAAACAAAAAAGCAAAAAAACAACAACAAACAAAAAACAACACAACACAATACAAAAACACTACAAAACACTAACACACAACACAAATAAAACAAAACAAAGACCATTTAAAGCACATTAAACAATTTCAATGTCATATCTTTCGTTCGCTTATTTCCACGACTTCCTCACACCTCCCTTTTTGTATTCCACATCAATTAATTATTTCAGCAATTCCTTTCCATCTTCCTCTGTTTTCTATCCTATAATTATCTTAACACATTCTAACCTTATTTTGTTCCCTTTAATGCTCTATTAATCTATTTATACTTAATTCCTTATAACATTTCTGCTAAAGCCATATGACTTCATTCCAACTTTGTTCTAACATTCATTAATTTTGCAATATTTCTATAAATAGTCTTTAAACTTCCAGTCTTCTTCCACCAGCTCTTCTCCCTGGTCTCGGATTCTGCCGATTCTCTCAGCCAGCAAAAAGCAGATGATTCACAACAAAATTTAAGGGTCTAGCAGGGCAAGTCCACTTCCTTCTTTAGCATCCGTTAATATCTTAAATTTTACTCGAGGCTTCCTGCCCTGCCAACCAAATCTAGAGACGTCCCTCTGCCACCTCCTGAGACAATCCCTCCCATCCAAAGCTTGCAATGTTTGAAACAAAAGCAACATCCCCGACATCACAGCAACCCTTGTCCCCACCACAGCAACTCGGCCCAACAATAACAACTTCCAATTTAACCCTATTTCCAAATCCCCCTTCTCTTCAAGCCAACGTCCTTCACAGTTGCCCTTGAATAAATTCACATTTCTGGCGGTCATACTAACCCCCAAATACCTCTCTTTCTCAACCAATGTTAGTCCTATCTCCTCCTGAAACTCTATCAAGCTTTCCTTTTCCTCAGGTAGGGCTCTGATCCTCAATTTCATCTGTTTCTCTTGTAAGTTCAGTCATAACAAGTGTCAGCTTGTATTCATCAAGTTGTCCTTGTATGGATGGGACTCTCTCTCTCTCCAGTTGAATTACTTTAACTTCAGCAGCAAGGGTTTCCTCCTTAACTTCATCCGCCGTTTGCCGTATCAGGGTAGATTCCTGTATCAATTTCTGGGTGGTTTCTGTATTGGTATTCACCTTTTGACCCAGGTTATTTAAACTTTCTACCATTAAGTAAATTTTAATATTTGCAGCATCCACTTTCATATTTATCACATCTGTTTTCTTGTGAAGCTGTTCCAGCGAGTCATTTATTTTCACTAATACAACCGCTAAGGCCTCTTCTGGCGACATTCCGTCTTTCCCATCTGCCATAACACTCAATAGATTCAAGGTCAGTCTCACAGTCTCACGGTTTTTATCTTACAGCTGGAAATTTCCCAGCCCAGATCTTATATAGCCGCCAGTTTCAAGAACTTCCACTAGAGGGAAACAGTTTCTCTTTGTATTGATAAATAATATCCTCTTATAGGCACAGTTCAAACGACCCAAAACTAATTTCAATTTTCAGTTACTTTCACTGCTGGAGACAGTAGAAACAATGTGTCTTCTCTTATGCTAACTGTCAATGAACGATCCAAACGCTGTCAATAAACGCCCCACCAAACGTCGGACCTACTAGCAGCCCGTTCCCAGGGTCCGAGCGGCGGTATTTTACCTCTCTTGGTCTCTTCTGCAGGCAAACTCAGTCCACAACTCCCCCCCCCTTCTGCCTCCAAGGGGGGGGGATTATATTCTTTACTTATGGAAATTTAGTCTTTTACAAAAAGCTTTCCAAGACTTCAGCTTGCAGCCTCAATTGCTTCAGTCTATTTACAAAAGGGGAAGGCGGACTTCCTGTATTGAACCTTCCCCGTTTCGATGCCAAATTAGACGTTTTAAAAATCCAATTTTCCCGATTAAGCTCTACTCACGGGTAGTTACTTTAGAGTCAAATTGTCCACAGGAAAAAGTCAGCGCTCTCCCGACAACAGCTATGCGGCTTTGCTCCGTGGAAGAAGCAGATGATTCGAAGCACCGCGCCTCTCACCCCACGTCACTCTGGATCCCCGAAACTGGGTTTCCCCACGAGTGGGGGAGGCGCAAAAGGTGCCCGCCGAATCCCACGCTCACAGGCTTCTCCCGCCTGTGATTTTTAACGGGTCTCTGCCTTCGCCGTGGCGGCCAGACCCAGATTTCCACGGAGCTGATTCCTCCCGATCAGAGGAATCCAGCCATTGCCGGAGGCGCCTCCCCGGAAGTCCCCGTGTGTGTCGTCATTCTGTGTCATAAATTATTTTTTTTTAAAACGTTTATATTTTATTGAGATTATTCTAGTAATTTAAAAAAAGAAAGAAAAAAAAGAAAGAGAATATATAAAAATACATTTTAAAAAGTAGAGGAAAACAGCAATAACAAAATAACATAAAATGTACATAAAATGTAAGTTTACGAAACTATACAGTTATATACATAGATAAATTTGTTTCGACAAATACGTTCCAAATATCATTACATTTGTCCAGGCATAATCTTCATCTGAAAGTGATTCGTTCATGGGCTGCAAGAGCTGTCGTGTCATCTATCCATTGATTGAAGGGGGGTATATTTTTGTCCTTCCATTGTATCAGTATCAATTTTTTTGCAGATGTGAGGGGATAGAGAATCCAAATGTCAAGCCCTATATATGAGGTGCAGTCGTACCTTGGAAGTCGAACAGAATACGTTCAACTTCCAAAACGTTTGGAAACAAAGGCGCGGCTTCTGATTGACTGCAGGAAGTTCCTGCAGCCAATTGGAAACCGCAGAACCCGCGTTGGACGTTCAGTTTCCAAAGAACGTTCGCAAACCAAAACACTCACTTCCGGGTTTTCAGTGCTCAGGAGGCAAAACGTTCGACTCTCAAGGCATTCGGGATCCAAGGTATGAACTGTATATAGTTTATGCGTCAGAGACTAAAGCAGGGAAAGGGAACCTCAGGCCTGAGGGAGGGGCTAGATGTGGCCCTTTGAGTCTCTCTATTTGGCCCTCGAGAGTCTCTCCCAGGCCACACCCATCACAGTCCCTGCTTTACACCCTCCTTGAGCACTTTTGCCTGGCCAGAATGTTTGCAAACTCCTTCCTTGCCTGAATGGGGTATAGAGTCCATAAACATTAGTTGCTGCACCCATTTTTTCTTCCGGCCCACCCACCACCTCCCTGTTGGTCCGGGGGGGGGGCGTTGCCTATAGGGGAATGCAGCTCTTCTCCCCAGGGACACAGGCTTAAAAGTTCATCCCTGAAGATATTTGTTCTTTTCCCCCTCTCTCTTTTCCAGCTTTGATTTTTCTGTCACCTTGTTTGCATTCTTGGGCCTCCTGGCACTGGCGTTAAACATGGAGCCGTTCTACTTCATTGTAGTCCTGCGGCCTCTGCAGTTACTGAGGCGAGTAATTGGTTGAATATGTACAGAGGGAATGGCAAACCCAAGAGCTCGAACGATTCGTTCCTAACTGAGGTTTGATGAAGGCCTTGGCTGACAGGATGCCGAGAGGCCAGTCTGGGGGTCAGGAGAAAGGGGAGAGCAGTTGTATTATTGTTCATTTTAATTGCGTATGGACTCCGTTGTTGCTTGCAAACGGTTTAGAAGCCATTTTGGCATGTAAGTGGTATAGAATAAAGAATGTTAATAATCATATTGCGTCCCAGTTCTGGGCACCACAATTTAAAGAGGATGTTGACAAGCTGGGATGTGTGGAGAGGAGGGCAACCACGATGATCAAGGCTCTGGAAACCAAGCCTTATGAGGAACGGTTGAAGGAGCTGGGTATGTTTAGCCTGGAAAAGAGGAGACTGAGAGGAGATAGGATAGCCATCTTCAAATATCTCAAGGGCTGTCATATGTCATATTGTTCCCATAAGAAGGAACAAGCTTGATTTCTCCTGCTCTGGAGGGTAGGACTCGAATCGATGGTTTCAAGTTGCAAGAAAGGGGATTCCGACTAAACATCAGGAAGAACTTTCTGACAGTAAGAGCTGTTTGACAGTAGAACGGCCTCCCTTGGGAGGTTGTGGACTCTCCTTCCTTGGAGGTTTTTAAGCAGAGGTTGGGTGGCCGTCTGTCAGGGATGCTTTAGCTGAGATTCCTGCATTTCAGGAGAGAGGACCCTTGAGATGGATGCCTTCTGACTCCACAATTCTATGATTCTATATTGTAACAATTGCATCCTTCTGTAACTCATGCATGTTGCTGCCCACTCCCTTTTTGTTGTTGTTGCAGGCTGTTTAAGCTGAAGAAACGCTACCGGAATGTCTTGGATACCATGTTTGAGCTGTTCCCCAGAATGGCCAGGTAACTGAGAGCGGAAGGTGCAGCAGACACTGATGGCCACCAACTTGGATGGCTTTAAAAGAGGACTGGACAAATTCATGGAAGAATAAGGCTATTGGTAGCCACTAGCCATGATGGCTGTGCTCAAGAGGTAGTTATGGCCACAAACTTTACATTAGCTTGAAAAATTATGCTATCATAGGCTACTAGCCATGATGGCCGTCTTTTGCCTCTGAATACCAGTTGCTCAAATCAGGTGTGAACACTGCTGTTGCACTTGGGTCTTACTTTCAGGCTTCTGATTGGAGTGTCTTGTTGATCATGGGAGAACAGGAAGTCGGACTAAATGGGCCTTTGGCTCTTCCTATGTTCTTAAAGACCACAATAAACAATGTCAACATACAAAAACTCACCAGGCCCTTCTGATGGCCAGTGGCTCTAGGTCAAGAGGGCACTGAAGCCTTTCTCGTTGGCTCCCTCTTTTTCTCCTGGGATCCCTTCCATGTCTTGCACGGTCGAGCTTTAGAGTCCTTGGGCTTCTCTGCTGAAGGCATCGGAACGGAGCAGATTCCCTTAGATCACCATAAACTCCCTAACAGAAAAGCCTAGCTGCCCATGATTTTCGCTTTGCTTAACCTTGGCTTTTTTCTCCTTTAGCCTAGGTTTAACATTGCTCATCTTCTATTACTGTTTCGCCATCATTGGCATGGAGTTCTTCTCAGGAAAGCTCTTCCCAAATTGCTGCAAGTGAGTGCCCAGCATTTTCCTTCCGTCTGGAAAGTATTTACCGTGCCTTAAAGTCGGGAGCCTTAAAGATGTGTCTGAATGGAAGTGGGGAGAGATAGGTTCAAGTTCTGCATTGTTTACCTTGCAGGATTGTTTTGAGGATTCAAGTGGGCTGGGCTGGGCAGGGCAGAGGCGGGTGGGTGGGTGGGTGGAATGGGAAGAACTCTATACAGCATCCTAAGCACTTTTTGGAAGAGGGTGATAAAAATATCATTAGTTGTCCATTTGTTTCTGGGTCCAATTCAAGATGCTCATGTTGGCATTTAAAGCCCTAAACTTGGGCCCCAAATATCTGAATACTGCCTCTTTCCCTGCAGAACATATCAGGTGTTAAGATATGTAAAGGAGGCCCCTCTTAGTAGTTCCACCTACCCCTGCAGTTTGGGGTGATGGCAGCCTGGGAGAGGGCCTTCTCTGTGGGAGCCCCTAAGCAGTAGAACTCCCTCCCCTTTGATGTGCTCCTGGCACCTTCACTAAACAGCTTCCAGCCACTGCGGAAGGCACACTGGCCCTCGACACCTGGACCCGCCCTATTCCTGTGATTGTAATCTAACTCTTTTACATTACAATTACAGGAATAGGATGGGCCCTGAAAACACACATCTCAGGTGTCGAAGGCCAGTAGCCACCGCCACAGGTCCTTGAAGCCACTGAGTTGCGTTAACTCAATAATAATAATAATAATAATAATAATATTTGCACCCCACCCATCTGACTGGGCTGATTACAGCATCACGGCCTTATGGCTTCTGTTCTGGGACACAGAAACATTTTCCAGGCTACCCACCCCCTCTGCTGTCCAGAGTTACATTTGTAAAAAAATAAAAAACCACCTCATCCCTTATATACTCGACAAATGGCTGTGTTCTCCTGGAGAGGGCCTCCTGCAGGTACCACTGTATCAGGAGGTCCATTTTGTGTGATGTCATAAACAGGGCCCTTAGTGTGGTGGCACCTAATTCTTTGGAACGCCCTCCCTTTGCATATCAGTCTGGCACCATCTCATTCTGTCTTTAGAAGGCTTTCCTCTTTCAACAAGCCTTCTAAATGGAGATTTTTTAAAATCCCAGTGGGCATTTATATCAGATGTGAGTCCCACCCCCCCATAAGTGCCACAATGTTTTTTTCAATTGTGTTTATATAGGTAATTGTTTTATATAAGTTTTTATTGTCTTGTGAAATTGCTTTGAAATGTTTCATGGGAAGTGATTCATAAATAAATGGAAAAGGGTATATCGTCAAGCTACTGTGAGCCATTTTGTATTATTATTTTCAAACATTTTCACAATAATCTTCATACCAAATAGTTGCAATGTTTCATAAATTCACTTCCCGCCCCCATTTCCCCAGTGTTTTTACTCAGACCCTTTCTACTGCATTGTATCTTTTATCTACTACACAAAATTTCTCTGTTACAATCATTTTATCATTTTTCTTCCCCTGCTTTTATCTCAAATCCTGCCTCTGATTTCATTTGACTATAGTATCTTTTTTAAAAAATAGTCCACAAAAACATTTTGTACCTGCTTCTCCGTTCAGCGCCAGCACGGTGGCAGATTCCTATCGCTGGGTCAACCATACCGTGGGAAACAGGACGGTGATGGAAGAAGGCTACTACTATCTCAACAACTTCGACAATGTTTTGAACAGTTTTGGTAAGAGCACAAATCCTAGCGCCCTCTGCTGATGTAGCCAGGAAATGCCGCTGGGGAATTCGGTAGGGACTTCTGCAAGAGACGGTTGCTGCCTGTGAGCAGGGTGAATAAAAATCAATGATTTGAAAAATAAAAAAACCAGATTTTTAAAAATTTAAATCAGAGGTTTTTTTATTTAAGTCAGGTTTTTTAATATTAAATGTTTTTGGAGCAAACATCTTTCTGAATACAGTTTTCTGTTCAAGTTACATTATAGTCCAAAGGCTATTCATCAGGAAATAAGGATTTGTTTTAAGTTTTTCATGTGTGCTAAAACTCAGTTTTTTTTAAAAAAAACACCACACCGTTTAACCACATCAGTTAACAAACATGGATACATATGCTCTAATGTTATTGTTTTAGTTAAATAAATTGTTTAAATTGTTATTAAGGAAATGATTATTTTTCTCCTTCCAATAAAGTACTGCAGAAAAGTTGTCCAAATATAAACAGTCAACTTATTTAACCTCACAATAATTTCATAATTATCTGTCAATGTATTTCTAATAGTAGAACCAAATCCGTAATTTTTGATATAACCGTAAAAACTACTCTGAAAATTTATTATTCCAAAAATGAAACCTTCATCTGGTTGTAAATATTAAGATTATACGAGCAAGAATTAGTCTTTCTGTAAAAAAAATTGATTTAAATCAAGTCTTACTGACTAGTGATTTAAGTAAAGTCTTGCTGACTAGTGATTCTGAGCCAATCGGAAGCTGCGCCTAGGTTTTCTAACTGTTTTGGGGGTTGAGTGGACTCCCGGAACAGATTAAATTCGAGAACCAAGGTACGGCTGTACATGATTCCTGCAAAACAGGCTGGTGTGGGAGTTGTTCAGAAACATGGACCAGCTCCATGATGGCTGCCCCTGTTGCTTTCCTTGATTGGATAGTGAGCCAGCCACGCATGGCCAATCAGAGATAATGACCTAGTGCTCAGTTCTCAGCTGGGCAGTGAGCCCCGATTCACCACGTGCGATTGGCTCACTTTCGCCCAAGAAGGTGTGACCCAAGAAGGTTTCGCAGGAAGTGACCCAATGTTCCGGTTTCATCTAGCCCCCAAATTCAAGACTGCTGAGGGGGAACTGAGCCACAACAGTGACCATACAAGTGTTTGTTCTTCCCCTCTTTTTTTCCTTTTTGCAGTTACCCTGTTTGAGTTGACAGTTGTCAACGACTGGTACATCATCATGGTAAGTAGCACTCTGCCGCTCCCTGCCAGGAGCTTTCTTCTGTAATAATGTGGCTTGTGATTCCTTGGTGTCTGCGCTACTGCGCATTGGTTCATCACTGGCCATTAGATCATTGATCATTGCAGGGAATATGCCAAACAACTGGGCACATGGAAGTGAAAAGTAGAGGGAGCCAGTGCAATATGATTCTGGTAGGAATGCTATACTAATGCTGGGAAGACCTGGGTTCAAACCTGCCACACTCAAGCATAAAGTCCACTGGGCGAACTTGAATTAGTGTCCCTCAGTTCACCCATTGAGGGGATGAAATGAGTGTGAGAAGAGATAGAAAGAGAAAGTTAAGTGAGTGAGACCCAGGCTCCTCCTGGCCTGACTATTATAGTCAGTACGACCTTGACAGAAACATAACAGAACCAGTTTAAACCAGCTGTACTCAGCTTCCCAGAAGGAATAACCAAAACATCAGAAACCTCTTTCCTGTTTCTCTCACATAGAAATAAACCTTCTAGAATCCTCCTGAACCAATCAGAATAGGAAAGCTCTCTGCACATCAGATCAATGCTTTCTGCTCTAAGAAATTAAAACTGGCAATATTTTCCTTTTCAGGAAGGGGTGACATCGGAGACTTCGCACTGGAGCCGCCTCTATTTCATGATTTTCTATATTGTGACCATGGTAAGCGGAGTTGCCAACTGTGCTATTTTGTGAAGCAGTCCTGTGGCTACAGTCTGTATGTTGTGGTGCAGGGGTGGGGCCTCCAGGCGTTGTTGGACTCCAACTCCCATCAGCCCCAGACAATGGTCAGGGATGATGGGAGCCGTAGTCCAGCAAATTCAGCAGGGCCACATGCTCCCTGCCCTGTTCTGTAGCCTTCACAGTCACTCCCAAGGACCAGAAATATAGTTTGCCAGCAAAGCAGTCAAACTTTCCTTTTTGATGCATGGTCATCTGACGAAGGGTTGTAGCATCATTTATGGTTGATCCTAGAGCAGGGTTTCCCAAAGTTGGGTCTCCAGCTGTTTTTGGACTACAACTCCCATTATTATTATTTAGAAGACATCATCTGGCAGCCCTGTTTAGGGAAGTTTTTAATGTTTGAAGTTTTATTCTGTTTTTAGTCCTCTGTTGGGAACCACCCAGAGTGGCTGGGGAAACCCAGCCAGATTATTATTATTATTATTATTATCCCTGACTAGCAGGACCTTTGGCCAGGGATAGTGGGAATTGTAGTCCAAAAACCGCTGGAGACCTTACCCTACTCCATAAGTCAGCTTGAGTAGAGCAGTGAAATAAATAATTTGGATGAGCTGTTTTTGCATTGCTGCTGACCTTTTCCTTCCCCCACAGGTGGTGATGACAATAATTGTAGCTTTTATATTGGAGGCGTTCGTGTTCCGTATGAACTATAGCCGGAAGAACCAAGATTCAGGAGGTCAGTGGGGTCACCCTTGCAACTTGTTTGTTTCCTTCCTTATTTATAATAATATTTTCAGACCGCCTTCCAGGCACCATATCAAAACAGTGCACAAAAAATAAATAAACGTGTGAGTGCAAAAAACATAAAAAATTTGTAAAAACAATGCAGGATAATCATTAAAGGGGCTGGCTCATCCTAAGAGAGTGGAAACAAATGAACAGGCCTATCACAGACTTGTAGAGTTGTAAGGGGGACCACAAGGTTCATCAAGTCCAACCGCCTGCATTGCAGGAGTCACAGCAGGAATCAACTTTTTAAAAGTGCCTTCAAAAGATTCTGTGCTTTAAAAGCAACAGTGCCTGCTGAAAGATTGGGACTAGTGGCATTGAATGGGTGTGGAAGCACTTTTGAGCCATTTATTATTATTATTTTTGATCTAACAGCAGTCGGCCTTCTATGGACCACACGGGACAGGCAGGCAGGACTAGCAGTTGCCTGATGTCATCGTACATCAGGTCCCCCAAATGTCAAGCCAAAATTCTTCAGCAATGAAGCATCACGTTGTGGGTGCATTGTGAGCAAGCTCCCCCATTCTTCCTCTGCAGCCACGTCTTGAACTCCCCCCCCCCCCCGCTGGGCGCTGTGTGATGATGTCATGTGTATGGCCCAGTGGGCATGCGTGGCTTGCCCAAAATGGCCTGGTGAGCCAAGTCAAAGAGGCTTGAGCAGGCCTGATTTTGCCTGAGGTTTCCTTGCCGCTTTCCCCTTCCGTTACCCAGACAAGCCTTGTCCTTGCCTTTCTCCTCTGCAGAAGACATGGGCATTGTTTTCGAGAGAGAAGTCTCCAAGGAAGAACTGACAGCTGTCGCAGAGCTATATGGAAGGAACTGCATTGCCTCGGCTGCCAGCCAGCTGCTCAAGGTCATTTCCCAGATGGACAGGCACAGGGTGAGTAATGGGGACTGGAATTCCAGCATCTTCTGTTCACCACTTTCCAGGTATCCTCTCTCACCTCGCCACCACTTGGCTGGTCTTGTTCAGAATGATAAAACTTAAATCACTTCTGATTTAGAATGCTAGAGGGTATCCCTCTGTGGCCACTGGTCCTTGAAGAGGAAGGTAACAGAGCAATTCAGATTCCCCCACGCTTCACATGTTGCATATTTTTCCAGCACAGATTATTGGGGGGTGGGGGGGTGGAGATGCACACACTGGAATGCCACAATAAGCATGTACAGTGGTACCTCAGGTTACATACGCTTCAGGTTACAGACTCCGCTAACCCAGAAATAGTACCTCGGGTTAAGAACTTTGCTTCAGGATGAGAACAGAAATCGTGCTCTGGCGGCGCAGCAGCAGCAGGAGGCCCCATTAGGTAAAGTGATGCTTCAGGTTAAGAACAGTTTCAGGTTAAGAACGGACCTCCGGAATGCATTAAGTACTTAAACTGAGGTACCACTGTAGTAGATTTCTTCAATAATCACACCATTGTGATGTTTATGGCAACTTTGTTTGCCCTTAGTCATAGCAGTGGCTGCTTGGGGACTCACAAAAGTGGAGTCCCCAAACCTATAAATTACACAGGATTATCTAGAGAGGCACTCCGTTGCCTTAGCTTTACACAGGCATAGAAATTAAGTCCCATTCTCAGAGGAAAATCATGCCTGCATTATATGGGTTAGATGCCTGGTTCAGAAGAACAGGATGCATCCTCTATCAAACTACCGTATTTTTCGTTCTATAGGACGCACATTTTCCCCTCCAAAAATTAAGGGGAAATGTGTGTGCGTCCTATAGAGCGAATGCAGGCTGCGCCACTAAGCCCAAAGCCAGAACAGGAAGACGGAGCACTGCGGAGCGCTCCGTCTCGCGGTTCTAGCTTGGGGATGGCTGCGCGCAAAGCCTCTCCAGGGCAGCGGGGTGCCTTCACCCCGCTGCCCTGCAGAAGCTAGCAAGGCTGTTCCCAAGTCAGAACAGCGAGACGGAGGGCTCCGTCTCACTGCTCTAGCTTGGGGATGGCTGCGCGCAAACCTCTGCAGGGCAGCGGGGCGCTGCGCTCCAAAGGCTTCAGGGATCTTTGAGGCTGGCGGTGGGGGAAAGCAGCGCTTCCCCCCACCGCCAGCCCCACAAGCTCTGGTGAATGTACCTTGAATGCACCTTGTTTTAGAGGGGGAGAACAAGAAAAAAAAAATTTTCCCTGTTCTCCCCCTCCTATGGTCCGGTGCGTCCTATGGAGCGAAAAATACGGTAACTCAAGGCTGAGTTTTTTCTCCACAAATGTTCTCGACACCATTTTACAGTTGGAGCAAGCAGATTCTCCTAACAATATAATTTCACGTACTTGTTTTTACATCCCTTCTAGCATTTGAAACCTCCATTGTCCTAGGTGCATTTCGCAACAGGGAATTTCATTAGCGCAACAGTTTCTGAGCTCTGAGCACAGTACTGTGCCTCAGATTTCTGGTTAAAACTGAAGAGTGGAAGGAAAGGAGGACCTTTTTCTGCCTCCCCACTTCCAGCTACTCTCTGAAGACTGGGGAAGAGACCCTCTTAAGAATATTAGATGGGTGGGCGGGCAGGCAGGGGAAGACTAGACCATGCGAAGAATGAACATAATATTTTAGCTGTAGTTCATTCATTTTCAGTGTTGTATTCTTGTTATATAAAAGTGCACCTAGACATTCCGTTGTTGTGCCCATAACCTTGGTTTAAGGTGCCATTTAGCTCCTGGTTTTCATATCTCAGTTTCTAACACTGATTGCTTCACATGTAGACTATCTATCAAGCATATACAGTTGTACTTCAGTTTAAGAACAGTCCGGTTTAAGAACCATTCAGTTTACAAACTCCGTAAAACCGGAAATAGCGTCCCGGTTTGAGAACTTTACCTCAGTCTAAGAACGGAATCTGAACGGTGGAAGGGCACTGGCAGCGGGAAAGCGCACCTCGGTTTCAGAACGGTTTTGGTTTAAGAACGGACTTCCGGAACAGATTAAGTTCGTAAACCGAGGTACCGCTGTACTATAATTCCCACTACAGGCACCAGGTTCCCATAACTTCAGCTTCCGGACAAACTCAGGTAGGAGTGCAATATTCACATCTTAACAGTGTTTACATGCTCCCACCCCTCCCAGCACACACAGAGCTTGATAGGAAAAAACCACAACCTGTCCCCTGTTTGGCCTTTGGATTCCAGCCGTCAGTTTCATTTATTTGTATCTAGTCATCAAAAAATTCCAAAACTAACATTTAACAGTAGGGAAATAGCACAAGGTAACATCAGTGGAAGTTAACTCTGAGCTTAATAAGGTATGACATGAACAAGTTTAAATGCTGAATTTTAAGCAAATCACAGCAATGTTTCCATTTAATAAAAAGGATTGTTCCTGTTTTAACTAATATTAAAATTAAATGAATTTATGCAAATCCGAATAAAATCGTGTAAGACGCAAATGCCCCCAGCTTTCAAGAATTTATCTCCTCTTATCTGATAGAAAGCCTGCAGTGGTTGCAGTTGCAGTCTTGAGTTCCCTGTAGATAAAGTTAGAGATTTGCTCAGGTCTCTCTTGGTGGTGAGATCCCTGTGTGCTCCTAGCAGCACCAATATTAGCTGTAATCCAACTCTGGCACCCTTCAGAGGCAGTTGCCTTCTTCCTTCCTCTTATTGCTTCTCTTCCATCACTTCAGCAAACGTCCATGCTGTTCCTGGGGCGGCGATCAAGGACCAAAAGCGATTTAAGCATGAGAATGTATGAGGAAGAAATACAGGTAAGATATGTGAAACTGCTCGCATCCTAGTTATGGTTATGCAATGGTCCCTGTAGCTTGGTGGACTCAGGGATCTTCTTGGAGGTGCTGCCAGCCCCGTAAAAAAGGTTAAGTTAAGTCCAGTTGCAGACAACTCTGGGGTTGCGGTGCTCATCTCGCTTTACAGGCCGAGGGAACCGGCCTTTGTCCGCAGACAGTTTTTCCGGGTCATGTGGCCAGCATGACTAAACCACTTCTGGGGAAACCAGAGCAGTGCACGGAAACGCCGTTTACCTTCCCACCGGAGCGGTACCTATTTATCTACTTGCACTTTTTGAAGTGCTTTCAAACTGCTAGGTTGGTAGGAGCAGGGACTGAGCAACGGGAGCTCACCCTGTTGCAGGGATTTGAACTGCCAACCTTCTGATTGGCAAGCCCAAGAGGCTCAGTGGTTTAGACCACATTGCCAAATAAATACTGTCTAGGAGAGTGGGCAACTTTCCCTAGCCTCATGCCTCTAAAGCAGAGGTGGGGACTCTCTTGTCTTCGCCAGATGCTGTTGGAGCTACACTTCCTTTCTATCTTCCCAGACCATTGGTTATGCTCACTGGGGCTGATGGGAGTTGGAGTCTAGCCAGCTGTTTTTTATGTGGTGTAATGCGCCCTAGGACCTTAAGGTAAAGGATGGGCAATAAATGGCTCAGAACCATAATACCTCAAGGACTGCCTCTCTCCATATGAACCTACCTGGACCCTCAGGTCATATTCTGAGACCCTCCTTCGTGTGCCCTCCTTCATGAGAGGTCCAGAAGGTGGTAACACGAGAACAGGCCTTTTATGCAGTGGATCCACATTTGTGGAATGCTCTTCCTAGGAAAGTCCTAGGCACCTTCATTATACACTTTGAAGCGCCAGGAAAAGACATTCCTCTTTAACCAGGCCTTTGGCTGATTGACATATCGTATTTTTCTGTGTATAAGACGCCCCTGTGTATAAGATGCCCCCTATTTTGGGGGACTCAGAATTAAGAAAATGGGGGGAGATTGCCCCCATGTATAAGCCTCCCCCCCCCTTTTTAACATTTTTTAGTAAAAAGAAACCTAGTCTTATACAGTAGCACCTCAGCTTACGTTACCCTTGGGCAATGTAAACGTCGGGTTGCGAAAGTGGCAAACCTGGAAGTGTTTTGCCACATGCACATGCGCAGAAGCGCTCTACTACGCCATGTGCAGAAGCAGTCCCTCTGGTTGCGGAAACCTCGGGATCCGACTGGAGCTCCGGAACGGATCCCGTCTGCAACCAGAGGTACCACTCTACATGGAAAAGTACGGTACCTTTTAAATGTGTTGTGGAGGGGGGTGGGAATTACTGGTTTGTTTTTGTTCTTATTTTTAGTATGTGTTCTGTGTTTTTTTATAATGTCGTTTTCTGTTGTGACGTGCCTTGAGATGATGGTGATTAATAATAAGAGTAACAACAACAACAACGCTATTATTATTACAAGCAAAATTTTGGGTTCGTGCACCATTCATTGCAGACCTTCACGATTTGAGGGCAGGCTGTGGGTGTGGGAAATGAAATGATCCCAGTATTGTTGCCTCTTCCCACAGGAGTGGTACGAAGAGCACTCCAGGAAAGAAGAAAGGCAGTTTCCCTGGCAGGATGACCAGTCGCTCCATCAGCCCTCGCCGTTTCCAGGCCTCCGCCAGCGCTCTCAGACCATTATCTAAGCCCAGCTAACTTAAGCTGCTGATTTGTCTGCTGTGCATTAACCACCCCGTTTACTTACTTTGCAAAGTACGTCTCAGATTAATGCATAGCGTAGCCTGGCAGAAGAAGGTCTCCTGGCGCTCTTGTGTAAGAGAGGTTCGGCTCTCCTCTTTTGCAAAAGCTCATCCCTGTACTAGGGCCATTAAGGCATAACCAGAGTACTGCAGGATGGCTGGGCATTATGCAAGGGATGGGGGCTGGTTAACAGGGTAGCCACAGTGAATGCTTCTGGGATTTGTCTAGTGTAAAGCAGCCAGGGGTTAATTTGGCTATCTTTCCCCAGTACAGCTGGATAAAATAGTCAGCTGAAGTTATACAATCGGGCTGCTTTCCCCCAGGCATTCCAGCCTCCCAGAAGTGGGTGGCAGGCATCAGCAGAAAAAACAAAACACCACCATTTACTGCCACTGTTTGCCTGTCTCTAACTGTAACTAGGCTGCCCAGTTTTCAGCAGGACTGCCCTTTTGAGGTTCAGTTCTGTCCTCATCATCTCCATCATGGTTCAATAAGCTGCTGTGGCTCTACAGCATTTTCCCTTCTCCAACAAGGTTTGTTCCCTGTTGGGCACAAGTCCTCTACACACAAACTGGCTGAAACCTGGAAACTGGTGAATGAAGGAATCCTACCACTGCAACTAGCAGAGGGCTGCTTGTCGTGGTGGAAGCAGCTGAGCCTGTGGGCATGTGTTAAAAGCAATAACTTTGAAAGAAGGAAAACTGACCAAGGTGTAATCCTGCAGTCACTGCACAGCAGGGTCCAGGTTGATCCGCATCACTTGCTGCAATTTATTTTTTATTTTTTAAAAATTACCAGCTCTTTATTAGCCGTTGGCTCTGTCTGACAGCCCTCCACCACACAAGCTAGAGGCAAACAGAGATGCAGCAGAGTTCGCCTTTGGTTTGCAATATGAACATTTGACAACATGTAATGCTTGCCTCAAAAATGACGGTACTGCAGGCTTCCCAAATTCTTCTCCGGCTTAGAATGTTACTCTGAGCTGGAGAAGAATTCCATGCCTCCCACTTACCTACCTAAACTCTGTTGCTTATAAGCAGAGAGGAAAGGTCTTTCTCCCCGTGAACTGTTAATATTCCCAGCAGCACTGGGAAATGGAGCCTTCCTTCTCCTCTTGACGGTATGCCATAGCAGCACATAGTGAAGGCAAAGGGGAAGAGACAGAATTTCCTGCTGCAAGATAAACAAGCGTGACGGTGCTTTTATTTGTCCAATTTTAACTTTAGTAGGCTCATAATAAGCCAAGCTATTTCCCAGGTGGTTTTTTTTGTTTTTGTTTTTTAAAGAATAAGGGCTTATTCTGAGCAAATCTGTGTTACCACAAGTAAGACAGCATAGCTTGTGTTTGCAGAATCCCAGCTCACCTGATCTGTCCCGAAGACAGACGAGGAGCTTTCCCTATGGTGGTCAGGGAAGATGTTCTCTTGAGACAGATTCTGTCAGCAGAAGCAACCATTGGTCTTGCAGCACCTGCCTCTAGACAGATTCTAAAACCCCAGATAGTGGCCTGCTCAGGGAAGCCATGCCTGTTTAACTCAGTTCCAGCCTTCCTTAAGGAGAAGTGTGCAGCAGTACCAAGTGCTGCCTAAGATGAGGGTGAGAGTTCTGTGGAAGTTTGGGGTTCACGCACTGCAGAAAACATCAACCAGCAGTGATTGCTGCCCCTACCCTTTTTTTGGGTGCATATAACTTATTTGCTGATGGAAGGCAAATTCCGACCTTGTGATGGTGAAATGGAAGTTTTGTGCCCCTTCGTGTACCAGACCACTAACTAGCCCAAGGCTAGCCAGTGTGTCGGCCTCCAGATGTTGGTGAGCTCCATCATCCCTGCATGGCCAGAGATGATGGGAAATGGAGCCCATCCACAGATGGAGGGCGCCGTGTTGGCTACCCCTTGAACTAGCCTAAGGATCAAACCTGTGTGCAGTATATATCTGGGCCAACAGCCGCCTCCACTGGTTATAAACACTTGGGGCCGCTATTCTTAAAAAGTGTTTTTCTCCTAATAGCTGAGTACAGTTTCTGCTGCTCTACAAAGCTGGAGTCTGAGGCTTTTGAGGGAACACAATTGCTCTCTGTAGAATATTGCTGTTGTGGTTTCAGAACCGAGACATGCTTCCTGAGCTGTACTGCTAACTAACTGACCTGTCTCTCAACTTGCACTGTATATGCCCCCCTCCCCAACTCCTTACCAGAATAAGCTAGTGATAATTCCAGAAACTGCTTCTTGCAGGATGGAAGGAAAAACAAACCTCAGCGAGTCTACCTTCTAACTTGTCTTTTCTCCTTGGCTTCCTCCAACACTTAACTCCAAAGACAATCACTTGCAGGAACGTAACACGATGGGAGGTTTGTTCGCTGCGAGTTTGTATGGCAACTGTAATGATGACGTCTGAAACAGTGTTATAGAGATATTTACAGGCACATTTAATAAACCTTTTAAAGCGTTCCTTTCTTCCTTGTTTTCTGCATTTATTTGCAAAGGGCGTTGGGGTAGGTGAAACAGCTACTGAACTGCACAGACCACTTCCTGTGGCAAGAGTGCTTCTTTTCAAAGAAGTGTGCAAGCCAAATGTAGAGCTTTCATGTTTTCACAACTGCACATGCAGTCTACTCACAGAAAAAATAAAATAGAGACCCAAGTTTTAAGAAGCCTTTGTCTCCCTTCACCTTAGATGTTTGCCTTATATTTAAAGCTCTTCCTTACGGAACCTGTTCCCCCTACCCTTCCCCCTTTTCCTAAATTGGAGGTGGTTTTTAGGCATTGCTTCCATTTAGTTTGTAAGCCATAAGCAAGGGCTGTTCATTTCTTCTTTTGCACAGTAGCACTACTAAGCAAACTTAGGCATTTTATGGAGAGTAACGCTTCCTCTACAGTGCTCATGCAGACCCTCCAAGTGTCCCTGTTTTCCAGGGACAGTCCCGGATTTACAGAAGCCGTCCTGGTTTCTGATTCGATTCAAGAATGTCCCATTTCCCCCTTAGGACGTTCCTATTTTCATCAGAGAAATGTTGGAGGGTATGGAGTTCTGCTACCCCCGAGCCAAGGAGATAAGTCATCTGAAGGCAGCCCTGTATAGTTTTATTATGGTTTTTAATATATGTCGGAAGCCACCCAGTGTCTGGAACAACCCAGATGGACAGGGTTTAAATAAAAAAACTATTATGGAATAGGACATACTTATTTTCATCAGAGAAATTCTGGACTGTATGCTGATGCACAACACACTATTGATGGTTTGCATACTCCTTGCACATAAATCCTCTTTCAGCGTCGGAACTGTGGTAAAAGTGAGGTGCGTGGCCTGGACAAACTCCTGAGGACTGGAGAGAGGTTTGATTTGGCCTCTAGCATTGAAGTTCCCCAGCCCCAGTACAGCACTGAAGACAAGAAGTAGTAATTACGTTTTGCCTTTATTAACATACCAGATGTTATGCTGTGCTGAGCAGAGAAAAGGGTTTAACAGGAAGGGAGAGTACTGCATGTATTGGCACCTGATGCAAATGCCTGATATGCAGTTAAGTCTTAAGGTCGAAGGAGATTCCTTAGAATAGCAAGCAACGTTCAAGAAAGCACTGGCTACTTTCCTTCAAAAAACCTGGCTGTGTATACTTTTAATGATGCACACAACTCATATCCATTTGGGTTCATGGTCCAGAAGTTAATTGCAGCAACTCTTGGCTTCGTATAACAACCCTAATCTCTAGCTCCCAGCACCAACAATTCATATAACAAAACAATTTTTGCAACCCACTCCCCCAGGAGATTCCTCAAGCACAGCTTTCTTGCAGCTGTAAGGGAAAGAACAAAAAGAGCTGGCCAAAATCTGCTTAGTTGCCTCCAGTAGGTTTTTAAAAACAAGCAAATAGACTTGGCCACTCAAACTAGCCCTGTAACAGCTTATACCCATTATTATTCATAGTGATGGCTCAGGGCGAGTTCTCTCTTCAGTGTTATCATTCTGAGGTAGATTTGTTAAATAGAGACAACACTTGTCCGAAGCTACACTTTGCTACATAAGACGAGAGAGGTTTTAAAAGTATGATCTCCCAAGCATCCATTACAATTAGTGGTGAGGACATGTGACCTGAAACAGAAGTTTGCTGTCGCTTAGCTTCCAACTTAGAAATGTGTCCTCTATTTGCTATTTTGGGATACAGCAGAATGCAGTGGGGATGAAACATTGGGTGGCAGAAAGCAGAACCACTGAAGTTAATGAACATACCTAACTTAGGTTGATTTCATTGGGCCTACTCTGAGCAGGAACTTCATTGAATACAAACCTCCCACCAAAAACAATAAATTGCGTGGAGAGCAGCAATCGGGATTCCTTCGGGATTTCTACTACCATTATTTCGGGATTCTCCCAGCTGACAGATTTAAGAGCCTTTGTATACACTGACATAAAAGCAGCAAACCCTTCCAGCTTTCTGTCCTTCAACTACAGGCTGCCATTTGCACCAGCTGGTACCCTGGAGCAACTATCAGGGCTCCATCAGCATCTGTCAGCAGTAATGTCTGCCCTGAGAAACCAGATGGGTAGGCAGCCATTTTAATTTCCCATGGTGCTACAGTGTGGGCATAGTAGGGACCCTATTGCAGAGCAGTTTGCCAACCCTGTAGTGACTTTGCTTCTGGGTAACAGTTATATGTGATAATTTCTGCATAGGGTTTGCACAGACACAGAAGGATTCCTTGGCAAAACTCCTCAAAACGGAGAATGTTTCTACTTGAAGGTGCACAGAGCTTAAGAGCACAGAACAACTGAGGTACAAAACGGTTGCTATAAAACAAATTGGCAATGAAAATCACAGGGGGAGGAAATATTATAAAAATACAGATGTCTTTGTTACAATAAAATCATCACCATGCAGATAAACACTCCAGTAATAAATCCTGTATGGTATATGCTTTGAATATGCCAAATACTTTCCACCACAAATGTCTTCCATCAATGGTGTCATGTAAAACAAAGAAAATGACAAATAGCTAAAAACATTTTAAAAACAAACAAAAAAACACCTACCAATCCAGGATAAACAAACAAGCAATCCAAACCCAACCTTGGTTTTGGCTCTTGCATACAAAACTTTATAGAGGACAAAAGACTTCAAAACTTCCTTTGAAAACATCAATCTTGAAAAAAACTGTCAATTTTCAATAAGTCCTAATTATGCTAATGCAAACTTCAGCCTTACCAAATGTCTGCATTAACTTGCAAAGTCTTGAGAAGGTTAAATTTGAATCAAAGCCTACTGGTATCAGCTTGTCATTATTTACCCAAGACACGCTGACATTTTTAAAGAGAGCTAAATCACATTTATTTATTCATTTCCTTCCCAACCTTCACCCTAAGGTCCCTGGGAGGGTTACAATATTAAAGCACAATTAAAAACATATTTAAACAACTTGCAATCATAAAAATAAGGTGGACCCTAAAAGTAATTTAGTTTCCCTGATGCTATCTTAGACCTTTGCAGACCTTTTGTTCTGAAATGTATTTGGCACATGTTGAAGAAGACTTGCCCTACTAAGTTCATTATTGGATGTTTCCTAAATATGATAAATTTTACTGTAATAAAAATTTATGTATTTAATCTATTCTCCCCCTTAACTCTCAGAATCCTTTTTAAAAAACACCTAAATACATTTTAAAACATCTTTAAAATTGCTGACGTTTCATCAAGTGATAAAATTTGTAGTTTGCAGGTACACCAATGTAAGGAATAAATGGAGTGTGATACCACTAAGAGCTTCTTCCCAATATATGAGTTTGTCTATTGTAGATGTGAGGAACCTTTAGCTCTTCAGACACACCTGAACTATAGCTCCCATCAGCCCTGGCAAGCATGGTCATTGGGCTAGGGGCTGATGGGAGTTGTAGTTCAGCGATAGCCGGAGGACCAGAGGTCGTCCCCCACCCCACCACCTGAGTCTATTGCTTCTGGTTAGTAACATTTAAACCTAATAGCGATACTAGTGAGATGACTTCCTAGAGCAGGGATGGAGGAAACCAGTGGCCTTCCAGAGGCTGTTGGGACTTCAACTCCCATCAGGCCCTCACAGCACAGCCAGCAGAGAGGGATGATGGGAGTTGAGGTCCAGAAACACCTGGAGGACCCACAGGTTCCTTCATCCCCATCACAGAGAAACTCTTGGAAATGGATACAGTCATACCTTAGTTCTCGAATGGCTTTGTTGTCGAACAAATTGGCTCTGGAACGCCTAAAACCTGGAAGTAAGTGGTCCAGTTTTTGAACGTTTTTTGGAAGCTGAACATCTGACGTGGCTTCGACTTGAGTGCCGGAAGCTCCTGCAGCCAATTGGAAGCCGCACCTTGGTTTTCGAACAGTTTCGGGAGTCAAACAGACTTCTGGAATGGATTAAGTTCAAGAACCAAGGTATGACTGTATTCCCAAACCACAGACCATAAATACTAATTGAATGCCAAGGAACATACTTATGAGTAAAATATCATAAGAGGAGCCTGCTGGATGAGACCAGTGGCATATCTAGTATAGCATCAAGGGCTACCCAGATGTCCCAGTGGGACACTGGCAGCCAGGACCTGAGCATGAAAGCACTTTCTGTCCTGTGGTTTCCTAGCAACTGGTATTCAGAAGCACCCTAAGTTAGCTGGATGAAGTTTGCTATCCAGTTTTCCTTTTGCCTTTGAGTTCTTGTGTTGCACAGCAGTACTTAAAGCACTGCCCATGTCCAGTTCCCCACTTCCAAAGAACCTACTAGCTGTAACCATTGAGACATTCTCTGTGGTTGTCCCATTGTGTCACTCTGAATGAGGCAAGTTAAAACAAGGTAGTGGGAAAAGTTCTGGGTTTCCAAACACTGATGAATGAAACATTCTGAGATTGGATACCAGCAGACAGAATTGCCCAACGGAGAGAAACCGGCAGGGCCCTTTTTTTGAGGAACAGTGGGACAAGGGAAAGCTTTTTAGGACATCTTTGTCCAGACCCACCGTCTGGGTGGATTAACCAAGCTGGCCACTGTGCAAGGCTCCCAGACTTCCTGTTGCTCAACACGGGTGCTGAAAAGCTTGTGTGATCCTGCAGCGCGTTGGTCAAGCGCTGATCCCAGGAATAAAACTCCCTTGTCATGCCTCTGTCTCCCAGGATGAAACTGACTGGAAATTAGCAGCAAATCAGCAAATCACATGCAGCAAGATGCACTTGTGCAAACTCAGCTTACAATTTTGTCAGCCCAGAATGAAACAAAATAAAACGGGTTTGCTGCAAAAAAAGTGTGGGGGGGAAGTGACAATAACACAGCAGGCCACAACACACACAAGTGCCTCAGGTTGTGCAAGCAAACTCATGATGCCACAACTTCTGAAGTCTGTAGTTGTACCCTGGGCTATAGTCTGTGTTCTCAAAGGGCATCATTTCCAACTCCCCAAAAATCCTCCAGAGAACAAAGCAATTAATAGTGCAATCCGATCCACGTCTACATAGAAGTAAGTCTTAATTTAATGGGGCTTGCTCCTAGGTAAAATGAGGTTAGGATTGCAGCCTTAATGATTCAGCCAGCATTCCTCCCAGCTTTTTGAATGGAAATGATCAAAGGCTGGGATGATACAGACGCCCCACTCAGCCCAGATATTCTTAAAGGAATGCCTCTGAGCACGTTAAAAGATATAAGCAGCTACATCCAACACCAGCTTTACTGAAAGCAGCCCCATTGAAATGAATGGAGCTAAGTGAGTTCTGTTTGATGACTTCAACGGGTCTACTTCTGTGCAGAAGTAGCCTTGGATATGAAAGCCAAGAAGTTTCTTGGCACAATGGTGAAGGGGGGGGGGGGAGGCCAAAAATAAATACGTTTTCTGAAAGGCAGAAAAAGGCATCCAACGCTCCTAGTGAGAGTTTTGGTGGAAACCAAAAACGACACACAAGGTTGGAGGCCAGTAATTTATGAGCATAGAAAGTGGAATAGCTATGGCGCCCTTGCATTTAGACCACATCTGGCAAAAGAGGGGGGTTTGGGGGGCGCACGAAATACTGACCATATCCATTTGCCGGACAACGACCACATTGACACCATTCACTTAAAGCACTACGATAGCACTTTAAACAGTTATGGAGCCCCCCCCCACACAAAGAATTGTATTAAGAGTACTGAAAGTTGTGGGGAGGCCCTTATTCCACTCCCAGAGCTACAATTCCCAAGCTTCCCTGTGAAGAGGAATTGACTGTTAAACCGCTCTCAGAATTGTTGCTCTCGGAGGGGAATAAGGGGTTGTCCTAAGAACTTTCGGCACTATTAACAAACTACAGCTCCCAGAATTCTTGGGGAAACCATGACTGCTTAGAAGTGCCACCATAGTGCTTTTAAATGTCTGGTGTGTGAATTCAGGTAGCGAATGGGAGCATTTCTGCTGAATCCACTACAACGTTGCAGCCTGGGATTGCTCCTGTTCCAGCCTCTAGTCCATTCCCATGTTTTCCATCCCACTTCTAAAAAACTCGCAGCACTCAGTGACCACCAATGACATTCAGCTGGGCTGCCTGCAGTCATGGGGACCCCTTTGCAATCAGCAAGGAGGTCTGGGTAACCACTGTTATCTCTTCAATGGGGTTGGTCCATGAGAGATCACCACATTAAAGGGGAAAAAAATACATTAACTACTAAATCTCAGTTTTGCTTAAAATTGCTGTACCCTTTCACTCCAACTGTACAACATCTGTGCTACCAACTATCAAACTTTGGAACTGTTGAAATATATACAACAAAAAATTAATCCATTTGAGTTGGGTGACTCAAACTGGGTCTTTAAACCCGAAAATGTTAAGCAATGTGGATTAAAGTCATTTCAGGGGCCCCTCTGGGATTAGGGGCCCTGGATCTTAAGCTTCACTAGTTTCATAGTACAGTTGTACCTTGGAAGTTGAGCGGAATCTGTTCCGGAACTCCATTCGACTTCCAAAACATTCGAAAACCAAGATGTGGCTTCTGATTGGCTGCAGGAAGCTCCTGCAGCCAATTGGAAGCCGCGGAAGCCCTGCTGGATGTTCGGCTTCCAAACATAGTTTGCAAACCGGAACACTCACTTCCGGGTTTGCGGTGTTGAAGATCCAAAATGTTCAAGAACTAAGCTGTTCGAAAACCAAGGTACGACTGTAGATCCGCCCCTGGAACTCACTGCTGGATACTGGAAATAAAAGGGTGTTGTGTGCATGGCTTTTTTTAAATGCAATACCTCTTAGTTGTAAATTTGCAGTTTCCAACCGAAACTTGAGAAAACCAAGAGCCACAAGCAGTACATACTGGGAGCAGTATGCTTTACCATCTTTCAACACGGACAGGATCTAAAAACCACTCCTTGCAAAACCCATCCCCAAAAAACCTGACAATGTTCTTTTCTTTTTTTAAAAAAAGTTTTTGTTTAAAACCTAAATAATGCCTTTCCTTATAAGAAACATTAATACTGATTGGGGGAACCGATGGCCTGTCCCCAAGGCCAAATGATCCCTGACTTATAATATAGGTCTTTAAAAGCAGGTGGCACCCTTGTGCCTTGAAAGACCGCAGCAACCTAACAACAGCTTGCCCGGGGCTCTGCGTAAGTTTCCAAGGTTTGAGTTGTGGTCTTGCTTCCCTCCGAGCAGCGGGTAACAGTCAAACCTGACAACCAGGTCCCTTTGGGCACTCGCTGAGGGTGTGTGCTTGTTGCAAGGCACTGTCTTCAAGTAGAGCAGCTCGGTCGCAAGAAGGGGACATTTGCAACCCCATCACCATTCTGCAATAACGTCAGAAGGAGGTCCATGATGAGAGATGTTTTCTTCAGACGGAGGCCAGCCGGATCACCCTGAACTCCGTCAGCAGCGCAACAGTCAAGAAGACCAGGTAGTAGACGATGAGGCAGCAGCCGTAGCCGTGCCCCAGATGGAAGCACTGAGCGGGCACAGAGAGGAAGGAGAAGATCAGGCTGAGGCCCAGCGCACCGGCCAGGATCCACACCAGAAGGCCCTCGGATTCCAGCTGCAAAGGGGAGACCGGAAAAGGGGAGTGAACACACCAGATGCCATGGAAGACAGGACTAGACCTAAAGCAGGACAGCTAAAGTGGGCAAGGGCTGTGGCTCAGTGGTAGAACATCTGCCTTGCATGCAGAAGGTCCCAGGTTCAAAGCCCGGCATTTCCAGGTTGAGCTGGGAAAGACTTCCTTGTTTCTGGAGAGATGCTGCCAGCCAGTGTAGACATTACTGGAATAGATGGGCCGACTCAGGGTAAAGCAGCTACCCAAGTTGTACCCTCCAGATGTTGTTGGGCTACATCTCTCATCATCCCTGACTGTTGGACCTGAACATGGCCAGCCTGGCTTCAGTTGTCTATGCTCTGGTGAAGACTACTGCAATGCACTGTACTTAGGACTGCCTTTGAACCATCAATTGTCCCTGACCATTGGCCATGCTGGCTGTGGGCTGATGGGAGTTGGGAGTCTGACAGCATTTGGAGGAATGCAGGTCTGTCCCACCGCCCCTGAGTGGAAGGAGAAATGGCAATGAAAGCGCCTGTACCCTCACGACTAGCTTGCTGCTCGTCATCTGAAGGAGGCAGCCGAGTCCAACGCCAACGAGCATATCTGCCGGCAAAGTTCAGGAAGAAGAAGAGGAGTTTGGATTTGATATCCTGCTTTATCACTACCTGAAGGAGTCTCAAAGCGGCTAACATTCTCCTTTCCCTTCCTCCCACACAACAAACACTCTGTGAGGTGAGCGGGGCTGAGAGACGTCAGAGAAGTGTGACTGGCCCAAGGTCACCCAGCAGCTGCATGTGGAGGAGCGGGGAAGCGAACCCGGTTCACCAGATTACGAGTCCACCGCTCTTAACCACTACACCGCACTGGCTCTCTTAGGAGACAATCTGGCCAGGAAAAGCAATCAATCAGTGACCGGCTGTCCTCCCTTCCCTCCCCAGTCCCACAGAGGCAATGGACCTAGCCAGCAAACCCAAGCTGAGAGCAAATTCACACAAGGAGTGGATGCGAAATTGAGCCAGCTGGCTTCTTGCTGCTGGAAGCCCCAGGCACCAGTCTGTAACACAGCAAGCAAAATCCACTGACTTTCTCCGACGAAGGCACACGGACCTAGGATCTACATGCAACAGTTTGTCCAGGGCAGCTTCAATGGAGCCTCCCCATCCAGAGGCAGAATACCTCTTGAGCACATTTATTCTCCTACAAACAGGAGACCGGGGGGTACTGCCTCCACTGTTCTGCTCATGAGCTTCCCAGAGGGATATGGCTGGTCAACAAGGCACCTGTCTGATGCAGCAAGACTCTTTGCATGCTAAGAGCGAGAAGCCTTTAGAGCCAAAGATAAACCCTCTTTGGGCATTCAGCTTGCATACACAAGGGCAAAAGGAGGAAACATGCAGAGTAGGTGTTGGGAACCTTTGGCCCACCAGATGTCGTTGGACTACAACTCCCATCATCCCTGTCCGTGGGGGCCAATGGGAGTTGTAGTCCAGCAACATTGGGAGGGCAAGTGCTTCCCCACACCTGGTACAGAGGGCCAGTCCTACCCCCAACTTCTCAGCATGTGGCAAGTGTACCTGCTCCATCCAACTTTCCTGTGTTAAGTGGGGAGGTCTTGAGGGTTAGGGTTCTAGGTGCATTCAGAACTTAATGCTAAGTTTGCAGAAGAAGAAGAAGAGTTTGATATCCCGCTTTATCACTACCCTAAGGAGTCTCAAAGCAGCAAACAATCTCCTTTCCCTTCCTCCCCCACAACAAACACTCTGTGAGGTGAGTGGGGCTGAGAGACTTCAAAGAAGCGTGACTGGCTCAAGGTTACCCAGCAGCTGCATGTGGAGGAACAGAGACTCGAACCCGGTTCCCCAGATTACGAGTCTATCGCTCTTAACCATTACACCACACTGGCTCTCGCAGAAGGTGTGCGTGCACTCATGTTTTTTAAATTATTACCACTACTGCTACGTATCCCAGGTCAGTCTTGAGGACCAACACTGGATGCCTATGAAGGCCTTCCAGGGAGTGCAGCCCGAGTCTGGCAAGGCAGACTGCAACCCGTCAGCAGATCACCCGCAAGGTCTCACTTTGCATCTCTTAGTACATAAAGTATTGGTCTGATGTGTAGAGATCTTTTCTAATTCTACTTAATTCAAGAGGGTTCTGGAAGCTTCCCTGTGTGAAAGAAGCAAGCAGAAGGTTCATGATGTTTGGGTTATTCCTTCAGAGAAGCTGAGGCCATGCTGACTATAAAAGTCTCTATATCTCTCTTTCCTTCTGGTGTGGTGTTCTGTACATAGTATGCTTAGTGTTGAGGTTTAGACTTATTATAAGTTATTATAAGTATAAGTTTAAGTCTGCTGCAACTGGATTTCTTATGGACAGTGCCAATCCTGAATGTATTAGATTTGTGACCATTATGCTCATTTGCCTTCAGTAAAGCTCTGCTGGATGAAATACTAATTGCCTCTAGTCTATTTTTGGGGAATCCTGCAACGTGTTTAAGTTTTTACTCCGCTAACTATACAACTGGAATCTACTCTGGATCAATATTGAGTAGAGTTTCAATGACACAAGGATACTGAAGATGATGCCACCAAAGCAGGCAGAAAAGGCCATGCGGGGGTATCCCTGCCGAGCCATCGTGAGGTCTGAGAAGGTGTCTGAAAGACAAGTAAGGGAAAAACGGGGGGACACGCATCAATATATATTAACTTTAGCTCCCACAGATTGGATTTGTTGATGCAGGTTCATTTTGTGGGGAGGAAACAGTGAGAGGGTGGGTTCCCAAACTTGGGTCTTCAGCTGTTTTTGGACTACAATTCCCATCATCCCTGATCACTGGTCCTGCTAGCTAGGGATGAGTGCCTCATAGGCTTAGGAAACAGTTTTCAACCAGGTGAGTTTTCGCTATCTTAGCCCAGTATTGTCTACACTGACTGGCACAGCCTTGGTCAGAGGAGACCCTTTTCCTGTCTAACCCTTTTAAGCTGGAGAGGCCGGGGGTTGAACCCGGGACCTTCTGCATGCAAAGCAGATTCCCTGCCACTGAACCATGGTGTTTTCCCATCAGAAAGCTGTGCTATGCGTGTGGTCTGTTTGTGGGGCTTCCCAAAGGCATCCGATTGGCCAACTGGGTGAAAAGGATGCTGGGACTGCATAGGTTGCTTGACTGATCTGTCATGCAGCCCATCATAACCAAAGCAGAGCTATTCTGAAGTGGTGATGGGTCACTAACTTAGAAGGTTTCTTTTTTTAAATGAAATTGTGGTGCAGGGATTAGACAAAATCACAGAGGAAACAGGCTGTCAGGTACGTTTATATTTATATCCAACCTTTCCTCCAAGGAGCTCAAGGCATAATAATAATAATAATAATAATAATAATAGCTATTTCACAATTTAGTTCACAAAATTTATATACCACTTGAATTGAAAAACAAATGAACAAATCCCAAAGCTGTTTTTTTAAAAAAGAAATTACTAATTTATTATTATTAATATTATTACCCACTCTTCAGCCCAAGACCTGGTTAAAACAATTTAAGCACTAGGTTAAAACAGTTTAAAACAATTGACAATCACATAAACAAGGCTGTTTTTAAGAATATACAACTCTGAATTTCAAAAGCCAGGCTAAAGAGGTATGTGCTTCTCCCCCTCTCCATTTTAGCCTAACACCCACTCTGCAAGGTAGGTTGGCGACTGGCCTAAGGGGCACCCAGTTGCTGGGTATAAAAGCAGCAGGAGGGGGCTATTGTTCCTTTTTCCTGCTCTGGGGGCCTCCACTGCTTGTAAGTGACTGTGCGTCTCCTCGGGGGTAGGGTAGGATATAAATGCAATACATACATAAATGCCCAAGGCCTCTTTCCTCACCAGACCCCAAGTGCTCACCTCCAATGCTGTTTCCCCAGGCCAGCAGCGTCAGCCCCAAGACAGTGTTGCTCAGTCGGAAGATCACCCCCAAAGTCCTCAAGACGTTCACCACCTCTGTGGCAGCAGCGTTGATCCACAAGGCGCTGACCAGGAAGCCCAGGAAGGCAAATAACTGTTGCGGCATCATGAGAAAAAGATCCGAGGGTGGGGGGAGTAGTAGAGAACTGTCAACAAGGGCCTTCACAAAGCCACCTTTCCTTTGTTGTCAGGGAGCAACAAACATCTCCTTGCCCCTTGGTTGTGTCTGGCTGTTAAATGGGCTGCTGCCGTATATGTGACAGTAACCTTCATCACCTGTTTTATTTTACCTGTAAACTCACAGAATACATGGTACAGTAAGCCCACAATTTATGTGGGGTTTACATTCCAGGGATCATGCCTGAAGCCAAAACTGCATATACTGGCCCAGTATACCTGAAGGAGTGTCTCCACCCCCATCGTTCAGCCCGCAAATTGAGGTCCCACTCCGAGGGCCTTCTGGCGGTTCCCTCACTTCAAGAAGTAAGGTTACAGGGCACCTGGCAGAGGGCCTTCTCGGTGGTGGCACCCACCCTGTGGAACACCCTCCCATCAGATGTCTTTTACAATTTTTTTGCAATTTTTTAAAATTCATTTTATAACACAAATAAAGAACACAAATAGAAAAACAAACGATACAAATAGATTCTTGTCTTACCCTTATTTTTCTAAACATTGTTAGGTGGGCTTTCCCAAGTCCCACCTATCTGATTTTCATTTTACCCTCCCATCAGATGTCAAGGAAATAAACAACTATCTGACTTTTAGAAGACATCTGAAGGCAGCCCTGTTTAGGGAAGGTTTTTAATGTTTGATGTTTTATGGTGTTTTTAATATACTGTTAGAAGCCACCCAGAGTGGCTGGGGAAACCCAGCCAGATGGGTGGGGTATAAATAAAAAATTTATCATCATCAGCAGCAGCAGCAGCATCAATATCATCATTATAGCCAAAACACATTGAGTTCAGTGGCGGGTGAGATTGCTAAAGTCCTATTTCCTGGACGCCTGCCCCCTTTCAGCCCTCTTTCTCTTAAATAAATAATTGTTTTTGGTCAAGTGTGTAAAAGCTGAATGCACACAAATAAAATACACATAAGTTGTGGGCTTACTGTATTAAAGTACAATTTACTCAGAGAAGACCCATTGAAATGAACATGACAAGGGGCACATTTGCAACAAGCGTTTATAAGGCGCTATGATGCCACTTTACACAATCATAGCTTCCTCTCCCCAACAATACTGGGAGCTGCAGTTTGTTCAGGGTGCTGAGAGTTATTAGGAGACACCACCACCCCTATCCCCCCCCCTCACAGAGCTAAAACTCCCAGAGCTCCCTGTGAAAAGGGACTGATTGCTAATCCGCTCTGGGTGCAGGATGAAAAGGTTCACGAGAGAGATTTGAGCAACGGTGCTCACCCAGTGATATCGGGGTGGCTCTTCGTTCCTCGTAGTGCAGAAGACAACGACAGCCAAGGCAGCCCCCAGGAGGACCACCAGGCCCCAAACTGGGAAGACCCCGTGGATTTTGTGAAACCCATCTGCAAGAGAGCACGAGAATGGAGACACTAAGTTAGCCTTCTTATATTCAATGAGGTTGATTCATTCCCGTAATTTGAAATGGGGAGGGTGGTGTTGGGGTCAGCAAACTTTTTCAGCAGACCTTGTCCCCTGTCCCCTCAGACCTTGTGGGGGGCCGGACTATATATTTTTTTGGGGGGGGGAATGAATGAATTCCTATGCCCCACAAACAACCCAGAGATGCATTTTAAATAAAAGCACACATTCTACTCATGTAAAAACACCAGGCAGGCCCCACAAATAACCCAGAGATGCATTTTAAATAAAAGCACACATTCTACTCATGTAAAAACACCAGGCAGGCCCCACAAATAACCCAGAGATGCATTTTAAATAAAAGGACACATTCTACTCATGTAAAAACACGCTGATTCCCACAGGCCGGATTGAGAAGGCGATTGGGCCAGATCCGGCCCCCGGGCCTTAGTTTGCCTACCCATGGCTGAGGGAGTAACGAACGATGGAGTAATGATGGAGTAACAACACGCAGTCGTACATCACTTTAAGTGGCCCAAAACGCTTAGCAAGCAGCCTTACACCACGTTAGACTGCAGCCTTGTTCAAGCATTCTCTACAAATACACAAAGGGCAAAATGGGAATCAAAGGGCCACGCTGCCCTTGGGAGGAAAGGCGGGTGCTTACATGTGCCCGACTTGAGCGTGAGGATGCAGACAAGGGGCCCAGTGATGAGGTGAAGGCAGTTCAAGGGCCGCCTCCAGTTCTGATCTTCCCTGTCAGGGTCCACGATGGGCACAGTCAGCAGCAGCACAAACTCCACTGGAAGCTGGGGAGGAGAGAAAACGGGGGGTGGGTGAAAGTGCTATATAACATGTGGAGGTGATTGCCACATCCGCACAAACGGGCATATCAACGGCCGGGACTCCCTGGTGCCTTTTTAAAAATTCAAATTTGTTATTTAATTATTTCATTAAATTGACTGTTAAAAAAATGAATAAACCTCAAAGCGGTTTTTAAAAAAATAACGACTAAAACAATAAAAACACTTAAAAGCAACAATTTAGTAAAACAACAACAATTTAAACATTCAAAGAATTAAAATCAGCAAAGGACAGGCTAAACCACATGTCAGCATTCTAGATAGCTAGATGGGCCTGCCTTGAAATATTTTTTAGCAGGTGCCTAAAAGAGTAGAGTGAAGGTGCCTGCTTGATACAAATGGGCAAAAATTAATGTTTTTTAAACAATGTTTTTAATAATAATAATCAGTGTTTTTTTCTGGTGGTACACATACCCCTAAACATTTTTTTTAGAAAAAAGCACTGATTAAATTAATAATAATAATAATAATAATAATAATAATAATAATAATATGCCTATCTGAGTTGCCCCAGCCATTCTGGGTGGCTCCCAACAAAATACTAAAAATACAACATCAACCATAAAAAAACTTCCCTTAAAAGGGCTGCCTTCAGATGTCTATCACAATATAGGTGGGAAAAAAAATACAAACGTGATTTAAAATTCATATGTATAGACCCAACTGTGGCCCAAGTAATCTGTCACACCTGGAGTCTACCCACTTCTGGCCTAGGGGCAAAGATGGAGGACTTGAGGAGTCCCAAAATATACTGAGTAGAGGACACAATCCCCACCAGCCCATTCCAGTTACGGCCAAGAGACAGGGAAGGGCCGCAAGTTCCTCCATCTCTGGCCAAGGTTCCCACACAATTGTCATCATCAATGTCTAGACTGTTATTTTGTGCTTAGGTAACTTCTGTGCTGTTTCATGCATGCCACAAGGGACACGCAAAAGCCACCAGAAAAGTGAAGTGGCTGTGACACTGTCTGCAGACCCTTTACACCTCAGAGACCATGGGTGTGAAAGTTGGGCCACCAGCCATGAAGCAACCTTCTCCTCAGACAAGGGCTTCACACAGACTGGGGTAGGGGGAAGAGTGGAGAATACTGGAAGTAGAAATGTCCCAGTGTGAGGGACATGAGGCTCAGGCCACATTCACACTATGATACCACTTTAAACAGTCATGGCTTCCTCCAAAGGATTCTGGGAGCTGCTATTTGTCAAGAGTTTCTGGAGATTGTAACACTGCGAGGGGTAATACTACAGTTCCCAGAATTCTTTGAGGGGAAAAGCGTATCCTTCGGAGGTGCTTTAAATGTGGACACCACATTCACACATCAAACATTTAAAGTGCCATGATACCACTTTAAACATGACTCCCCCCAAAGGATTCTGGGAGCTGTTGTTTGTTAGGTGCCCTGAGAGTTGTTAGCAGCATTCCAAGGGGAATAGGGTGACTCCTATTTGAGTTGTTTTGTTCAGCATTATTGTACATGTTTGTGCAAAGTCCGTTTCTGAATGCTGGTCGCTGGCTGAAATAAATAAATTGATGGAAGTAAAAAAATAGAAAATAAAAATGCATTTAAAGAGAGTAACCTTGCAGATCTTGAGCAGCCGCCAATAGCAGGGCTTCCTCCTCCACTTTCGGTAATCCAGAGGATTCAAGGAGTGTGTCAGAATCTGGAGGGTGCTCTCTTCCGAAGGCAGCAAAGGTCGGTATTCTTCCCCTATGCGCAGAGAGAGGGTAAAGTGAGATAGATAGAGCCAGCCCAGAAAGGAGAAATTGACAGAGCTGTCAGCCGATTGGAAAATGTTTGCAGGGAGGGTTGCACAGAAATATTATTTACGTGTGGAGGAGGTTGCAGAGCTATTGAAGCCGCTCCCCCCAGTCACACACATTCAACGCACACCAGGAGTTGTTCTGTGTGCATATGGTTGTAGAGCCCCAGTCAGGATGCATGCACAGAACTCCTTCCGACACATGTTGAATGTGCAGGCACAGGGAGATTATTGGATCATGGGGCAATAGGGAGAGTACACACTGCCCCCCCAAAAAATTCTTTCTATGCATGGAGGGCTGTTTTATCATCCGCCTCTTGACCCATGAAATTTAAAACAAAATTTGCGGACTGCCAAACACCTTAATATAGGCTGAGAAATAGCAAAGAGCAAAGATGGTCCATGTTATGTACTGAAGTTCTCACCCTGGGCCAGCAGGGGGATAATGTAGATAGTTATGCAAATAAGGGATCGAAAGTGACGTTCAGTGATTGGATAGTTTAGAAAATTGTTACAGTTACGTTGTACCGGAGCTCTATATAAGTAGGCTGACTGAACCCTTCAGTTCAGTTCAGTTCTGTTCTGTGAATAAACAAGAGCTGTTTGAAGAATCGCTGTGTCGTCTGATATGTTCACCCACAACTTAACAGTCCACAAATGAAAACCATACTTTTAAAATCATCATCATCATCAAATAGAAATATATTAAAAAAATTGTCCAGTGGCACCTTAGAGACCAACTAAGTTTGTTCTTGGAATAAGCTTTCGTGTGCCACTGGACATTTTTTAAAAAAATTTAAATATATTTCGACTGCGTCAGACCAACACAGCTACCTACATGAATAATAAAATAGACATTCAACTTTATCGTTTTTGGCACCATCCCCTATTACAGTTAACACACCAGAATAAAAAAAAGCTTCAAGCAGTAAGCTAGTGTTCTCTTAATACACAGGTCCCTTAATTATTATCATATCGTTCAACCAATGCATTAACTAAAACCTGTTAGTAAACAGCTGTAAACAGTTAAAATTGTCAGTAGAGTTGGAATATCACTCGTCGTGTAAGGGTGAATTCTAAATACAATGGAGATGTAAAAGATTTGGATCATTATGAAAGATGCAGGAGGAAATGATTAATAACAGGATCCGCAAAGGGGAGGATGGAAGTCCAGGAGATTCCTTGGAATCTTGTTTTTATGGATCTATGTTTGATATACAGTGGTACCTCGCAAGACGAATGCCTCTCAAGACGAAAAACTCGCAAGACGAAATAGTTTTTCGTTTTTTGAGTTGCTTCGCGAGACGAATTTCCCTATGGGCTTGCTTCGCAAGACGGAAACGTCTTGCAAGTTTGTTTCCTTTTTCTTAAAACCGTTACAGTAATACAGGGTGCATTGCTTGAAGAGGTGCAGTTGCGACTTGACTTCGGGGAGCAACTCATAGCACGCGGTGTGGTAGCCTTTTTTGAGGTTTTTGAAGATTTTTTTGAAAAAATTGAAACCGTGCTTCACAAGACGAAAAAACTTGCAAGACGAAAAAACTCGCAGAACGAATTAATTTCGTCTTGCGAGGCACCACTGTATGACTGTAAAATTTTAATCTGAAAAACCAAATAATTTTATTTTATTTATTTTTTAAAACTTGACTTAGTTTTGATCTTCTGATCAAAGGGTTGCAGCACTTGTCGTAAGAGTTGGTGCGTTATCTGTTCAGCCCTCGGGAGACACGGGCTCAAATGTGACTCACCGTATTCACCTCCATTGGCGCTCGAAGTGTCCCCATCTTCAGAGTCTGTTGGCAGCTCTGCAGCAAGGCGAGGAGAGGAAAGAATAGTTACAGTGGTCCCTTGGTTCTCAAACCTAATCCGTTCCGGAAGTCCATTCTAAAACCAAAGTGTTCCAAAACCAAGGCATGCTTTCCCATAGAAAGTAATGCAAAATGGATTAATCCGTTCCAGACTTTTAAAAACAACCCCTAAAACAGCAATTAAGTATGGATTTTACTATCTAATGAGACCATTGAGCCATAAAATGAAAGCAATAAACAACGTACTGCAGTCACACAATCAATCAGTAGCTGAACTGGGTTCCGCACAGTCAGCAAAACAAAAACAGAAGAGCCGCAAAAACAAAAACGCAAAATAAATAGCAAAAACAGACAGATCTCAGCATAACACTCAAATCGGAAGCGTAACACTCAAAACTGAGCATGTTTGGCTTCCGAAAAAAGTTCGCAAACCGGAACACTTACTTTGGGTTTGCAGTGTTTGGGTTCCAAGTTGTTTGAGTACCAAGGCATTTGAGGTACCACTGTATAAGGGTTGGGAGGGTCTGCATGCAAAGCAAGAGAAGGATTTCCCTACGTATCTCTTTGCACCCCTCACCTGGCTCTGCAGGGCTAGAAGGGCCCGGCCTCTCCCTCCGCTGCCTCTTGTGAAGCCACGTAGAGACGACGACCGTCAGGACGTAGAAGATGTAGAGACAGAGGTAACCTGCAGGGGAAACCAACCCTTCACAACAGCCTGTTTGCCCTGCTCATCCTGCACCACCACACAATTTAAAACAGGCCCCTGTCTGTGTACCCAATATTACTTTTAGAGCACATCCGAAGAACATCCTTTCTCTCAAAGAATTGTGGGGACTGTAGTTCACCTGGCAGAGTAAGGGTAATCCACAGCAATCCTTAATAAACTACAGCGCCCAGAATTCTTTGAGGGAAAGGATGTGTTTTCAATGTAGAGGTCCCAATCCTACCTATATTAAAAGCCCTATGATAATACTTTGAACGGTCATAGCTCCCCACCCCCAAGAATTCTGGGAGCTGTAGTGTGTTTAGGGTGCCAAGATATTCTTATTACCCTCACAAAGCTACAGTTCTCAAGAGAGGTTTAACAGTCAATCCTTCTTTCCAAGGGACCTCTGGGAATTGTAGCTCTGAGAGAGGAGTAACTCTCAGCATGTGCAATAAACTACAATTCACAGCTCAGAGAGAGTTGGAAGGGACCCCCAACAGTCATCTTGTCCATTGCTCTTGCAACCACTGCCAAAGAATCCCTGGCAGATGGCCATCCAACTTGTTTAAAATCCTTCAGTGAAGGAGAGTCCAAAACCTTCTAGGGTAGATCATTCCGCTGTTGAACAGCTCTTGGCATCAAAAAGTTCTTCCTAATGTTTAGTCAGAATCTCCCTTTGAATCCATTGGTTTGGATTCCACCCTTTGGAGCAGCAGAAAACCAGCTTGCTTTATCTTCCATTTGATAGGCCTTCAGATAGACAGCTATTAATTAATTAATTAATTAACAACAACAACAACAACAATTTGTATACTGCCATAGATCTCAGGGAAGTTCACAACAAAAAATCACAATATAAAAAACACCTCTCAGTCCTCTATTCTCTATGCTAAACATACCCAACTCCCTCAACTGTTCCTCATAAGGCTTAGTTTCCAGACCCTTGATCATCTTGGTTGCCCTCCTCTGCACACGTCCCAGCTTGTCAATATCCTTCTTAAAATGGGGTGCCCAGAACTGGACAGAGAAGTCCAGGTCAAGTCTGACCAAAACAGACTTGGACTATTGGTCCAGGTCTTGACCAGGTCAAGTCTGACCAAAACATAGTAGGACTATTACTTCTCTTGGACACTAGAAACCTGTTGATGCAACCTAGAATTGCCTTAGCTGCTTTTTGCTGTTGGATCACACTGTTGACTTATGTTAAGCTTGAGGTCTATTAAGACCCCTAGATCCTTTTTCGCATGTACTGCTGTCAAGCTGGGTGCTGCCCAACCCCTGGATGTACATATATAATCCTGAGACTCCGGTCATTTCCCGATTATCAGCCAGACTGATGGGATGACACTGGAGAAAGCCACAGGTTCCCAAACGTCCTGGGACTTAGAGGGACCTTTTGCCCGAGCTAAGATGGCACTCGCTTCCCTTGGCCCTTGATATATACTCACTCAGGGCCTCTGCCAGGCTGACCTCCTCAAAGTAGAGGGCCACGAAAGTGAGGAAGACAGCGACCATGTAGAAGATGGCATCCCTGAGGAACGGCCTGGAGGCCGCAGTGAACGGCTTCACCAGGGCTATGCCACCAGCTACGACGGTGGTGACAAAGATACCGGCACCTGGAGAAAAGGAAAGGAAGGGTAAGTTCCCACATAGCTGGAAGACTGGCAAGGCATGACTGCCAAGCAATCAGGGAGCCACGATGAAGAGTCTGCTGTTAGCACAGAAAGCCCTGAACCACTTAGGGCCAAGATACTTGGTAGATGGCCTTCTGCCATACAGAGCCAGGCAATCTTTATGATCGTTGGACAAGGCCCTGCTGGTCATGCTATGACTGGCGGATTTCCATCCGGCGATGGCACAGAATAATAATAATAATAATAATAATAATAATTTTTATTTATTTCCCGCCCTCCCCAGCCAAGGCCGGGCTCAGGACGGCAAACAAACAATAATAAAAACAAGTTGAATACAACTTAAAAACAAGATTAAAATACAACATTAAAATATTAAAATGCAGCCTCATCACAGGAGGAGAAAGGAAAAAGAAAGAGGGGGAGGGAATCAAATTGGCTCCAAGCCAAAGGCCAGGAGGAACAACTCTGTCTTACAGGCCCTGCGGAAAGAAATCAAATCCCGCAGGGCCCTGGTCTCATGAGACAGAGCGTTCCACCAGGCCGGAGCCAGTGCAGGGAAGGCCCTGGCTCTGGCTGAGGCTAATCTAACTTCCTTAGGGCCCGGGACCACTAGGGTGTTGCTATTTATGGACCTTAAGGTCCTCCTTAGGCCGTGAAGGGCTTTAAAGGTCAAAACCAGCACCTTAAATCTGACCCTGTACTCCACCGGGAGCCAGTGCAGCTTGAAAAGCACTGGGTGAATATGCTCCCATGGCAGAGACCCCGTGAGGAGCCTCGCTGCAGCATTCTGCACCCGCTGGAGTTTCTGGGACAGCTTCAAGAGCAGCCCCACATAGAGCGAATTACAGTAGTCAAGCCTGGAGGTGACCGTCACATGGATCACTGTGGACAGGTTGGGGCGGGAAAGGTAAGGGACCAACTGCTTGATGCGGCAAAGGTGGAAAAATGTCGCCTTGGCTGTTGCTGTAACCTGCGCCTCCATGGAAAGGGAGGCATCAAGCAGAAGCAGGCCTTGCCCCACACACTAAGGCACATGGGGGTTTGCAGTGGGGAAACCCTGGCGACACGTACCGAAGAGCGCTCCAACAGCTAAGCCCGCTGTCCGCGGGTCGGAGAAAGCCACGACGGCGCTGAAGACATCAGGTGCGCCATTCCCAAAAGCCAGGAAGGTGACACCATGAAGGAAAGGGCTAAGGAAGAAATGGAGACAGCAGGCCCAGTGGAGGGAATGGGCCTCATTCCAGGACGTTGGCTTTGTTCTTTCAGATTTTGGGCAAGGCCAAAATTCGGTATGACCAACGCTTCTTGCCTTTTGTTCTGCTCAACTCAGTACAGTGGTAACTCTAGATGCGAACAGGATCCGTTCCGGAGCCCCGTTCGCATCTAGAAGCAAACGTAACCCGTGTCCGCACGTCTGTGGGTCACGTTTCGGCGCTTCTGCGCATGCAAGTGACGTCATTTTGAGCGTCTGCGCATGCACAAGTGGTGAAACCTGGAAGTAATGCGCTCCGTTACTTCCGGGTTGCCGCGGAGTGCAACTCGAACGTGCTCATCCCGAAGCACATTCAACCCGAGGCATGACTGTGTGGTCATACCTAGGGTTACAGATGCTTCAGGTTGCGTTTTTTCGGGTTACGGACCGCCGAAACCCGGAAGTACTAGAACGGGTTACTTCCAGGTTTCGGCAGTCGTGCATGCGCAGAAGCGCTATATTGTGCTTTGCGCAGAAGCACCAAATTGCAACCCGCGCGTGCGCAGACGTGGGTTGTGAATGTGCATCCCGCACGGATCACGTTCGCAACCCGAGCGTCCACTGTACGCCACAGTTGCGATGCCCTTCAGCACCCAACGCAGGGCTTTGCAGTTGATAAAAAAACCTTCTAACAGATTAAACCTGGGGTGGGAAATCTCAGGCCAAGGGGGGCAAAGGAAGTCCTTCATGCATTATCTGGCCCTTGGGACTCTCCCAAGAACCGCACCACCAGCTCTATTGTGTGCCCCACCCTCCCTGCCAAAGGATTTTGTGCCTGGCCGAAACTTTGGTGCCTGTCTGTCTGGTGAATGGAGAAGAATGTGCTGGTGTAGAAATCTCCCTGGCTGGTATGGGGCATACTGTAGAAAGGCCGGGAGCAGGGGTAGCCAGCATGGTCCCCTCTGGATGCTGTTGGGACTCCAGCTTCCATTAGCCTCAGTCAGCATGGCCAATGACCAAGGATGATGGGAGTTGTAGTGCAAATTTAAAAACTACAGAGCACCATGTTGGCTACACCCGTGGGCTAAGAGTCCCACCTGATGCTCCGCCTTCTTTTTGCCTCTGGCCATGCCCATCCCTGGCATGTGGCCCTTGGGAAGTTGCCCATGAGGGAGAATGTGCCCCCTCCCTGTGTGAAAAAAAAAAAGGATTCTTCCACCTCTGGATTAAACCATTGTGATCTGGGGGGGGGGGCATCAGACCACCCCCAGGTTAGATAACAGGAGACTGAAAAGACCCAGTGAGATTCCCCACTATTCCACCCTTCTCTGGTGCCTCTGAGGACCCAGAACAAATTCACCAAAGGATACTGCAACATTGTGTGCAAGCTTCAGCTTGGTGGAGATGGCAGATAAGTTGGGGCAGAAGCTTAAGGGTGGAAGGAAAGAAAAAAAGGTTAAAAGTTTGATGCATTGCTCTTCCCCATATGAAGAATATAGGAAGCTGGTTTTTTCCCAGAGTCCCATTATTGGTTCAGTATTGTCTACACTGCAGGATTTCAGACTGAGGTCCCTCCCAACACAACCTGGAGATGCCAAGGGGAATGGACTTTTGCCACTGAGTCATGCTCCTGTGACAAGGGGAATTGCTGTTCAGGAGGGCAGAGTCAGGCCCAGTCTACATGAGCAGCAAACTACAGTTCCCAGGTTTATTTATTTTTTTTGCAGGGGGAGCCATGCTTGTTAACGTGGCAGAAGAGTGCTTTTAAATGCACGGTGCAGATGAGTCTTGCGACTATTTTTTAGCAGCATGCACTTAATAATAATAAAATATGAATGAATGACTGGAGAGGAAGTAGACAGAACCATTTCTGAATGACAGCATCCCATTTCCAAACAAGCTTATATCCTGTTATGGCCCTTCCCCCCATTTGAAGGCCAGGAAGCCACCTTTTAAAAACTTGCGGTGGAAGAGGAAGTGAGAGACGCCTGGCGTTGTTGTTACTTACAATTTCTCGGCTGTGACCCCAAGGATGAGAAAGAGATAAACCAGCCACAGAGCCTGTGGGGAAACCCAGAGACAATTCCGGTCGTGAAAAAGGGAGGGAAAGGGAAGGACTCCAAAACATTCTGTGGCTCGAACAAAATGTTTTTCAAAAAACTGTACATAGTTCTGATAATCCAAAGTCTCAATCAATCAATCAATCAATCTGCACTTACTGAACTTAAACACTCTTAGAACTCAGCTGTACCCTAAATTCTCAGAACAGGTGTCAGTCCTTTCCCTTTATCTTATATTTAATTGCAGAATACTAATTTAACTTGTTGCAGAACCTACAGCCCTAGGTCAACTTCTGGGAGTGCAGGAAGCTGTTTTATACAGAGTCAGACCATCAGGCCATCTAGCTCAGGATTATCTGCACTGATTAGATGTGGCTCTCCCCCAGTCCTACCTAGAGATGCCAGGAATTAAAATCTGGGACCTTCTGCATGCAAAGCAGGTGTTCCAAGCACCAAGCTGTGGTCATCACAAATAAACTCAACTTCTGATCCTTCTTCAGACATTTGGTATTGAACATGCAGATGCCAAGAATATGCAGGCTAACTCTGTCTGCTAAGCTGTTGACCAATGTGCTCAGCATGCTCCTCCAGATTTTTATTTATTTAATATATATACATACATACATACACACACACACAACACATACACACACTCTCCACTTAATGGGGGAGAGCCCTTAAAGTGGTTTACAAAAAAATAAAATAACTATTTAATAAAATGATAAAACTGAAAACAGGTCAAAACATGCATGCATTCTACATATCTTGGCAGGCTTGTCCAATTGTCATACAACTGATCAATTACTAGCCCAAAGGGGCGCCTATGTATCCCCACCATGGGGATAGGAATCCTGGTCAATAACAGTTCCCATTTTTGATTAGATAGAATCATAGATTTGTAGAGTTACAAAGGACCCCAAGGATTGTTTCATCCAACCCCCTGCAACACAGGATATATATTTTTTGAGCAACGTGGGGCTTGAACCCCCAAGCCTGAGATTAAGAGTCTCATGCTCTATCCTAATGGAGGGGAGCCACATATGCACCTTCTGGGGTGTGCAGGTGGGCAGCCTTTTCACTTCCTTATTCAAAGATGCCTGAGGAGAACTCAGTACAGATCCTGCAAAAGCAAATGCAAATCAGGCAATTTGCCTTGGGCTAAACTCACAAGAGGAGATTCTCTGAAAAGATACCAAAATGCAAGTTCTCCTGCTCCACCTTCCTCATTCCTAAAGCTGCCCTTGCCCTGACCCAGCAAACACCCTTAGCTGCAGCGTCATCCCTTTCTGGTCCCTCTTCCCAGAAAAAAAAAGGCAGATCCTCTTTCTTAAAAGGAGCCGGTTCCTTGCACTTGATCAATCTGCCTTCCCGCAGCTTCATCACATGTGGCTGCCATTCCTTCCCCCTAAGTAGCTGGCGTCTGTTGCACAGCCAAGCTGAACCAGCTCACGTTTGCTTGTTCTTGCTCAAAATCCCCCAGCGCCACATGCAACCTGTCGGCACCATGTGCAAGATACAGCTAATACAATGCCTGCTGGATCAGACCAAAAGCCGGAATAATTAATAACAATAATTTATTATTTATACCCCGCCCATCTGGCTGGTTTCCCCAGCCACTCTGGGCGGCTCCCAACAGATTATTAAAAATAGATTGAAACATTAAAAACTTCCCTAAACAGAGCTGCCTTCAGATGTCTTCTAAAAGTCAGATAGTTGCTTACAGTGGTACCTTGGTTCTCAAATGCCTTGGTACTCAAACAACTTGGAACCCAAACACTTCAAACCTGGAAATAAGTGTTCCGGTTTGCGAACATTTTTTGGAAGCCGAATGTGCTTCGTTTTGAGTGCCACACTTCCATTTTGAGTGTTACGCTGAGGTCTGTCTGGTTTTGCTATTCATTTTCTGTTTTGTTTTTGCGGCTCATTTTGTGTGTGACTGTGTGAAACCCAGTTCAGCTACTGATTGATTGATTGTGTGACTGCAGTACATTGTTTATTGCTTTCATTTTATGGATCAATGGTCTTGTTAGATAGTAAAATTCATGTTAAATTGCTGTTTTAGCAGTTTTTTTAAAAAGTCTGGAACGGATTAATCCATTTCCCATTACTTTCTATGGGAAAGTGTGCCTTGGTTTTGGAATGCTTTGGTTTTGGAAGGGACTTCTGGAACGGATTAAGTCTGAGAAGCAAGGTACCACTGTATTTCCTTGACACCTGACTACTGAGAAGGCCCTCTGCCTGGTTCCCTGTAACCTCAGTTCTCACAGTGAGGGAACCGCCAGAAGGCCTTCGGAACTGGACCTCAGTGCCGGGGTGAACAATAGGGGTGGAGACGCTCCTTCAGGTATACAGGACCGAGGCCGTTTAGGGCTTTAAAGGTCAGGACCAACACTTTTGAATTGAGCACAAGATCACTCTCCCCTCCTGCGGCAACTGGTATTCAGAGGAGTCAGGAGGCCCTCATGACATCTCCCAGGCTCTGCTGTCGACCAGCAACGCAACTAAGGGGGCTCCTAAAATCCCTTCCCACCCACCCAGATTCCTCCACTTTGGTCCTTACATAGAGGGTCACTGCAAGAGGTTGGAGAGCAGCAGGGAAAACGCAGAAAGCTCCATTGAGGTAGTTAAGAAACCCGCCATCCATCTGGCAGTCTGGGTTGTTCCGGATGAAGAAGCAGCGCCTGGAGATGTTTTCCTTCCCCACCTCTCTGCACTGGAGGGACAAAAATAAAAGAAATAAAATTAAGAGACCAGAAATCCCACCGTGGGGGTCCAGTCCCTGCCAATCATTTATTCACGGAGGGCCAACAGTGGTTGGACAGTCAGATTTTGGACCTGGGAGACCAGGTTTCCAGTCCCCACTTGGCAGTGAAGCTACCTCGGCGACCCGTCTCTGCCTCTCAAGCCTACCTCACAGGGTTGCTGTGAGGATATAACAGGGGAGATGGATGCATGCTGCCTTGAGTGTGCTGGAGGAAAACGGGAAACGTAAATGTACAGATAAATAAAAGTTAAGTCTGCTTTTATCTTGGTTAGGGCATCTGTCTTGCAGGCAGAAAGTCCCATGTTTAAATCTCTCATCTCCAGGTATGGCTGGGAGAGAACCCTGTCTGAAGCTGCTACCAGTTTCTGTAGATGTAGCAATGGTCTGACTCGGTTTATGGCAGCTTCCTATGCTCCTGCTGTGTTCTCAAGTCAAATCTACTGCATAGGGTGGTGGTGGTGGTTGTTGTTGGGATTAAGTGAGGAAGGGGAGAACTATGTACGCCATCTTGGGCTCCTTGGAGAAAAAGGTGAGATATCAATCAATCAAAAAATAATAACGAATAAAATAAAAAGGCCCATAGGAGGGCCTAAGACAAAGGGGAATCTGAATCTCCTTTATATAAGAAATCAAGGGATCCTTTTGCCCTGCTTGGGAGAGGCTCTCGAGGAAGAAAATGACGGAAGTGCCAACCTCTCTTCCCCAAGCTTTTTGCACGTTTCACAGGTGATTTGATAATTTTAGATCATTTGGGATCTTAGAGGCCATCCAGCCCAACCCTCCACTCAGTGCCAGAGCTGTAAAAGAACGCCAGATGAAACTACAACAGGAACTAGGAAGAGAGGGAAAGGTGTTAACAGCGAGCACCAACAGTTAGGAAACCAAGTTAGCATTTGGGTCCCGCAGTATTGCAAAAAAGCTAAACCACCACCTCGGATTGTTCCCAGGAGAGCACAGGAGGAGCAGCTGACAGGCCCCAGAACGCTGGCATGCTGTGTTCCTGGCTGCCCAGCCCCATTATGAGGCAGGCTGCTGCATTCTACACCAGCTGAAGCTTCCAAACAGTCTTCAAGGGACGCCCACATAAAAGTGCAATGCAGTAGTTCAGCCCTGGGATGAAAGAGGACCAGAGGTCTTCTTCAATGAATTCCTTCTCATATCATCCCTGAAAATGGTTACTATAATACACATGCAGAACTACCCCCCAGCTTGGCTCCGAGTAGAGAGAGGCCAGCGGTCAGGACTAATTCGGATCTGGGCTTGAAAGCAGCTGCAAGATAAGGGTGGAGGGAGATCTGTGGGGCAGGCCCTCCCGCTGCAGAGTGAAATAACCGGCTCTGCCACAAACAGGCATTCTTGGCTCCCTTCAGAAGCATTTTCACTGGCTGAGCAGGCTTGAGCTCAACTAGGTGTCCTTGCTAGGCAAGGGCAAAGCCCCGTTCCAGTCATAACACAATGGCAAGGAAGGCAATCTCCTTGGGATCTGGAAAATTCTGGGAGGCTTGCTGAAGAAACCCAAGTCACATTCACATCTTCCCTTTACACCACAGTAATACCAGTGCTTTAAAGCTGTGGCTTCCCCAAAGAACTGTGGAAAGTCACGCTGAGAGTTGTTAAGAGGCTACTCCCCCTCCCAGAACTACAATTCCCAGAGTGGTTTAACAATCAAAGCCTCTTCCCAGGAAACTCTGATCCTTTTGCTTGGAGACTCCCTGTGGGGGCAAGCAATTAATAAATGCAAATAGTCAACCAAACAGCAATTTTGGTGGCTTCTTTCTGCCCCTTCGGCTACTCACATCCACAGCTCGTCCTGAGCTCAAGATCCTGTTGAGCTGCCCACTGGTGTCCAAGTGAAGAGAAGATGAGATCTTGGGGTCCTCTGAGCTATTGGGATATCCTACTGCGCTGGCCCCCTCGGCTGCCATGCAGGCCACTCCAAAGACCCAGAAAGTCCACATGGCAGCTGGCCAAAATTTTCTCCGTCCAGAACCGAAGAGGCCAGCCACCTTACAAAGCGAAGACGTCCACACTTTGTCCACGCTTTACGGCATCACCTGTCCGGGAGCCGGGGGTACGGAGAGAGGGGAGGGGAGTAAGAGAAGCCCCCCTGCTCCAACCAGCAGGAAATTTCACAAACTGGAGCCGTTAATGGAAATGGAGAAGTAGCCCCCTCTCCGTTCAGGCTGGAGAATTCTCTTGCAGCGGTTTCCCTTTGTGGAGAGAACTGGGACCTGGGGAGAAGCAAAAGGGCAAAAAAACCGCTTTAAAACCAGCAGATCAAACCACCAAAAAGATTTTCGCAACTACTAAGGGGAGAATCGATTTCATCAGAGAAGGTGAAAAGCTAAACCCCTTTTTTTACATTACAGTGAGTCGGGTTTTTGTTTTTGTTTTTTTAAAAAAAGAGATTCAAGCTCCTTCTCAACCACCAGGGTGGAACACATATGAACATTTCAAAAAATGAACGAATTAAAAATTGGGGAGAAAAAGGAGAGGAAGAAAGAGAAATCATAGGAGTTACAGAAGGAAGACTATGTAGAAGGGCTGTTTCTGAGGGTCAGCAGCTGGCCAGTTCCACTTGGTTCCTGCACCTTTCTCCCCCTGGAGCAAAGAGGCTGGAATTTGGAGGGTGTCAACAGAGGCTAAAAGGAACTGCCCCTCACTACACACACTGCCATTCCCCTAATTATATCTTTATATGGATTTTAATTATAAGCTGCTTTCTGGTCTAATCCTCTGCTGAAAAGCAAGGCATAAATAACTCATCTGTTTCATTTATTTTAGTAAATGTGCATTTCAAAAGGAGCCAGGATGGAAAACACCTACGCTATTTAAAAAAATAAAAAATGCATCTGAAAGCTGTTAAAGGACACAGTAAAACATCTAAAACAAATTTACAAACAGATGTAACCAAAGCAGGTGTCTGGATAGGCCCTGCTGAAACAGGAAAGCTTTCAGCAGGTGTACAGTACGGTGATGGTGTCTGCCTAATGTCAATCGGCAGGGAGTTCCAAAGTGCAGGTGCTACAACATCAAAGGAAGGACTCCTTACAAGTAATAATTGCCCTTTCTGTTCCATCACTGTGAATACCATTCCATGGTTCCAACTGGTGCTTACAGGCTATTTTAGCACAAAGCTTCTTCTCCGGTGGATCAGGAGACACCCTCTGGAGTAGGAAGGGTTAAAAAAATGTTCTGCCCAAGGGCCGCATTCTCTTCTGGGTGACCTGCCAGGGGCCACATGCATGCGGTGGGCGGGGCCAGAGGCAAAAGTGGGAGGGGCAACAGATGTAAACCAACACAGAAGGCTGGCTTCTCTAAGAGGGCGAGGTTAAAAGGGGTGTGGCTTGAGGAGAGAGAGGGGTGTGGCCTGCAGACAGTTCTGAGGGCCAGGTAATGTGGAAAAACCTATCCCTTCCCCTAAAAAAATGATTCCAGTCCTCATCGTTCCTCATAAAAAGGGCTGATTTAAAAAGGAACACAGGAGGTTGAATTGTCCCGAATCAGATCATTGGTCCACCCAGCTCATCGCTATGCAGTGAGACAGGTTTAGCTGCAACATTTCACCCAGATGCAATCAAACTCTGTTGACACTAAAAAGCATCTTTTCTCGGGGAATTCCTTTCACCACCACCTAGCTAGCAAGGTACAAATTAGCATGAAACCAGGTGGTGTGGAAGGAGAGTGACAGAGGTCATAAAGTCAAATGATCCTAGAAATTCTGGAGGATTTCTTTTTTAAAAAAGAGAGAGAGAGAGAGAGAGAATTCTTATCAGCCACTTTGTTTACCCAGGCTGGCCTGTTCCAAGATAACAAAGGGAGGGGATTTGAAAACCTGAAAACCTTTCCCCAGAAGAAGGAGTTCAGCGCATCAGCCCTTCTGCTCCTAACACTATTTTTAAAACACCGTCTTCTGCCCAGACCTCTGTTTACAGCCGGGGCGAGGATTCCAGTGTTCCGGTACACCTTGGGTTTTATAACAATTTCTTGAGTTGATGAATCACATCTGCTTTTTCTCCAGCTGGTCAATTATATTTTTAGATAAAATGTGCAGATGGCTGAAACCTCAGTAGAAATGCTGGTTACTTTTCCCCCCGTTGAGGAATTAAGGAAATGCAAAAGAACTTCCTAATGCTTTCATAAAAACAGGGGTAGTTCATCTAATCATAGATATATAGAGTCGGAAGGGACCCTAAGGATCATCTGGTCCAAACCCCTGCAATGCAGGGATATGCCTACGGGGATCAAACCTGCAACTTTGGCATTGCCAGCACCCTGCTCTAACCAACTGAGCTACCCATCTTCACCTGGTGATGTGCTGCGGCCCCAGTTGCCCCCTGACTATTGGTCATGCTGGCTGGGGCTGATGGGAACTGGAACAGAGACACATCAGAAAGGCCACTGGTCCCCTATCACCACCTGTTGGGATTGCCCTAGTTCATATGGATTTTCCCTCTGTGTTCAAGCAAGGAGAAAAGTGTGTGGACTGGGGAAAGGTGCCCAGGGGCCTGCTAGAGAGGCTTACGAGGGCCGCATTTGGCTGGAAGCTGCCTTACATACAAAGTCAGACTACTGAGTCCATCCAGGATGGGTAAAGGTAAAAGATAAAGGACCCCTGGACAGTTATGTCCAGTCAAAATCGCCTTTGGGGTTGTGGTGCTCATTTCGCTTTCAGGCCGAGGGAGCCAGCGTTTGTCCAAGACAGCTTTCCGGGTCATGTGGCCGGCATGACTAAACCTCTTCTGGCGCAACGGGAAACAGTAATGAGTGCCAGAGCACATGGAAACGCTGTTTACCTTGTCGTCGCAGAGGTACCGATTTATCTACTTGCACTGGTGTGCTTTCGAACTGCTAGGTTGGCAGGAGCTGGGACAGAGCAACGGGAGCTCACCCCATCGCGGGGATTCGAACCACTGACCTTCCGTTCAGCAAGCCCAAGCAGCTCAGTGGTTTAGACCACAGTGCCACCCGCGTCCTTAGTGGGTGCATCTAGCTCAGTACTGTCTACACTGACTGGCAGTGGCTCTCTAGGATTCGAGACAAGGAGTCTTTCCCTAGCCATACCTGGAGATTGAACCCAGCACGTTCTGCCTGCAAGGATGCTCTACCACTGAGCCAGGACCGTTACCCTATATGTTAAGTTTTCAATATAGCAGTTAACAAGGACTGGAGTAAGTAATGGGTTAAAATGCACATGTGCAAAGTTTGATTTTGACAGTGTAGGTGTGATTGTGAGAGGGGAGAGAATTGGAATCACATGACCCCTTTCAGGAAGTGGTGGTGGGTTTAACCACTTCCTCCCATACTGTAGTCCTGATGAAAGTCTCCCCTGAGGAAATGAGTTCTGGCAGAGAATCTTCCATTGGGGCCAAATACTCAGAGCAAACTGCATCAGAGGGGAGCAGCTCCTGACAGGACCACGATATGGGAAGAAAGGGTTAGCCCTCCCTTCCATCATTCTGCAGGCATTGCAGTTGCTATTTTTTAATAATAATAATAATAATAAATTACGTATACCCTGCCTATCTGGCAGGGCCTCCCCAGCCACTTTGGGCAGCTTCCAACAGAATATCAAAAACACCATAAAAAATAAAACATTAAAACTTCCATCAACAGGGCTGCCTTCAGATGTCTTCTAAAAGTCAGATAGTTGTTTATTTCCTTGACATCTGATGGGAAGGCGTTCCACAGGGTGGGCACCACTATTGAGAAGGCCCTCTGCCTGGTTCCCTGTAACCTCACAGTGATGGAACCTCCAGAAGACCCTCGGAACTGGACCTCAGTGTCCGGGCTGAAAGATGGGGGTGGAAACGCTCCTTCAGGTATATTTAAATAACAAAAAATCAGAATTGGGTCCCCCCAAATGCATGTTTGGGTTAATGGTGGGTCCTGGGCCTAAAAAGGCTGAGGACTAGTGGGCTACAGCACCTAAATTACTAGAGGCAGAAGAGAAAACACCAGGTAAGAGGAAAGATACAAGAAATTGATCTTTCAGTGTAGCCGCACCCACACTTTGGAATTCCCTGCCTGTTGACACCAGGCTGGCACCTTCACTGTATTTTTTTTGGTGCCTACTAAAAACCTTTTTTTATTCAGGCATACCTATACAGTGGTACCTCAGGTTACATACGCTTCAGGTTACATACGCTTCAAGTTACAGACTCCGCTAACCCAGAAATATTACCTCGGGTTAAGAACTTTGCTTCAGGATGAGAATAGAAATCGTGTGGCGGCAGCAGGAGGCCCCATTAGCTAAAGTGGTGCTTCAGGTTAAGAACAGTTTCAGGTTAAGAATGGACCTCCGGAACGAATTAAGTACGTAACCAGAGGTACCACTGTACTTAACATGTAGAATGCATTTTAAGCTGGTTTTAGGCTGATTGTAGCTTTAATTATTTTTTGAGTGTTTGAAAGAGACATTTTAAACTCTCTCTCTCTTTTTTAACCAATATTTTCATTCTTTTTGCAAACTGCTCCAGGGCTTTATTGCAATCAAGTGGTACCGGTATATATTTTATTTTGCAAAATAAAAGAATGAAAATGATCTATAATTGCCTCTACGACTAGAAGGACGATGTACCTTCACACCCACCAAACCCCCTTCAAGTTAGACAGAACTCAGAGACATGAAAGCCAAAAAACAATCCTATGCAGCTTGCAAAGCTTGCATCACCGCCCTTCATACCACTGGCTGGAAAAATACGTCCATTCATTGATGGGTCAGCAGCCTGAGTCCGCAGTAATGTAGGTTTCCCGACACAAAGGAAATGCATTATCTCTAAACACACCCCATAATTCTTTTACGTAATTCACAATCACAGGACTTGGCAAGGTCCATTAGGCTTTTAATGACTTAATGTTGCTTAGCTGCCACCATTTGCACCCGCTTTTAACATGCAGTGGGGGGGGGGGTCACCTGAACCCTTCTAATAATAGGCTAGTTCAATCTTCCCCAAATTTGGTGTCTTCCAAAAGTCTTGGTATATGGACTCACCAGCCCCAGGCAGCAATAGGGAGTTATGGCCCAAAACACCTGGGAGATGCCAAGTTGGGGTGGGGAGAGGTAAAATGGTCAATAGTAAGAGCATCCACCACTGCCAGTCAGTGCAGACAATATTGAGCAGGGTGGATCTAACTCGGTACAAAGCAATATTCCCTATAGTTTTTGTCTCCTGGCAGCAGTAGTTCCCATCCACTGCCTAGGTTGTAAACTTTCTCCCCACCACCAAAATATCAAACACTCTGGCCTGAAATACCAGCTAAATTCCAACTGTACCTTTGGGGAGGAGAGAGGAAAGGTGAGCTACAAAACGAAAATAAATAAAGCGATCTGGCCACAATAGAACCTCCATGGGCAAAAGCAGTTTACCTCTTCCGAGTGTCAGATCCCAGGCACAAAGGGGGCATTCCCCTCCTGTTTTGTTCCCCTTCCCCCAAACAGGCAGAGCTAGTAGCAAACGACCCAGTAGCCTCTACTCTAGAGAAAGCCTAACGGGATGAGGCCGTTGGTCTGATCCTGCAAACAAAGCCAAGTGCCATGCGCGCGCGCGCAATTTCCCACCCACCGTTTTCTTCTCAATGCCCACCCGCGTCCATCTCCACGGTCCCGGAAGGCCAACACGCAGCCTCAGCAAGTAAACAAACCCTGCCCCGATTCGGATTGGCATCCATTTCTCCGGCTCTTGCCAAGTAGCAGCCAGGCGGCGTCCTTTGCCCGCCGTATTCTTTTCCCTCCCGCTCCGCTCGCCTTGGCACGACGCGCGGGGCGCCTGCGACCTGAGCGCGCAAAAGAGGAGCGAAGAGGCGAGGAAGCGCCGCGCGGGATCGCGCCCTCCGTCTCCACGCCAGAAGCTGCGAGGCTCGGTTAGCAAGATCCCCCGCTCCCGGGCGATCGCCCTTTGCAGCCGGGCGCGCAAGGCGCTGCTCCCTTGCAAAAGCCCTTACCCGCCGCACCTGTGCGCTTCAAGCCACCGGCCTCCGCTGCAACTCACCGGCAGAAGCAGACAGCCCACCAGCTCCGGCAGCAGCAGAAGCACCGCCGATCCCCTGCCTTTAGCCGGCCAAACAAGCCGCAACTCCGCCCTCCCTTGCCAGCTCAGCCCTCCTTCCCTCGCCAGCGGCTTAAAGAGACAACTTGCCTTTCCCCCTTAAAGGCGAACAGCCGTATTTCTGTTGCGTCCAAAAATCCGGACCACGAGGGACGCCTAGCGCAGTCCGCTGCAAAGCAGGCCAACGTGGAGCTCGAAGACTCGAACTCAGGCCCCTGAAATGGAGAGCCTCACGCTCTATCGACTATCCCAGCAGTCTTGTTGCAGCGCTTGGGCAGCCCCTATCTCGTGTTTACTAAGATGTAATTTTCTCCGAGTTAAACGGGGCTGGTTAAAACTTAACTAGCTGTATTGACTCTGAGGGATTATTGCAATTATAAATATTATAATATTTAGTAATACTAGTATAATTATTATAATATCTTAATTATAATAACTTTTTTTGTTGTTCTTTCGATTCATTAGTCCCTTGCCAACATAAGAAATTTCAAGCAACTTGCACAATTTTAAGAACATCTGGCGGACCATTGTGAGAACAGGAGGCTGGACTAGATAGGCCTTAATCCGGTTTATATTGGCCAAGCACCCCTGTTCCCACGGAACACAGTCTCTCCCTGGCCCTGAAGATAAAGGAATGGAGCTGTTAAATCGTGGATGTAAAAGAAATGGCTTTAATATCACAGTTTCCCAAAGTGGTCAATATTGGCCCCCATGGAGTCACTGTACAGGGGTTGAAAGGGGACTAAGAAAGGCCTTCTCGGTTGCTCCCAGAATTTGGAACTCTCTCTCTTAGGAAATTATACCGGCTCCCTCTTTGTTGCCTTTCGTTCAACAGGTGAAAATTTGTTCCAACACACTTTTGGGAACTGGTGCCGTGCTGTTTTTATTGTCATTACTGGTATAGTTTTAATAGATTTTAAATACCATGTGTACAGTTGTACCTTGGTTGTTGAACGCCTTGGTAGTCGGACCCGACTGGCTCCCGAATGCTGTAAACCCGGAAGTGAGTGTTCCGGTTTGTGAACGTTTTTTGGAAGCCGAACGTCCGACATGGCTTCTGCGGCTTCCGATTGAGTGCAAGAAGCTCCTGCAGCCAATCGAAAGCCGTGCCTTGATTTTCGAACCGTGGAATGGATTAAGTTCGACAACCAAGGTACCACTGTACCACAGTGGTACCTCCGGTTACAAATGCTTCGGGTTACGTATTTTCAGGTTGTGGACCAAGGGAAACCCGGAAGTACCATAAAAGGTT